TGAACTGTTTATGAATGTCCATACAATTATAGTACCTGCTTTATATACACAGTACGGGGTACTCAGAAGAAATCGAATGAATGATCCCTGCTCTTAGTCCACCGCCTTTCCACTACTTCAATGAACCTGCATTATACATACGCAAGAAGTAGAGTGTATGTCAGTTGTTTCATTTTTTTTTATTTCAACTGCTTGTCGATATCCTCAATTATTAACTTAGTACATATGTGGTATGCAGTATGTATGCATGGATACCCCTATTTCCAGGTATCACGGTTCCACTTGCATTCCATGGATGAGCTTGCGTTAAATTCAGTCCAAAATTCATTGACTGGGCCATTTGTGTCTATCTTTGCATGTTCATTATTGTTATATTCCAACTTGGTGTATTTTACTGACATCATCTTCAGCAAAAGCTTAAACCTCATGTATATATATCACATATATATAAAGAGGGGGTATGCTGTAGTCAACAGGGTACGACATATGAGGTTTGGATATGATCTACCTAGGATAGTTAACCAATCATTCTAGTAGCTGTGACATCTGATAGCTTGTGTAAAACACAATATTGAGGTTACACGATTGCAAGTGTGGCGTAAAAATCACAAAGAAACAGCTACTTTTCTAGGATCGATAGAACCTTGGAAAACTCGGTGAGAAAGCACAAAGAAGAACCTGAAAGATAGAAATAGAAAAACCAGAAGCCCTGTCTGCATCTCAAATCACATAAGATGCAACAGACCGACTTGACCGACTTTATTGAGATCATGGCCAAAATTCAAAGCTTTAGAGCGCGATCTTGCAGCCGGATGCAGGTACCTGCTCTACCTATGCATAAAACTGCAGTTTTATTTCAGCCTCAGCCGCACACTGCATCTCAATAATTAAATCGACCAAGGTAACACAGCACAGACTTGAAAACTTGACCCAACAGCCAAAATTCAGATCTGAATGTTTCCCGCGTGCTGGTTATTCGTGCTGCAAGAGACTGAGCATCTATTGCATGGATATATCTTTCATATTGCTAGTTGATATAACATTGATAATCTAAGGTCTCAACGTTGCGGTATATAGCACTATGTGTCCATGAACATATATCGACGAGACAGGACAGATCTAACAAGTAAGCTATTCAATATCATTTACATCTAATAGAGGCTCTTTCTAAACAATAGATCGGTATAGATCCCCGCATATTACACTGACTGCATAGCACAGATCTTGCTATTTGGCACGTTCCACTGACTCTCGGATACCAAAGTTGATCTTCCAATATATCCACTGCATGCTTCCCCTCTCTACCTTGCATCAACAATTGCCCCCACAAGGCAAATTAGGATATAGTACGACATGGGCAATCCAAAGCTCGATGTACTGCTCATCCTACCCCGCAAGTGATCGCGTGCTCTCCTATATGCGCAGAGTACGATGAGAGTAGATCATGACGCACATGAATAGATCTTCTCAGGTGGCAAAACCACCTGGGCAATAATCCCTCAAATCAACCCCAAAAATACAATTGAAATCACTCAGAGACATATTCAGTGTCTATCACAGAGGCAATTGCTGATCCAGACCGCCCCCAAGTCTTGATCTAGCAAATCTCCTACCTAAACCGGGTGCCCGGATGTGCGTCGGGGTTCTCAACCTCGGCGAGCATATTGAACTGAAACCTCGGCGAACATATTAAACTGATCAGTCAAAATTTGGCGATGCCGCCCTTGCCCGACGATCTTCTCAACCGGACGGGTCCTGCAGCACAATGGCTATACTTGTACGAAGTGCTTTGGGAGAACGGACGTGCATGCCCCACTGCTTGGGCACGAGTATGTCGGGACGTGATGTGGTATGCAGTTTGCTGACGAAACTATGACAAACTAAACAAATAGTAGCGAGTTAGCGAGTCAAGCTAATGAGCTGCATACATATGTGGGGGTAGTCGATTTCGGCTGTAGGTACGGAGTACGGAGTAATAATATCGATAGCAAACAGTGTGAGACCTTCGCGGGCTGGCCCGTTGTATCATTCTATGCATTTTGCAACTAGTTTCTATACTGTATTCCTTTTAGAGAGTAGGAGAGACAAGAAGTTCGAGACATGACCATAACCAAACAAGCTGTAAATTTGAATAGCCTCGATATTCCACATGTCCACACGATCTATACGCGACCGTAAAAATAGCAGATCTCGGAGACTAATCGCCCCTCTCCTATGGGTCGAACGTGACGGTACGGAGATTCCGCCCATTTCAAGGTATGGCCCGCAGATCGCATTTTGCGATTGCCCCTGATGTGATGATATGGAGGGGGCTTGCATTGGCCTAGTATGACAGCCATCGATTGGACACGAGAGCGAGGCGTTCGGAATGTTTTTATTTTTGATTGAGCTATCAACACCGCTCAATCTAGGTAGATAGCTTTGCTGACCTTACATTAGTCACACCTTGATTATCAGTAACTAGCTGTTTTATACTTCCATAAGGAGGTAAAGATTCCAGGACATGTGACGGTAGACCAATGCATGCCCAGGAGGAGAATTTGTTATGCGCTTTACATATTTCAATGTTGACTGGCGACTGCAGAATCACCAAGCTCACGCAGTTCTGCGAAACTGTTGGTCGAGATGCGGGAGGACGTGCGAGCGAGGCAACCGTGATGGGGAAAGGAAGAACAACCTATTGTGATTGTCATAGATGTGTATTACAAGTTTGATACTAAAGGTCTTCAATAATTCCAAGCCTAGATCATGGGATGGCGAAGTCGCTTACTTGTTATCATTCAATTTTGCGACCATTGTCTATGATTTAGTGCGGAGTACGGAGTGTGTTCGTCCCCGTTTACAAAAAAAAAGAAAGGTGTTGATCCAATGTATTGTGTTCAATTTCTAAAGTAATTAAAGAAAATATTCCGAAGTTCAATTTGACTGGAGGGGTTCTCATGTACATTCTAATGTCTATCAACAAAAGTACATCGAAAATTTTTATCCGGCAAGGCAGTCCCGTATCTCCCCTCGCATCTATTATTATTCCAGGTCTTAGACAGTTGCGGGTCCACATCACGATTACCCATCGCTTCATGTAGCTTGAATTTAGCTAGGATCAAGGACTCCGTATGCCTTGCTCCAATATAGTAAGCATCGGGTAGCTTTGAGTGTTCGCCTTTTTGTAGCTCGCGTTTGTGGATCCAATGCGAACCTGTTCTTGTGATTATCGCCCCACGCGGGAGGGGAAAAGAAAAAGAAATATGGAGGGGAATCTCGGTAAGATGTATACGGATTACATCCAGGTTGGTCTGGATTTCAACGGTGACTGGGGTTATGGACAGGGGTTTACAGGGATTAGAGAGATTTGAGATATTTTTATGTGAGGTACGGATTACCGAGGGGTATACTCCGTCCACGGGTATGGAGTACATACAAACATACTCCGTACATAATGTGCATAAACATATTTCCAATCAGAGAATAAATATTAATATAAACCATAGCGGATAGAATTTAAAAAAAAAAGACTTTTGGCTGCTGTCACTTTGGAGGGGGGCCGGTCGCTGCGTTGTCGATCTCCTCCCGGAGAGATATTGACAGCCGAAGAAAAGGTCGCCCTTAGTTTTAATGATTGATCGAGTCCCCCTGCAGGCTTTAGCACACACAGTCAATGCATTAAGACATGGCCTGATTAAACCCCACAGAATTTATTTTGTTGTGGCAATATGATTGGTCTCAAAGTAGCGGTTTTCAATTCTGAGCAAATTAAAATAGGAGAATTTATTGCATTTTGGGGCAGGAGGTGGCAGGTGAATGGCCTGGAACAGCGTGCGTTCGGCAGATGCAAGGTGGATAGTGCTTGACTAGATTTGGTACTTATGAGAGATGTACCTTTGGACATATTTCATGGTGTGAAGAGTACTTTCTAATTATGTACCAATGGTAGGAACTGAAGACCAATGGTATTTGTTATTACACCGAGTAGATAGGCCAAATTCTTGGGAAGAAGGGTTTTTTTCATCAATTTTCTTTTCTTTTTTTTTTCTATTGGGTTTTTTTGATCTCTTTAAATAAAAAAAGAGATAGTACTATTAGTACATACATAAGGTAGTATTAATATTAATAGGTACTTTTAAGAGATCTGAATATAAAGTCCGAAACTAAAAAAGAAAAAAGCAAAGTGAAAAAAACCAAAAAAGAATTTCCAAATACGTACATAGTACTTCTGGTATGGTACTCGTCACATTATATCAAAGTACAATTACATCCATACAATATCCCATATATTCCCCATACAGACCCATTACACGGTGATCGTCCCGAGTAGTCCTTTCAACTCCAGACCCTATTAATTACTTCAAATTGTTCTTATTATTTCTAATTCCCTCTTTTTTCTCTCCTTTTGCTTCAAGTTCTTATTTGAAATTTTATATTGTGCAAAGTCATAGCATTCCTTCCCCCTTCCTTGCGTTACCTTAATTGGCTTTCGTCACGGTCAATCGCGATTTACGGTCCTTGCTGCCCGAGTCTTGCCTTTCTCCTTCATAGGCATTGCATTATTTATACACTTTATCCCTGGATATTAGGGTTGACCTCATTACGACTCATCCCTCCGGGGCCTTGATTATTCCGCACTCCTTGAAAGGAAGTCTGTTTGGATCTGTTTTATAGTTTTGATTACTTGTTAATATTGTTTTCTGTGTTTGTATGTCAAAACTTCCTAAAGCCTCCCCCTCCTGGCATTCCAAGTTCCCGACCTCCTTGGGGCGCATTCCAAACAGTCAATCATACTCTATACTATCCTTGAGCAGCGCCAATTGACCTAGATTGTGTGTAGGAGCAATCCCCAGCCTCTGGCGATCCGATTCCTTCCTGGATTATCCAACGTCACTTGCTTTCGATACTTGTCTTTCTTGGAGTCACTGAACCATGTCCATTGCACCTATCGAATAAACGCCTTCGGTCAGTGACCTCAGCGGCTTAGAGAAGAATATACTCAATCAACGGAGCAAGAGATGGAACCAATGAAGCCACACATCCCCCCATTAAACTTCTCGAAGTCCAATTCGAATTTATCCGAATCAAGCAACGACGTTACACCTATACCGAAGCAATTTCATACTGCCTGGGGCTCGTCCGAGATGACCCCTCCGCTAACACCACAAGACGCCCAGGATACGATCATGGATCAATCGGAGGCCTCACGACCTGTCTTTCACAACTATCTACGAGCGTTTTACCCTTTTCACCCGGCCGGCAATGTGTCTCCCTCGACTGTCACGCTTCCTCTGGACCAGGGAGACATCATTTTGGTACACTCCGTTCACACCAATGGCTGGGCCGATGGTACTTTATTAGACTCTGGGAATCGAGGATGGTTACCCACGAATTACTGCGAAGCATACGACCAATTACCCATGCGTCCTTTGTTGAAGGCCTTGACTGATTTCTGGGATATCATTCGAGGAGGATGCGGGTCATCACTAAAAGATTTTGGAAACCAAGACTTGATGAGAGGCCCTATTGCTGGTGTTCGGTTTCTACTGGTAAGTACCAACTAGAATTGAGAAAGAAGGAAAAAAAAAAAACCACAGGGCTTATAATTCCACAGGAAAAATCGGAATGTCTTACTCGAGAGGCCTCTTTGGTGAGGAGGTTTGATGGATTACGTAGAATCAGGAAGGCTTTGTTATCTGACCTTTCTTCGCTGGTGAAAACCGCGAAGAAGTTCCAGGAAGTTGCCAACGGGATTCCGTCGGAAGAAGAGGTCGAGGCCATTTTGGATGAGATGCTTCTCAAGGCTTTCAAGATTGTTACCCGAGGAGTGCGATTCCTCGATGTGTGGAATGAGGAGGTAGGCCTTGGCAGGACTATTGCCGAGATGGATGGGCCCGGCGAGAGCCTACCCCAGTATAATATGCCACTGACTCCAGCGTCGGAGAGTTTCACTTTGAGCGAGAACGATGGGCCTGATCGATCAGAATCACGAATGCTAGAATCACGGAACGAGTCGCGACAGATGAACCATAACCGTATGGATATGAGTCGGTCATCGATGCGCAGTGAGACGGTTGATAATAGACCAGTCTCCGTAGCTACGAAACGTGTTTCTGTATCTCACCGCATGTCGGTATCCGGTCCTTCTACTGCCATCAGTGCCCATAATCTGGCATCTGAGCGCCTCGGAACCACATACGATGCATTCCTCGGCGTGCTCGGTTCGTTTATTGGGCTCCACATGCAGTCTCGCTCCTCGACGGAGTTGGTTGTGACCACCCAGCAGGCGGTCCAGTCGTGCAGGCAGTTGCTAAATGTTGTCGAGGCGGTGTGCGAGCATGACACGCAGCGCAGCGTCTTCCTCGAACAGGCACGAGAATCAATGTGCGAGAAGCTCTCTGAACTGGTTCACGCTGCACGCGACGTGTTCCGCCCCGCACACCTACCTGATGATGATCTCGTGTTTATGCCAGATGAAGGGAAACGACTTGTGGAAGCTGCAACTGGCTGTGTACGAGCAGCTGGAAACTGTTTGGCGAAGGCTCGCCTGGTGCTTGAGCAAATTGGGGATCTTGAGCTTGACCTTGAACACACTGAAGATAAGGGACAGGACTTGTCTAGCATTCCCCCTCCACAAGAAGAGCCTGAGACTCCCGTAGAACAGGAGCGACAGGAGCTTTCACTCCGCCTTCCCCCACCTCCTATTCAGATTCCTAGTACCACATATTCTCCCCCCACACCTGCTCTCACCGATGCTACAACACCTTCATCCTTCCAGTCTCAGCACGCAACTTCCCCCGCAAACATCACCGCACTTTCCTCTCTACCGAATTCTGCCATCCTCCCAACCCACCTAGAAAACATGTCTTCCTTCTCATCCTCCGCAGACAGCACCTACCGTGAAAGTCATCCCAAGTCTGACGTGAGTGAATCATTTGGCCGTGGAATCATGAGCAATGGTAGCAGCTTCACATATAACAGCTACACACGTGACTCCGAGATGAGTGGTCTCTCTCAAACCTCCACCCGGGCTACCTCGCCTGATATTGGCGGTAGCTTCCAGGATAGCTTCAAGGTTCACTCGCTGAAGGAAAGTCTGAGTTACTCGACCCTCGCTGAGGAGAACGAAGAGACTGAGGCCAATATCCTGGAAAAGACTTACGCCCACGAATTGATTTACAAGGAAGGTTCGGTGATGGGCGGCAGTCTCCGCGCTCTTATTGAGAAGCTGACTGCCCACCAATCCACTCCCGATGCCCTCTTCGTTTCAACCTTCTACCTCACCTTCCGTCTCTTTGCCTCGCCTCTTGAGTTTGCCGAGGCTCTCGCTGAACGCTTTGAGTACATTGGTGACACACCCCACGCTGCCGGACCCGTCCGTCTCCGTGTGTACAACATCTTCAAGGGCTGGCTTGAGTCCCACTGGCGCCACGATCGTGACAACACTGCCCTGGATTTCATCATCAACTTCGCCAACGCACGACTTGTGGTTGATCTCCCCACTGCTGGAAAGCGGTTGCTTGAGTTGACCACCAAGGTGTCCGCAGTTGGTGGTCCTCTTGTGCCCCGCCTTGTTTCTTCCATGGGCAAGACCAACACTTCGATTGCCCAATACATTCACCCAGATACCCCCCTACCCCCTCCCGTCCTCAGCAAGAAGGAACACGCCTTGCTCAAGCAATGGAAGAACGGCGAAGCCTCAATAACTGTTCTTGACTTCGACCCACTTGAGCTCGCCCGTCAGCTTACTATCAAGGAGTCGCGCATTTTCTGCTCGATCCTTCCTGAGGAACTTCTGGATACGGAATGGACCAAAAAGTCAGGCTCGTTGGCTGTCAATGTTCGCGCCATGTCAACTCTGTCGACTGATCTTGCCCACCTCGTTGCTGACTCCATTCTCTACCTCGAGGAGCCCAAGAAACGCGCCGCTACTATCAAGCACTGGGTCAAGATTGCGACCAAATGTCTCGAGTTGAATAACTATGACTCCCTCATGGCCATCATCTGTTCATTGAACTTGTCTATGATCTCTCGACTCAAGAGAACCTGGGATATCGTATCACAGAAGACCAAGTCTTCCCTCGAGCAGCTCCGCAGCATCGTGGATGTGTCTCGCAACTATGCAGTACTCCGTCAACGCCTTCAAAACCACGTGCCCCCTTGCCTCCCATTCGTCGGCACCTACCTGACTGACCTCACCTTTGTTGATCACGGCAACCAATCTCTCCGCACCCTCTCTACCGACGACAGCTCGATGGCCGTCATCAACTTCGATAAGCACATGAAGACAGCTCGCATTATCAGCGAGCTCCAACGCTTCCAGATCCCCTACCGTCTGACAGAAGTTCCAGAGCTACAGGCTTGGATGCAGAATGAGCTCGTGCGCGTGCGCTCCATCGGCGAAACAACCCCTCAAACATTCTACCGTCGCTCTCTGGTTCTTGAGCCTAGAGAAACCTCCCGCAGCGGAAACACTCTTCATTCACAGGCCGAGTCCAATCCTTCCATGCTTGACAACGCCAAGGACAAGTTTGACTTCCTTTCATGGACGAACCAGTCCAAAGTGAAGCCTGTCCAGACACACGGTTAAATTACTCCCTTACAACGATACCACCATCTACGCCATCCTCCGCAACCTAATGACTGATGACTTCTTCTCATTTCCGATTTACTGATGTTCTAATCAACATTATTCTCAACCATTTTCTTGCAATCTGTGAATATCCCACCATTCTTGTCTTACCTATTTACTCGTTTTCTTCTTCGGCGGTACTTTTATCTGTTTTTTTGCGACTTGTCTTTCGAAAAATGTGGCATTTGAAAAGCGGCTATGGGTCCCGGACTACCCAAATGGAGTTTACCAAGGGCCTTGCTTTGTTTATTGTGATTTGTTTAATTTCCTCCTTGTCTATTCTGTTCTTATTTCGGCTGGGAATGGGGAAAAAAGGACAGGTTGACTGGAAAAGGATTGTTATCTGTCAACTGGGCGTTTCCTATTTCGGATACCCTCTAGACAATATTCTTGCCTCACGGCTTATGTACAGGAGCAACTCTTAAAGCTGCCTGAAATACAAACTACGCTTTAATTTTAACCTTTTCTTTGTCAACAATCGTAACTGTAGGTAGTTAGCTCTGTGTCTGCTTTGTAATGCCAATGTGTAGGCTTTGTCCTAGTTTCGTGTCCTTAACTAGTGTTAGTGCTAGCTTGGGGTTTATTTTCTGCCTCTCTGCTCCAAACACTATAGAAATTTGCGAAGGGAAGTTACCTAAGTAAAATAGGGCCTTGAGTCCGAAGAAACTCTGATGCCTTATCCTTCTGCCTGAGTACTGATGTCTGCGTATCAAAAATCGACTGAAGCCTACCACCAATGATTCTTAGAAAAGAAAGCAAACACGTTAACCCCAAAGCTAGCGTACCAACGAAAGCCCACCATTGACAGGTACCATCTGACCCGTAATCCAGCGCGAAGCATCCGAAACCAAAAACGCAAGAACAGGAACCAAGTCAATCTCCACATCCCCAAACTTCTCCCCAAGACAAACCCGATCACTCATGAAAACATCATGACCTTCAAGACTCTCCTCCTCAAGATTCTCACGATACATATCAATTATCGGCGTCCAAACAGCCGGTAGAACCGCATTAGCCCGAATCCCATACTTCCCCCACTCGCGCGCAACAGCCCTCGTAAAGCTCTGCACAGCACCCTTCGAAGCAGCATAGTGAGCCAGGAGTGGCAGTGGCTCGGACGCAATATCAGACCCGAAATTTAGAATCGTGCCGCCCCGGGTCTTGAGATAGGGAAACACAGCCTGGTTCATGAAGACCGTTCCCTTGATATTGACATCCAGCATTCGGTCCAGCTCGCTCTCGGTGATGGTCTCTGCAACGTCTTGGTGGATGCTGCCTGCTGCGTGGATTAAACTGTCTAGTCCGCCGAGGAATCGGACAGCGGCTTCCACGACGGCGTTGCACTCAGATCTAACGCTCACATCGAGATGTTGGTATTGTATTTTGGAGTTGGGGTTACTGGCAGAAATCTGCGATGTGAGGCTTTGGCCGATGTCGTCTTGGATGTCGCATATCACCATGTGCACGCCGTGCGCGGCGAAGACTTCGGCTGTGGCTTTGCCGATTCCTGAGGCGCAACCTGTTAACAGGACGCGCTTGCCGGCAATTGAGGGGATTATATGGCAGGCTGTTTCCTCTTGGGGATAGTCCCCGTGGGGAGTTTTGGGACACATTTTGATTGGGATTATTGTTGATTATGGAACTCCTTAGAAGTTTAGTTCGTGGCTTTGTGCTGCTTTGTTCGGGGTTACTTCTATATAGATACCTATTTGTGCCTGATGTAACCTGTTTTGTATGGATTAAGGCAATTCCTAAATCCGGCTGAGTTATGTACACCCCGAGTCTAGGGTTGAGGTTTACAGGGTGAGACTCCTATTGGAGAGACGGCGATAGAGAGATACTGTAGTGCTGGCTGGGAGCACAAAGATTTTGTGTTTTAGGAATACTGGACACAAATGAGTACATAGGGTTTACATGTTGGGGTATTTAAAGATACAGTGTCTTAAGTAGATATTACATAGGAATAGAAAGCTCCAGCATTCGGCTTTCTTTCAACAGAAGGTCCGGTGGAAGGGAACACATATACTATGCAAAATTTAAAACTGATGGGATCAAGGGATAGCCAACAACTCCCGAGATTGGTGTGCTAGGGCTGAACTTTGTGCCACCTGATTAGCACCCTCGTGCATTCTGTTTTGCGTCTTCTGTAGTTGGTCATACATATCCATTTGTGGGCCTACATATAGCTAGACGCAAGGATGCAAATTCCACTTCACCGTTGCCTTGGGGTAGTATCACTAAATGACATACAGCATATATTGCTGTTTATTCAAGGTTTCCATCGTTGCGCTATTCCGGGGTTAATACTTGCCGATTCATTCCAGCCTTGTCGGAACATTGATTTTGTCCCACTAGAAGCAGCTAAGATGCCTTATAAGGTTCATTTGTTCTTCAATCGGAAGATTTATAAGTTCAGCCACGATTATAAGCCCTACGGAGTAGTGGGGAACTAGATCAAATACATCTGAACATTAAATAGAGCAACAACCTCAATATCGGCACATGCAATAAGATGATCACAGTACCGCAATTCTTCGAGCTTGTATGTAGATCTCATCCGCGGTTGAAAATACCAACGAAATGCTCGAGGCTGTGACCAAACACCTAAAACAGATGAAGCTTTGACAGTTATGTGGTTTTTATATGATTCATGCATATACCTCATTTGTCATTTGTTACTATACCCCTATACCAAACCGTACACAATGTACGTATTCAGCCTTGTATGTATTGTGTTTTATAATTCGGTATTCAGGTGCATATTATATCATAGAACAATGCCATTTTAAGCCAAGTAAACCTGTCACAGTGCCATTCCATTTTTATTAGTGGCCGATCCTTTGCATGAACTCCTCCACTCAGGCTGCGGGTGATCTTCTGTGCAATCCACAGAACACATCCACGCATGAAGTAAGGGATATGTCTAAATGACCTCGGTTTTGAATACAAGTATATGTATTTGAACCCCCCCAGATCGCTACCATTGCTTTGGGGTATTTGAGTACTCCGGAATGCGACTGCCTATACTCCGCAAGCGCTAATCCCATGCAAGCCAAGCTAAATTGGAATCTCTCGATGTCATGCACGATCTATCTGGTGGGTCCATGCGAGAATATGAAATATCAGGCTTACGGAGTACTCCGCACTATGGCAAATGACCAGCTACGCCTCATTAAATGTCGCCACGCTACTCCGTACATCCGCTTAGCTTGACAAACCACTCAAGAAAGCAGTTGGTTTCAATGTTCGTTTGTTTTAGATGTATTGAAAACATATGGTGTATTCTGTTTGTTAATTTGAGGAGGGAAATGTGATATGTCATGATAATGAAACCTCCAAATGTGGACTCATCAATTGATGCCGGAGGTCAGAGTGGAGGATTCCATGTACCGACATTGTGAGGATGTTAGGCAGAAGCAAGCAAGAAGTCATACAGCGTTTCCTGGTCTGTGTCTTGTTTGCCTGCAGACCACGAAGCCGAAAAAAAGAACCGGGGAATTCTTCGACTGCGAATTTGAATATGTGGCAACTCTTGATTGATATATCACCTAATGTACACATTCCCACCCCATTTCAGCCTTTCCATTACCAGATCCTCAACCCTGTTATATGAAAGCCTTGGAACTAAACCAACTATGTTACATAACGTGTTCTAAACGCCTCCACGAAAGCCAAACCCATGTCGTCGTTATTATCATAAGCGGATGCTCTGGTGTCCAAGTCCAACGGCAATGAAACAGCAGTGTCAGAGAGGGATCGAAGATCAAGTATAGGGACCATTGAAGGGCGACCGTGTGCACATTGAAATGGGAATGCACAACGGGCCAGTCTGGATACCAAGGCCTGGCATTCTTCGATGTTCAAGGGGTCATTGAACATGATAGCAGTGCGACATGCGCGGGAGTTAAGAAGATCCACGATGCCTTGAGGGCATCCATGCATCTGTTGAACCCATGAGCGTGAGGCAGGTGATGTTGAGGTTCCTTTGTACGCCACATCTTCACTGTCCGACAGTTCGAGATCCTGACCGATATCTCCGGTTTCGAATGCTTTTTTCAATTGGAACGGCTTCCTGCCATTTTCCTCACTTGACCAGATCTCACGTCTCATCAAGTCAATCAACAGATGAGGCTCGAGCCGACAGCGTTCGGCTATTAGGACAGGGAGAGTATGCACGGTGATCAATACAGTAGAGTTGGTCTTGCCATGTGTCACATACTCAATACCCCAGGCCGAGAAGGGACCCATATATTTTTGGAAGAGCTCACTCTCTGTTGATGAAACTTCAAATGCCAAGGAACCAACTTGGACAGTCCGCACTCGACCACCCGAATCCGAATTCCCACCTAGTCCAACAGGGAGAAACATCTCCTTAAACAACAGTTCAATTCGACATCGCTCATCAGCCGCATGTTGATCGATTAAGAGTAGAACATCGTTTGAGGCCCCCTCGGAATTTCGAATGACCGGGGCAGCGTGGACCTTAGCCAGGATGAACTTGTTGTCCACCTGGGCTATCACTTCGGCAGTCTCGAGCGCACTGCGTTGAAGCTTTCCTCGATACTTGGCAACTTGCGCTGTATCAAGGGATCCAATGCCCTTGAAGCAGTCATGTGAAGTAATTGTATTCTGTTGACTGGCGGACTCTGCGCCTAGATTTGGTATTGGCACTTCTGTTCGGCTGAAGGAAGGATTGTCCCATGTCCTCAATAGGTTGTCTATCCAAAAAGTTTGCGCTGGATGCTTGGACGAGATATCGACACAATCGGTGGGAGAATGCTGGGTAGCTAATGACTTCCGAGAGTTCATTGTTTGACCCGTTCGAGGATTAATCATATAGGCCAACTTGGTGTGTGGATCGACCCAGGTGATCATTTTATCTGATGGCGAGTCTCCAGGCAGATCTTCTGTTCTATTCCTGGCTTCATCAGAGGTCATTTGATTCGGGGAACTTGAAAGAATGGTGCGCTCCTGGTTATTATTTCGACGGTTTGGCATATGTTTAGGGAGAATAGGCAAGGAACTCTCTCCCTGCATTATATCAGGAGCCACATCAGAGCGCTGAAGCGTTCGATGTGTAGAAGAATGTCCTTTAAGATCCTTAGCGGTTTTTACCCTGGACCAGTTGGCGAAGCTTTGACCAGAGTTCAGAGACTGGGCTCTTGTGAATGAGGGAATTTTCAGACGACTGCTAAACGCTTCTTCAGTGCTCGAAATCGACTGGCCTTGTTGTAGGTTTCTGCGAGAGCTGCCAGTTGCTTCGGAGTCTTTGGAACGGACACTCTGAGTTTGATCCGATGAAATGGTCTGTTGTTTGCCGTCAAGAGGGCGGAGATTGTGTTGCTTCAGGAATTCACGGATCATGGCCCCAAGCACATCAATTATACGTTGAACCGATTTGGTCGATTCTGGAAGATGCTCAGACCTATCATCATCCACCCGTACAGCAGCATTTGTGTCAATGCGGATGTAAAACATTGGCCACTTATTGATGGGCTTTGCCCAACTTCGAGTGCTTGCATTACTTGGAGCATCAAGCTGATTCACCGAAGATGCAGAATATGGAACAGAGCTTCTGCCAGACATGGCTCCAACGTTACTGAAATCCGACAAACCAAATAGCCGGTTCACTTCGTTATAAAGAACATTCGAGCTATTACGCGATAGCACGGGTTCTTTCCCCAAGGAGATGAACTGAACCTTCCGAGTTGGACTAGGTTGAAGAGAGATTGCTCCCTGAACTATAAGGTCGGAAACTGAAGCTGAAATTTCATGCCACGAATCAAAGTTTTGGGGTGCGATCAGCCCGGATTGTGTGAGAATCAACCCGATACGTCTGAGATCAAACTCCCTCCGACCATAAGAAATGCGCGCTTCGGGTATGGAGGCAGTCCCAAGGCGAATGGATATCCGTTTATTTCTTTCCACATCGAGCAAGACTAATTTTGAGAATTGAGGATTGGCCAAATGTAGAGACACCAAGGAGTTTCTTAGATGGTCCCATTCTCGTTCTAGCTCGTCGGGCCGCTGAAGAGCGAGAGCTCGACTTTTGACACGAACTGGCATGTTCCCAAAAAGGTCATTGACAGTCACAGATGTACCATGACCGCTAGAGCGAAGCACCTGGTGTGGCGATGCAGGGGTTAACCGAGCCACAGGTGTCGAATGGTGAAATATGATCGTGTTTGTGCATTCATGACGAATGTGACGAGAAGTCACAGTGAGCAGAGATAATGAGGCCAAAGAGGCCAAGAACAAGCCTCGATGGCCATGCAAGCCACTCAGCTTGAATTTGGATGTATCTATTGCATATGTTAGCCAGCATCCATTACAACCTCAAGGTAAGGAGACATACGGTGAGCCTTGCCCAGCCCCCCTGTAACTTCGAACTCGGCTGGTGGAATCCCATCGCCATCATCTTCGACTATGCAGCCACCACGTTTGAAGTCGACAGTGACGAAGACTGCATGGGCATTGGCATCCAAAGAATTTTTGACTAGCTCCAAAATGACACCAGTTAAATGAACAATGGATGTAGATGATTTGATCTTTGCAATCACATCAGAAGGTAGCGCCCGTATTATTGACTGAGAAGGAGGCATGGGTTGTCTTTGTATTCACCAAAGCATCACGCCACTAGATGCAAGAAGGAAGACCCCAGATAAAACACGACTATAAATACGCGTTTCAACCATGATCGCCTGTTATGATTGCTGCCGAATCTCTCCCAATAGGTACCAGTGAATTATTCAATAATAAAACACCGAAAATGTTGAGAATACGTCAAATAGAAGTCAAGAGGCAAGGGCACATGACGTGTACGGATAAACAGTCTCCCCGCCCGCTGTTCCATCTACAGCGGCGCGGCTTGATCCCCAGTGTTCTGCTCCCTTGCCTACCTTCGACCTTTCGCGAGCCAGACTTGGTAGTGACAAGGCTACCTCTCCAAGCTAGAATGGCTACTGCTGATGGTCCTGCTAGGGTGCATGGTAAGTGCAGATTGTGCCTGTTTGCGACCGTGAACCACTGCTAAGGGATTCATACAAAAAAGACCGGAATGCACGTCGCCGTCCATTCTCGAGCTGGGTGAAACGCCTAGCAAACCTTAAGAGCTCCTCTGATTCTACCACACATCGATGGTCCAACAAGCGCTACACGGGTAATAAGGGCAAGAAAACCGATCTCGGAAACAACCCATACCCGCTCTCTGGAACTATCAACCGCGACACAGGGACTCAGACACCGACCGATTCATACACAGATAATCAGTATGATGGGGAATCTCGCTCCAGGAGCGACCCGTCTTTGTGTTCGGGCTATGAGAACCCGGCTCCCCTGCCAAGCGCAAAGTCCGCAGCGCCAACCATTTCAACCAATGGCGATGCCGCTTTCTCCGAAGCAGCGTACTCTAAGGCAGGCACATTGACAACTGGCACTGAAGGATTCAGCACCCATGGAGGAGGTGAAGGTAGCACCTTCTCGTCGCCTGCACCTTCGATTCGATCGATGACCACTACCTTGACCACCGTGCACTCGGCGGCCCCCTCGACCCAATTGTACAACGCGCAAAATAACCACAATGGACACCATGGCAGCTCGACACAGAGCTCCTCGAACCAGCAGATTCAGTTTTCCCACCAATTTCCTACAACCTCACCCGCTACCGCAGTCCCCTCGCACCTGGTGCCCCATAACCATGCGATGACGTATAGCACTGCAACCGCAAATAATGCCTTGACCGATAACGCTTCTCTTCTCACTTTAGCGAGCTCGTCCAAGCGCCGTCGCCGCAACTCCCTGGATACCAATGCATCTGTACGCGGATTGGCCCCATCTTCTGTTTTTGGCGGTAGCCGGGAGAGCTTGCCGCTGAGTGTTCTGAGTGGACATACGACTGAAGCATCCAATACCTCTTTATTCAATGCGCCGGGGGTACTGAGCCGACCAAGTATTGTTGGTCTCGCTAGCGCTGAACGCATCAGTGTCTACTCGGCCTCCGGAGCAAATCCGCTGGCCAGCACCAATGCAGAGCGAACCGGCTTGTACACCACTAAGCAAACCGCCAACGGTGACTCGGCCAGCATCCGCAGCGGTATACAGTCGCACAGTCGAAATGACAGTACTGGCGCCAGCATCGCCGGGGGTATTAGCAGTCAGTTGGCCATGGCCGGTCGCATGAGTCGAAGAAGTTCTGGCTGGGGAGAAATTACTGGCGAGGAAGGCAATGATGGAAAGCCAGTTGAGAAAAACGAGGATGAATCCGCGACTAAGGAGGAGAACGGCTTTCTCGTCGAGCGGCTACGGGCATGATTCCACATCGCACGTACCCGCATACCTTTCCCAGTCACGATCGAATGGTGAGGTGTGTTTAAATGAAGTTACGCATGGACAGATCGAAAGTTTGAGCGAAGTAACAGCGATCCTTTACTACATAATGACTTGATGCATGGAAACCTTCCAAGGACCTGGATATTCTTAATGGTTTGGCGGCGTTTTCTAGGCTGGGACTTTGATACCCTATGCGGTATGGACACATTCGTTTCTATTCAATCCATATTTTGCATGCAACTTCAGATCTTTCGTGTATTCATTAGACCTTTCCTAGATTCCACTCCGGGTGGGTTACTTTTTACATGTGTATGTCCTCATCGTACCTGTTAATGTCGTCCATCCCTAGTAGTGAAGACCAATTGGCCCACATACACCGTTTCAACGGCGCTGAATGACCATGGGCATATCGTACTGATACACGAACCAGGCATTCTGATAATTCCATTCATGTTTGGGGTCCACCAGTTGAATCTATATCGCAAGTTAGCACCAATAAGCTGAAATCCAAGAACTGTCAATAAATAAGCCACTCACATCGAACGTGCTGTACAGTGTCGCAATCAACTTTTTGATCTCCAACATAGCGAGGTATCGGCCCATGCAAATTCGGCCTCCGCCACCGAAAGATAAGTCAACAGTATCCTTCATCCGACGCTGGCGAATCTCATAGTTCTCCGGGCTTTCATCCTCACCCTGCAGCCAGCGGTCGGGGTTGAAGTCATCGGCATCATCTCCAAATACTCCGAAATCACGGTTCGTGACAAAAGGGTTGATTCCGACCTTGGTGCCTGCAGGGAGATATCGTCCATCAGGAAGCGTGAACCCACCCTCTGGAACGACACGCTCGAAGATCATGGCAATACCGGGGTTGACGCGTAGAGATTCACGAATGACAGCATCCAGGTACGGCAAGTCGCGAATCTCCTTCCAGGGAGCAGGGGCAGAGATACCGGCGGCTTTGAGTTCAGCGGCAAGTTTGGCCGTCGCAGTGGGTGACTTGGCGAGGTAGTAAAGCACAGCACGCATGGTAGCCGAGCTTGTGTCGCCTCCAGCAAGAATGCTCAGCATTAGCCAGTTGACGATCTGGTTGTCATCGACCATGTCGGGGTACGTTTCTTTCAGCTGTACGTATTTGTCGAGCGTGTGGTCGACGGTTCCTGTGGAGAGCTTCTTCTCAGCAAGCTCAGCCTGGTACTCGGCGACGACCTTGAAGGCGTACAGGACGCCGGTCAGGGTGGGCTTGGGCCCAATGCGCTTAATCGGATTCTTGTCGAGGATGTTGTCAATCCATGGGACCTGAGAGACCTAGTGGATGTATTAGTATGCTCCTCGTTCACGTGGAGTTTTTGTTTATCGGGTTACCTACCGGTGCGAAGTATCTCAGACCAGCTGTCGAATCTGTGATCAGATTGTTGACATCCTTCTCCTGATCAATGAATCCATAGTGCCGACCAAAGCTGTAGTTGGCGGTGACATCCCAGGCGACTATATGATTGATGTGTTAGCTTTAATCTAAGTAGAGTCCCAGGGGTGTTTAAGGGTATGCTCACAGAAACCAATCCATTCATCTGCGGGACAAACCTTTCCTGCGTTATCGCCATCGACGAATTTCAGCGCTAGCTTGTCCACAAATTTGGTTAATGTTTCGTCGATCAACGGTTCGTATTCCAGAACCTTAGTCATAGACCAAAGGCTACGAATAGGTCGGATGTTTTGGTTGTGCCAATCTTCATCCTGAGTGTTGAAGAGATTCGACAGTCGATGACCTTCAATCAGTACATCGTTGGGGCGGTACATATCACTCTTTACATGATTATGATAGGTCAGCACGGCCTATTTCCACATCTAAAATAGCGGCATTGACTAGGAGATGATATATCTAACCTTTTTCCACGGCTTGCGGGTGGAGTAAATCGTCCGAATCAGATTTGGATCTGATATGCTCACGCAATTGGGTCCAACTTGCACCGCTGTGCCATATATGCGGTGTAATTGAACATTCTTTAGATCAATGCGTCCACCATATGCATGGAACGCGCGCCAAAAATCAGTGATCTTGGCCAAGACTGGGCCAGGTATGGCCCTCAAGCGCGAAAAGAACACATCTGAAATCAGTTTTATCACAATAAGCAGACTCAGAGCAGCCAGAGCCTGGGCCCACATGCTGGAAGGAAGAGAGATCATTTCCGACACAGCTAAGTGTGGATTCTGCGCACGCACAGTGGTAAATGCAGTGCAGCAAGGAGATTCCAAATATAATGCACCCGGGATATCGGAGACGTCTAACGGTTCATAGGTGCAGATTTTCACAGCCCGTCGAAGACCCTAGACCCTAGTGCTGCTGAGAAAAAGGGGGCACGCAATTTGACCAACAGGTTTTTTTCACTTTTTAGCAAGGCGGGAGGGAGCGCCATTGCGGAGAACGAATGGCGCGAAAACTGGGGTTTTGGCAATTATAGAAGCGTTTACAATTTGTTTCCCATTGTCTTTAGACGGGCTGTTAGACGGGGGTGAACGGAAGGTGGAGTCGAAAGTTGATTATGTGCGGACTGTGAATGGCTATTCGTTGAAATTAGTTTCCTAATTTGGTCACAAGAACTGTGGCTCAAAGACGGCGCCGCCCTAGCGCCCGAAGGATCCCAGCGGCAATGAGTGCCAACCAGTGACAATCAAGTATCTAGGGAGTAACTATGGAGTAACTGCAGAGTACCCATGTACCCATGTAGCTTCTTCGACAGCGCGTTTAATTAGCCGGTTAGGGAGCTCATGCAAGCTACTCTGTACTCCCTATTTTCGGCCTGATAGATCCACTGCCATGATAGCAAGTGCAGACACAATGTTAGAAACGCTCAAATCGGGAAGGCTCTGAGCCGATCGATTGGATATTTACCTAGATCGATTGCCCAGGTGGAAATACGAGCTCCACTGGCTATGACAATTATTATCGACTTTTTTGACCTTTCCCCCTGTCATATTCTATATTTTCGGCATGGTTAGTCTAATTTCGGAATATAATCTCCTCTTAACAATGATTAACTCCCCTGGAGTTACTCCGTACGTCTGCGGGCGTTGAATCTTTAAATTTACGGGTATACCCCGGATTGTCATTCGGCCTAGCATTGAAAAACGGTCGGAATGTCGTCTAGCGGGGGTGCATCTCTCCCGCTAAAGAGCCATGCCTCTACAGTACAGGGTGTGATATGGACGATGTCCATGGTTCCCTTGGTTTTCGTTTTGATGCGCCTGTATGTGCGAGTATGTATGCGGAGAGTGTTTGGCTGGGATGATGGCATTGCAATTGCGGCAATTGTAAGGAAGTCCTTTATTTTTACGACTGACTGGTTGACTCGGATGCTCTTGCTGACTTCGATCATCTTTTGATAGGGTTGTCTGGTTGCATACGCTGCTGTCTGCCATGTTGCTGCAAGCTTGGGATTAGGAGAGCATCTCGAAATTGCCCAGGAAAATCCAGATAAACTTATCCAGGTGGCGCTCTTGTGCAATATTGGCGAAAGTTTGGCAATCATGGCATGCACCCTTGGCAAGACGTCCTTTGCTGTCATGTTGCTTCGGGTCGTGGTTCATAGATGGATGATTATTGTGTTATGGTTCGTGATTGTTACAATGAACGTTGTCAACATCTTGGCTGCCCTCTTTGTTTTCCTGCAATGCAACGACCCGCGACATTTGTGGAATCCAATGACTCCCTCCGAGTGTTGGCCGTCGTACGTCTTTACTAATTTCTCTCTATTTGTTGGTGGTACGTTTTTCTACAGCAGTCTGCTTCGGCTGTATCATTGACCACTAACGGACCAACTCCCTCAAACAGCCTATTCTGGAGCACAAGACTTTGTCCTAGCACTACTGCCGTGGAGGATTGTCTGGTCATTGCAAATGAGGAAGAAGGAAAAGGTTGGCGTGGCAGTTGCAATGAGTCTTGGAATCTTGTAAGTCTCTCGGCAAAACCTCTTTTAGATTCTGATTAATTACACGTACTGACTGATTTGTCTCTCTGCAGCGCAGGCGCAGCATCCATAGTTAAAACAACCTACCTGGTGGGCCTCTCGGCCAAAGTCGACTTCACATGTACGCCCCTATTTGTTTATTTCTTCTTTTTCGCCACAAACTGACTTCTGTTTGCTTAGGGGAACTTGCTCCCTTATTAATCTGGGCAGCCGTGGAAGATGGTCTCATCATCACCGCTGCATCCATTCCCGCGCTTAAGCCTCTCTTAACGAAGATATTCCCCGGCACAGCATCAGACGATTACAACATGATCCTGTATCCACGCCTGCCCCCTAACCACAAGGTCTTCGACAACTCCCAGGGTGAAACGCAGACAGACATTGGACATACGTCTATTCACGAGTCGGGAAGTCAAACGGCGATCCTAGAGCCTATATGTCTAAAGGGTGAAAAAATCAACATGACAACCGAGGTCTCAGTCACATATAATCATACCTCGTAAAGGACCGTCGGGGCAAAAGAACCACTACAAGCACTGAGCAGCGATTGGCTGTACCAACGGCAACCAAAATACAAATAGAATTAATCTCAATAGACAGTTCCATTTCCATTCATGTCATGACCATCAATCTCCGTGGTTTATCTCATTAAAACCTTGGGACAGGCTTACATATGCTAACTCAGGTTTATTGCCTACCGTCACACCAGACTATTAGTTCCTTTTTACTACAGAGCATCCTAATGAACATTTAGATTACTTGTACTAGAAAATAGCTAGACAGACATGCGCATGACATCCTTCGAGCTTATCCGATGCCTCTTTATCTAGTAACAACAACCACACTTGAGCTATAAATCTACGAGATAAAGTATCACGTAAAATCTCAGTGAAGCTCGAATCTGCCTTATATTGAGACTTGGCCGAGACTGACTGAACTGAAGGTGACTTCACACACTTTCCATACACAGAATGAAAATTCCTTCCGCTTTCAAATCTGACAACTTGGGGATAAGTAGCAGGCTATCATGCTGCTTTAAATGCAGCCCCCTTTGCATTTGCAACAAAGGGCGTCGCATGCTGTGATATTGTGTTAATCTCTGAAGCAATGGAAACGGCACGTTGAACCTATCAATACTCACATCCTTTGCCACAGCACCAACTCGACCCAGACGCTTTCTTTTTACCGCAGTACTAGGATTCAAGTTAGTGGTACAGAACACTAAGAGTCATATAGCTCGAACGTACGCCGTTGTTAACGCGGGCACAGCAGACTTCGGCACTATCTGCAACGTCTGTCAAAGGATTTGGGGCTGCAAGACTGATGGTAAAGAAGGGCAGAATCGCTATAATAAGGTAGAAGGCTTTCATCTTCACGGCGGAGAGGTATCAAAAGAAATGTGGTAAAACGGGAGTGAAGGTGAAGTTGTTGAAGTTGGTTGAGAACCTTTTAACGACAATCAAGGGTTGGACGTCTAATATACCTTTTTTTTTTTTTTACTGAAAGCTCAAGTGAATATCAATTGTGTAAAATCTAAATCATACTGTTCATAAGGTGCGTAACTCCCAGCTGAGGTACATTGTTACACAACATGTTGAGATGAAGCCTAGTACTCCAATCATATACCTTGTTCTCGACTATGCATGTTTTTGTATAACAGTCCAACGCAGTAAGAACTACCGCCTCCACAGTAGATCCACTAGCGTCAGGATTTCCGTCCGTATTCTATGCATGTTGATTCAATTACATACAAATAAATGATAACACTTTGATCCTATAAGATTATACTCACCAGACATGAAAATCATATATTACTCTAGAATACGCATAGCGTATGAGATCACCATGGAGTCATGGTATATCCCATATAAAAGTTTCATATTTATGGCAGTATCATAGAATATACTACCCCGTAAGTTGCGGGGAAATAGATATGTAGTAATACGTTACAAGTCAAATACGCAGAGCCGCAACTGATTACATATGTAGCAAGTGATATGATGATCACGTTGGGCGCTTTCAGAATGAGCGGGTGAATCCATCTAGACCTAGGATTCCGGCCTGATCCACCATCAAACCATTGGCTTATGCCAATTTAAGAACCTCCATTACTTAATGAGGTAGGGAATAGGTATGAAAAATGTAGAAAGATCTCCTCAAACAACACTAGTCTGCGTCCCTGGTGCATATGAGTTGGGCAGTCCCCCACTACAAAAACATAGATAGTCGAGAACGAGATATATGATTAGAGTACTAGGCTTCCGGCCTGACCCGTCGTCAAATTATTGGCGCATTCCAATGTTAAGAAGAGGACATCAAGATTGATGCATACCTCCATGACTTAATGACATGGGGAATATGTATGAAAAATATAGAAATATCTTTCACACAACACTAGTTTGCGTTCCTGGTGCATATGGGTTAGGAAATCCTATACTACAGCAGGCTCTTCTGAAGTGAGGTATCGTTTATTTATGTTCACTAGCGATGCAGTCCTCTGTTTCAGGAAGTAGAGATACCCTTATATACGTCATTTCTCGTATATCACTATGCAAGGCGTGTGTACTCTTTTGTAATGGATCTACGGGGTCCAAGCTGCCCTAAATATGGGGTAGATAGAAAGGCATGGGAGGCCATAATGTTGCACGAGTCAAGGACGGTTCTTGAGCCGCAAAGGGGACGTGCTTATTGGCAAAAGGGGCCGTGCTAGGAATGTGTCACTCAATTTTATTTCAATTACGGCCAATATTTTGCCGGCATCTGTACCCCACGCATATACGCGCTAAACGGAGCTTAGTGATTGGTATATCATCTAGGAGTGTGATACGAGTAGGGATAAATTGCAGTAGTTCCTGACCGGCAGGCACTGGGCGCTCTGTAAAGTCTAAAAATTGTGATTGGCTGAGCCTCATGGCGCGCGCGCGTGGAAATGTTGGAGTGATGGATATCTGAAATGCTCTCGGAGAGTCAATGATACAACCTACCAGGATGAAGATTCTAAACTGCTCCTTTTCATGTTATCCCTTGTCCCTCCTACTCTATATGCGTTCTACCCATAGCTTCCTGGGACGCCGAACCCATTTTTCACGATGTACACCCTTGACACACCTTACTGCCCGCTCACCTTGAATTTATGAGATTCAAATTCGCAACCAGGGAAGGCTTGATGTATATCAGCAAAAGGTGCAATGCCCTAGATCGCTCGGCCTTCGATCTTTATTTTTGAACTTTCTTGGGCTCCAAAGGATGTCCCTCTTTGGTTTCGGGCTTTGAGGCCCGAATGACCACATAGCGATGCATGTCAAAGTACCGATAGGCCACAATCGCAGACACAGCATTGACGAAGTATTTCTCGAGGCCGAATAGTCTGATGACGAGGTAAGGAACGTATGCAAGGACGAAGAAAAGGCGCAGCATCGGTTTCACATTTTCTGAGAGATCACTCGTCTTTATGTTTGTGAACCCGGCTTCTTCAACCATCGATGAAAGAGTGTTTTCTTCAAATTCTGTATTGGCTGGCATCGCGGCATACTCATTGACTTGCTTAAAAAGCTTCGATGACTCAGATGCATCCTTCGGGCTAAAGTGTGCATATTCAAACAACACCAGCGAGGCTCCAGGCTTCAACAAGCGGAAAAATACCTTGAGCACTGCTTTTGGGTCTGTTGCATACACAAGCGTTTCCATGGTGTATATGCTATCCAGTGATTCAGTGGCAAACTCTTCCAAGTGATGGTTATCTCCTCTTTGAACCGTGATAGCCTTTTCAAGCCCAGCAGAGAGTACATTTATCTGGCTCTGGCTACATGTCGTTCGACGACATCAACCGCCCTGACGTTGAGTTTACGACGCGCCATGTGGATCGCAACATGGCCATAGCCACAGCCAGCATCGAGAACAGTGGCACCCGCAGGCAAATTCAATGCTTCAAAAAGCCGGTCTTCCATTCTACGAAGGGATTTCTCGATCGGGAAAGGCCACCAGCTGCCGGGCTCATAGTATCCGAAATGCCGAGTACCGCCTAAAAGAACGGGTATCCAATCCTGGATTCCAGGGAGGCATAGTAGGATTGCAGAAGCGGGTTTTTATTGATAATGGGCTGTGTTTCCGGAGTTGCCATTCTGTTGGTTTGGACCAAAGCCAACCGTATAAGAATAATATATGTATGGAGTGTGTAGAATGTCGAATGTTTGAGCTCTAATTGGGGAGTGGATGCTTGTTTAAGTGCAGTGATTACCGCCTTCGCGAAACAAAAAAAGGGAGCCTTCGCAAGCGGGGGCCCCGGGGATTGTTATCACTCATCACACTCGCGCCGGGAGCTACGGGTCGCTTAGTGAGGGGGCTGGCGGCAACAGTCATGCATTATTCCAAGAATGCAAAAATCACTATTGTTACTTCATTGTGACTGTGATAATAATTCCCCAGCTCTGAAGGCTCAGGACATCGGGTACGTCGACATTCTGCCCCTCAGAAGATCTACTCGGTCTACCCAGACTCTATACAGATAGTCGAGAGCTACAATTTCTGCCTATATTAAATTTCAAACCGAAGCAGTAGATAATATTTTGTCAGAATACTATCATCACTAGTACTGATTTTGACCTGGCTTTGACAGACTCGTAGTCAAGGAATCAATTTCCATTTGGTGTTTGAAATGGTGCATTGCGGCCAGTGAAATATAGAAGAAGGAAAAGGAAAATAAGGCATTAAACGCAAAGCTTGGTCAAGTTTCGAGATACCAGATAAACCATTAATCAAGGACCAAGAGCTTTATTCAGCAAAATCTCGAAGATTGGTTCTTCCATAATTGCTGCGAATCTGCAGTATATTACTACACAATCATCAATCGAGAAAAGCACAAACTACTCACCCCTGACACCTGATATTAGGCCTCATGGCGTTCTCCAGTGTTTTCAATTTCTCACGACTCAATCGTGGAAATTTCTCATGATCCCTTATCCTGTTCCACGCTTGGACGGGCGTAATATAGCCATTCAAGTCAAGCCTGTCCGCCATCTCGAACAGTTTTTGAAAGACATCCGCCGAAACCTGCCATCGCGAATCGCTGTCGAGTGTTGGGGGCGCAGGTTGTAGCAGTGTACCTTGCATTGACATAGCATGGCCCGAGGGATGTGCGCTTGGGATATGCGACAGGCATGGCCGTTCCAGTCTCCGGGATCATGAGCACAATGCCGGGAATATGGGTGGAAGATACGCATACTTACGACAAGACAAAATCAACTCCTATCTGAAACTATTCTTGTTCGGAGAACTCATCTAGATCTTTATCTATGTCATCTTCGGGGGTTTCAGTCTCCTTGTTTTCCTTCTTGTTCTCGTCGCTATCGTTCCCCGAATGACCCGCGATGAGCCTGAAAGACGAGGGGTTTGATATAGATGGCGGGCCTTTCTGGCCCATCCTTGATGAAAGACGGGTGGTATTTCTCATTTTTGTGTCATGTTTATGCGGGTTGCTGCAGAGGGAATGAATAATATTGGCAGTAGTTCATCCAGTTCAAGGTTACCATGAGAACATGATATTATTCGCCTTCTAGCAATTAAACACACTTGGCATTTATCTCATCATGCTCCCTTGAGGAATACTATATCAGTAGGGGAAATGCAGAACTTACCCACTATCGGGCTTGTCTTGGTTATTCACCCTGTTTGGCAGAGGTTGCTTTCGGGTCGTTTGTCTCATTTGACACACCTACCAGGAAACTCTTAGTCCAAAATCCAGCACACATGCCTTGTTGGCCGACTTATGTGTGAGAGCTGTTTGTTGTCATTTGGCCAGCTGAGCAACGTCTCATCGACTTTCATGGAGTGCATTCATATCTTGTGAAATCATACAATTAAGTATACAAATTCAAGAGTGTTGCAGTGTGACGTCTCGCAAGGTAATACCGAAACTCCAAATTCCGACCGAAGCAACAAGCATTCATACCTTTAGGTCCAGACTTGGACCCATATCTGTCATATCTCGACCCGTTAATTCTGAGCTGGGCTGGAATATCACAAGCATCCAAACAGTCCTTTTATTATCCCTACCAGAAACCAAAACTCCAACTCTGTCTGGTATGAATCTTTCTCATCGTAGATATAGATAGAACAACCATCGCCCTTCAGGTCTACAAGGTACCTATGACTGCGCTAGTTGGCAAGGCCTCCCAGGAGCTTTGTACACCCGCTTTGATTATATTACTAGATTATATATGTATATATTTGGCATATCAGTGCGCATCCACGTTGCGCTATGTAGACCTATTTGCCTGGAGCTCTTATTTATCTACCCATATACAACGTTAGATTTTACCTAACCCGTCACTTAAACGACTTTTCACATTTATACCAGCCACTAGAAAGATCAAGCCCACCTATAATTTCCTAGGACACTCGGTGAGCTGTATTTGATGGCTCATATTGTTAGCGGTCAAACGCCCAACAGGCAACTAAAATGCTTTGAACCAGGACTGAGCAACTTAACTAGGTTTGGAGAGTGAAAGATGGAATGATTTGAAGGTTGGCATAACAGGATGGAGAAGAATGCCATCATGCCGTGGGATCTACGACGCACGTTGTATGTATATTAGTGTGGAGACACTAAGAAAATGATTCCACATGCGATGCACATTGTATCCACCATTGAAACAACACGTCAGTGCATGAAAATGGAATTGGTGATTCCTACCAAGTCAAAAGATTGATGGCTTGGTTTCATATTCCTCTTATAGAGCCTCTGCTGGCCAGTGCACCGAAACAACGCTAAACTGCATTAAGTTGACATTTGAATTTTAAAGCCCTTGTAAAAGTCTGTGCTTGAAGATCAACAATATACCGTAGTATGGTTGTATGACAAGGAATAATCCCGGTTCCTAAGTGGCCAAATAATCCACGGCTATACTACTTCGGAAATAGCCAAGATAAGAAATTGAAATGAGGTATGATGATGAATAATTCGGAGCGACTTCGGAAAAACCAGAAATAACTTCGCCTGAACACGAGTGTTCCTCCAGGACTTGGGGTTCAAATGCTGACCAAGCTGTCAAGGTCCACCAATCAGCGGTTGCAGACCCCGATCTCGGGCCCCGCTGTTTCGGTGCCAGTTTTGTGTGAGAGCCGCGTTTGTCGCTTGGTTAATTGAATGTAGGGAAATGAGGGGTTGAACAGTAGAGTATACTTCGTGATTCATGCATTCAACTCATATGTGTTAGATTGCTATACACTTATATCATATGCAATAGTAGAGGATCACTGTGGGATCACTGTGGAGTTGCCTAATTTGAAAATTGGAACGTGGGACCCGAGGATTTAAACTCGGTGGACTCCGATTCTCGGCCTTCAAAAGGTTCGTTTCTATGATATTGTATACATATTTACATAGAGTATGGGAAGGAATGAAAGAATAGGACAAATTGGAGATTCTAAAAGAAAGGAAATATAGTTGTAATTATAGAATGTTTCTAGAAACAGAAATGTCCAATGTGTCCGGATCGGGAGGCAAATGAAGGCAAATCGGGGGATTAATCATCACCCACCCCTCCGGCCCCGGGCTTCCCCCCCCACTGAACGTTCAAAGGAAAAAAACCCACTTGTGGCCCCAACTTCTGTCTCCTTCTCTCCTGGTTCTATCCATCTTACATCTTCAAAAATCACGATTCACGCGAATCGACTGTCACCTCGCAACAGGTTCGACATCCATCGCACTTGCGACAAATTCGCACCGAGCCGCATTCGGCATCTTGAGTCACATCTCTCCGCCTGCGCAACGCGCATTTCCACGTAGTTCATTGGCATCGTGAACATCGATTACCGGCTTCTGCCTCGACTGATTGTACCGGAACAACGGAAAAGCCTTCATCATGGCCAACTACAACGGGCGTCGCATGCCGAACTTCTCGCAATACCTCGATGACTTGAACGCGATTCCCTCGCCGTACGACCAGGCCCAGCAGCAGCAACAGCAGCAGACTACTCTCAATGAGGAAGACCTAGCTCTGTTCACCAATACCGAGTTCTTTGAGTTCGACAAATTCACCGACTTTGGTCTACCTTCTTTCTCGCCAGAAGACAGCAAGACTCATGAGCTCATCTCAGAACAATCCGCCCAAAATGAGGACCTGAAGTTCTTGGAATTCCTGAATGGTAAGTGTGGCTGATTTCGGTTCCTGTCTTTCGCATCGCCGGTTGAGTAGTCCCGAGTTTGAGCTGCTTTCCCCTGATCACAACACATCACACCACGCGGATTCATTCACAATTGTGTCCATGGGACCAATATCTATATTTCATATGTTTCATTGGTTACCTTGCGAATTCGTCATTTCTGCCTATTGCACGAGCGATGTCTTGGCTCATGGCATTTTTGGCGCTTCGTGCGGTTTAAACCCTCAATACCATCCCATATGCTTTCACAGCTTTGACCTCTCGCATCGAAAAGTTTGAGCTCTGCATGTCATCCTTCCCGCAGCCCTAGCAGGGTTTTCTTCCACTCAAATTTGACTTTGCCTGTTGGCGTGAATGCTCTCCGCTATTACGCCATTTCACGTGATCAACACCCCTGCTCGGACTACTACTCTTCGGGATACCCGAAACCGCGATGTGGATTTTGTTTGGAAATTGAATGCTAATGGATCTACAGCAGAGGGTCTTAACGCCATTCCTGATTACCAGCCCGACCTGACCGGCTCAAATGTCCAGGTGCCCATGCACAACGCTCACTTTTCGGCGGTTCCGTCCATTCCTAGTGCGCCTGTGGCTGCAAACCAGGCACACATTCAGCCTGCGCCAATTAACACCGCCCCTAAGGTCGCCCCGGCTCCATCCTCTGTTGCTATGTCGCCTTCCACCCCGGTTGCTGGCATCAAGCGCAAGAACTCAGCAAATTCCACCCAGGAGAGCGCGGATGAGATTAGTCGCCAAATGGCCGAGGAGGACAAGCGCCGCCGTAATACCGCTGCCAGTGCTCGCTTCCGTGTGAAGAAGAAGCAGCGTGAGGCTGCCCTCGAGCAGACCGTCAAGGAGACCACCGATAAGAACGAAATTCTTGAGGCTCGCGTGTCTCAGCTCGAGCTGGAGAACAACTGGCTCCGTGGTCTGATCATGGAGAAGAACGGTGCCGATGAGCAGTCTGAGCAAGACATCTCGGATATGTTTAAGAAGTTCTTGGCCTCACAAAAGCCCGAGGGTTCAAGTATTTCCGACCTGAAGCACGGTGTGGGCACTACTGTATAGAGCATTGCCATAAAAGAAAAAAAAAATCGGCAAAATCATCAAAAAAAAGAAACCCCAGTCTTATTTGATTGCCCTGCTACTCTACTCTGCTGCTTCGGATGGTGACTGTCCTGGGCTTTTTCCTGTTAGCCCCACCTCACTGTCTTTGCTTTCTTGTTTATAGTGTTAATTTCCAGCGATGTTATTTTCTTGGTTTCTAGCAGCCAGAGCTACTGCAGATTTTATAATCTGCAGGTCGAGGGGGTGATGGGGTGATGGGTGGATGAGTGACGATGTATTCACGCAGTTTCAAGTATTTTAAGATGCAATTATTCATAAGTTTCAGCCCAGCCTTACGCCTGTCGAACTTGCGTAGGGTATCAATCACATGTACGGAGTACATACGAGGGATGTACATAGACTTTGTACATCGCACCGAGTAGACCGACATACCTTGGCATGGACGACCGACGTACCGACGGGTCCGCACTGCAAGCTCCACTACACCCGGGCTTTGCAGAATTCGACAAAAGAGGAAGATCACCTATTCCCAACCGCTAGAACTATCAAGAAATGCTAGGATTCCTCAAACGCGCCCTGCGCGAACCACGCACAAATGTGTACGGTCTAGACCATGCCGTCCTCAACATACAGCTCCCACAGCAGAGTATGTGGATGAATATGGGGTACTGGGAGGTAATGCAACTTGAATCAAGACTATCTAAACAATTGTCTTGCGCAAATTACCTTTTTTGAATCCACATTGACCCACCTGCTACTTAGTACACAAATGACTTCCCAGAAGCCTGCCAAGCGCTCCTAGATCAAGTTCTCACGGCTGCGCTGTCAACGGAGAAGGCATCTGCCATAAGAGTCCTGGACGTCGGCTGTGGGTGTGGCGATCAGTCGTTGTACCTGACAGGGATTTTAAATGGCTCTTCTTCTACATCCCAGTCTGGTCCTGGATCTGGGACCGGGAGCGGGACGACAACTTCCTCTATCCCCAGTGCCCATTCAGAAATCCAACCATCAGAGCCAGGCCTGAGGTCTCGCCATAGCAAGACCAAGCTTCAATCTTACTCTTTACTCCACCTGGATTCCTATGTAGGAATTACGCTGGAGCCAGCGCAGGCTGCGCTGGGCTCACGCCGCCTGAACCATGTGCAGCGAGAGAGCGAGAACTTTATCCCAGCAGATATCTTCTGCGCAGATGCCGCAAACCCCAGCTCTTGGACTGGGGAGTTGAAGAAATCAATCACGGCCCTTGAAGACGCGTCAACTAGACAAAATAAAAACGGGGACACATCTACATGGCTACTGGCCCTGGACACAATATACCACTTCCGCCCCTCCCGCCTACCTCTCCTGACATACGCACACAGCACTCTCAATGCCTCATTCATGGCTTTCGACTTGATACTATCCAATAGTATAAACTGGTACGAAAAGATCCTCCTCCGACTCGTGTGCTGGGGCACAAACTCCCCGTTCGGGAATTTCGTTTCAGAGAAGGAATACGTGGAGCTACTTGTTACAGCTGGGTATGATCCTGCTTTTATTGAGCTCCGAGATGTCACGCAGCACGTTTTTGGCGGGTTGGCGGATTTCATTGAACGCAGGGCTGAGGAGGCGAGGCCGTTTGGGATTAAATTGGGCAAGTTTCGTGGAGCGAAGTTTGTTTTTGGGTGGTGGGCTAAGGGGAGGATCGTTAGGGGTGTTGTTGTTGTCGCGAGGAAGAAGTGAGGGTTTGGATGGTCCCGTGGTCTGTCTGTCTTGTGTTGTGTTAGTGTGATATCAGCGTGTGATATCAGCATGCTACATAGGCAGGGAGCAGCATATCATATCTCAACTCAAAATGCGACTTTAGAAAACAGACACGATAGAGTACACTTGCTCGAACAGTTGTTGCACAGCCTGATTTAGGTGATTCTCTGATCCGCGCGGGCTAGCTTTAGCTGCATGCGCTTAAGTATCTCGATAGATTTAGGCCCACAGGTTGAGTGAGAATGTCCAGTCAACACCCCAATCTCCGAGGCGAGAACCTTGGCGTAAGGACTTTGAGGCGGAAACCGAAGCCTAGTCAAGGTGGGTCGGTTCGTTAGGGTGTAATTTGGTGGAAATGAGGAGGTTTTTGCTTGCAATCTAGCTGTTTTAAGCAGATAGACAAATGTACCGACATTGTTGTCTAGGGGAAACCCCGGCCTATAGAAAACCTGACTCATCATGCAGCCTGCCCAGGTGGGCATGCTGACCTGTCAAACCCCTGAGCAAACTTGAGAACATTGAGATCTCGCGACAACACAAATGTTAAGTCCTCTCCTGAGGATGTCGACTCGAGTCCGGTCTCCAATTGTTCGCTTAGCGCCATGGCGCGGTTCGTGTATTTCCCACGCGCGTCGAACGTTGTTGACACCCCAACTGGCCCATGCCAAGCAAGGATCAAAAACGTTCACCAGTCGCTGCCGATCATCGCAAGGTGGGTATGCCTCAAATCTATCGGGTGTGGTCTCCTTCGTCGTAGACTAACTTATCTTACAATGAGACGTGACAACTAATAATAGCTTATTTTCATACTCCTCTGGACGGTTCTTATACAACGAAGCAGTTCGTCTTCAAGAACGACATGTCCTATTCAATGTTGCAGCTCTTAAACATGCAGTCGCAAGCCATTTTAGCCATGGAAAGGTAGCCCAGATTTCTAAGATGAGCGAGGGTGGCTTCAATCGAGTACTCACAGCTACCATGGAGGACGGCTTCTAAGCCATTGTCAAAATCCCATACTGGAGCACAGTGCTAAAGACATACACCACTGCTAGTGAAGTTGCTACTCTCACATTTCTCCGTTCAAAGGATATCCCGGTGCCTAAAGTCTACGGTTGGTCTTTGACACCGGACAATCCAGTCGGCATTGAATATATTGTCATGGAATGTGCATCAGGCATTGCAGCAGCTGAGAGTAACTTGTTTGATATATCAGCGACTAATTGCCAGGCTTTTGTTGAGGATATTGTGGCTATCGATAAGAAGATATCCGATATTCCTTTTGCTTCTTTGGGCAGCCTGTACTTCAAAAGTGATCTTCCCGCTGACCTATAAGGTAAGCTGTACGTGTCAGGTATATCAGACAAAACCAACGACTCTGATATTTATTGTATTGGCTCAATCGCGGTGTATAGGTTTTGGCATGGGCAGCGAGCGGTGCTTGACTTGGACATGTATATCTGTCGAGTAGAGGATGGTGAACTTCTTTTTGGCTTACCTGACACTTTGCCTACGTTTAGGGAGTGATCCGACAAAATACCTGCTTGCTATCGCGCAGAAGGGACTCCAATAGACCGAGAAATTCCGAGAAATTTGGAAAGCCCGTCGAATGGTTCCCTTATAATCTCATGTTTCCAGGTGCTGCCTCGTATCATGATTATCTGGCGCTTCTCCGAAAATACCTCGCAGTGGCTCCTTACCTTCTGCCCAAAGACTTTGGGAATGTGTCAAATCGACCAGCAATACGCCACCCTGGTATCTCATTTTGTGTCACGACTGTTGTATACTGATACTTACGAATGTAGACTTTACACTTGCCAATGTATTCGTCGATCAAAGACACATTTAAGATAACATCCATCATCGACTGGCAGTATGCGGTTATCCTACCATTATCTCTAATTGCTGGACATCCCAAAATGTTCCAACACTCTCCACCAGCCAGTCTGGAGAACCTGGAACCAGGAACTGAACCACCCGAATATGCCCAGATGAACACCCAGGAACAAGCTGAGATCGACTACCACCTTCGAATAAGCAACATATCGTATCGATACCGCGTGTCCAATAGCGCAGTCAACAAATTGCACCTAGGAGCTCTACGCGACTCGCTGGTCTTCTTACGCCAGCGGCGTGTGGAATATTCCGGGCGTCAATGGTTAGGAGACCCCACAACGCTGCGTGGTGCACTGATGTATCTAAATGATATTTGGGATGAAGTTCCTGGCAAAGACGCGTCTCCAGAATCTCCTATTCGATTCTCAGAGGAGGAAGTTCAAGATTATGAGAAAACCAAAGAGTGTTGGGCAACCTCAGGCGCAATCGTCAATTCCTAGCGTGATGAGTTCCAGATTTCAGAAGACGGCTGGGTGCATAAAGACTTGTATGATCATGCCGTTGAGAGAAATAAGCCTGTGGGGTTGGAATTTATGGAAGGTTGTACGGAAGAAGATCTCAAAAAATTTAAACAAGGGTGGCCGTTCCATGATCACGAGGAAGGCTGAAGCATTTTTCATTAGCTCTACTCCGTATATTATACTCCATACGGAGTAGTTATGGAGCATATAGTGGGTGCTATTGTGGACTATGGATGCCCAATCTCCACTCCCCGCCCTGAACGGCATATGGTACGATAGACACCAAGCCAAGTGTACAAATAACAATGTTCTATCATAGGGTATAACGCTCAATTGAGGAATTGTATATCTAGTACACCTGATGTAGTCATCTGGGAAATAATGTCTTAATAACATACTTTGTATGCAAGCCTCCCGCGTGGCGGCCTGATTCATCATGACGTAGAAGGTGGCACTATAGGTATCCCGAGGTCCGCGGGTGTTATATGGTAGCGACATTAGTTCAGTGATTTCAAAGAAAAAGGGATATATGACTACTTGCCCATATTACCAATCCATATAAATCATAATCCCGACATATATTATTCTCTAATCAGTTGCTTAGGAAGTTCTAGTGGTCAGTTCCGTTTTATCCGGCAACTCGGCAGTTTACTCAACAATGCAGCCGCTAAGTGGTGGGTCTAGATGATCATAGTTGCATTCGGCGCTCCTCTTTTTTTTTTTGATCAAAGTTTTTATAAACAAATTGCCCGCGCTTTGGATGGCCAAAAAAAGCCTTTTCTCTACATATTCCAGGCACCGTGTACCTTCCAAGATCACTATTTATCCCACTGTCCCAACGTGGTGAAGAAAAGACCTGCAGCCAAGAGGATCTGCGAGATCGGCCAGATTATAATCCCTGAATCAGTAAAGCGGTCGCCATTGGCAATATGGCCGATCAGCTGCCTGAGGCCGAATCGTATCTATCGAGCGAAAAGCCACGGAATTCAGCTGAGCTAGAGAGAGCTGATACGGCAGGCTCTATCGGATCATCGACTGGCTCGAGTATCTATGATCCGCAGTTGCATAGACTGCAATCGCGGAACACAGAGTTGGACTTGGAACGTCATCGGACGGGAGTATCGCGAGCTCTGAGCAGGACTGAGACGCAACGCGCCCAACATGCCCTTACCGTGGGCTCGAGTCTTCAGTCGCGACCGTCGCGAACTCCATTGCCAGCTTTTGGTGGAGGCAAGCCCTATCCTCCACATCTCCCTGCACGGGAGGATTACGTTGTGGAGTTCGATGGGCCAGATGACCCTTTATACCCACTGAACTGGACTTTGAAAAGGAAGTGAGTCGTTTTACCAGGAATATCCATATCGTATTGCGCATTTGATGCGCAGCTTTCATCCTCCAATACTAATTAATATCCCTAATCCAGATCATACATTACTGCCATGCTCGCTTTCACCAGTATTTGCTCCACCTTCGATTCCGCCATTTTCAGTGCTTCGTCTACCAGTGTGTCCCATCATTTCAGTGTCGGGCTCGAAGTCGCCGCCCTCTCCAGCTCTCTATATATCATCGGCTATGCTTCAGGTCCCTTGATATGGGCTCCCCTGTCCGAACTCCAGGGCCGTCGTCTCCCCATTGTTATCGCCATGTTCGGATTTAGCGTCTTCAACATCGCAGTGGCAGTCGCAAAAGACTTGCAAACACTCATGATTTCCCGGTTCTTTTGTGGTATCTTCGGCAGTTGTCCTTTGGCAGTTGTGGCTGCTATTTTCTCTGATATCTGGGACAACCGCACCCGTGGTATTGCCATTGCTATATTCGCCTCGACGGTGTTCCTAGGCCCTCTCCTGGCACCTTTCATCGGAGGATTCATTAATATGTCCTATCTCGGCTGGCGCTGGACCGCCTACCTCCCCGCGATTATGGGCTTCGCCGCTTTCATCCTGAATCTTTTCTTCCTGCAGGAATCATATCCGCCTGTTGTCCTTGTGGCTAAGGCTGCGGAGCTGCGTCGCCGGACTAAGAACTGGGGAATCCATGCGAAGCAAGAAGAAATCGAGGTCGATTTTCGAGAGCTGATTGTAAACAATTTCTCACGCCCGCTTCGACTGCTGTTTAACGAACCGTTGATCCTAGCCGTCACCCTCTACCTGAGTTTTATCTACGGATTGCTCTATTGCTTCTTGACCGCCTACACTCTAGTCTTCCAGGGTGTTTACGGTATGAACGCTGGTGTCGGGGGTCTCCCACTCTTCGGCATGGTGGCGGGTCTTTTCGTCGCCACGTCTTACATGCTTATCTCTAGCAAGGCCTACAATAAAAAGCTCGACCAGAATGGTGGTGTCCCTATCCCCGAGTGGCGTCTCCCGCCCGTTATGGTTGGCGGTGCTCTCTTCGCTGCTGGGCTCTTTTGGTTCGGATGGACTGGCTTCAGTGGTACCGTCCACTGGATTGTGCCCACCTTGAGTGGCCTATTTACTGGATTTGGCCTTCTGGTAATCTTCATTCAATTGTTCAACTATCTGATTGACACATATCTTATGTTGTATGTTATAATTTCCACGCCTCGGACTGTTTATAGGCTTATCTAACATACTATCTATAGCGCCGCATCAGCTATCGCAGCAAACACATTCTGCCGCTCAATGGTGGCAGCCAGCTTCCCGCTTTTCTCACGCCAGATGTTCAACGGAATGGGTATCCAGTGGGCTTCTACGCTTCTCGGTTGCGTCGCAGCCGTCCTTGTTCCGATTCCCATTGCATTCTACTTCTTCGGCAGGAGAATGAGGATGAAGAGCAAATTCGCACCATTTTATGAAGCTGTCCAGGAAGGACACGCCGCTGAGGAAGCTGAAGAGCAGGCGGAGGAAGCTGTGCACGAGAGATGAACGTATAATGGCTTCGTTCTTGTACATGATCATATTCCCATTAGGGAGACGTAATAATTAAAAGTTAATATTTTAGCGGCCATATTTCTGCATCTCTTAATGAAACAAATTTGATTCAAATGTATTTTATTCTAAGCATGGTAGTAGCTGGAATGGGAAGTGTTCTATAGGTATTTCCAACTCAGAGATATCAGGGTCACTATGCCATTGTTTGTATGGAGTGAAGAGCACTTCATCCTGCCAAGCACGCCATGGAATCGAGTTACTATGCCTTCCTCCACCCTTATCTTTTCTGTAGTTGACGGTCATTGTTCATTTTGACAATAGATTGTTACGCAAGGTGAATATTTTCTTAGCCGAGGATCAAAAACGCTAGTATAGTTCCCATTGAGGGCGGCTACAACTGTATTATATATATAGCAACAACACTTAAGTATGAGATTTGTCTTTGAGACATTGAGCTTAAGTATTGAGGAGTACGCTCCTATATTTAGACAAACTGCTAGGTTATAAAGCTAGTCCTGGATCCAACTGAACTTGATCGGACTATTAGTGGTAGCCAACAAGTAACACGAAACTCTGCCAACGGTAGGTTCGGTCTTTAACTCATGTCAGACAACATGTGATATTTGACATGCATCAGGTTCTGGCTTGATTCTAGAAGCATTTGGCAAAGATATATCCGTTGAGGATGGCTATCAAATATACAAAATGTATATTATAAAAAAGAAGAGAGTCTCACTCGTTCAGGTCAACGCTAATTCTACCTAAACCAATTTTTTTACATGCAAATCGTGTATTTAGAAGTTCGCGAGACGCAGAGATAGCTTAAGAGATAATGACGATCGTGGTGTTGAATCAAGTAACACACGTAGCAAAAGGCCCCTGGTTGTAGCTTCTAGTACTTTAGGCCCCATTGCAACCGGAGCGCAATGCTTTATTGCATGTCAATTGCGTGATATAAGACCTATCACTATCATAACCTCTATCTCTTCTATATTGTCGACTATCAGTAGATGTCGCCCTCTGTACCGATGCTAGCCTTTCTTCTTTTAGGTTTGAGCCTCATTGCTTTCTGTAGGTATCATATATATACATATTAGGTTCTAACTTTCGACCAGGGGCCCTCGGCTCTTTCTACGACCAGGTCAAGGCCAACCCCGTGAACGCAACTAATGCCACCTCTCTTGATATACACAGTCCACGGGAAAATGATACCTATTGTGTCCCATGGATTCCAAATGTGAGTTTGATCATCCGCAAAGTTTAGCCATATACAAATAAGCACAGCAATGATTGACGAAATGTGCACCGTACAAAAATAGTGCGCACAAGGACTACAATGCTGTTTCTTCGTATGTACGGACACAACATCGGACTCGAAAAGTTGTGGAGCTTGCGGTGCCTTGGTAAGTTCTGATTGCATTGTAGTTCTCTCTAGACACCGAAATTTCTCATATATCTTGTTATCTATAGTGTGTCCTCGGCTCACCACCAGTCTGTTGCGACGGAGTATGCACGGATGTGAGCTCAAGTCTTGATAATTGTGGAGGGTGTGATACACCGACAGTAAGTATAACATCAAATTCTATTTCGGCTACTCTAAAATAATTCGCTCACGCCATACTTTCAACTAGTGCACTGGAGCTGAACCCGCCTGTTGTTCTGGTGTGTGCACAGATCTCAATAGTAACCTCGCAAGCTGTGGTGCATGCAACCAAACTGTGAGTAAAGTCCTGTCTTGACTGGAGTATATTGCTAGCACAATATCGAAAGTCTATCTGCTAAGATGAATCTTACTTGACAGTGCACCGGCCAAGCCCCAGCCTGCTGCTCAGGCTCCTGTTTCGATCTTGCCGTTGATCCCCGGCACTGTGGTTCTTGCAATGCATTCCCCTGTCTTGGACTGCAGACTGGCTGCTGTGCGGGTCACTGTACAGACTTCGCGACCTCAACTACCAACTGCGGCTCATGTGGTAATACGGTAAACCAGAGCCATTTTGATCCCCTTGCTCTACTAAACGGTTCACCTAACAATACCCTTTTTAGTGTGGCGGAAATACGTCAGCTTGCTGCTCTGGAACTTGTACAGACCTGAGTAGTGACCCTCTACACTGCGGCTCTTGCAACGCCTTCCCTTGTGGTGGCCTTAACGCTGCCTGTTGCTCGGGGAGGTGCACTGATGTTTCCTCAGATCTCAATAATTGTGGAGTTTGCAATCGCACTGTGAGTCAATCATTGCCATACTCCAGAAGAATATCACAGCCTACGTGGACTATGGTAGCCTTGCTTATACGATACCATGAAATAGTGCAGGGGTGCACACCCTGAATGTTGCAGTGGATCTTGTGCAGATCTACACTCCGATCCGAACCATTGCGGTTCCTGTTCAGCTTTACCATGCGTCGGACTCCAGCCAGCCTGCTGCTCTGGCCAATGCACCGACCTAACTACTAGTTTAATTCACTGTGGGGCATGCAATAAAGCGGTAAGATTCCCTCGTTCTCGTTCTCGTTCTAAATAAGCCAGTCTACGGTTAGGCGACAATATTAACAATCCCAAAGTGCCAATCCAACCAACCAACCTGCTGCGGGGGTACATGCGTCAATACCCTCACAGACCCCAACCACTGCGGCGGATGCTCGATCCAATGCCGCGGCGCCACCCCAGCCTGCTGCAATGGGGTATGCATAGATCTTAGCACAGATCTCGCGCACTGTGGTAGCTGCACGGCTTCCCCGTGCCTGGGCTCTAGGCCAGCATGTTGCTCTGGTGTCTGTACAGATCTGGCGACTGATTTTGACCACTGTGGATCTTGTGCGGGGAGTCCGTGTACTGGAATTGATCCGGATTGCTGCTCGGGGAAATGTGTAGATCTTAATTCTGACCCTAACCACTGCGATTCTTGCTCGGCTTCGCCGTGCGGTGGAACACAGCCTGGTTGTTGCCTTGGGCAGTGTACAGATCTATCTACTGATTGGCAACATTGTGGGTCTTGCAGTGTTCCGCCGTGTACTGGACTGCTGCCGGCTTGCTGTGGTGGGATGTGTACCGATCTGTCGAAAGACGTGAAGAATTGCGGATCGTGTAGTACAGCTGTATGTGCTCCCCCTTCTTCTTATCGGATCCTTTCTATTAAGACGTTGGATGGACATACTAAGTGGTATTTCCTTTGACAGTGCGAATTCGGACCGGGAGGTGGAGGCTGCGTTGGAGGCACTTGCATCAGTTGCTCTACGAGTCAGCCTTTCTGTCAACCGTCGAACAAATGTGTAAGTTGATAGATTGTACCCTTGTAAGATTCTTAACTCATCCCCAAAACAAGTGCCCGGATGGCTTCAAGTGTATCACCAATGGTCCTCTGCCTGGATGCTGTGGACCATTGAATACTTGTCCGCCATCATCCAATCATCTCGGTGATTCCATATGTGTAAGTGACGTTCTAAATTTGCCCAATTTGGCTTTCTGACTGGGATTAAACAGTGTCCATTGCCATGCACTCTTATTTTCGAGCATTTGATTTGTGTGGGATTCTAATATGAATACTGTGGCGAGTTCGATGTGGAAAGAGACAGCGAGAAAAAGCGGATATGAATAGATGGCCTGTGGACCACAGACTATAGCATATTAGTATATCGTGGGCCAAGTCAGATGTTCATAATGCGTTTGTTCACATTGTATATTCTATGTATAATGCGTCCACTGGTATATATTAGCATTGATAAATGCCCGAAACGAATGTGCACATGAAAAATCTCGTTATGTTCTTAATGAGTCGTTATAAAGAAGCCTCTTTCATCCAAGGCACCTCCACATCAAGAGCGTTTGCCACCCTCGTCGCGGAAGAAAGACACCCCTCAAGCAGTACCATCCCGTCCCAGCACCAGCCACCAACGAGCCAGACATTTCCATCTCCATTGCGCCAGAGCTGGCTCTTCTCATCCCCAGACCTCTTCTGGCTGAAAATCTGGTTGACAACTTGTCTGCTGGTGGTCGATCGCAAAACACGGGTGAAACTAGCAGTGTGCAAGACTTTCTCAGGGTCAATCGGGGCAATAGGATAAGTCGTAATAAGAGCAGATGACGGATGTTCGTGGACCGTCTCTGTCGCCGTATCGTTTGAGCACATATGAAGTGGGTGAGGTGCTGATTGGCCAGGACCCAAGGACACTTGCGCCCAGAGGGATTTGCTAGAATCCAGAATCCGGGAAAAGTCGCGGTGCACAACAGATTGAACGGTCGTTGTGGGAATGGACTTCATTGCGCTTTGAAGAGGTTGGAAAATTGCGCCAACAACGTCAGGTGTCACAGCGAGAACGACATGGTCAAATAGTCGTGAGCTACTCTGGCCATCACGGGTATCTGTCCAGCTCACTTGAACTTTTGTGCCGATGTTCTCGACCGCTGTGACCTTCGTGCCAAGTTTATACGTCAAGCCTTCGGAGAGCTTTTTCTCGACATGCTGGACTCCATCAAGAACAGTGTAATGGTTCTTACGGAATGTTCGTCTCCCGTAATTGACTAGGTCCAGAGCCGGAGAATCCATCAGCGCGTCGTGTGAGCAAGTCGCAACGCTCGCAAAGACCGGCACGAAGTAGTGCTTCACGTAGTAACTAGGCAACATAATCCTCTCCACGTATTCGCGTAGCGATTCCTCCGTGCCACATGACTCTAGCGTTTTGGGCGCTACAAAGAAGCAGCAGACCTTGAACCAATAATAGCATATTGCCAGGTAGCACACCTCGATCAGCCACCCGGTCCATGATAAGCTTTCCGGGCGCAGGGGAGGTAATTGGTGGTTATTGGAGGAATGCATGTAGTATGGGGAGGTTTGTTTGGTGGCGTTGTCCGGTAAGATCGACAGAGAGTAAATAAACCGGAGCGAGCCATATGGGATGCTGAAATAATCGTACATTCGCTTCAGACTTTCGTAGTATCCATCGGCGAATGAACGCATAGGAAGATCGAGGCGTTCGGGCTTTGCATCTCCGCCACTTTGGTCTGTAAGGGTGTATGATGCGGAATCGAGAGAAAGTTTGTCTTGCTGCGTGTTTTTGTTGGGATTAGCTTTAGTTCGCACATACAGTGTCGCTAGAGAGAAAATTTTACCTTTTCAAATACTTCCACGTTGAATCTCCCTTGAAGATCATTCCTGAGCATGTATGCGACCACTAATCCAGCCATGCCCGTGCCAATTACGGCAGCATTTTTTCGTGGTTCGTTCGTCCCCATTGTAAAAGAGAGAGATGTTGATTGACGGTGTCGGGAGAAGGAGAGTTTATGTGGTCATTCCATTTCTGGGGTTGAGAGAGAACTTTGGAGATTTAGACAAGAATTCACTTAAATCAAAAACTGGCCATGGACTTCTGCAACTTTCAACATTTCTAGCCTTGGCCTTAAGAGAAACTTAAATTTTTGCCCCACATTTTTGTCAGCAAGATCCCATAGCCTCGGTCTGATGCCTTGTGCACTCATATTTCCCCATAATTTGTATAATGCATGTTATGTACACATATGGGCAGATGATAGGGCAACTGTGTTGATGAGTAGGACCCTTACACATCCTAGTGAGACCTTCACACCCTAGAGAAGAGCTTTGTACACCATATAGATGTAAGTATATTGATCTACCCATGCCGGATAGCAAGTTGGCTACAGAGTAGTTGAACACGTATTTGGACTGTGAAATATTCTCCTGTCTTATTTGCTTTCGAGAGGATTGGTCTTCATATTGAAATCTTAGGGTTGAAAATAAATATAAATGCGATGTATGTAGTTAGTTACTCCGGAGGTAAGATTAAAGCATGTGAACAAAGAGACGGAAGAGGTCAGGTGACCTCTCAACACATGGATTTGACATGGATGGCTCCAGGGATCCATGGATCAACGCTCGGATGACATGAGCAGGCTGATCTCAACCTTGGAATCCTTATCAACTTATCAGCACGTGCATGTTTGTTGACGGTTGATTTTGTGATTTGGAGATGAGAAGAACTTGCACAAGCACGGGAAACAGATGAAGATGTTGATCTGAGGGCATGCATCTGCCATTGATATAAGACACTCTGCAACATCCCCCGGTATTGTGCTAATAGCTTGTCAACTGCGGCCATGGCGCGTCCTAAAACAGTTCGCGCCCCGACAACAGCCAGTCTCCCAAATAACCTCCGCATTCCCTCATCGACTCCGTCCCTTACAAAATCTCTGGGAAAGCTATCCAGACAAGCACTACTGGACCTGGCATTTACATGGCTTGATAATCGCAACATCGCCTCATTCCCACCCTACCTACAGACCGACGAACAAGATGGCCCCGACGATGACGAAGCCCTCGCGTACCCCGCGGAGAAGACAATTGAAGAAGTTCGCCAGGTATATGAAGACCTACAGGACCGAAAAGGTGCAAAGCGCGAAGTTCTCGAACGAATCTTGGAAGGCGATTGGCGACACGGAATCACACTGCGCCAGTTGGCCATGGCAGATCTCCGCTATATGGACGACCACCCCGCCAGCCTTCGATGGACTGCACTTGAGCTCAGTCGCATTGATACAAAGCGCAAGAAATCCAAGGAACTACCACCGACCGACTGGTCCAGTTCTGTCCCGCGCATGCAAGCGGCAACATTTGTGCAAGCCCTCCAACGAGAAATCTCCCCGTTGGTCAAGGCCCACTACCACCTCGCCCACTCGGCAACACTGCCACTGACATTCCTACGCATCTTTGTCGTCGACTCGCCATATCAATCTCCTAGGCAGGCAGCCGAGATCTTCACTGACTCGTCCCGAGTCATCTACGTCGCGTTCCCGGATAGTTGCCCTTACGTCTACACTTCCATAGCAGCATCCACTGGGTCAAAATCTACTCCTTCGACAAGCTCAGTAGCCACTGATACTCGGACTCTTCAGCGTCTGGTGCGCGATTCCATTCCTAAAGCTTTATCACGCCCACAGGAACGATTCTCTCTGCATGCGACATCCCTAGCAGCAAAGAATCTGCCTACACTCCTAACCCTCCGCGGACCGGGACGATCAACTGGATCAAATGGTGCCTTCAGCATATTTGCAGACGCAGCCATCGAAGGAAGTCCATTGGACCCTCGACCCTCCAATACAGTCTCACCTGAGGAGCATATCCAGGCGAGTCATTCTGGCCCGGCAGATGGCAAAGAAAACACAAATGGCTCAGCGGCCAAACGAAAATCCAGCGGTATGGATACAGGTCCCCTTTCTCCAGACTCGAAGAAACGCCGTCTGGCCATCCACTCCAGATTCGGAACATTGGGGTCATCACTCGCCCCGGCACCGCTAGACCGTCTTGATATCAGACTCCTTGATAAACTGGGCTCCAGTGAGGAGCAGGATGATGACGTTGATGATTCTTCCTCTACGCTACCTGCCGTGTCACTCACTTTCGCTGGATCCGACGTTATCGGCGGGATTCGCAAACTTGCTGAGCTAGGCATCGTTGACCCTGAGCGTATGCCGTCGTGGATGACTGGCGAAGGAGGCGTTAGTGTCGCAACTGTTCGAATGGGTCAACGACTCCAAAGGGATATATAGAAGCATATGTATTTGGTGTTCTTGGATTTTGGGGAGTTGAGAAGCTTGGTGCTTTTTTGTTTCTTGGGCCGTTGGGGCTTGATGTGATACCCGGACTTGAGTTGAATGAATCATTTATGTTGCTTTTTTGTCATATTTGGCGTTTACCAGTAAGAGTAAACCTTGGAAGATGTCTTGGTCGAGTGTAGTACCAAGGGAATGTAGTCTACACTACTCGACATTGAAGATTGTAAAAACATTTTCAAATTCATTTGGGAGTATCCAGCATAATAAGTCCACCCCATCCCAGCACCAAACTCCACATTTTCAAATTAGCCACGTCATCTAGGAATATTTGTCGTGCACGTTGACCTATCCTCTGGGCTAGAGCACCCGCTTCAGACGGCCTCTCCGGTGAGATAAGTGTCTCATTCATCGCTTTTCCATGAGGCTTTGCTATATGAGGGTAGCTGTTAGATTTCAAGTTCATGTTAGAACTCGGGCAAGTTGACATCACTTACCAGAAGAGACAACGGACAACATCCTTAGCCCCAAGCGCAGTGGCCTTCCAATTCTTAAAGCAAGCCTCATGAACATGGTTGTCGCATACCTGACAACACATAGTTTCTTGGTTGCTGTTGAAGTCATTGAAGCAAATTGGGCATTCACCCTCGATAGGCTTGCTTCTACCGGTGGAAATAATGCCAGAAGTTTCCACGATTCGATCCAAGGACGATGAAGCAATCATCTCGCGTAGTTCCTTAATAAAGTGCAATTGGGTCAGGTATATGTATAGACAAAGTGATGCTTGATTGGGGCTTGCAATACTCACGGATGGCAAAAATGACCGCTGGTACCTCAGTTTCCCAGGGACATCCATCGCCGATAGGACTTGACAATGCATCAGCGTAAGAAGGACATAGAGTGATAGTTTGGCGATACAGAACAGAGTATGTATCTACTGGGCTAGGTTGAGACTTACCAAAGCAGATGTGCTTACACTGCGCCTTCCGGAACCTGTAGTCAGGACACTCACATCTAGGGACTTTGCCAATGACCGTCTTGTAGATACTGCCAGTAGATCCAACAACATCAAATGAGATCTCCGGGACATCCTTGGTTCCGCCGATATCGTGTGAAATGATATTCATGCTAAAAGCAAGATTAGCCAACCAAAGCATGCCAGGTTCGTTGATATTTACTCGCATTTGCTTTTCATTGCGTGAGTCTCTTAGCAAAAACTCTTTGGTAGGCGTTTCTACCCATGGAAGCGCGCGTTTCGTAGACACGAGTACCTCGGAAGCATTGAGCGGAGTGCGCTGTGCAACTTGGGTTGGGTTCTTGGTCTTGAGCTTCCTGGCAGGAGTAGCAGGCTGGACCTTGGGGTCGACATTGGGTTTGGAATCATCAAGGCTTGATGGTATCCCGGGAGGAGAGGAAGACTTCATCTCTTGCATATTGGTAGCAAAGTTCGGACGTGGGTGCTTCGTGAGACTACGAGAAGACAGTATCTTTAGGAAAGACAGGGATCATGGAAGAGGTTTTATATTGATGGTATAACAAAGAAAGACTGGGTACGTTGTATGTACGATGGCAAGCAAGATTCAGAGAGGGACGACCACTTGTGAAATGTTATATGACTTTGCATGGAGTCTCAGGGAGATGTTAGTAAGTCATCCATGTTCTAGATATGTTTCACAGTTTTACTGTTAAATTTGGTCAAAATGGTCTATACAGGGAGATAGAGTCGAGATATGAGTTTTTTGGTAACATGTGTAAATTAGGATTATATACATACTGCTGCAAATACTCAGCCCTAAAAGATCCAAGCTCCTTCCCTATTGCGTAGTGTCTCTACTCATTTCCCCAGGAAGCCACTATACTCTGTCAATAAAATTTCTGCACGTGAACATACTCAACTACCTATCTAGGCATTGTAGTAAGGTTTTACAACAATTGTACGCATGTGGGCATGTCTGGTCAGGCAGTCAGAAGAGATTAACCTTGAAGTCACACTCTTTGGGAAAGAGCGGTTGTTTGCACTGTTTGTTTGGGGAGCTTCCCTATCGCTATCAGTTCGTGGAGAACTGTGGACTGTCCCTCTTCATTGACAAGATGACGCTATACTGCAAAGCCTAGGATTATAGTTGAATCTTCACTTCATTCTCAATTTTCCTCACTAGAACCGACATCAAAACCTATTCTCGATGTCACGTCCGCGGGCTCTGTCGGGCGCTGAAGCCCCAAAGGAACCACATGCGGTCTCTCTGAAAGGTATGTGAATACAACCCATAGTTGAACCAGCAAGCTAATTGTGAATTGATTAGTGTTACGGTAATTCCAATTATCTATAGATCCACATTAATGGCAGCTTCTGACTCTTAATACGCAGCCTTGCGCGGCCGTCACTTTCTTATCAGTACCCCCTCCCGACGTCTAACACCATAATATCCACGAAAGCCTCACTAAGCTATCCATCTGGTGACTCCGACGATCAATTCATTTTAGCACCCCTTGTGAGATGAAGATAACCTCCCCCCCCTGGGGAAGCCATTCACTAACAGCAATAGCTTACTCTACCTCCCACCTTCGGATCCGTCTACGTCGGAGAAACCTTCGGATGCACACTCAGCGCGAACAATGAGATCAATGATAATGACAATGAAAGAGTCCTCACGTCAGTACGCATAGTAGCGGAAATGCAGACACCTTCGTCAGTCGCTGCACTGGACCTGGAGCCGCCCAGCGACTCTGCATCAACAGACGGCCTCAAGATCGGCGAGTCATTACAAAAGATTGTACGGTTTGATTTGAAGGAGGAAGGAAATCACATACTAGCTGTCAGTGTCAGCTATACGGAGACAAGGATCGGCTCAGACTCTCAGGCAGCTAGTGGCCGGGTCAGGACCTTCCGCAAGTTATACCAGTTTGTGGCACAGCCCTGTTTGAGCGTTCGGACCAAGGCGTCCGAACTTCCACCGCTCGAGGTAGATAATAAGTCACTCGGTCCGTACGGGAAGAAGAGGTTACTCCGGTTTGCCCTGGAGGCACAACTGGAAAACGTGGGCGAGGGTGCAGTGGTAGTCAAGGTATGAATTTCCTACCGATCCCCTAGCGAATGAGTGGATTTTCTACAGCGAAGCGCGGCTGTACCTGAAAATCGGGCGGGGCGAGAATGCTCAATAATTTGGCTAACGTCGGGGGATGGACAGCAAACGAAACTAAATCCCAAGCCACCGTTCCAATCAAAATCGCTAAATTGGGACACGATGAGCCCGGACATGTCACCGGTGGAATTACCCACACTCAATCCACGGGATGTCCTACAGGTAGCATTCTTGGTGGAACAAGAAGATGGCCAGAACGAGGGACTTGAAGCTCTTCAGAAGGATCTGCGGCGGGACGGTCGTGCCACGCTGGGTCAGTTGTCAATTGAATGGCGTGGTGCCATGGGGGACAAGGGGTTCCTGACAACGGGTAACCTGATGAGCCGGAAACGCACCTGAAACGCGGCGTGCAACCAACTTACCGGATCGCTTCCGCTACTGTATCACGATATGGACGCCGAGTTGTATCGGTGCACCCAGCCGCCAGGTTGCATGGAGGTCGCCGCAAGGGCGGTTTGCACGCATTTCCAATGGCCCAATTACACAATATTACCATTGGCATTGGCAGCAGCATCCTGAATTTGGGGGAATGTGTACAGTGTAATGTCCTGGGCCTTGAATATACCCACACGATCTATGTAGGCGCGACTGAGTACGGAGTACTGCCTGAGGCTCTGGAATAAACCCCGATGTATTGACCAAGCTCCCTGGCGTCACTAGCACGGGGCGGAAACCAGCCTTGCCATGCAGCCGACGCTTAATTTCTGTTGTACGGCAGTTGCTTCTCGGTAAGGAAGGACCGGGGCTGGATATTGGCACGTCTTGGCTGGGGATTTGCTCCCGATAGGGCTTGCACAAAAGAGAGGAAAGATACGGGAATTAATCCTTGGCCCAAGGCCACGTATTCTCCGGGATGCCACATATAGAAATGATATTTTGGGTATACATGTACATATGTAATAGTCTCTTAGAGTCCAGATTCGATGTTATGGAGTTATATAGAATGGAAGAGTCTAGACTTTGGCTGATCAATGGGGTTCCGATTCCAATATCATTATCTATCTATGTTGCATGTCTCACACACCGACTTCTATTTTTATACCGATCTTGTATTGCATAATTGGTTTTTTTGTTCTTTTTGTTTGCGAAGATATGGAGTTTGGACGAATCTCGCATCTGCTCCACCGCCTCTTCTCCCCAACATCAAACAGACTGTTGTATGGAGTGGAGTATTATGCATGTACTAATGTCCATCGACGGGGAGAGAGTCGGAATAACCTTGCCCAAAATGCTGGGATGCGACCGGTCGAAAAGGGCTATCGGTGCAGGGGAGGGCCCCTGTATCCCATGTAACGCGGGTATCAACTCTCAGGGCATTAAATACATATGTAGATATTTAGGTACACTATTGTATACTTCGTACTTCGTACAGTACTCCCTAAGTATATTGGACTTATATTTACGCCGTATGGTCCACAGGTGATAGATAGCTAGTTAGAGATATAGTATAGATTCTTGGCGGATCCAAGAAAATACTGACATTGGAACGAACTGTGGGATTTCCCTAAATAATCAGATTCATTTTATGAAAATAAAAGTCAATACCGAAAACTGTGGAAACCGATACACCCTCTGGGCACTTAATGCTTTCACCCCTCGGTGCTCCACATCGTCCAACTGTAGTATCGATCGTCTCTCTGGGGACAAGCCACTCCACTTGCCCTCCTGGCTCGAAATATCTACTCCGTACTTTGTACATTACTATGTCGTGCACAAAATCCCAGAAAAAGATGAAGAATGTATTTGTAAGAAAAGGGGGAGAAAAAAACAAAAGAAAAGCCGTTGAGGAGACTCCGCAATCTTAAAAAAAGAAGATTCCCACGAGGTACTCAATAGGTGCTCCATACAAACTCCCAAGACCTCGGTAGTTCCTAAGTTTTACCCCCTGAAAGTGCCAACAGTTCTTAAAAGTCAGATTTGACTAAAAAACAAAAAGAAGGACATTGTGGCGCTGTACTAAGCTAGACCGTAAAACCCCTTAAGAAGGACCCTTTATATAAAATTAGCCCAGTTAAGTGTTATTCTATATAAGTTGACGAACCTCGTTAAAAAAAAGATCAGCCAAGACCCGCTTACATTACTGAAGCCATGGAACACGGGCCCTCCCCCCTGGAGGCTGATACAATATTTCCAGCTTATTGCTTTTGCTGTATTGCTTTATTGCTATTTCTAACCTTCCAAGTTTTTGTTCCTCTATGATATATCATTTTGAAAAAAAAAGGGGAATACATATAGACTACTCTGTATTCCCTACAGAGTATATGGCAGTTGATATAGACATATTATAGCCTGTATTATGGGTATACCCCGAAAGTCTGGATCCCTTTAGAGTCCAGCCACACTGCACATTGCCTGCAGGTCGCTACGGTGTCAAGACTCTTATGCATGGATACTAGGGCTGCCCTAGGGCCTTGACTGGCTATGTTTGAATTGAGTTGGAACTCTTACCATTTTTATATAGTGGAGTACGGGACGCACATTTAAATGTCCTCTCTCCTAGTTTACCACACGTCTACGCAACCACCCGCAGTTCTAGGGGAAAAAAGAAAATAAAGAAAAAAACAAGGAACAAAAAGGAACATTGGAAATATTATAGCAGGCAGGAAAATACGTAGAAATAATAGAAATAATACCTAAGAATACATATACACAAATATATATAAAAAAAGATAACCAAACTCCTTTTTTAATACACCGTTAGACCTTCAAACCACCCGCGAAATCGATCTTCACTTTGAACTGCCCCTCCCTCCCGTTCTCCCCCATTTTTCCAGCTTCCCCCTCTCCGAAAACTACATGCGCCTAATTCCCCTGCGCATTCCCTTTCCTGGAAATATTGCGATCCATGTTGTGGCAATCAAGATATTAACCCGCTACAGTCCCCCGCGACTTTCTCCACAATGCCATCGTCAAGCACCACGGAGGGCGCCCCCCTCGCCGATTACTTCTGGATAGCTGGTGTGGACGGTACAGAGATCTTGGAAACTTTCCAGAGATTGGGAGAAGATTACCGTGCCAATGGAGACCTATCCCCAGGCCCTGCGCTCGCAGATACTATTCAGGAGGACGCAGATGCGGAGGAGGAACACAACTCAGATGGTCTCACCCGGCCAAGCTCGACGCTTTTCGTCGGCGCCAGTCAAAGAGGTTCTGCCCACCGACTATCCACACTCTCTAGGAGCTCGGAGGGAACAAATGGTACTGGCAGTAACAGTAACCGGAGCAGCATGACCGTCAAGGGTGCCTCGTCTCCCCTGCGTGCGTCAGCTCTGTTCTCTGAGGACTTCGACTTCGATTCCGCGCTGTACAAGTTCGCCAACGAGCGAGAATCATTTTTAAGTGACTTGAGCTTGAGCGCTGGCGCTATTACCCCTAACACCCGCCCGCGATCCAGGGTTCGCACGCAGAAGATCGTCGCCGACGATTCGCCCGCGCCTAGCGGTAACCTGCTGAGGTCGGGTATTGGGAGCGTGCGACGACACATGTCCTTTCGAGATATGAATAGTATGAAGCGTCAGCCGTCAGTTGCTCGCCAATGTGAGGACCCTCCTTTGACGTTATTTTCGCTTCACCCTGGAACGGGATCGTACTCGGCAACTTTTGTGGATGCACTGGCTAACAATGCATTGGCTCCAGCTTCGGTGCGAACTTCTAGGCGACTTAGCAACTACAATTCCGTGATTCCTGCCCCGCAACCCCTCGAGATCCCCCCCCACAATGCACCCGTTGAAACGACGATTCGAGCCCGTTCTCCTCGACCGATACCCCACACGCGTCATGTCAGACGAGATGAAGCAGCGCGGCAATTTCCCCGACTACGTTCCTATGTTCGCATTTCCTAATGACGTCAACATCGTCTCCTCCGACCAGCAACCGCGCTCTACCTGGCATGGATTCGCCATGACAACGGACAATGGTTCTAGGCTGCACGCCATCTGTGTGATCATCTGGATACCTCTCAACGCAAATGCCGCGGAGGAGCTCGAAAAACGCTGCGAGGAATGGCGAAGGGACAATATGACAGACGAAGAACGTGAACTGGCTGCAAGCTTGGGCGAACGACTGGCATCGGAGCGAGCCAAATTATCCCGGCTTCTAGCCCAGTTGCCGACCGTTCCGTCAGGATCTGAATCCCGCGAACAACTTGAAGATGAGATCAGCACTGTGGAGGAAAAGATTGGGTTAATGACTGATCTCCTCCGTCCGGTGCGACATGGCGCAGCCTCCAAGATCGAGGGTCTGACCGATGGTGATACTGGGTTCTGGATTCCCCGTGCATACGGTATCTTGGGCCGAGAGAGCACAATGACGAGCTTCTGGAAGGAATGGCTCAAGGCTATCGTGGTGTCCATGACGGAGGGCAGCGTGCGGCATGTGCCTGCGGCCTCGCCGCGCATGGGGGTATGGCAGCCGCTGGAGCGATATGTTATGAATCTCTGTACAGAAGCGTTCTGTCCAATATCCTCGAAGACTCAGGTCGAGCTCGCCATCCGTGAGCTGCGGTTATTCGCACGCAAAGAGGCGCCTAATGAGATTCCTGGTTCTCGGAATGTATGTGCACCACGATCTTGGTTGGGTTCTCTGTTGAAACGAAACTTTTGCTGACTGATTTTCAGACTGATCTCTATGCCTTATTCCGAACGTTGTCGGTTCCTAATATTATCATTCTCTTCGAGGTAGGCTTGATTTGTCAGTTCAGTTGAAAAAAGAGACAATGCTAACCACACATAGTACGCTCTTTCTGAATCTCGTATCATCTTCTTGTCTTCCCACACCTCCATGCTCTATCTCGCCACCAGGTCGTTGGTCGATCTTTTGTTCCCTCTGGAATGGACAGGCGTCCTCATTCCGGTCCTTCCGGCGCGTTTAATCCAGGCTCTCGAGGCCCCTTGCCCATACATCGTGGGTATCGAGCGTCGGTACGAGAAGGTTGAGCTGCCCACGGACGACTTTGTTCTGGTGGATTTAGACAACAATATGATCGAAAGTACCATTCAACCGACCTCTCTTCCGCGTCATCAGCGCAGGAAGCTCCTCTCCTTGCTGCAACTAGCAGCCCCGCAGCACAATCGATTCCACGTCCCCACTGGGCCTCCTGCATATGCAATCGAGACGTACCCATGGGATTCGTTCATGTCAGAGAGCAAGGCCACATTCACATCCAAAGCACCCGCAACTAACCTTGCGAAATATGTCGGTCTCAACTCCAGTGCATTCGGTTCAACGACCCTGATGCCAAGCTCTTATACACCTCCGATTTTCAACGTCTTCCTGCACGCCCGAAATGAGGCCGGTCCCTCTCGTGGGTACTCATCTCGCGGAAGCGAGCGCCCAGGGACCAGTTCCACTATGAGAGCTGGTGCCTCTCCGCCATCCCCAAGAGAGAGTTCGCCTACCTCTAGCTATTTCCCTCCTCCACCCGCCCCCTCATCACGCAATGATTCCGGTATGGCATTGCAAGCTTCATTGCGCGAGAAGCGTTCTGGTCATTTCGATGCCGCCTCGCGCCGAAGCTCCTCGTTTGGAATGCCTCGACGTCCAAGTGCTCCGTTCCTGGGTCATGCCTCGAATCTCTCAGTAACAACCCTCAACACCGACTACGGTGCCGGTGCTGGTGCTGCTGGATCCACATATGCGCCATCTGTGTATGCGCAGTCTACCATCGCTGCATCCACCATCGTCCCTCAATCCACACACCAGCCCGCCGGCAATAACGAGGACATTTGCTGGGCCGAGGGTCACTATTTCCAAGTCCAAACCTGGGATGATAATTTGACCTGTGCCATCTGTGATGAAATGGCAGAGGAAAATATGTACAAATGCTCTGCATGCAAACTGACAGTCCACAACCGCTGCGCCTCCATGGTGTGTCTTCCATGTGATGCAGCCTTCCATCCGGATCAGATTCGCGCGGCGTTCGTCAGATGCTTTGCCAGTTTGTTCTACACATACAAGAAGTTCCTTGTGCCAGCCAGTGGTGATAAGAAGAAGTCCGGCATGTATTACAATTTCAACATGGATGCTTTCATGAAGAGTCTTCCAAGCGAGCACGCCGAGTATATCACGGTTCTACAACAGACGCAAGGTAAGTCGGGAAACTCTCCTATCATACTGTGGATACAAAAAATACTGACCAAATATTAGGCTTCAATGAGTTCATCAGTGACCGTGAGCGAACAAACCCGAAGTCCAAGGACCCGCGGATGACTCTATTCGATGAGATCGTCCTCTCAAAGCGCAACCGTGGCCGCACATCCATTTTCTCCAGCCGATCGACAACAGACTTCCTCTCAGACACCTCTAACCATCTGTGGCGTACAGCCAACGCCACCTTCTTTGCTCCCAGCAGCCGTAGCCAGCAGAATCTTTCAACCGATTTCAGCAGAGTTCCGACAAGAGGTACGCCCGAAGGCTCTAACACCCAATATATTCCCCTCACTGACGATCTCCCCGTAGTACCGGCAAAACTAGATACTAGCTTGATGGCAGAACCCCGCATGATCCATGGCGCACCACGAGTTTCCAAGACGGCAAATACAGCCCGTAGAAAGCCGCTGCCCAAAATGATGAACGGGCTTGCCATCTCTCCGCCAAATTAATTGGTGCGATTCCACACGCGAATGGCCCATCTATCACGTCGTTGTTATCTGCCCTGCCCTCCTGCAGGTGGGTCCTGTGTGCTCGTACCATGTCCATCTTCTCGAAACACATGTTTCCTTATGCAAACCTGAAACGTGGAACTCCTTCCGACTCCGGCTCGGTTATCAATTTTCCCCGGTGAAGGGCGTTGCCCATTCCATGCTTTATCTATTGATAAGCAAATCGAATTGTGATTGCCTGCTGCGTGTCTTCGCTTGAGCATGTGTGTCGATCCAGCCTGAGAATGACACGCCGCTGGCTCGGCTCTTCTCGCTTTCCGCTAATATCCCACAAATGGAACGCTGCATGTGTGGTTGCACGCCTTCGGCCTCTCTGCTGTTTGATCTCATTTCCCTTACCTGACCTACCATGTTCTGTCATGATAAGCATACGACGTCTCCAAAAGATGTCCAGACAGCCCACGCGCCGATCTTTGGTTGCGTTGCTGTCCTCGTACATAGTATTGGCTCCGGCTTGATGCATGGAGCCATGAACAAACCCCCTAAAAGCGCCATCCTGGTTTCCAAGCGATGTGGTGATTATTTGCGTACCTGATATTTGATACATACATACTTGCTTATTCTCTGAGCCAATATCTTGTCTGCTTTTCTTGCCTATTTTGTCCTCCTCTTATCTCTCGGCCTGCGTTTCTCCCTTTTTCCTTCCTCACTGCCTGTTACTACCCAATACCCCCTCTTGATTTGGCTGGTATTTTTTCTCTCCTTGTGTCTTAATTGGTTGTTTGAAATACAATGTTGGGCGGATCTAGTCTCGATTCTGTCTTTCTTTTTTTCATATTCTCTCGTCTTTCCGGTGTCAAATCATCATTCATGCCTATATGCTACGTGGTCCATGTCTATTCTTCGGATATGTTTGATTTTCGGATCTGATTTGACGATGTCACTTAATTCTGGTTGCTTTCCGTGCATCGAAGACAGAAAGAACAATACATATATCGTTGTTTTATTGTGTTTGTTGTGAATATGGGTGCATCCTATCCTCGGCTTTTGCCCCTTGCGCAAGTATCAATGCGCTCTTCCACCAATCCTGGTGGCTGATTCGTTGCTTACCTATCTCCCTGGGATACCCGCGGACCCGGGGCGTGGACGACAGGCTAGGCAACATATGTCCTTGGGGCTGATCATTAGTTCTGACCGAGGCTGAGACTCTGGGTTAGCTTAGTTGGTTTTCCCTCGTATCGGATCATGGCGCTGTAGTCCAATGTTGTAGACCTTTGTCAGGTCGTCAAGATGCTATACAGGTGATCGGCTGGCTTCAAGGGTTATATAGGCAAATATGAATACAGACAGATGTAAATGTGGCAATTGACAGAATTCGCAAACGTATTACTACTAAAAACGCCATATTCCACACGACAAAACTCCAATTGACATGTGTATTCATAAGTAGTATAATTTGTGTCTGGCACCTGATTGGCGGATAAACCCAACTCCGCTGCCAGTTTTCCCCGCGTCCACCGTCTGCGTGGGAATCCAGTGTCGCGCGCATTGGGTGGAACCTCCGCAACGAGTTCTTCCATCGATCCATATCGCCTCAAATGCTTTTCATTTTAACTCTCGCGGCTGGGTTATTAAACCCTACCCGCCTAGGATTGATTTAGCGTCCATTTATTCAACTTGCCCCAATTACCCCATACCCTGGAGCTAGCCTTGTTCGGCCCGCTCCCTTTTCCTAATTGCTTTGCGATACTACCTACCTGCTAGGCTAACTGGGTCCTGGTCGTGAGACCGAGAAGAGAATTGCGGGAAAAAAAAAGCCTTTGTGGCCCTTGCGCTCCTTTCCCCCCCTTCCCGACTCCCATTTCTACCCGTCTTGACCCATACCTCGACCTATACTCGCTAGCACCAAGTATGAAAACACTTGGGACTGCTATGCCATGATTCCAACAGCCTTTCCACAGCACATGGCCACGCCCCTGCTCGACGATCACCCCGTCTCTACCACCCTCAAGGCCCACGACCCTCCCAGCGCAAACGCCGATATCGCCGTCCCTTGCAGTGCTACAACAATTTCCTATCCTGATCCCCCGGTTGTTACACCCGAAGACCAGACAGCCGCGGAAATTGCCGCACCGACTGCCGGTACTGCCGCAGGGACGGTCGTGATCGTCTATGGCCAGAACCAAGAGCATATCGTGCAGCTGGTAGCGGAGGTTCTGGGCAAGCCATGGATAACGGACGCGTCACTTGGGATACTTGCGCGAGCCAGCAATGCAGTCGTAGCAGGAATCTTAGCGCAGGATCTAGTGGTCAGCTTGCAAGGATGTGAGCGGTCATCTCTGGTTCTAGTGAACACGTATTGTGTGGAAGACGGGTCTGCTCCGGAAGACTCGCTCTCCGAGGGCTGTGACTATGAGTTCTTATATTCGCGGAGTCCGTTCCTGCGCCGGGATCTGTCACGGTTTTTATCTTTGATTCTTGGTCAGACGAGGCCACATGATGATTTGCGGACGAAGACGAGGACAAATTTCATCTCGACGACTTTTCCGGATGTGCATGCTGCCTTACCAAATCTGGATATCCTGTCTGTGGGATCTGATGCTGTTGAGATTCGTGTCGATTTGCTGGTTGAGCCTGCCCCGGAGGATTCGATCACTCCGCCTGTTCCGAGTTTGAAGTATGTTGGTCAGCAGGTGATGTTGTTGCGGCAGCATACTGAATTGCCGATTATCTTTACTATTCGTTGTACGAGGGAGAATGGAAAGTTCCCTGTAGATGACCCTGCGCTCTTTTACAAGTACCTGCGGCGAGCGATACGGTGGGGAGTCGAGTATATCGATGTGGAACTATGGCTGCCTGAGGAGATCCGGCGCCAGCTGTTTGAGGAAAAGGGCCATAGCATGATTTTATCTGCATTCCATGACTTCTCTGGGACCTGGAAGTGGACATCTGAAGAGGCACAGCGCATCTTTACGGAAAGTGCCAAATATGCCGACATCGTAAAGATGATCACCATGGTCCACACAATCGAGGAGAACTATGAACTAGAATACTTCCGCTCTACCATCAAAAGCCGTGGCTCAGGCCCACTCCTGTCAGCAGTCAACATGGGCCAAATGGGCCAGCTATCTCGAGCCCTCAACACCGTTTTCTCTCCAATCACCCATCCCCTTCTTCCAATGATCGCCGCCCCGGGCCAGTTAACCGCAGCGGAGATTAACGAAGCCCTACACATAATGGGCCAACTTCCCAGACGTGACCTCTACGCCATCGGCTCATTCCGCTCAACCCCACATTCAATGTTCATGGAAAAATGCCTGAATGAGCTCGGTCTCCCGCACAACTTCACCTTAGTCGACCGTGGCCTAAAAGGTTCCATGGAATCGGTCCTTTTACAACCGCACTTTGGCGGCGCCTACGTCAATCCCCCAGTACCAAGCACAACTGCTTTCATTCCCGCAGTTAGCGATGCAGCCCGCGCAATAGGGCTAGTCGACACAATTGCCATGATACCGGGCGAAGTCGCACCAGGAACATCCCGATTCATCGGCGAAAACGCTGCCTGGAAGGGTATCCGCGCAACGCTGACGCGTGAATATGTGCCATCCGCATATAACAGCCGAGCGGCGATCATCCTAGCCGGCTCGGAAGCAGTCGCTTCAGCGGCGATATTCGCACTACGCAGTCTGGCCATTGGAACAATCTACACAGTCGGGTTTAAGGCGAATGGCCCGCTTGCTGCGGGTCTTGAGCCGTTTACCTCCATTCAGTCTGTCCAGCGGGTCGAGCAGCCCTTTGTGATTGTCTCTGCGCTACCGCCAGAGAAATCGCTGCTTGTGCAGCCTCTGCTGAGACATTATGGCGTTAATGGCCGTTCGTCGCCGCGTTCCACTCGTGGGAAAGTTTATCTTGATCTCACGAGTGGGCCGAGGAAAGGGGATCCGTTGGCTGTTGCTACTAGTGCCGGATGGACGGCATATGGGGTTGAAGATGTCAGTGCTTGGACAACTGTTGAGACGCTAAGGCTGCTTGTTGGGCAGAATGTGCCGTTTGACTTTGTGCGCATGGCGTCTGGGAGGCCCTTGTTCTAGTTATATAGCGTACTGCATACCTACGTAGGTAATTTGTGGTTTAGGTTTATCGTCTGTTGGTGCAATAGATGTCGATGTAGGATTGGGATTTTGTTTGAAGTGTTTGGGATATGTTTTTATAGGGCTATCTGTGTCATGTGAGATCCATTTTTAGTGTTGTGGCTAGTTCGAGTCTAAGGAATGGCGCTTGATTTATTGCATGTGGATATTTTGTAGGATCGAACTGCACTGGGTATTTCCGACATCGGATGTATACGCCTGGCAGGTTGGTATTTAGCCGTTGCTGCAACTGCCCTGTGTCATTCTGGCGTTTTTGATCATACATACATAGAATGCATGCTCAATGCTAACAAATAAGCCCGAGAGCGACATCGTGGGATACATATTTTGCCCTGAGATAAGAACTTATCCGAAAATGCGGGGACCCCTCTCCCCAGGTTTCGAGGTAAGTAAAACTTCATTACCCCAGGTCTGGGACTGGTTTCTCTTTACCTTTTTTCTAAATTCACAGAAACAAGATAACAATGCATTTACGTCCCGATCATACAGTCCGGGACCTCCCAACCCTCCACGCCTTCATTAAACAACACCCGCTAGGCGTCCTCAACACTTCCCTTCCATCGGAGAATCACCCCACCCTCCAATGCAGCCACATTCCCTGGGTATTGGACACTGAAAAAACCGCCGGACCGGAGTCAGCAAAGAAAGCAAAAGTAGCCGATGACGACACTACAGAACAGCCACACTATATGGGAGTCCTTCGAGGCCACATCGCGCGTCAGAACCCGCAAAGCAAAGCAATGGTGGAATGTGTCTCGGAGTACAGTACCAAAACAATCAGTCTACCGGGCGCATTTCCAATAACAAGTTCGGAAGAAGAACCACCGAGATCAGCAGACCATGCACTCCCTGGTGAGGTGTTAATTGTCTTCACCAGCCCTGTAGACCATTACATCACACCGAATTTCTACACAGAATCCAAGCCAGCCACCGGAAGAGTTGCTCCGACGTGGAATTACGCCGCAGTGCAGGTGTACGGCCGGGCGACTATTTACCACGACGCCAAAGACGAGCAAACGGAGTTGTTTTTACGACAACAGCTGAGTGATTTAGCGCGGCTTGGGGAGGAAGAAATAATGGGATTTCGAAATGAGACTGGTTCGATTTCGGGGTCTGCTGTCAAACACGGGGGAAGTGGAAGTGGAACTGGGAATGGGGAGAATGGAGACTGGGATCCACCACGGAACCAAACCCTGAGTCAGTATGAAGGTCCGGACTTGGAGCTCAGCCAGGGGGTGAAGACGGCGCCGACCGGAGCTAGCGGGCATGGCAACGGTTCGGCATTGGCAACGCCTTGGAAAATTGGCGATGCGCCACGGGAGTACATTGCTGCATTGCTGAAGAATATCGTTGGGATGAAGATTGAAATCACGCGCATTGAGGGTCGGTTTAAAGTGAGTCAGGAACGGCCGGTTAATGATCGTGGTGGCGTTGTTGCGGGGTTGGAAAGAAAGGGCGGGAGGGCGAGGGATATGGCAGAGTTTGTGCGGAGGGGGAAGCATTTCGTGGCCAGTGAGTAAAGTTTGGATATGTACTCCGTACATGGGTATATATAATAGAATATTCCGCGTAGAAAATAGAGCCCGAAATCCCTGAAGAGAGCCTATTGTACTGGGGTAAATACTTAAGCACTTATGTTATGCTCGTATAAACTGTTCAGAAAGTTAAAAGAAGACCAGGATAAATGTTCCGTATCGAAAACAGTAGCTGTAGGGGATGATCGGTTTACATAGACATGTGCTAGTAGTAAGAGTAATATATGATAGTATACGGAGTACGGAGTACATAAGTAGGTGTTTGTTTATACTCCGTACTCCGTACCCCTTCATAGGCACATTAAATACTTGGAATGTTCTTCAGGAGATACTTCGGATAAATTGGGGGGAATTTAATAGGGGTCCAAGCGAGAAACTAAATACCCCGTGATGGAGTAAAGGATCTAATATATGTGTCCATTGGCTAAATGTATGAAGCTAATGCAATTATCTGCCATTACCTGCAATTATGGGGTACTTGGAGCATCTCGGATGCTGGCCACGACGTTGAAATCGAAGCCCTAAGGTGGGTACATATTCCATAACAGGTAATTACTCCCGCCGTTTATACAGATTAAAAGGGGAATCGATTGGATTCTGAGTAGAATGTACCTCAGTCGATGTTAGAAGTAGAGTAAAAGTCAAAATAAGAATACGAATATACCCTGTACGGAGTACTCCGTAGCCATATATCTAACTAATAGCCTAAATTGTCTTTTAATGTATACATATGCTCGCGATAAAATATCCCGATGTCATCCCCAAACTAGGGAATTCCGGCGGCACATCACTTCTCCGCATTTCCTTCTCTCCGCAGCCTGGTTGTGGTATAGGCTTTTTTTTTTTCAGACGCCACAACAATGCCCTTGAATTCTTGTCCATCTTGGCCGAGGCCATTTTCTTTCTTCTTCTCATCTCTCTCTTCCATGTAGGTGCGCCATGTCTCGTCCTCAGGTTAGCATCGACCGTCTCACGCCTCGCCGTGCGACGGTCGAGCCGCGCGAAACCATGAACTGCAAATCCTGTCGCAAACGCAAGGTCTGTTTAGTTTATTCTGTGTGCGATTGAATTTCTCTAACTCCTCATAGATCAAATGTAATCGCTTACGACCCAGCTGTGAGGCATGTAAGGTGTTTCAGTGCCCATGTCTTTATGGTAAGTCAATAATTTCCCCTCCATCAGATGATCCCCCTGTTGATCTTGTTCTGTTCAAGATGCCGTCCCTAAAAAACGGGGCCCCAAGACGGATGTGCTAGAAGCTCTTCTCAAGCGGGTCGATGGGCTGGAGAAGCGACTCCACGATGAGAAGAACCCCATGTCGCCCACTTCCCCCGATACCCCAGACGATCCGCCAAGCTTTCCCAGCCGTCGCAACACCATCGACACTTCCTTTAGTATTTACTCCTCGAGCGATCGATCGACTCTATCAAGTTCTCTCTCGCAACATGTGGATCCCTTCCCAAGGCCGACCGGCCACCAATCAGGTCTTTTGCGACAGCCCTCTCCAACAAACAGTGGACCCCTATCGGATGCGATCCTCGATATTTACTTTGAGCGATTGCACGGTAAGCCATTTTATATAATAGACGAGGCGACAACGCGACAGCGCCATCAGCTGAATCAATTACCTCCGTGTTTGGCCATGGCCATCTCAGCAATGACAGTAAGGTAAAACCGCCAAGCCTCCAAGTCCTGTCACATGCTTGACATGTTTGACTGACGAAATCTCAGATACACAACATCGCCTGGTCAAGTGGAACAGTCACTACGTACAGGTCTGGATGCGGCGCTACAGGCGAGACGGATGGTTGAAGTCGACAACCCTACAGTGGAAACACTGCAGACCCTATTGTTACTTTCGCAAGCTTTCTACGCATATGGACTCGGGAAGAAAGCTTATATGACATTCTGTATGCTTTCCCTCAATCCGACACGGTTAAATGAATTCTGCTAACGATGATCAGCAAATTGCGTGGCCATGATTGTCGCTCTGGATTTGTACCGCGAGGCTCCCTCAAAGCTAAATGTCGCGCCTGCCGAGCGAGAAATGAGGCGTCGGCTATTTTGGTCTGTTTACCTGATGGACAGATTCATTAACTGTGGATCCCGGCGTCCTTGTCTGATCACTGATCATTCGGTATTTCTCCGCCTACCATCTTGGTCGCCACATGCAGCCGGTCTGAACATGGAGGGAGAGCTCTTCCACGTCGGCCCGAATATACAATTTTCCGCCGACTCTAGGCGCAAATCACCAAGCGCGGCCTCTTTGCTGATTGATATCACGCGTATTCTTGGTGTCACTAATAAGTACCTGGCGGCTGGCGGGGTCAAAGGCGACTCCCATTTCCCATGGCATGCGCTTTCTAATCTATCCAAGATCCGACAAGAATTAGATATCTGGGCGGCCGGTACGCAGGACGTTTTTGCATCTATAGATGCATTGTTCGGCCACCCCGAGAGCACAACACTTCTGCTGAGCAAGCTGATCTACCATTTGGTGCACTGCTTGATCTACCGCCCGTTCCTACCCATTGACCTGGTAGAGCTCCGAGGTACGGGGCAGCATCAGTCCTGGCAAATCGAGGCCACGAACTTATGTTTTTCGCACTCCAATGCCATCGCAGAGCTAGTTGAACTGGGTCGGAATTCTCCGCTGATTGAGTGGCCTGCTTTCGTCGGCTATTGTGTCTGCACCGCTGGAACTGTGCATGTTCACGGTGTGCACTACAAGGGCCGTGAAGGAGAGGTTTTCTCTTCCAGCGCTGAATTCTTGACTCGAGAAATGCACCAACTTTCTTGGTTACGCAATATTTGGACTGGCGCGCAACATCAGCGTGAGCTGCTCCAGACTCTCTACACATGTCACTCCGAATTGGTGCGCAATCTTTCCAGTAGCCCAATGCGCTTCTCGCCAGTCTTCCATCTCGAAGACTTTCTCGACCGATATCCTGGTCTGGCGTTAGATGGATCACACGTTCGCCTCATAGATGCGGGGGACGACCTGACTCCAAGGTAGGTCGCCTGCTGGTTCCTCTGTTCCTTGCATATTACATGATCACTAACTCTGGAGACAGTAATATAAACTTCATTGATCGTCAAGATCACTTCTATCAACGACCACTAGCCGCACCCTCGTATCAGAATCCCTCATCTTACTTCTCAACTACACGGCCTGGGTCCTCGACGCCGTTGACATCCACCCAGAGCTCAGATACTGACCGCCGCCTCTCCCATTCCCACTCCCATTCTATCTCCAAAAACTCTCACCCGGCCTCCCTCTCGCCCACCCTTCAGTTCCACTCCCTTTCAAGCACTCAACGCCAACAATCACCATCCCTACCCTCCATATTCTCCATTCCAAACGGAACAGACCTATCAGGCCCTGGCGCTTCAGAAAACAACCACCTCTCCATCCCGGGCTTCTCCCCTTCAGCCTTCGGCCTCTCTCCACCAGCTTTCCTCGCCGATGGCAGTATGAACATAGCACAAACACCGCCCCCAAACCCACAATACGCAACCTTCCCCTTCGACGCCGTTCACGCAAGCCTAAACGGAATGACCCAGTCGGGCACCAATGCCCTGACTCCAGGCGCCCAGTCCCAAACTAGCGGCACCCACACTACAGCCGGCAGCGAGAGCACGTCTGAAAAAGATCCCTTTTTGAGTTTGCTGGAACAACTCGCTGAAAATGAGAACTCGCAGGGCGGGCCTAGTGAGCTCGACTTCTTTTTGTCAAACAACGGTGCCGTTGAGCGTAATTCTGAGATTCCTCTTGAGAAAGATGATGCTTCAGAAGGGAAACTTATGGGTTTGGGTGCTTGATGATTCCCCGTATATATTTTCGTTCAGTGTACATTTTTCGCTCTATAGCGTGTTATTATTTTTCATAGGCTGTGGCCGAATCGACTGATACCCATGGTGCTAATTGTTTCTGCCTATTTGTAATGTGAGAGCCGAGGGTGTTGTATCTAGAATATACATATATTGTACATGTTCGGTGTAGGGAACACCGAGTTCAACTCTAAAGTGGAATGTGTGGGCTAACAAGCCATAGGTGGAAAAATATATAAGGAATTGGCGATGAGGCTAGTGAAAGTTAGTTGAAGTTCCGCAGAAACCCACGTGCTAGATATGGAAAGCTTCAAATGCCGTACATAGGTGTTTTTGCTTCTTCACTCCTTTGATACATAAGTCCATTTGTCTATACATACTGCTACCCAATTCAATTCCATAATGAATTTATCGTATACTACCCTCGGCAGAGCTAAACGGATGTGCGTGACTAATTTTCAGCTATCTCATCTGTCTCTCTCTCGGTCCAAACTTCAACTGACCGGTCCTACCAAATCACCTGACATCGGTTATCGGCATCTGAGCATTCTACCCGGACTTACCCCGGTCTCGGCGGAGCTCCGCCGACACGGGACCCCCGCGTTGCAACACTCTTTTCAGCATAAGAACCTTGATAATCCCCTCTTGATGTCACCCCACCAACGCCTCAAGTCTCTAACAAACCACCTCCAACACGTCTCCAAAATGAAGCTCCTCTACCCGACCTCCCTGCACATCGACACACAGTCCCTGGAAGGCTTCAGTGTCGAATTGCACCCCTACGATGTTACACAACCCATTCCCGAATCCCTAATCGACGCCGAGTTCCTAGTAACATGGAGCAACAAAGCCACGAACCTCAGCGACGCAGCCTCCCGCATGAAGAACCTCCGCTGGATCCAGTCGCTAGCAGCCGGTCCAAACGACGTCCTCAATGCAGGCTTCGATGCCTCCCGCATCGCTATCACAACCGGCTCCGGTCTGCACGATGAAACAGTCGCTGAACACACTCTCGGCATGCTCCTCAATGCTGCCCGTCGCTTCTATGAAATGCGCGACTACCAGACACGCGGCGAGTGGCCCGGCCATCTGGGCGGCGCCCAGCCTGATCGTGCCCCTGGCACTTTTCGTACCCTCAAGGGTGCTAATGTTACTGTTTGGGGATTCGGAAATATTGCTAAGGCCCTCGCGCCTGTGCTGACCGCGCTCGGGGCTAATGTTACCGGTGTTGCGCGGAGTGCGGGTGTGCGCCATGGATTCGAGGTTGTTGCGGAGGATCGCTTGCCAGAGATCCTGGCGAAGACTGATGCGCTTGTTATGATTTTGCCTGGGTCTGCGAGTACCAATGGCGCGCTGAGCGCTGATCGCTTGGCGTTGCTACCAAGTCACGCTTGGGTTGTTAATGTTGGTCGGGGCAATTCTGTTGATGAGGATGCGCTGCTTGAGGCGCTTGAGAAGGGGAGCATTGGTGGTGCTGCGTTGGATGTTTTCTCTACTGAGCCTTTGCCCCAAGAGTCCAAGCTTTATGCCGCGCCTAATCTTATCCTCTCGCCTCATGCTGCTGGTGGACGGCCGCGTGATGCTGAGGCCCTTATTGCGTATAACTTGAGACGAATTCTTGCTGGGCAGGAGTTGAAGAATATTATTTGAGCTTGATATAAAGGGACTGCGGAGGTTGCTTGCTTCATAGATTTTACCAGTACATATACACATGCATAGATTAAGTGAAAGTTCTATTGTCCTGTGTGGAATTAATACATATATTGGTGGTAGGATGGTTACTAAAGGCAATGATAGGGTTTGCATCAACAGATTCCATTGCTTTGTACCCTGCTCAGTGGAGAGAAAGCTTTAAAGTTAAACGTCGAAATAAGAAAGTCTATCTCATTGAATTGCCAGGCCTAGGTCTTGCCGCAGTTGTGGAAAAGATATTCATGATGGGGACCTTTCCAGAGTTCACTAACTTGGGCATGAAGACTCAGTATTTGAAGCATCGATATGGCCTGGTGCTCATTACAGCAGCATTTTGATTTTTGGCAATCGTACAAATGACACCGTTGGAACTGCAAGAAATCCTGTACCCAGTATAGTTGACAATCGTTCCAATGCTTTGCCTTTGGTAGCAAGCTCAGGCTATCCTTATGCTGCAACGGCTGTAATAAATCTCCAAACCCGAGAAATTGTGTTCTGGACAAGGTTCTTCCCACAACTGACGGGTAAGGAGTGGTTCCGATTTTGAATCATGTATTTCGATCGTCTCCTGGTGCACATTGTAAGATATTAACAAAGACCCTCGGATCCACAGCGTTAACGCGTGGCTCGCGTATCTGAGGGCGTTATGCTCAGGACATCGAATCTCGGTGCCTCGTCGCCTTGCAATGCTTATTATTAGGGAGGTTGGGGTGTGTGTCTGCTATGCCGATGAACTGGGCAGAAGTGGTGACGCGGTGGCACTGGGAAAATAGAATGGACGCTGATTGCAAAACACGTCAGTATCATCAAACACAACAAAAAGCACGCAGTACAGACAGGCTTTATCTGTTCCGAATGACGTGTGGCGGAACGTGATGTTCAGTCGTCATGGCTCTCAATAAAAGAGAGGACTACTCTCAGTGTTGCTAGACGAGAGTGAAGGGAGTATATGTTGATATTACTCCCTAGGCTTCAGGTATACTTCATTGCGACAAGGAAGGTATGATCCAATTAGTGGCGAGCATAAAATATCCTCTGTTGGATTGCACAGAGGGAGGACAGGATGATGAAGGATGAAGGAGGATTTGGAAGGAGGGAGATGGGCTCGTGACATAAATAGTCGGCCCTTAGAAAAAAACATAGGGGACTTGGGTAGGCCGCTAACGGGTTCTTACATCAATGCGAGAGAAAACCTGGAAGAACACTTAGAGGTGACACAAAACAACAGACCTTCAGCGAATAATTTAGAATACAACTGGAACCCAGAGCCAAAAGAGAAGTTTGATCAAAATCAGTTTGATATAAAAAAACAGGGTAAGACTATATACTGTTTACTATATACAAGAAAAAGGCCAACCATTTCCAAACACCATACCATAAACCAATGCCATCGCCCCATCAAACCTCACATCCGCGATTTACTCGGGGCACAGCAAGAAGAAGGGAACGCATTTTTTGACTGGGTATCAACACAAATAGCTGAAGGAGGCACCCAAAGACCAGGATTCTTCTCAAAGAAGTTCGATGCGCGCAGCATGATGCTAACCGGCTCGGCAGGCATAATAGGGAAGTCCTCCGTACGCGGGAAATGCGTCAGACCGAACTGCAAGTAGCAGACAATATCGGTGTTCTCAATGTTCTCATTTCGCTGCGCCCAGTCGGCGATTGTCGAGTTGTAGGGATGTCCGTCAGAGCCGTCGGACTGGCAGACATAGTCGCCAGCTGGGAAGAGCTCGTAGTCCTTGTAGGGAGTAACCCAGAGGGGCTTGCGGGCAAACGCAGCGCGCTTCCAGACGGTGCTGCCGGGCTTGGCGAGTAGAGTGGGACAGTTGTTGTTGATGATTTTGTAGGCGACGGGCTTTTTGGCAACAGGGTTCATGCGGTTGGGGTTGATGATGTCCCATGACCGGCTGGTCTCGTAGCAGTAGTCTGCGGCGCCCTCGAGAGATGTGCGGAGGGGGGTCTTCTTGCTGTAGAAGCCGTTCCCGTAGGGGTTCTCTGCGGAGCCGACAGGGGCTTCGGCGGAGACGGCGTCGTTTTGTACGACGGAGTTGTTTTGGCCGTCGATTTCAGGGTCAATGCGGAGGGAGAAAATGTGCTGGTGGTTATGGGCGTTGATGGAGGGAGCAACTTCTGTGCCGAAGGGAGCGGCAGTTTCTGTTGGGTGCATGCAGTAGGTGTTCAGCATGCCGGTAAGCTTCATCTCCAGCTTGTAGGTGCCGTCTAGGGTGAAGGTGTGGTAGAAGCCGTATTCGTAGTTGGCGGCGGTGATAATTTGGGAGACGATGAGCTTGCGGTCGCGTGCGGAGATCACTGTGCCATCGCGGAAATCGGTGTGCTTGTAGAGGAGGCCGTTGTCTTCCTCGTGAATGCAGATGGCGTTCTTGACTACGGCGGCCTCACCAGTGGAAGTGGACATAACACCATCCATGTAGTGGATGGCACCCTTGCAATCGCAACCCAGCTTCAGGGAGTTGGTCATCAGACCGGTACCGTACTCGCCAACATCGAAGGCGTGCTTCTTGTGGTGGGGCTTCTCGGGGCAACCGTAGGGAACAACCATCTCAACGACGGAGATACGGTTGAACAGAGTGCGCTCGCGGTCCTCGTACATGTCGTGTGTGCGGACATCGGAAATGACAATACCTTCGCGGTAGTTGAAACCAATGTGCATCTTGAAGTTGGCCCAAGTCAGCTCATTGCCGCGGACCTTGAAAGACACACCCTCGGGCTGCGTGATATCGATGGGCTTGAGGCGATCATGCTTGTAATTGTCGCCGATGAATTCGGGCAGGAAGTTGTGTTCCTTGAGAGGGGCTATGGTCCGCTCGCCATTCACGTAGCGAACATCAACGCTAAGAACCTCTTCTGTGTCGGTGTCGGCCACAACGCTGAAATCCAGAGGGTGGGCATATTGGTTATCAAACTCGGAGTTGCGATAGTAAGCTAGACCCTGCTGCAGACGGTGCTCGTATCCCCAGCGCTCGTCGATACCGATAGCCCATGCGTCAAAAAAGACCTTGCTCATGTCGGTGATGCCGATTTCATTGCAGGCACGGATGACGCGGGCGTCCTTGCGGGCAGCACGTTCCATCACATCAAGATCTTCAAGGGTGAGGGTAGGCTTGACATCATGAACATCCTTCCATTCCTCAACTTTGCCGGTGGCAAGGTTGACCACCACCTCTGCAACATGCCTTGTTTCGCGCACAATGACAATGGCGAAAGCGCGACGGGGAGGAGCTGGGATGACACCAGCGCGGAATGCCCGGTATTCTGCTTTGCGGGGTTCACGGAGTGTGATGCAGTTGAACTTGATAGACTTGGGGCTGGCATGATCTCGGATAATCTTTGCTGTCTCGGGAATTTCCCTAATAGAAAGTTGATCTGGGGTTCGGAATTAGCAGTACTCTCGGACTTTATGTAAGACCATATCATACCCAACGGGTGTGGAGTGCGCTGCGGCAGCATGGCAGCGGCTGCAACACTTTCATAATCGCCCTCACGGAAGATTGTGTAGCCAGGAATTGACTCAGTATCAGGGGCAGACGCCATGATGAAGATATAGAAGGGGTATCAGGGGAAAGAGGAAGTTGTAAGTTGTAGCAAACCAAAAGTTCCATCCCAAAGCTACGATAGACCTTATATACCTAATAGACCTTGAATATATGATTGAATTAGCTCGCATGTACCTTCCAAGTTGGGTAATCTAGATCATACATGATGGTGCAGGTATCGACTCCACAGAGATCTACCTCCGGACTTTTGAGATATGTACTCCGTACGGAGTTTGTACTTAACAAAATGGGGTCGAAGTGGATTGGCGTGGAAATCGACTTCCAGCGTTGGCCACCGTTGATAAGCGGAGCTAACTCGAAACAGGCAAGTCCACCCACGGGCTATTCGTGTCTTCAGAAACTTTCAAGGTTGCTCTTCTATGTTGTATTCACATATTTGACTTGGATTGATATCTATCTTTGTTACACAGTAAAGGTAAAGAATGTGGGATAAAACCTGTTTGAACTGTCAGGCTCTGGAAAAGAGGACCTGGATAGGGCTGTGGATGGCCTACATAACGTCCATGCGAAAATAAGCTTGATTTAACGCCTTGGCATACCCGGGCCTGCACCTCTCCTAATCCGAGTATCAGATCAGATATTGTCGAATTAGGGCAGGTCTTGCCTAGCGCCAATGCACGGGCTTTCATATAAAACTTGCCTTATTAGGCCGGCCATTAGCACATGGCTGTGGCCAACACATCTTAGCCGTTGCAATACGATTGGCTGGGGATACTTTTGATGGCAAATACTTTACGCAAAAGATATTATGACATCGAATCAAAGTCTCCGACAAATAATGTGCAAATGCAAAGTACACATCTTCTCCAGACTCTGTCCCGAATCGAGCAACGGCAAGAGAATCCACTCTCGGGACTCACTTTGTCCGAGTTTCTTAGAGTATCTGATAAGGTGCCCGAAGTGGCATGTCCAGCCGAAGCAGTTATCGCAATTTCCATAGCTCAGCTTATGTTTAAGAACTATCTACAAATTCATCTCATCTGGCTTCAATATTTTCTCCTAGGAGTCACTCAAAATACGAAGCACATACAATCATGGCCGACTTATCTGTTCAACTCACAGCCCCCAACGGCCACACTTGGACTCAGCCTACGGGTTTGTTCATCAATAACCAATGGGTCAAGTGTTCGACTGGGGAGAAGATTGCCACCATTAATCCCACGTACGTGAGAAATCAAAAACTATCCTTTCATCTCTTAATGACACAACTGACTGGTGGTTAAATAGAACTGCAAAGGAAATCACATCAATCCACGCAGCTTCCGCCCTAGATATTGACACAGCCGTGAAGGCAGCTCGCGCTGCTCTGAATAACCCGTGTTGGCGCGATCTACCAGGCCTTGACCGTGGCAAACTGATGAACCGCCTGGCGCAACTTATCGAAGACAACCGCGCTACGCTCGCCACTATCGAGACAATCGACAACGGAAAGCCGTATTCCGTTTCCTTCAATGACGATCTGACAGAGACCGCTGAGACAATTCGTTACTATGCCGGATACGCCGACAAGGTCTTTGGCCAGGTCATCGATACAACTCCGGATAAGTTCGCTTACACCGTGCGGGAGCCCGTTGGTGTTTGTGGCCAAATTATTCCGTAAGTTCGGCAGAATTATCATCAAATATCGCCAAAGCCAGTTGCTAACTAGAATACTAAAGATGGAATTTCCCCCTCGCCATGGCCGCCTGGAAGCTAGGACCCGCTCTCGCCTGCGGAAACACAGTCGTTCTCAAGCCTGCAGAGCAAACTCCTCTCTCAATCCTCTTCCTTGCCAACCTGATCGTGGAAGCAGGGTTCCCTCCCGGTGTGGTCAACATTGTGAACGGGCACGGCGCCGTCGCTGGAGCCGCGCTAGCTTCACACATGGACGTTGATAAGATCGCCTTCACAGGAAGCACGGCGACAGCGAAGCAAATTATGAAGATGGCTAGCGTAAACTTGAAAAACATCACCCTCGAGACCGGTGGTAAGAGTCCACTGATTGTATTCAACGATGCGGATCTCGAGCAGGCCGTTGAATGGGCTCATATCGGTATCATGTACAATCAGGGCCAGATTTGCACAGCCACATCCCGGATTCTGGTACAGGACGAGATCTACGACCGCTTCCTGGAGGCATTCAAGGCCCAGGTGAAGAATGTTTCCAAAGTTGGTGATCCATTTGAGGAGTCGACCTTCCAGGGCCCGCAGGTGACGCAAGCTCAGTATGACCGCATCATGTCTTATATTGATGTTGGCAAGTCCGAAAAGGCCACTCTCATCGCTGGCGGCAAGCCTTTCAGTGTTGGTGATGGTAAGGGTTTCTTTGTCGAGCCTACCATCTTCACCGATGTTACGCCCAAGATGCGTATCTACCAAGAGGAGGTTTTTGGTCCTTTCGTGGTGATTGCCAGATTCAGCGAGGAGAAGGATGCTATTGAGATGGCCAATGACACAACTTATGGTCTTGGAAGTGCCGTGTTCACGACAAACTTGACTCGCGCGCATCGCGTTGCTAAGAAGATCGAGGCGGGTATGGTCTGGATTAACTCTAGCAACGATAGCGATTGGCGTATTCCATTCGGTGGCGTCAAGCAATCTGGTATTGGCCGTGAGCTTGGAGAGGCTGGTCTAGCTGCTTATTCGAATATTAAGGCTATTCATGTGAACATGAGGTCTAAGCTTTGAGAACAGGACTCAAACAGCTTTTGAATTTACAGGGAGATATTATATACATATTGTACATAGCAAAATTGAACATTTCACATTTGACATAAATCACCGAAGACACCAATCAGGATACGAGAGAGGCAATCTCTTTTTTTTCCTACTCCTTTTTCAGTAAATTCAAATTCTGTGTTTCTTACCAAAAAGTGTATTGACCGATCTAACTAAGTACATAAGGATCTCAAATTGCTGATCGCAAGAGTAGAATATTAAGCATTTCTGATTTGCTAGATTCGATATTGAGAAATTCCTGCAGTACCACCGAGATAAAACGGAGACTTCTCTCAAGATACCCGACCTTTACTCCATATCAAATATGAGAAGGGAGAAGGGCAAGGTCCACGACATACTTGTTCCGCCACAAATACCTACTCCGATCCAGCCTCCTTCGCTTCTGCATAATCATCTCCGCCTGCACATTCCAGAGTGTATGCATCCGCCATCATCTTCTCCAACTTTTGAATTTCACGACCCACTCCGTCTAGGGTTTCCAAAACGCCCTCGTAGACTGCAACAAGAGCCATGCTCTTCTCCAAATGGCGTCTTTCAGGATTCTCAAGGACAGCGTTGTTGCACTCAGTGGTATCAAATGGACCATGTCTGGAGTTTGCACCATTGGGGCTCGGGGATGTCACCTCGGGGCCCTTGGAAATTGTAGCCTCCTTTTTCGCACGTTTGCATGGCTGCGATAACACAGCAGCTACGGACATGTTCCGCTTCTGACCGGGATTAAGCATAATAGATGGACTATAGATCAGAAGTGGATCTCTCGCGGCGATGCAAGGTTCCATAGGAACGATAGTTCTATCGGTACTATTGGAAGCAAGGGTAGGTATAGCCTCACTAGCTTCCATGGGGTTTGTAGTATCTAATTTGTTGGGCAATGAATTCGTAGGCTGGCATCCACGAATTTCCAGCGTTGCCTTCATCCGAGGCGTTGGTTCAATGTATCTATGGAGCATAGAGTCTCTAGGATCACATTAATAAAGACAGATTACATGTAAAAGAAGGGGAGGGGAAAACAAGGCTGCCTAGATATAGGCTCGCAAGATTTTGTTCTGCATGTAGATATGTGTAGGAGCAAACAACCCTATCACCTAGATCTTGGCAAACACTGTTTTTGAATTCAGTCCGCTTGCCATATGACAAGTCTAAGGAGAATCCCCATGGTTAGTACCCCCCTACAGGCTATGATGCTATGATAAGGTGTCAGGTTACGACAATCAAGAGAAGGGAAGCAAGTGCGAAGTCTATTGAGAATCATATGGACGAAGAAGGAAGGGTAAACTGGAGAAATTAGCTGTTAATATGGATATCTATGTATGCAAGTACGTATGCTGCTTGTTTGTAAACAGGCTAAATCGAGAGTCACTAAATCCGCCCGTTTGCTCTATATATTCATGCTCCGCCCAGCCATCCGTAGGTTGTTTGCCATATTTCGAGTAGGTGCAAAAGCGCCTACCCGTATACTAAATAGTAATATGTAGGCCAGTGCTCCGTAGTGCGGCCATATCCAATGACATCGGGTTTCGCTGTTAAGACTATGTGATCATCTATCTAAAGCCCGTAGTTGGTTGGTGGCTGATCTGCTGGGTCAGTATATTGGGAAGCAGACAGCCGAGAACTGGATTATGCAGCCTTCCGTAATATAGGTACGATATGCGTTGGCTACCATGATTCAAAAGCCCCCCTGAATTACCTGTCTAACATCACTTTTATCATATAAAAACCCCCCTGATTCCGTAGTTCCAACATCAGAAATCTTGCAAAATATCCTATTCCTGCTTGTCATACAAATTCCTCCTTTAAATTTGCCCCGTTAGGATCGGCATTCCCTTTGATTTTGACCTTCCTCCCATCAACCTCCACGTCGTCCCCTATGACTGGTCGCTTGCCACTACGATAGTTGTTTCTGCTAGACCGTGTCTCTTCCTTCGTTCTGCCTAACTGTACTGCTGATAAGGGGAAATACACCCGTGGGCCCTCTCGTCAAGCGTCATTCCTGGCGGCACGAGGATTGCGCCGAGACTCAGGATTGTCTCACTCCGGGTGGCGTCAGTACCCAGCAGAAGCTTTTGTTGATTTATTTCCAGAAGCTCTTGGAGCTCACTGAACCAACCCCGACTGAAGAACTTCCGTTTCCTCGGGCACATCCCTGCGCGCCCTGCAATACCTGTGAACGAAGGGCGTTCGCCCTAGCACCGGGGGCAACAGTGCCTACGCAGACCAAGGAAGGGGCATGGCCTAGCAAAGACAACTAGCGCGGCGGTGACTAGGGGACCTCACGGAATTGAAAGATCTTCAGGTCAAGATCGAGGGATTGGCGTCTCCCTACATCCTCACCTAGCGGTTGATTAACTCTGCAATATTCTCTCGCTCATGTTTATTGCGCATAATCTTTTGGTAAGTCCAATGCTCTCTGCCTGTTGGATTGTTTTTTTTACTCATTCGTAAGCCGCGAGGTCAGTTATAATAGACGAGTTCTTGGACTGCAACTCTATATAGTTATACATAGTGTCCGTGTCTATAAAAGTCCCATTAATACCAGAAGACCCGTAGTTGGCTTGATAAATCCCAATTGACCAGGCAAAACATGTATTCAAGAACAAGTGCAATCTTGCATGAAAATTTGAACAACGTTATCCAACAAAGCCTCTAATCAGTGTTCCTTTTTTGACTCAGGCAGCAGATCATTCGTAACCACATGAGCCTGAATAACATGTGTTGATTCCTCAGTGTTGAGATAGGTGCGACTTCCCTGGACAAACCAGAACAGCACAGCAATAACAAGCATGACGCCAAACACCCCAATGGCGTAATTCATATCACCGCCCGAAGGATTGGGCGCGCTAGGGAAGAAAAAGAAGACGGTCGTCACACAGCAATACACAAGGGAGACCCAGTTTACAAGTGCACCCAGTCTACCAAGGTTGAACTGGCCACCAGGCGGGAGCTTGTCGCGGCCCATCAGCAGCAGAGTCATAATGGGCAGCCCGTACGAGATCGTCAGGGCGATGGTGCTGACGCTGAGGATCGCGTTCAGCACTGTCTCTGCGAATAGGAACAAAACTCCAACCAGGGCTATGATAGCTCCCTGGAACCAGAGCGCCCTGACGGGAGCTTTCCAGTAAGGACTCACTTCTGAAAGGTAGGCGCTGAAGGGGAGACCGCCATCGCGGGCAAAGCCCCAGGTGAGGCGAGATGCTGTGGTCACGATGCTGATTCCCTGGCCTAGGCCATTCATGATGAACAAGGCAATTAGCACTGCACCGCCAGTCCGACCCACTGTTTCTTGGACAAGTTCCATGAATGGTAGGCCACTGGGTGAGTCTACCACTGTATTCACCTTTTGAATACAGAAGAGGCAGACCATCATCAAGATGAAACCGCTGGCTGCCCCGGAGACCACAGAGAGGTAAATCACTTTCGGTGCATTCTTGCGAGGTGCAGGGATCTCCTCTACTAAGTGAATCACGGCGTCAAAGGCAGTCAGTCCATATGCAGCTTGGACTAGACCAATAAACCAGACAACGCCATCCGGCCAGCCGGTTTGGTTGATCCACTTTCCAAACGCGAAAGAGGCAGGCTGGTAAGAGAGACCCTCTTTCGTTCCCACTGAAATAAGCAGGGCAAGACAAAAAACAAAGAATAGTCCAAAGAACCAGACTCCGACAAAATTGTTCAGCCACGGCAGAAATTTCTCCTTCCGACAACCCATCACATTGATCAGCGTGAGGATAAAGACACACGCAATATAAACCACAAATTCAAGCCACCCCTTTGAAGCACCGGTCCAGGCCGGACTGAACATAACCTTCATACCGAGAAGGAAATTAGTCATAAACGCCACCTGAGAGGCGGCCAGTGTCCACCACCCAAAAACATTAATCCAAGCACACATGTATGAGAGGAATCGTCCGAATCGTGAATCCCAGAGACGATAGACCCAATACGCCTGTCCGAGGGCAGTGGGCATGCTGCTACAGATCTCGCCCAGTGAGAGCGCGACACAGGTATTGCAGAACGTCACAAGAGCTAGTCCCCATAGGATCGAAACAGGGCCGCCGTTGACCAGGCCGTCAGAGAGATCTTGTGCGAAGGTTGACCATGTTCCCAGCACGCAGAATGCTAACGCTAGCATGCTCCAGATGTTGAACTTGCGGGCGAGGATTTGCTGGTGGCCAAATTCAGCGAGGTCGTTGGCATCTTGCGTGCTTTGGTCGGTTGGTTTGAACGTTTCTTCGGTTTCCACATCCATCTTTAGGGACGGGAGGCTTGGGAGCGAGGAACAAAGTGATTGATTGTTCACTCGACGGTCGTTTCCTAATTGATAGTGTCGTGAAAACGAAGCACTTGTGTTTGGACTGTATACTCTTCCTGAAGGTGGTATATTGAATCCAAGAATGGGGTCACTGGAGCAGTTGTAGGAACTGGATGTCCCGCATGCCCATTCACAATACCCGATCTTTTCGTCATGTTTTCTGGGGAACCCCATGGGAATCGGCCTCCGTGGCCATAGAGAGGGGTATATCCACTGTAGATTCACCGAGTGTGGCCCACATGGTAGACCCGAAACCTGCAGGCGTCTTATACGAATATGCGACATATAATGGAGGTCTGTAGAAAGCTCCAGTTTTTCTCTTCTTTACCCCACATCCCACGAAGACTAGAGATTCTCTCTCGGGAAGGTAGACGCGGGTCATTATGTGTATTGCCGATGATATCGATGATATTTGGAGATCTGCTGGATGATCTGTTGTATATCAGGGATTGGCAGTCAAATTGGTTTGATGCACAATTCCGTCACACAGCCTTCGAGACATCGGTATTGATTGGAAGTCAAGTTAAGGTGATGGCTTCACCAGAGTTGAAGCATATAGTCGCAAAGTATCAATATTATCCTTCGAAATTGATAATTGACTTTAGAAATGTCAGAAATGTCAGTGGAGAGGCGCCGAGGAGAACAAGCTTGTTTTCCTGCATGGACCTGCCTAAAAGGGGGCAACCCTTCCGAACCCGCACAAAATCTACGTCGACTTTAAAGACTCTCTTCCCCAGATCATAAGATATGTTTTGAAAGAATGTGAGGCGATTAGTAAAATATACCTATGTATCCTTGTCACTTCCCCGGAAAGCACTCCCTATAGGAGGTTAGGATGCATTATTTCGCTCATTGAGATCTTTGTTCGGCCAATCACAGTCCGAGGATGCGCGCAGCACCATGCTCGCACGAGTATATATGAGTGAATTGTAGTATTTCCTGACGCTTTTGTCCTTCTTTTCGCCTTCACAACGGTTTTCTCAATAATATGCCTCCGACCGAAAAGCAAAAGGATATCCCCCAGCGTCATCGCTCTTTCAAGGGATGCTGGACCTGCAAGAAAAGGAGGGTCCAGTGCGATGAACTGCGCCCAGGCTGCCGGAAATGCACTTCCAAGGGTCTCACCTGCGAGGGATATGAGATCCGATTGCGATGGGGAGCTGGTATCGCCTCCCGGGGAAAGTACTCGGGCGCCGAGAAGCCAATAAAAGAATCTATACCCCCACGGTCGAAGCGAAGATGGGATATGCGAGGGAAAGGGGACAGATATCCATCAGGTGACGAGGATGGCCAGCCTGTTCTGGTCCCTCAACATCTGACGAAAAGTAGGTTGCCAGTGCATGAATGTCTTTGGTGGTTGCAAACTCACATATTCTTCTAGATCGAGAACCCCAATTAGTTGCTGAGCGGACCACAGTCAACATACTCAACTCACCATGGGAACCGGGTTCTTCATTGAGTGCAGCTATCAACAAACATTTTGAGATCCCTGTATCCTTGGCCACTTTGGCTGCAACTGGTGTGTGTAGTCAGGGTTCAGATATATCGGGTCAATATGTCCAGCACACGGGCCGACGGAGCATTTTGGCTTGATTTGTGCTTGTATTATGGAATCTTGTACTTGAGCACTGCGAAAAACTTTCGTTATTATGAATTTATGACACAAAGGTCGACCACGAGCAAACTGGGCAACTTCTCTATTCTACATATGAAAATGATATTAGCACATTAAAAGACTATATCCTATTCACCCTCGCGAATGGTCTCACTGCCCCCTTCCTTCCCCTTCCCTTCCAAATGATCGGTCAACTGGGAAATCTCAGATTGATGGCCCGGTCGCCGGTTATCTGAACTATCAAAAGATTCATAGAAATGCGACGATCGTGTGTTCATTACGTTTTCAATCGACAATGGCGACGTGAGTGACAGTGAAGATGGGCGCCGGTTGTGGCCTGCAGGATAGGAGTACCGCGGGTCGGTCTCACTAGGAGTTTGCGGTGAGACAGGAGACTGGGAGCCTCGTCTTGGATCGGGTTTGGGTCCAGAATCGGGAGACCCGCCAGGGGCGAAGTAGGAGGAGGTGTTGAATGGTGTGGGGAGTTCGACCGGTGATGAATCTAGGGGCAGATCAGTATCCGTACTTCGTTATATCTATTTTCTGTCGGGAATCAAATAAAAACAGTAATTGACATACCATGCATCTCATATAGCGCACCTCCTCCGGATTCCACCGTGCCAGGGGTCGCGGGTGATACGATAGAATCTGGCACAGTTGAAGCCTGCGTCATCGATGGCTGTGTTGCTGAACGGCCCGTTCCCATGCTCTGTGCCGTCTGCGTGTCCGCGGTCTCCCTACCCGTTGATGTAGATAATGGCCCGGGTCCAGGGGAGGCTGGGCCACTCGCGTACATCCATTCTGGATTACCGCTCGTCCCTTTGGTCTCTTTGGCTCCAGCTCCGGTTTCAGGTTCTGCAGCCTCGCGTTGACGGCGACGTCGGCGATAAAAGAAGAACCAGGCAAGGATCGCAATAACGAGCAGACCCAAGACTGCGCCAATTACTCCACCAGCCCAGCCAGGGAATCCGCCACCGCCGTTATCATCCTGCGTAGAAACACCAGCGGTGGAATTGCCATTGGTGCTATTTGTGCTATTGTATGGCCAATATGTCTCGATAGACTTTCCATACTTCTTGACAAAAATTTCCGATAGAGAGCTATTTGTCCAGGACGAGGGCGCGGTAATGGTTGCACCTCCATTGGAACTAATAAGCTGTCAGCTATAATGGCTCTTATTCTGCGCTGCTTGGTTTATACTCACTTGCCGCCTATCAGTTTCGTCACAGGGTCTGGCACTTTATACTTACTCCAATATGTGGGATCATATTTATCCTCAAATCTCAGGGTATTGAGATTGAAGTTGACGATGACACCATCCTCTAGGCAGTGAGTTACGTCGACATGTTGTCCTCCGATGGCCAGCATTTGATCGGGATATACTTTGATGCATTTATGACCGCTGCGGCTGTGTGTGTTTGTTCCGGTGTATGCCTTGACCCACTTGAAGGAAGGCAGAGACAATATATACACGTCGTCTGACGGATTTGCGGTATAGCTCAGGCCGTCATACCCTCCGTATATGTAGATATTATGCGACGACCCATCTGCCGCACTCGCAAGAACAGAGCAGAACTCCGTCAACTGTGGCGGTATATTACCTGTCGTCTTCTGGAGATACCAGGTTTTACTCTCGACATCGAACACAGAGACCGTCTCCATAAACGTCGGGCTAATCTTTTTGCTTTCTTCCGTCCGTGTTGTGTTTGCTTTGTCATTGCGAAAGATCTGAATAGGTTCAACCACTCCGCCAATGGCCACTAAAACTCCGGACTCGGAGACAGGTACCCAGACCAGTTCTGCGCTAGAACGACCGGGAATATAGCTCGGCAGTGTAGTGTTTATCCACTTTCCGTCGCCTAGCACTGACATGTCTAGGGTGATTAGCGTGTTGGCCGTCTGTGTGGATTGACCCAGGGTTAAAGTAAAATCGCCCCAGTCCGGCGCACGCATGCCGCTGAAGTAAAAGCCTAAGTTTTCACTTGGAGCTGACACAGCCGCGCCATTGGTGATATATTGGGTGACATCGGTGGAGAGAGATTCTTGTTTCCAACCAGGCTCCCATGAGCTCCTAAAGGCACCATATTGGTATGCGGCGTACGATAGGACTCTGTCGGCAGATGGAGGATCAGAACTGTTGGTATTGACACGCATGCCTCTGTAATAAAGAATCTCAGAGTCAGTGATTTACTAGAGGGAGAGACGAGGGATGCCAACCCATAGAGATAGAACTCGTTGTCGTTGGCAAACGTCGCGCCGTTAACATAATTTGGGGCTATACTAGTAGCACCACCGAAGACGGACGAGTTATTGGCGAGGACGTCTGTAAAATCCGATGTAGTGTTGAAAGGAATAGTAAGGTCCAGCTCATGGATAATGGCCTTCTCATCTGCTCCTAGTTAGCGGTGTATATATATCAACATCCACTTAGTTGTGCCTACTACTAGCGGGGCTGTACTCAACGCAACCATCATCGAATCCTCTGTAATTGTTAATACAAATCGTCTCCGACCACGGGCAACCTCATACCTTTGATACCATAGCTGCCCGCCGTCGATGTAGATTTTATCCTGCAGGATATTGGCTACCAGTGTCAGTAAAAAAAAGAACCTGTCCGAAAATAGAATTAATGAGTGCTTACAACGTAGACCTTGCCAGTTGCACATAGAAACATTGACCTGGTTTGGAGATAGGCTACATGCGGCCACTGCGCGGTCTACCACGGCCAGCACCGTCAGCACCGTCCCCAAGGGAAACCACATTTTTCAGTTGATAAGATTGCTGTTGATCTCATTACTGAGTTGTCGCAATTCACAGATGACAGATCCCATTGAGATTTTCATTTATTGCTGACATCTCGACTACAAAATCCAAATGGCAAGGGGGCGGGGGAGCTCGGAACTAGCGACGAGGCTTTGTTGTCTTGGATTTCCTTTGTTGTCAATTAGCCCCGCCCTGAATACGACACAACCGACGATGAACAGGGATTGATATTGAAATGCCAATGCGATCGCTTAGCTTATGGTCAGACCGTTCTAACCATTACCATCACTGTATTAGTGCACCACTAGGGTCATGCAGCTACGGGAAATAAAACCAATCAACCGAAGAGACCCCATCGTGTGCTTCAGTTGGCCCCGTTTGGGGCCGACATATAACTGCCAGGGTCTGCATAATACTCCGCACTGGATTGTGAACTGGGCCCGCGACGGGGCTATGCTGTGTGTTGTCTGAGGTGATACCCATCGGAGGGGAATTTTTGAGCCTCAAGCTATTGGGTTTCTTTCACCTGGGCGTTCAAAAGGGGGCCGTGCGTATGTATTGGATGTTTTATTCCTCCGTGGGATTTCCTTTGTTTACAATATAGCTAGTTTACCTTGTCTACTGTCCCCGGAAGAAATTCTGCAACAGACAGGTAAACATGAAGGGCGAGGTCGCTTGGTTGTCGCTGCTGGCGACAGTCTTCTCTTTACTGGCATTAAGTCACAGCACTTTAATCAACAAACCTCCCACGCGGCCAGAACTAGAGGACGGATTGACCGTTTCTGCGAGGGCCGTCATACCACAGCCTCTCGATGGATATATAGAAACAATCACGGATTACACAACCGAAGTGATTACATTTACATCGTGCACATGCACGGATGGCTCGTCAGTGGTGACGGGAACTGGGGAACCGACTTCAAGACCTGGGACAACCACTTCTAGCGTGCCTGACCCAACGTACAGTGAACCTGGAATAACCACTTCCAGTGTGCCTGAAATCACCTACAGTGAAATCACCACCACCAGCACGACTACTTCTAGTACAACTAGCTCTAGTGTACCTGAGATCACCTACAGCGAAATCACCACTGCCAGCACAACCACCTCCAGCGTGCCTGAGATCACCTACAGTGAAATAACCACCACCAGTACGACTACCTCTAGTACAACCACCTCTAGTGTACCTGAGATCACCTACAGCGAAATTACTACTACCAGCACAACCACCTCCAGCGTGCCTGAGATCACCTACAGTGAAATCACCACCACCAGTACGACTACCTCTAGTACAACCACCTCTAGTGTACCTAAGATCACCTACAGCGAAATCACCACTACCAGCACAACCACCTCCAGCACAACTAGCTCTAGCGTGCCTGAACTTACCTACAGTGAAATCACTACGACCAGCACGACCACCTCCAGCGTGCCGGAGATCACCTACAGTGAAATCACTACGACCAGCACGACTACCTCCAGCGTGCCTGAGATTACCTACAGTGAAATCACTACGACTAGTACAACTACATCCAGCGTGCCTGAAATCACCTACAGTGAAATTACCACGACCTTAGGTACGCTTTCACACATTGAAAATTGAGTGATGTTTCAACGGCTAACACTGTCAGATCCACAAACAACCAAAACAGTCCCTCCATCTACTACTACAACCTTATCCGTTTCTGTATGCTCTAGCCTTATAAGCAATCCATTCTACACCCCCTCTGCCGCATTACCATATGACTATACCTGGGGCTGTGCACCCGGGTATCTCTGCAAACCACGCCATTTAGATGACCGCTCGGATTGCAATGTTGAAGCAGGTCTTCCCGACCCCGGATACGTCTGCACCCCCTCAGACTGTATTGTGGCCCCTCCTTTAGATGTCCATCCATCTCGGCAGTACAATGTTTCGATCAATTATTATAACCTCAACCCGGAGGACTTTGGTCTCAATTACTCCATTTTCCAGTTCTTAGAAGACCCCGGCACAGCCTACATTAAGCGTGATATGTCCTTGTGGGACTTCGCTGTCGCCCAAAAGATCAAACGGGATGGCTCGCAAGACTTCCCCCCTGTCTGTTGGAATGATTGCAATGATGCTGCAAATGAACCACAACAACTTGGAAAGACAGCTGAGCTTTGTAAAGGGGACTCGGCGTTCAGGCAGAATTTGGAGGTTTGCGAGAATTGCATCACCAATAATGCTGAATCTGGCGATTCTGATGCATATTCATCGAGAATGCTACCCACATTTGCACAGTGGCTGAATTACTGCTCGGATATGGTCACTTCTACAACACAGGAAAGTGTCACTAGCACTAAAATAGAAACTACGGCGACTAGCACCCGGAACGACGATACAACTACTACAAGAACAGAAGCATCAACAGCAGCCACAATCACGAGTACTCAGGCTACCAGCACTGAAGCTACCAGCACTGAAGCTACAAGCACCGAACATACCATCACCAAGACTACTACCACTAAGACCCTCAGTACTAAAGTTCCCATCACCGAAGTCCCTAGCGCCGAAGCAACCAGTAGCGAAGCGACAGGTACTGGAGCGACAAGCACTAAAGCGGCGAGCACTGAGGTGGTGAGCACTGACGCGACGAGCACTGAGCCTACAAACATCGAGACGACGAGCATTCAGTCCACCGACGAAAGCACTGCTACCGCTGGGACTGATGAAATATCCAGTACAGTAGAGGCAACTCCAATAGTCACCCTCATCACAACATCAGCTTCCGGCTCAATTGTGGCCACCTCGGTGCCAGGCTCACTTGTGACAACTTCTTTCCCTGTATCTAGCGTGACAATCTCAGTGTCAGGCAGCCTCATGACAAGCCTAGTACCTGGATCGATTGTGACAACGTCAGTCTCTGGCTCGCTTATTACAACATCATTACCTGGCTCAATCAAGACTATGTCGAGTACTCTGAGCACCGGGGATGGCAATGAGCACACATCTGACAATGCTGCCGGTAATCCATCGGGCTCGGCTAGCGGAAGTCAGACTGATTCAGCAACTCCCTCTGTCTTTTCTCCTGCCTACAATGTGGCAGGATCTATGAATATTCCTCCTATTGGCTTAATTGGTCTTCTGTGGGCTGCTTTCGCCCCACTCCTTTAGGATGCTCTTTTTTTGCTGCGTTTAGTTTTTGTCGTCAGATGCATGTGATGTAATTAGTTCACCTTGGTGATGGTGATGGTGGATTTATTAGTCCATCTTAATCGGGATCATTCCAGTTGAAAAAAGAAAAAAGCTTTTGCGTTTGCTCTGAGACTTTGCACACTTCACTGAAGCCAAGAGACGTGGCGATAGAGATCAAGACATGGAAATTTCATTTTTTTGTCATCGGCATTTCTAATTCAATACACGCTCCCTTCATCTTCTAGCAGATCGGAAAAAGAGAAATGTAGCAAGACTACCGTAATCCACTAATGTCAATTACACTCGTATCTTGAAATGTATGGGTCCAATCAATGGTGTTAAAATCTCTGTATTGCAGTATCCGTTTTCCTAGCAATTTATATGGATAGCGGATTACTAATTCAAAATTACTGCACAACCTGGATTAATTAAATCCCCGGTATGCCGGTCTGTATGCTCCGACAACTAATAAATGCCTGGTCCCTGAGGCATCACCTGGACAATCTTGGTGGTTCCTTGAGATGATCGGCAGATCTGTTATGCCTAACACGGAAAACATTCAAGGGGAAGGGGTTGGCGTCCCAATAATCACCCGACCCAACAAAATGTACTGCAATTGATGAACACATACCAAAACGCGGAGACGGTCCAAGACATTACATACTGTCGAAGTCCCGAGAACAGTTTTGTCAAGCAGACGTAGATGCCCGGATCTCATCCGAAGGGCTACGGACCTGTGGCCCCGGGCCTAACGATTAGCTGACCAATCCCCTGTATCCCCGCTCTCTCGGGGGCATCAGCTCGCCAACTTCCCCTCAATTCCCCTTATCTTCCCGAACACATAATCATCTATCCAAAAATGGCTCAGCAGAGTTTGTCAAACATAATAGCTGCCGCTGCTATCGAGTTTGCCCCTTATGAAGCCCTCTACAGGCATTTCCATACTCACCCCGAGCTCTCGCTACAAGAGAAGGCCACATCGGAAACTATCGCCTCCCATTTATCCCAGCTCGGAGCCTATGAGATCCAGACAAATATCGGAGGATATGGGCTCGTAGGAGTTCTCAAGAATGGCACTGGAAAGACAATTCTTCTTCGGGCCGACATGGACGCGCTTCCAGTCAAGGAACTCACTGGTCTCCCCTACGCGAGTTCGGTGACTATGTCTGACGCCGACGGCAATGAGAAACCAGTGATGCATGCCTGTGGACATGATATGCATATTACATGTCTACTCGCAGCTGCTGAAGTTCTGGCCCGCACACAGAAGGCGTGGAGCGGAACTTTAATAGTACTCTTCCAACCGAACGAAGAACGGGGCGGAGGCGCTCAGGCTATGGTTGATGATGGACTTTATTCAAAGATTCCCATGCCCGACTACGTGTTTGGTCAGCATGTCATGCGGATGCGAGCGGGGAGTGTTGGTTCCAGACCTGGCACGATCATGGCTGCTGCCGATAGCTTGAAGATCACTCTCTACGGCCGCGGTGGTCATGGGTCAATGCCGCATCAAACGATTGACCCCGTTCTACTTGCTGCACATGTTGTTGTTAGGCTTCAGGATATTGTGAGCAGAGAGGTGGATCCGAGTGATCTTGCTGTCGTGACGGTAGGGAGCCTGCAGGCAGGACAAACAGAAAACATCATTGCAGACCGGGCGGAAATTGGAGTTGACTTTAGAACTGTCAAGTTGGAGACTCGCCAGAAAATAATTTCTGCTATCCGACGCATCGTGGAAGCGGAGTGCCTTGCTAGTGGATCGCCAAAACCGCCATTGTTCACACCAACGAGGCGATTCCCGCCAACCGACAACGATAAAAGTCTAGCCTCCCAGCTGGCTGCATCCTTCAGAGACCATTTCGAGGACTTTGATGATGATATTCCAAGGAGCAATGTTAGTGAGGATTTCTCCACGTTGGGTACTTCTCAGGGGCTTCCTTGCTCCTTTTGGTTCATTGGAGGAATTGATCCAGAGGTCTGGGATAAGGGCTCGAGAAAAGAAATACCCATGGAAGAGATCGCTGGGAATCACTCAGCTCTGTTTGCACCAGTGATCCAGCCAACGATGAAGACCGGAGTTGATGCGTTGTGCGTTGCGGCTTTGACATTCTTGAAAAAATAACCATCAGAGGCCCTGCCTTTAGCGGTTCGGAAAGTGTTTGCGGCTGTATATAATGAATCGCCCGCAGCTTTGAGGGGAAATTCTTGCATAGGTATAGGTGATTTGCATAATATTTATTTCATTCCTCTGCAGTTTCGTTCTATTCATCATCACCCCGCAAGTGGTGGAAGCATATATCCGATTTATATTTGATTTTCCATCTCCCACATGTCATTGCTCAAAGCCAGCCAAGAAAGAAACCACAGCAGAGGCAAAAGCCTTAGAATCATCCTGACCTTCTTCAAGATCATCCCCGACCTGCTCCAAGAACAACGCCAGCTTCGATTCCTTCCATCCCATGATCGGCGCAGATTCTAAGCACATCTTGGTCATGCCAAAGACATCCATTTCGTAATGACCCTGCACAGACAGCACTCTGCCGGGGTGGTAAAGTCCCTGAATAGGGCAGATTGGTGTACTTCCAATATTAATCCATGGCGCAGGTAGTGACACCGGCGGCGAGTCAGTAAGCGTAAAGGCAGCTCCCTTCTCAACTGCCATCACCCGATCGCCATGGAACATCTGAATGCGCAACTTTCTCTCGGGAAGATCACCGAGCGCACCCGGGAACGACTGCACAAACGCCTTTTCCAATTGAACGGTATAAATTCCGACCTCACGACCGAGAGGGCATTTCTCAACCCAGACATCGCGGACAGGATCTTCAACGTTGCGGACGAGAGCGTGCGAAATAAGTTGGTGGCCGAAGCAGGTGCCGAGGATACGGACTTCTGGGTATTGGTTGTAAACTGTTTTGACAAATTTCTCGAGTTCTTGCATCCATGGTGAATGGTCCATTTCATATACGCCGGGTGACCCGCCGGTGATCAAGACTGCGTCCACTGGAGATTGCACGGGTATTTGGTCCTCGCCTGCATGGCCGCGGAGCTTGTATAGGTCGGGATAATGGCCTCCCCGGATATCATATGGCGTGATCTTGACTTCGAGTTGCTCTTTCTCGGAGAAAACGGTTTCGTTCAGGCGTGATGCGGTTTCGCGCAGGATGGTTCGGAAGTGGGCGCTGCAGAGACCTCTGGCCTCGTATAATTTGCGGGCTGGAATATCGACATCTAGAACCGCGATATGAATATGGTGAACCATTCTTAAAATATGTGTTTGACTGTGGGATTATGGAGGGTGGAACTGGCGAAGTGAAGATTTCTAAGGGTGGACTACTAAATAAGACAATTTCCCCATACTAACTCCGACGCAGAATTCGAAAACATTTAGGTAAGACATAGCTGTGTGGAATGCAGGAATTTACAACGTATATAATGAAAAAAAGGATCTCAGGAACAAAAGGTGGTCAATTACTCCAACGGACTCCAACTATCACGGAAGCATTAGGTAAAAGCTAAGCTTGTCGCTCAATGAGCTTATTTTTTCTTGATCCACACTGTCTTACACCGAGTCCTCTTCACATTCCTTAGAAATAGGGCTTTTCTACCGAGAATAAACCGGGTGATCTGACTGTGGTTTGTCTGATTCCACTCTAAGCTTCTAGAATCTTTAGAATCTTTAGAAGGCTGGAATCCGCGGCTCTTATAGCCTAATTCGTATATTTGGCCCGAGATATCTACATTCCCGCTCATTCCTCTTCCCGTCCCGCCTTAAAATTGTAGAACAGTTGCTCACTTGGAATCACGACTTGAAATACAGTTTTCTGAGCAATTGATGCATGAAAATCAAAAGTTGGAACTGTTTATTGAATAAAATACAGGTAAAATTTCACATTAGGAAGAAGACACATCAATCATCTTGTCAGCCAGTTCGAGCAAAATATCGGCCATGACATCCATCTTAGTGTCAAATATCTCAATGCACGACTCCTTCTCATAGATCGAGCAGTAGGCACCACGGAAGCTGATTATTTCAAGATGGGTTAGCCGACATCTTCCTCATTCATTTTGAGCATCAGCAAAACTTACCCAGCTTTAACAGCTGCGCTCACATCCCACATATGCGCCGCAACGAACCACTTTTGATCCTCAGACGCAAACTTATCCAGCATGGGCTTATAGGAACCCATCGATGGTTTGACCATATCGAGCGGAGACTCCGATGCGGAGTCATGCTTCATGAACTGATGGCAACTGACGAGGTTCTCGGCGGGCATTTCAAAGCCAGCGCGCTTAAAGTAGCCGCCGACTCTTTCTGTGTCGCCTGTGGTCAAGCACCAAATGGTGAAGCCATTTTCCCTCAATTTCTCCATCATGGTGCGGCAATCCGGGCGAAGCTCCAGCTTTGAATATGCATCCTGGCAAGTGTCTCTTTCCTCCTCGGTCGCGAACGATCTCGGGTCTTCGATTCCGGATAGATATAAGACGCGGTAAAAGAGCGCTTTGAAAACATCCTTGTATGGCACGCTCCGCTTGGACATGTGAAGCATTAGAGACTCGAGCTCGGAAGATTGCATCCATGCAAACCCGAATATCTTGGCCGACAGGTTATGTTCTCGCAGTCGCGGACCGAGAACCTGCTCGATGGTGTCGAGGAAGACATCGAATGACACACAGGTGCCGACCACATCGAAAACGGCGTGCTTCTGGGGGGAGGTCATGTTGTGCATACAAGATTTTGACGGATGATTGAATGAAATTGAGCTAGCAAACTAGAAGGACTCTTAGGATCCATACTGATCCTCCTCTTAAGATCGTTTATTCAATGCGCTTCACCGACTCCGTTGGCATGGTTATCTGATTATCGGAGCTATCCGATAATCTCCATTCCGCAAATCAAGATAGGAATGAGCTTCACTCCGTGGAGCTCCAGAGATGGCGCGGACAGGTGATGGTGTGGGTACTCCGGGACTAACCATATCCGTCTCAGTGCACTCCGACAGCTATCTCCGGACAGACCCACTCCGTCTTAGAGCTCCGTTACCGCCGATTATGTTGTACATTGTTTGGGATATTCCAGCCATAATTAAAGGACTCTCGGCTCTTTGATATATGTATGTCTCTTAGGACAAAAGAGTGGGACTCAAGGCAAAGGAGAGCAGACGATGCTCCCCGGCTGAACATCTACCTACTAAGATGTCGCTGCCTGAGGCCTCCACCTCAACACTATGGATGGCTGGATATATATATTGCACAGAAGGGTTGGTGCATTGGGGTGGAGTAAACACATGCTACTCCGTATGTATATATATGGCTATTCCAGAATACTTTGTTTAACATACAAACAAGTTCTCATTATACGCACTTTATAGATCCCTATATAAAAACTCAATACATGAAACGCCTTAGAAATATCAAGTTCATTGTCATAATGCACCTCTCAAAGTCAGGTAAACTTGAAGACCGAGTCAACAGATCTCACAGACATTGTAATCAACGCTCAGCTCCATAGAATGTTCAGCCTGCGAAGTCCTTTCTTTGGCTTGGGCTTGGGCTCTGGGTTGCGATTGGCAATATCAATAAAGGGTTGGATGGGAATATCCTCCAAGGGGATGATCTTTGTCTTGCAAATAAACTTGTATCCAAAATACATGATCAAGAAAAGAGGAATATTGATATAGGAGGAGACGAATCCTTCGTTATCCCAATGTCCTTTGATGAAGGTTGAGTATCCACCCGTGATGAGCAGGATGCCGAGCATGAACAGCGAGGCCCAGCTGATATATGGCTGAAGTGGCGTGGCCCACGGTAGATCATTCCGGGAGATTCCTTGTTTCTTGCAGCCATAGTAGAAACGAAGATATGTCACCAGAATAGTGAGCCAGTTGGTCAGAGTTGTGATGGAGACAAGGTCTTGTAACCAATCAAATACGGTGTTCGCAGTTGAGGAGAGCGACATGTATCCCAGGCACATGAAGAGACCGTACAGCGAAACCGCGACCCACGGGACCGAAAATCTGTTGAGTCGAGTGAAAATCTTCGGGGCTTGACCGTTCATCGCCAGCCCGACTAACACCCTAGTCCCTCCGAGCATGTTTGAGTTGCCTGAAGACCACGCCGATGTGATGATGACAGCATTGATGATTGATGGCACTCCCTTGATGCCAGCCAGAGTAGCTGCGATCACAAAGGGAGACTGAGAAGCGGTGCCACTAGAATTAGTGAGTTTAGGTTCATTGGAAGGGACCACAAGGCCGACCATGAAGATTGAGATGACTGAAAGGAAGAGGTCAGATTTAGAAATGTGGCTTTATATTCTCTTTTGGAATCAACTTACCGTAGAAAATCAGTATGCGAACGAAAACACGCTTGGCAGCCTGTGGAATAGCCTGCCTCGGACATTTTGTCTCTGCAGCGGCAACAGTAATTACCTCAATCCCCGAATAAGCATAAAGGGCACTATTGAGGGATGTCCAAACACCAAGAAAGCGACCAAGGGCGCCACCGATCCCAAGGTATTGGACAAAAGGACCAGGATTGCGCCAGTATTCAAACCCGATGGTTTTATGGTCAGGACCGCCACCACAAGTGATCACAAGAGCCTGATTGATACTTGTTAGTCCATCAAAACTCACCAAGCTTTTAGGGATCAAAATGGGCTCACCATTATATTGATTCCAATGATCAGCATGATCTTCAACATGGAGAAACCGAACTCGAGCTCCCCATATACTCTGACAAAGACCGACGCAGTACACACCATGAGGAGTCCAAAAATAGTGATCCAAATCGCACCATTGAGGTCAGACCAAAACTGCACTAGCACTGCAGCGGCCACGATCTCTGCGGGGATAGACACAAGATAAGAATACACCACGTTGTAGCCGTTGGCGAAGGCTAAGGCCGGGTCAACAAAGTATTCTGCGTAACGGACTATTCCACCATTCAAGGGAACAAGTGCACCCATCTCGCCCACCGCAAGAGTTACGGTGCCCGCAACACAGCCCATGACCAAGTATCCCAACAGGGCACCCAGGGGACCAGATCGCGAAAGCGCTCGACCAGAGCTAAGGAAAAGGCCTGTTCCAATTGTACCAGCTAAAGCAATCATTTGAATGTGTCTCTGATGAAGGCCTTGCTTCAAAGTCGAAATTTCTTCGAAATCTCCAGCATATTCGTCTTCGGGTGGAACAGGTGACTCTGGGTCTTGTATTGTGGTCTTGACATCTTTGTTGAATTCATGGACAGCGTCGGGGGAGTCCTCGTTACTAAGGGAGGTCTTGGCCGTAGACATCTCGATTGACTGGGATGTTCTCTCGTTGTAGAAAAGAAACGGGTTGCCAAATTGGGTGGTCCTTTCTAAATAGCGCAGACTGCGACGCACTTCCGGAGACGATTTTGCTTCAACTTATAGTCTCCCTTGTTAGTGGCCTTCACCATTGTACAATAATAGCGGGAGAGGGTATATAAACGTTGATTGGCAGACGCATGAAGATACAAACTAGCAAGGAGCCAATCGGCAGACTTGAGAAAACGGCTGACAGGGGGTGTTAGATAGCAGCACATGGGGATAAATGGGGTGAAGATCAACTCCGCAAAATCTACTCCGTGAGATAGCTCTAGCTCCGATAGATAGGTGTACTGATTCGGTTTGGAATTGGCGGTTCGAGCACCGATGTCGATTAGATGATTGTACTAGAAATCCGATATGGCTTAATGAGAATATCTTTCCACAATCCGAGAAGAAGAATCAATCCATAGATAATAGCGTTCTGATACAGGGAAAATAAACCCTGAGAGCCCAGGTAGGTAGGCTCATCACTTATATAATACTCATAGTTGGATACCTATGGAACAATTGCAGGCGTCTTTCTAGTATATTTCTTGTATTATGGACCCCGCAGTAAAATCCATCGAGGTTACTATATCTCATCGCTTGACGCCAATTATATCACCTCCAGCAGGGCCATTCCTCACCTTCTCAAGTCTCTCCTTTGTAGATTGGAACAATACTGGGAGACCAGCATCTTCAAACTCGATCCCCCTGTGAATCATCCTGGCAACCCCAAGCGCAGACAGGAAAGCCAGAGGCATTCCATGGCCATTGAAGCCTGCAAGTACATACTGGCCCTCCTCCCCAGGAACGTCGCCAACATGGGGCTGGGAATCCCAGCTGTACCCCATGATCCCGGTCCATACTTTGTCCACCTGGGCGGCGCTGTCTTCCCAGCCATGGAAAAATTTCTGCATATAACCATTGTAATGATCTTTCACTTCTTCAATGAGACTTGAATCATCCACGCTATCATACCATGAACTCAGAACAGGATGGTATACCGAGTTAGCTCCGCCCACAACAATGCTGCCGTCGGCACGAGGGATGAGGTATGAAACGACGTTGTCTTCTTCGCGGACTATGTAAGAGTTGTTGAGCAGAGGCGGTCTTGTACCTTCAGGAACTGAAATATGAGTACACAGTCCTTTGCACGGAATGATGGCTTCACGGTACTGTGGAAGAAGAGCCGATATATAGGCGTTGTTCGCATACACGACTTTCCGGGCGACTGTCGTGCCTCGTGGAGTTGTAACAACAAAGCTGCCCGAAGATTGTCGACTCACAGAAGTCACTGGGGTGTGAGTCTGGAGATTGACTCGCCCAGTCTCTAGAATTGCAGCCGTCAAATGGAGAATAAGCTTGTACGGCCACAGAGTTCCTGCCGTGAAAGAAGCGCATGCCTTGGCGCCTTTGACGCCTGATATACCTTCTGCATCCTTGCCAAGAACAAAGAATACATCCTTCATGTAATCCAGATCACGGGATATCAGAGTGTCATAACGCTCCTTGGCCTTTTGAGCAGCTTCCTCGTTGCACCATACATCGATAGACCTTGTGAGGGTAAAGTCGCAATCAATGTTCTCCTTTTCAACCAAAGACTTTATGGCCTGTACATGTGCGATTTCGAATTCTATCACCTCCAACGCGTTTTCTATTCCTGCTCGGTCGATGACCCTGGTCATGGGGGTGTACATGTCAGGCCTGAGGTGACCACCATTGCGTCCTGTCGCACCCGAACAGACAGCCCGTGATTCCAGTATTGTGATAGAAAGGTTGTTGTAGCTAGCCTCTCCTTTGACCAAATGGTATGCCGTGCTAATTCCTGCATAGCCGGCGCCTATGATGACGACGTCACTCGACACTGGAAGCTCTTCTGTTGTCCGATGGTCGTGCAGTTCGTGAATGTCTCGATGCCAAAAAGGCACAGTCGCGTTTTCGACAGGTTGCCGGGTTGTGTTGAATGAGTCCTCTAGAGACATGGTGGGCGAAGTGGGATTGATTGCTGCTGTTTGAATTCGGAGAACTTCCGCAAGTTGATGAGCTAGGCTACTTGGCAACCTGCTTCGTCGACCTTAAATAATGCACGGAGTTCCATTTCTCATTAGTCAATGAGTATTCACAAATGGAGTGAATGAAGGTAACTCCGATTTGTCGATGTTCAATAATGACAGATCAACGCCGTGAGCCTTATCAACCCCGCAACCTCCTATAGCGCCCCGGCGTAGCCCACTCCGACAGGCCAAAAGGAACTCCGAAATACAGCTATCTTATCGGTCCAGTCGATTAGCAATGGTAAAAGACCAACCTTTGGAAGGTTAGATGCGTTCAAGACTGAGGAGTTGGAACTGTTGGTCCGCTGAGATTGCCGAATTCAAGCCAACCACCCTGAGTCCAATCAACGGTGTTCAGCCAATCCATATCATTGAATGTGTTCAGCTCAGGGTCAATAGAATGCTCTCTGTCTGTCGCAGTAGGTATATTTTGACTCGGAGACTGCTGATCTTGCGGACCGTAGTGTCTCTGAATCTGCTGTTCACTCAGCATGTCTTGTGTTTGCATGCCAGATGACGATCCCAAAGAATCAAATACAGCGTCAATTATTCTCTGCAAAACTGTCTTGAATTTCTTGCTAAGCTGCGCATTATTATCCGTGGGCCGTATCCAGTCAAGCAAGGCTCTGAAAATGACCAGATTTTGGACGACATCCGACCGCGAGAATCTAACACGGTCGCGAGAGGAGGCCGTCGATGGAAGTTCACTTGGTGGCGCTGGTGGTACTATATTACTTGCTCGAAGAAGCTCGACACATAGAATTCCCGCGCAGGGCATTCCATATGATACTGCCTGGATGACTATTAGTTATTGTTGTGTTCTCAAGCTAAATAACCGCCTGGGCTCTCCATAGACTTACAATCCAATCAAAGGCGTGATGAAATTCTTGCAGCCGATCTCGATTAAGCCAGAGAGACAGGATAACAGACATTGTCTCTTGGGCGATATCGAACAAATCTTGGCCACCACTGAATTGCCGCGATACAAGTAGGCGTTGGAGGAGGAACTGACATTGCAATACATCAAGTTGTATGCGGGTAGTCATATACACTTCATGGGCGCTCCGTTCATTGAGTCGTGAGCTTGACTGCGGAGTCCATCCAGAGTTCTCCTGGTACTGGATGTGCGGAGGATACGAAGCAACTATCTTCCCCAACTGGACTTTTAGGTCTCTGTGAGAATTTTCAAGTTAGCGAAATGTATGCAACTTTGCGTCGGAATAACGCACTCTACCTGGGACTTGGTAAACGTCGAATTGACACTAAGAGTTAATTCCAAGATTCCCTCCCGGATAGGACTAAGCATTGCCAGTGCTCGAAGCCACGTTGTTGTGAATATGCGACCATCTGTGTTCCAGCCATCCGAGTCAAGTTTTGCAATGGCCGCAGTCAGTCTTTCTCGGCCCCCATATATATCTTCCTCGCATAAATCCAGCGGAAGAGGGCATTGACAGTAACGGTTACTGAGCATAGGTGGTCGGGCATTGAACAAACTGTGACTTTTGTCGAGGTAATACATCGACGAAGCAAGTGATGCTCGGTGCTGAGAAAATGGCGTTATTTCCTTCACAGGAGCCAGGCGGTGCAATCCTGCGCTTATAAAAGCACTGCGAACAGTCCCGTAGTCGACCCGCACACGGTCACCTAGGCTGAAATGAGCTTGCTTCTACAATACCGATGTTTCTCGCGACTCACTCTCGTCACTGATAATAATGGCTTGTAGCCTGGTGCTATTCTTCATGCAAATAACCATGATGTCACTGATTTCAAAGCTCCCTTCACAAAGCCTTATACAGGCAGCGGCACATTCTCTCATCTTGTCTGCAGCAGTGTTGCGATTCCGTCCACACTGCTCGGGTAGATCAAATACCGGGTCCCACTCTTGTTTGCATCTGAATGCAATTCCAGCCCAGCTGAAGAGGATTCCGATCATCTCCCATCGCAGATTAGGTCCACTAAACCAGTTCATCCAGGAAGCATGGTCGTAATCGCTTGTGACATCGCATTCAGGTGTTGAGTGAGGTCTCTTGTGGTTGAGAAATAAATCATTTGCTACCCTGGATACTGATTCTCTTGTCCGGAGCTCACCCAGCTCACTGGCATATTCTGTCCATACTTGTTTCAGGCATTGCTGGATCATGGTGGGGGACAGCCACACATCGTAGATATGATGGATTCCTGTCATTATCATGTCACACGTACGAGCAGAGGGAAAATTCAGCAGTGTTCTGACAGCCAACTCCACGCGAGACCTGGCCGTTACATCAGGTTCGCGGCCTAGCTCGTGGTGATTGGAGTTAGCTGCATCAAGCATCACTGCGCCAAAGCTATCTTGGTTTTCAACAAAGACAGCAGAGAATCGGGTCGTCTCATGTTGGCCCAACTCCTCTTGGAATAGCATGTTCCGTTTCGATGCGCTGGAACGGGCTGTTAGCCCCGAACTCGCAGCGGGGCTCGGATCTGTAGGAGGGAGAGATATCCCTGCCCCAATCGAAGATTCAGTTGGAATCTGGAAAGAGCTAGAGACATTTTGAGTAGTCAGTAGGTCCGCGGGCAGTGTTGCGTCGAAGTGTATAGGCGTGTGGGAAGTTGGAGCTCGGCGCTTGGTCATAGGAGCAGGGTGATAAATGCAGTTCAGGCTGCGCAGGACACAACGCGAACATTTTGGGCTCCCATGGTCACAGCGAATCTTGGCCTTGCGACATGGTTCGCACGCTTGAAGTTGCCCATTATGGCGTTTTCTTGGTTCTGTGAGCATCGCGCCTCAACATGTGTAGTTCTCTCTCGTTATTGTTTAGCTGGTCCACGCAAAATATCAGACATTCCTGAAAAGAGAATGTTAAGTACAACTATCAAGCAAAGGTGGAATGAACCGCTATGGTAGAGCAAATTACCAGCAACTCAAGGTCGTTAAGTGAATCAAGTATTATGGCTCTATCGTAGCTGATAGGGGGATTAATTGTTCAAGAGCCAATCATCTTGTTAGTACTGTATTACCTAAATCAATAATCGTGCCAAGCGCCCGACACACGCACTAGTACCACTAGTACGGAATAGTACATATCAGTCAATAATTCTCCGATCAGGCTGACTTGGGGGTCCGAACTACTAGTGCGAGCACTAGGCTGTCAATGGCATTCCCCAAAAGATTCTACCCCCACCCAACTCTCTTTTCTCAACCACTGTTCAAGAGTGAACACACAAGTACCATGCGAGCACTAGACGAGATACCGTATATATGGGACCTTGTGTTCCGAGTAAGATTCCAGTACTTGCGCATCCCATGAGCCATTGTTCTAAACGCAGCATAGGTGTCCACTCGAAAGGAGCTCAAAACTCTATGCGAGGTTTGCAAATTATTTAACGACCTCGCCACGCCAATTTTGTACCGATCGGTTGTACTTCGCAAGTCAAAGACTACTGGCGAGAACTGGCATGTATTGCCTAGCGATGTTGACGATCCAGCGAAAGCCAGAGATCTGTCATTTAGCCTCTTTTACCGACTCCTTCACGATGATAAGATAAGAACTTGGACTCGTGAATTGACGCTCGCAAAGATATACGATAAAGCAGATCTAGCCATTGTCAACCAAAAACTCAATCATCCAGACGAGCCGTTGGCTGACTTGGTGAAGCAAATGCCTAATCTTGGCAATATCTAGTAAGATATTCTTTTCTGCTCCACTTTGATACTACGCAAATGCTTATGCATTTAATTGGTCACCTCTATTAAACAAAATCATAGCTTTCACGGCATGTTTCCTTTGACGCAGGGGTTTCTGAGTGCATTGAACGAACACAAGAGATCGCCAAGACTTCATCTGCTCAACTGTAACTGGGATAACATAAAGCAAGACAGTGCACCGATACCCTTTATACGGACGCTACATGTAAAAATCCCTGCTGGTAGATCCTATTATGAGCAGGAACCGGTGGAACATGCTTCAATCCTTCGCGATGTGTTTACCGCATATCCCAAGCTCGAAGATTTATGCCTCTCGGTCTCCCGATTCGAAATCACTTGTGCCAATGGGGGCCGCGGTAGTTTTTTTCCAAGAAAAATTTTAAAATTCATCTCACCTGAAACCGCTTCTGGCCTATCTGAGCCGAGTCTTTCCTTAGATGGCTACATTCTTGGAAATGAAGGCCCATTTTGGCGAGAGCAATTCCCATGGCATAACCTACGGTGTCTCAATTTGGGTCCTTTGGACGACAATCCAGGTTTTCTGGAGAATATTACTGGCTATGTACAGAACCTAACCAATTTCAGCATCACACGATTTTGCAAACACGACGTCATGACCCACACAGGGCTTGACTTGTTTTTGTCTTCCTTTCATACCTTGGAAACCCTGACAGCTAAGGGATATGTCCCTTCAGTACATGCCGTGGGGCATCATCCCAATCTAAAACATGTTTGCCTACATGCGATCGAGCATCCCACACGGGAAAGACCGGTTCTCAGTGTGATGGAGATAGAGTTCTTGGACCAGTCTTGTCCTATTCTGACTACACTAGAGATTGACATGAATACAGATGGCATATGGGTTAGTTCCATGAAATATTGAATTTGACACAAGCTGATCACAAAATATAGCCTGGCCCATTCATTGATTCTTTGGCGATGGGATTCCCTAACCTTCGCCAGCTATCTGTTCATGTTGAGCTGGGATCCCGGCGAATGGAATTAGAATTGCAATTGGAAAAGCAATTGGCACAACAACTGTTCCGAGAAACAAGGCAGCACCTTCAAGAGCAATCCCTAGAAAGATTTGACGACGATGAGTTCTATGGTAACTTATACGACTCATCGGATGAGACAAGTGGAGTGGACAGAGAGGGCCACGATGCTTACAGGGAAGAATGGCAGGAGTCGGTATTGACCGAATCCAACGCGCAAGCCTTTGGAAACGACCTATTCAGTCGGAGACATGGGCCTTCGAATCTTAAGAAGATAACTTTGAGAACAGGCGAGAAGCTGCGTCATGACCTGGGACGGAGGAATCTCTATTCATTTGATGAAGATCGTTTTGAGCGAATTTTTGAAATATATTCTCCTCCAAACGAGGGGGATGAGCCATTTCTTAAAGAACTAGAATCAGAGCAGACTCGAAGGATTAGAAAAACGAGTGAAAGGCTTGACCGCATGTTTGGGCCATGCAATTATGTCTGTTAAAAGTGATTCTAGAGTAAAGGTGGTTCATCTTCTACATTAGGAGATCTCCGTGAAGCCACGTCCAAATGTACATAGTATGTTGAGTAATATGTGTAATGGTGATCACATAAAGCGGCAAACATACCTACTTTTATTATAATATTATTTCTAGTAAATTGCGTAGCTGCTTACCCAGTTGTTCGAAGCGAAATTTCAGAAATTTGTACCGGTGGTGGACTTGGTAGTCAGGTTATGCATATATTGATTCCGCTCAAGGTAAGTCCGCTGTTGGCATGGTAATTTCACTATATTTGCACTTATTTATTAAAGCTGGGCTCAACAACGAAGTGTTGGGCTGGGAATCATGATTAGGACTACGGTGCGGGTTTCTGGTTGAAGGCTTCTTATAGCAGTTGCTGAATGCCAAGAACTTACTGTCGACTTCATAGGACCCCAGCTAGCAAGGTGATTTAAAAAGAAAATTTAGTTGGTAAAAGTTGTGTTTATTTCCCTCTCTATGAATGTATCGTAACTTGATATCGTAAACGACAAGCTACCGCACTATGTACTTACTACCCACCACCTCTAATTGCGGGCCATACGAAAAGACAACTATTTCCAAGTATGTTTGTTGAGATGTAGAGCCGGCGTGAATAGAGCCAAGTCAGAACAAAAGGAAACAAAGAAAAAGTCAATGGGCCAAATCTGAGGACAAAAAAGAATGATAGATTGCTACATTAATACCTAATATCTATAATGAGCCCGACATTCAATATCATGTCCCGGTCCATAATCTTCATCACGTCTATGACTATAGCAGTTCATATAATGATCGTATAAACCATTTTGGAGCAGTCCCTTACGCTCAAGTCTGAGAATCAAATAACAAGCCCAGAGTTGGCAGCTCTGCAGTGGAATCCTTTTAGCCTCCGATCGGACAATAGGACTCTCGCTTGCGTAAATCTGACCAAGATAGTGTGTGGTTTCGACTGATGCACTATCAAACCTCTTATCAGATTCAATGGACAACTGACGATTACCCTTCGAGCCAACGCTGTGCAGCCGGGTGCCACGATCAGCACCTGGCCACTTTATAACGATCATCCAATGGATGGCACCGTTACCTCCCGGCTTGCAAATTTGAACGTAAATGTCACGGTAATCAGGATCAATTCGTCTTTCACGAGATGCGCCATGCTGGGGACATACTCGACCTGACATGGCTGCGATATGGAAGATTGCTGGAGTTGGTAACTGTAGAATGTTGTGAGTATAGAAACTGTTTTGGACTGTGAATATTGTTCGTTGTGATGATGGAATTCATTTCAAGCGATGGCTTGGTCATTCTTATAGACATCTCTCGAGTTCATCTCTTTGTGGTGAATACAATGAGTTGGTAGAAGTCTTTGTTGGGTCTAAATAAAGACCCAAAAGAAACCCTTTATTACTGGAAAATGGTGCACGGCATAATTGCTTCAAATAAAATTTCTGTTCATTTCACAACGTACACTTGATAAGCTAGTTACTACTACGTATGTGGTGATTGTATGCCATGTGCATACAAAAGGTACAAATAATTCATTTTGCTAAGAATTCATTTTGCTCAATCTTAGAACTAGCTGGAGAAGAAACAAGTGCATCAATATACAAAAGAAAATGATTAAGATTTCCATATATAGTGAAGAGGAGAACACTTGAGACTGTGTACTCTCAGGCACACGGGTCGATTCAGCACTCGCAATCCAGCACCATACCCAACTAGCATACAGAGAGGACTGGGGGTACTCCCCAAGGAATCATGTCTCTACTGGCTATCTATACTCTCCGCCCTCTATGATTATATAATGAAACTCCAGAATAAACCTTGAGACGGGAGGCAGGCTCTATAGTAGTGAGGGATAAGGTTCCCCACTACAATAGGTATTGATAGGACCCCGTTTAGATGTCTCGAAAATAAATCACCAGGATTGTATTGTGCCTATGATCCTTGACAGTTGTTGCTTGTATATTTGGATATGGAAACGCTTTGAGTAATTGTAATGGCACAGGTATTCTATGTGTGTTACTTTAGACATTTCATGAATTACCAAGTGTTATGTTGAATAACGTTTCTATTTATTGTAGGTTATGTAGCGTAATTTGTACATCAAATCTCAATGATAATAGCTGTAATATGTAGAGTGACAAATGTATGTAGAATCTGACAGCCCCTAGATTCACTGGTGCATTTTCTAGGGGCAACTACATGTGCATTGGTAAGCTGGTTTTCTGTGTCTACATTTTTCGTCATCTTTGCATATTCTCTCGATCAACTTGATGCTGAAAATCAATCAAGTTTTGCAACTGATGCCAATCTCCAATTGGTACGGAAAATTTATACTAGAGGTAAGGGATTACCTGCATTCATGAGATGAAAGAAATCAGGAATCACTTTGCAATAAAACTGGTTTGTTGTTCTTCATTACTGCACGAAGGTGATAACATACAAGTACAACACCACAAGGATTTTCTTTTCCTCGTTGAACTGCCCTCAATGCCCCATGATGACGTTTTGCATGAGTGTCCCAACAACCTTGGAAGTTTCTCAGGTCTCAGGACAGAGAGTTAGTTCATGAACTTAAATGACTTGGTCAGTCCTTGTAACACATTGAGCAAAAGCGCATCAGTCATCCTAGACCCCTAGTATATATGTCAGGATACATCCCTATCTTAAGTTCTAGCCATGAATCAAAGTCAGTTCTTCATTATGATATGATGTTTGACCACGAGCATTGCCAACAGGATCAAGGGTTGAACGTAATGGATAAACAAACTGGAATAACAGCTCGCTTGGACCTTGATACACAGCAGCTAGCTTCTCAGTATGATGTCCTGAGTGACTTCCAATATGAACTAGGCGTATTTCTTATAAGGATGTTGGATATTTCACCTTCAGAACGAGTTCTCGATATTGGGGCTGGGACTGGTCGTCTCACATCTCATGTCGCAGATTTTGTCGGCGAGGAAGGATGGGCCATTGGCATTGATCCGCTCAAAGATCGTATCGACGTCGCTCGCAAAAAAATACAGCCAAACCTATCGTTTTTTGTTGGTGACGCTCACGACCTGTCCCGATTTGATTCCGGTACCCTCGATGTTGTTTTCATGAACTGCGTTTTTCACTGGCTACGAGATGAGACACAAGTTCTCAGTGAATGTGCCCGTGTTTTAAAGCCAGGAGGTCGCCTCGGAATATCAGCCATGTCCAGAAATCACCCTTTCCGCCCTTACGAAATCAAGAAATTTGTCCTATCAACAGATCGTTATCGAGATTACTCGGAGAGTGCAAATCGCGTAATCAAATATTTCACTGAAAACGAGCTTGGTAATCTTCTCGATGAGTCCGGATTTGCTCGCAGGACTATTTCCCCACATTCAGGGATGGTAACATGCCAGGACTCTCAAGGTCTACTGGACCTGCTGCGCGCAAGCTCATTTGGAAACTTTCTTGGCCATCTTCCCGAGGAATTGCAAGTTACAGCTTCCTATGAAATCCAAGAGAAATTGGACCGACTTCGTACGGGCGAAGGCATGTCATTTGAACTTGTGAGTTTGATTGCACTGGCGATTAAAGATTGAAAATATGGGTCAACTAATTTCTGGGCTACTCCCTGAGGGTTGCTACACAATCTGCGTAAGCCAGCCATTTCTAATCATGCTCAATTTATTTTTGTTGACATATTGAGATAACAGTGGCCTTTTATCGAAACGTTTAGGCGATGGAAAATTCAGCTGATGAACCAGAAGTATCTGAAGTATTCTCTTATTGTTCAGTTTTTGACTTTCATTTATCTCCAAATAAATAATAATGAAATATCTTGCCGCGAAAACCATTGCTCAATTTTCGAGAAGAATAATACTGATTGATGGAGACACGGTTGAAATCAGTTTCGCCTTCTTATTCTTTACAACTCTGTCTTAAACTCCTGAACAATGCTACTCTATATGTACAAAAATCTATACCTATTAGGATTCAAACCCCAATTCAGGGTCTTCTTTGAACTGTTATATATTATAGTATTTCATAGCTTAAAATCTAGTTTAATGGAGGAATAGAGGCTTAATGCATACTAGGGAGCTAACTTCCAGTAATGTATCAAGTTTTACTTAGTATCCTTCTAATATAGGTATCTTAATATACATAATTACATTTCTTCTAGTTCATCAGCATCGACTTTATTTCGGCCACAAGATGCATGATCGTCACTGTGAAATTCCTCTTTTGCGTTAAAATTTTGCTAAAAGAAATATAGATTTAAAGATTTAATCAATCAAGATTGCCTGATCGAAAATCGCTTTCTCGGTCTTTCTCAGACCGCTACTGTGGCTAGTAACATGTGCAAAATGCTCCCATTCCCAGTTCGTTGTACATAATTCCACCCTGATTACAGGGTTCATCCTTGGATGTTATGAAAAAGAAAGGCGTCACATGTGGATTAAACGCACAAGGTCTTGAGGACCCTTACACCTTCCAATATTTATAAGAGGATGGATGCCTTGAATGATAGTATGCATTTTTTTCCTGTTAAAGAGTCTTTCATTTCCCCGAATATGTGTCATTGATAGCCCAAGGACTTGCAGCTTGTGTCCTTTACATCATCTCTTTCCACAATGGCATCCAACTCCACCCAACCCTCAGATGAGTGCAAAAGAATCGAGGCACTCATTGATACACACCCCTTGATAATATCACTTCGTGCAAATCCATCCTTGCGCGAAAGCAGATTTTTTGCTGGAGCTCCAGACGCTGTGCGTGGTATCTTCACATATCGTGACCATTTCGGCCCAGGGAAGATTACGGTGGATCCAGTAGTATTCTTGGATGAGAGCTGCAAATCTCTGATTCAGATATTCCATCTTGGACCTAAGCTAGCAGGGTGGCCAGGAAGGCTCCACGGTGGGCTGTTAGCTACGATGATAGATGAATCTTTCGGTCTGTGTTCTCCCTTTGAGATGCCGAAAAGAATCCCAATTACTGTGCGTCTGGAAATCAACTACCAGAATCCTTCGCCTCCAAATGAGCTTTACATCCTGGAAGCTAAGTTGGTCCGGCTCGAAGATAGCACTCGCACTGGGTGGGTGGAAGGCACGCTAAGAGTACTGAACGAGAAAACGAGCCTCCGATCAGAGAATTCGACCCATGAAATACTGGTAAGCGCAAGGGCAGAATACAAATATCTCAGCAGTCATCTTTGAATCTCCATCGACCTCCAAATAGCTGGGCTAGATTGGGACCTTTGTTTGAAGTGTTAATGACCCCAAACTTGCCAACAAATCGAGATGCAATCTATATCTACCGAGTTGATCATTTCAAGTGCTATATTTTGTTTGCTTGTAAATGCAAGAATGTGTGTTAGGATGTATATCTGTCAGGAGAGGACTATGTCGAAGTGCACGGTGGAATGTGAGTAGCTTAATTGAGTAGAGAGTTATAGAAGCTAGGTTCTACGCTATGGAATCTAACAATATCATCTCGTTCTGCTATCAAATAGACTGAATCAAAATTGTCAAAGTTATCAAGTTAATAGCCACAGCCTCGTATCTGAGCGTAGCCATCAGAAGTCATCTTGTCTGTCAAGCTTACCGCTCAGGGCACCATCGTCTAGAAGACTACCAAACATAGCCGCTTCAAAGAGTCGATTCACCTGCCAGGCATGATATGAAGCATGGGCAATCAGCCATGCCATCTCATATGCAAACCCCAGTGTGTATGCCCGCACCATAGCTAGCTGGAGTCTCTCAGATAATTCATCCTCTATTCCCTCGTCTGCAACACCCTTGGAGACATAATCCATTAGATTACCACTGAAACAGAACCATAGCTCAGCCAGTAAACCGTTGCTTTCATCGTGTGTGCGTAGGAAACCTTCTACTTGATCACAGGGGTCACCGCCGTTGCAAGCCCCCTGCAGCGGTCTGCTGAAGCCAGTAGTGTGCATCTCAGGGTCAAAGGCTTCATCAAAGTCCGCCTCGCGCGGTTCCATCACCGTCTTACGCACTTTGGGGTAGCCAAGTAGAGCACGCCGAAGGAATCGGTGTCTGTTGTTCTGGATATGCCATGTGAATAGTACGGCACACATGCGCGCTCCCGGTTCCATCCAACGTTCACATAGCATCCTAGAGCCCGTACAGGCATAAGAATCATACACTCTCAATAGGGCTTCCTCGGTGACTATGCCTGTGGAAGTAATATCAGCCGTGTTTAGGAAGGAGTTCACCAACTCCGAGTTGTTTAGATCTGAGCCGACGTCGACGACATCTGTCCCAGGATTGCTAAAGACCATGTCGCTCATCACTGCAGCGGGATCAAATCCACGCACAATGGCCTCTTTGTTTAGACCCATCAGGCTGGACTCAAAAAGATATACAACCTGAGCCTCATGTCTATTCAGCTTGGCCACTTTATTAGCCAATCCTGATTTGTGGGCCTTCTCTAGAGCAATTTTCCTTTTTATATACTTCATACCGATCTCGACAGCGGCCCTCCTTTCAGCACCGCCTGGGGTTATGCAGTGCATGGTGATGGCTAAGCGCTGACTTGATCACGTTTTCGAACTCCGGAAACGCTTTACCATAACCGTGTTCATAGTAAAAAACCGTGTCGGTACAATAATTGGAGTAGAGCGTTTCAGCATCATATGCCCCAACTAACATGTTGATCATTCCGGAGCCGAATAACACGTTGGTGGTGGTCAGAAGTTTTGGCCATTTCTCCGCACCAAGAATCTGAACCACCTTCTCGGATGCGGGTACAAGGCCGTGACCTTTGCTGGGCAAGATGTGTCCAGAATTGTGTTGCTCCCTTCTCCATTTCTGCAGATCCTCGGAGAGATGTATCTCTGCGACATGCTTTTGTGACCCTTCCTTGGTTGACTCAAGGCACTCAAATACCCGTGTAATCGACTCTATTGCGGTGTTTGCAAGGTCTTCAAGTAACTCCAATCTGCCATCTTCGATAATTTCGCGTGTCTCTGCGTGCCCCGTATGGATTGGGAAACTAGGCTTCTGGGTCCCTTTGTCCGTGGCCTCACCCCAGAAATAGGGTGGGCTTCTATTTGTCAATAGTCGGACAGCTGGCTGCATATTGCCAAGTGCAAATAACAATTGACACTTGTCCTGTTCATCTTGTCTTGGATCCATGGCTAACTGATATGAGCTTATTTGATTTGCAATTGAAGGCGACTGGAAATCGAAAGGCCAGTATAAAATGGATTATGATCAAGCACAGGGCCGTGTTGGGGTACTTACTTATCTACCTTGATCTCACTTGTAGCATGTGTTATCCCACCTAGCCAGGCATTTTCGGTGCGGTGAAAGCCCCTTACTCTACTATGTTTGACATGACGTGGGTAAAAATGCCCTCCTCCAGGCTTTTTCCCACATCCAGAAGTGAAAAATGCAGCACGTGGGATGATAGCCTATTACAACATCACGTACGTAAATTGGAATACCGCATCAGTGTACGGAGTCTTAGAGATCTTGGAGAGATTGAACCAATTGGGGGCTGCCTCAAATCTCTGTGGCAGAGTGACTTTACATAGCATATGTTGTTGGCTAAATCAGGCAATCAATGATAAGGATCTCGATGGGTCCAGGCAGTTGAGAAAGTGCTTCAAATTCATAGGACATATGATGCCTGCAATCGCCACCTATAGTTACTCTTGTCACTTCAGACTAGAATGTTCTCAGGATGGTGCCCTCAGCGTCGGTGTCCATCTTAGGATAATGGCTTGCTGAGCTGCGGTCAGATGTGTTCCATCAACTATTACTATCGTGGGACTGTAGATCTTGGTGTGAAAATAAGGCGAAGGCCGTAGTAGGAACTTATGCTGTGATACCCACACGCAAGTCAAATTCAAATATCCTAGACTATAGGGATACCCTAATGAGATTTATGTATATGGCTAGCTATGACGTCAACCATTTTGCGCATTCCTGTTCTCTTCCATTCAATCACCTGGTTAAGAAGCTTGCGCTAGAATATGTGTTGGCTAGAATATGTGTTGGACACACCTTTTTCCAGTGCACCCATGAAGGACGCAAGTATATCACGGCAGTGCTACAGTAAAGTGGGGCAAACTCGCACCAGACACCTGTGCACAAGGTATGCAAGATCAACCAATCTCAGGGTATATCTATCCTAGTTTCTCGATTCATTTCTGCAGTAATTCTGGCTTCAGCATAGTCCCCTACTCCAAATCAATAAGCCTCGGTTGCATAATACAACCTTGATCGCAACTTAAATGTTCAATTATCTCTTAGGTGATGCTAGCTTGGACGACATAGTTGTAATCAAAAGGGATCCACTGTATGCATTGGCATAAGCAGACAGCATAAATGAACGACAAAAAAATGTATATTAAATATTGATTCAAATACCAGAAAACATGATTGGTTCCCTAGAAAGCTTCCTAGAAAGCTTCATGGTAAAATAAACGATCTGTACAAGTTAAGAATGGTTTACACCCAGGCCTTTGATAAGAGAGATGAAAGAACCATATAAAAGCGATCATAGACCATATGGCACACCAGATCCCAGATAATTCTACGTATATATGTATTGATTTTGGCAAACTGCTAATCTTTGATCTATTTATGTAGGCTTCTCCAAAAGGCAGAGGCTTATGTCGTCTAATTTATATAAAACATTAGTCTTTGGGAAATTGTTCTTGAGAAGAGTTTTGAGAAATTTCCTCATCAAGTTGTTTGATTATCTTATTCATGTAATACAACTTGGAAGAGATGTGCACGCCACTGATGGATGAGCCCATCTTATGTACCTATTCTATAGGCCGCAGTTGTGACATCTATCCAACTACACATGTGTTTTCTACGCGTGTGACAAAATCAAGTCGGTCCGTTAGATGGCATATAGAAAATTTCGAAATCAGGTAACTAATACCTCCGCAAATCTTGCTACTTCACTGCCACAAAATAAACCCGGAACATGTTCATGTATTTTAGTTCACCACTGTATAATCTCGGCAGAACTGTACAGATGGTGTATGGGGTAGAAGAGCTTAAGGTATGTCCTTGCTCTTCCTCTATCGACGTGATTGGTAATGATCTACTGAAAATCCCCTAAACTGGAGGCCATCTATAAGGTTTTAAAGCTTAAGCCAAGGTAATGACTGACATTTTCACCCATCAAATATTGCAAGGGACAGGCAAAATTCTCCAGGCTAAGCTCATGATCAGAGCAAGCAAAGCTGCTCCTCCCACCCAACGTAGGCAGATAAAAAATTGGCGTATTGTGACAATTTCTTATATATTGCTAGACCATGATCAGCCCAACATTTTATATAACAAACTTAGTCCATTGTAATAAACTGACTATGTGAAAAAAAAGAGTAATCTGTGGAAAAAATAAGATGCGCGACAGTCCCACAGATGAAGTCGACAGTGAACAGTTGAATAGTCCGAGCATGGTTTCTCCTTGAGAAGGAGTATTGAGTGCTATACCATAGGTTTGTTGTCTGCAGTCAAGATGTCTGGTCTCTCATACTACGAGGCAAACAAACAAACTGTCAGACTGCCCCCTAGGCCCTAAACAGGAACCTTGATTTTTGTTACGGTCTAGTGGTAAAATGGCTGTATTTTTTCCCACACAAACAAACTGTTGAGATTGTTGCCTGGCAGATCAGGCCACAACCCAGGATAACTCTGGCCTTTCGCCTTGTAGGCTGAACACAAACAAACAGAGACTGCTGAATGCTTCTAATTTTTTTTAAATTCTACGCATTTCTTCCAGCGCCATGAAACAGCAATCAATCGACATGGCGTTGGGCTTGAGATATCCGAATACGATCGACTAGCCAAATGGGGAAATTCAACATATTGACACGAACTTCAGCATTAACTAGCTTAACTAGCTTAAGTACGGAGTAGACTCCTTCCTTTTCAAGCTTGTCAAGGTCACATACATCATGCTTATTATTGACGTATATCTTAGCTCGATCTATTTTCTATCTCAACGTCACCTCTGAACAAACTACAAAATATGACAACCAGATCATTACCCCTGAACGGGGCCAACCAAACGATAAAAGACACCCCTAGGCGCAGAAATATCAATGGCTCAGTACAAGTTGAGACAATTGGCAATGGCCAAGCAAGCCCAGCCCCAGGCCCCAAAAAGCCGTATTCTTTCCTCCATCGCTGTAAGCATTTCGCAGATAAGCGCACGTGGACGATTCCACTAGCTCTCGTGCTGGCCATCCTCTCAATATACGCGCTCAACCCGACCGAGTCAAACCCAATCTCTCATTTCATATTCCTCTCCTACAAAGAGGAGTCCCTGAATGGCGACCCAAATGCCCCCACGCAGTATGGCAAGGGTCTGTGGGACATAGCATTCGTGTCATTCTACGTGATAGTGCTATCCTTCACGCGCGAATTCATCATGCAAGAAATCATCCGCCCCATAGCAGTCTCGGGTCTCAAGTCGCGAAGAAAGCAAGCCCGCTTCATGGAGCAGATGTACACTGCTATATACTTTGGAGTCGTTGGTCCCGCGGGGTTGTATGTCATGCGCCAGACGCCCGTTTGGTACTTCAATACCCGTGGCATGTACGAACTCTTCCCGCACAGGACCCATGCAGCCGAGTTCAAGTTCTACTATTTGTTCGAAGCGGCTTATTGGGCGCAGCAGGCTGTTGTTATGCTGCTGGGGATGGAGGAGCGGCGGAAGGACTTTAAGGAGCTTGTTATGCATCATATTGTGACATTGGCTCTTATTGCGCTCAGCTACCGCTTCCACTTTACCTATATGGGCATTGCTGTTTATATCACGCATGATATCAGTGATTTCTTCCTTGCGGTAAGTCGCCTGTCTCCCGTCTAAACCAGAAGAATTGGTTTCGACACAATCAACCCAAAATATTCAGGGCGCCTATTGACAATTTCCGCAGGTTTCAAAATCTCTCCATTACATTGCCCCGGACATAATGATCCCATTCTACGCAGCCTCGATCGGGGCCTGGGTATATCTTCGTCACGTGCTAAATCTTCGGATCCTTTATTCCCTTCTAACCGAGTTCCGAACCGTTGGGCCCTATGAGCTCAATTGGGAGACTCAACAGTACAAGTGCTGGATCTCAAACGTGATCACCTTCGCCCTGTTGGCTGTACTCCAGGCTCTCAATTTGTTCTGGCTGTACTGTCTGTTGCGTAGCGCTTTCAAGTTCCTCGCGACAGGTGAGAAGAAAGACGACCGCTCTGACCCGGAAGAGTCTGAAATTGAGCAAGATGAATTCAAGACTGTTGGGGGGATTGATGGCCACGCGACGTTGAATGGCAGTGCATCTCCCAGTGGCAAATCCCAGCATGCCACTAATGGTGTTGGTATCTCTGTTAGAGCTAATGAGGCTCACTAATGATGTTCATGTGGCTTCCTAGTCCCTCTTCCTCCTGTGTGCACGCACTTTGGAAAGCACCAGGTTGATCTTTTGCCTTACAGCACTTTGACTTCGTCGTTCAATGATTTTGAACAGAAATATTTGCTTAGTCCGTTTAATCCGTCGTGTTGTGTCTTCCATCATGGCGATTCAGTTTTATGTGTTGCTGTTCTCTGTTCGTGCGATTGCATGTATGATAGTATCCTACGATATATTTGGATATAATAATAATAATGTATACTTGACCGGGGTTTGATCAATGCCAGTCACATAGATAATCCATTCCGAGGGGTTGTCTGCAATTTGCAGGAATTATAAATGCAGTCAAGGCTATGATCACACCCCATCGCTCGCACCGTAGATCATGAGTCAGACACGTTAAAAATCTAACAAAGCTCAGAGCTATGTGCAAAGGTATGAGATCTACAAGGAGGCTTGAACTGCTTTGTATCACAGTATAATCAAGAGAAGCGCAGTCCCTGGCTGGGATCCCAGGTCCCCGGCTGAGGAGCACGAGTGGGCTGCCTCGGGGCCGGTCCAGCTCCTGTGCTAGGAGTAGCATTCGGAGGAGCACCGGCAGATCCGAATCGAATCCCCATTTCGGGGGCCCACATACCCGGCATACCCCCGGGCATGCTGGGCGTAGAAACTGGGGGCGGGGCTACGGGTGCGCGCACAGGTTGGGGTGCCGTGAGAGGGGGTTCTGTCTCAGCCGGTCGTAGGGGTGGGGACGACTGTGACGGCGCCTGGGCCGGCTGCGCAGTTGAGTAGGCGAAGGGGGAGTGATGGGTTCGAGCTGATTCCTGCGGCTGTTGACGCAGGTGTGGCTGAGAAATATGCAGTGAGGCCATCGCTGTAGCATTGGAGATATCTCTAGTTCGGGGAAATTCAGTGTCAGTGACAATATGTTAGTTTAGTGATTGATGATAACACATACGCTTCCAGCTGGCTTGCCTCCATCCGACGCTGGTGGACAAAGGCCTTTCCGTCATCACGGAATCGGCCTACAATCTTTGCAAGGTCATTGTAAAACTTTCGCCCGACGTCGAGGTTGGAAATGATCTCCTTATACTTCAGGTATCCATTTTCCAGATCTTGCAGTGCGGCTTCTCTTTCCTTTGTCGACGCATCACCCTTATGAGACCCAGTAAATGCCCTGTTAGCTTCTCGGACCTGATCCGAAAGATGATCTTGCTCTCTTCGCTCCTGGGCCAGCATCTCACGGTCCGAATCATACAGCTTCAGCTGCTCCTCGAACAAATCCTCGAACTGGCTCGCCTGGATGGTCTGCATGGGGAATTCCCGCTCCAATCGAGCTGTCTGCGTCAAAAGTGCCGGATCTAAATTCAATTCATTAGTAGATTTCAAGACCGATGAAAAAGAAAACACGTACGAATATCATCCGCGCGAGCTTTCTCCTTCAGCGCTTGAATTCGCCGCCTCCGCCGATTTTCCATTCGAGTGACCTCGCTTAAACAGCCGCGCAACCGGTTAGACTCGCGCTCAACCTCTGGCGGAATCACAACCCTCCGGCTACTTGGCACAAATGATTCCAAGTCCCGATTCGTGCCAGTGAGAACGACGAAGACAGAGTGTGAATCTCGCAGCTTGCGCTGAACGAGGTCATCACTGCCCTGGGCAGAGGTGAAATAGCCCTCAATTTCGGTCAAACTCTTGTAGAGCTTAGGCGCGGCGGATTCTGAGGTTGGGCGGGTCCAGCGATCGGTTCCATATTTATGACGAGCTGCCAGGTCTTCGGCCTTCTCTGCCGCTAGAAGCTCAACGCCTTCATTATACACAGCTAAATCATTGCCTTTGACTCTAGCGGTGTCCTCAATAGACCGGTGCAAACGATTCAGGCCATCTTGTTGGCGCATTTCCTCGGCATGCGACACAAGCGTTGGCGGGAGACCTAATGGTTTCTCGAGCGCTTGTAATGACCCTGGTAGATTGAGCGATGAAAGCAAGCTTTAAAGTTGGTGTTAGCAAATTTTTCCAGAAACTTTGGTATTTCCCACGAATACATACTCGCGCAACTTGTCAGTCATTGACTCTAGCTCTCCAATGAGAGTATCATTGACCAGTCGGTCTCGACGATCAGTATAAATACTGGCGGCAATGTGAACTGCGTATGGAACCAGCTTCGAGAACAGCGGTTGGCCCAAGGGCCCATTATCGCCGAGCATAGAGATCGCATCCGTCACCTGCGAGGGTGCTTTGGCAAGAACCATATTTGCGCGCTCAATAGTCCTGAGCTCAGACTTAGGCGGCACAGGGTTCAGATAGATCATATCATTATCCTTCTCAGCACGTTTCAGGTCTTCCGCGACACGAGCCTTCAATCCATTCAAGTCACCTAGGACAGTCCGATTGATCCATCGTTGCTCTTTCAATCCTTCGCCGACACATATCAAACAGTCACGCAGCCGAGCAACCTCTTCTCCATACTTGCGCTTCTCCAAGCAGTCAAGCGCTTGTCGAAACTGAGCAGCAGCAGCAAAGTGGTGATGCTTTGCACTCATGTGATGGATCCAGTCCGTGCTGATCGCATTAGACTTGACAGCCAAGTCGCCTGCATCGCCGTAGAAGTCAGACACCTTGGCGGCCAGTTTTGCAATAGATACGTCTTTCAGTCCATCTTTCACAGCTTTTTGCCAGAAGCACTCTTGGCCCTGTGCGAGCAAAAGAAGTTCCAAACTATGCAGTGTCATTTCGTCCATATCCTCCGGCGGCGAGGTTCGAAGGTCTGGGATGATATCTGTTCGAAGATGACTCAACACTCCAGCGGCGGAGCAGAGGTAGTTGCACGCCTGCTTGAGTCCATCTGCAGTAGTCCGGTTGGTCGCATATGCAAGCTGGGAGTATAATGCGGCGAGATTGAATATGACATTCGCCAGTTCGAAGCGCAGGTTATTTTGTGAAACTAAAAGCCATATTTTATTCTTGTTAGTCTCGTAGGAACCATAGACGTGTGACCCTAACAAACCAACTCACCTGGTCGCGAAGCATTAAAGCCAAAAGCTGGATACCACGAAAAATCCACTCCGACCTATATAGCACGCCGATTGTCAGATTCCAATACCGAATAAAAAAAATCCAGGGCCTAGAAAGAAAGGCGCACATCAATTGGGAACTTTCCACCCAGCCATTTCAACTGAGCCGCATATGTGACAAGGCGACTGATACCGCTAAAATGAGGTTCTTGAACATTCACAGCCTCGGATCGTAGACGATCAATGATCATCAGATCCTCAGCGAACATATCCGGGCGCTGGTCATATTTAGACGAGATATACTGGGTGATTGCTTCGGAAAGTGAGACGCTATGGGAGCGCCGGAACGGGAGTTGGAGGATATTCCTGTAGGAATAAAACAGAAGGAAGAGTTAGTGACATTCCTTTCTTTTCGAAGCTGCTCGCCTACAGCTCGGGGGTACTCACGACGCCATTATCGCTCGAGGCGGGGTGTGGATGACTCCGTTTGTTTTGACGAGAAGTTCAACCCCACCGGGCAACGGGATGGATGACGTTCTATGGCCTGAGGCATCAATTGATTCCTTTGAGCAATTACAGTCTTCATGCGATACTAACCTTTCCCATTCGGCGCTTGTTAAAAGTTGTGAATTGACATCTTGTGCTCAGCTATTTTAATCCATGTGTCTGTTGATGTTGGATAATCGATGAAAGAGGCCCACGCCCATGACTCCTTGCTGAAAACAGCCCACGACGAAAGCGTCAGTATTCTTCCTCGTCGTTCAGTATTGGTCTACTTAGGTATACTTGAAGCTAACTCCTTTCCAGGACAAAAAGGATTGAAGAACATATTCCTGACCTTTTATCCCAGACACTATCCTGCTGTTTGTCTCTGAGGCCCGTCATTCATCGTATACATATTTACAATGACGACGCAAATGCCCCAATTCTTAACCATGTTGCAAATCCAACGTCTTCATCACAGATTTGCAGTCCCCTGCGCCCCGCTCACCCAGCCATCTATTCTGGAATCTGCAGTTAATGCGCCGGTGGATAAAAATCACTATGAGAATGATCGCGATGTGTTTCGGCTGGCAGCGATCCTGGCCGAGCGAATCATGAAGAACCACGCGTTTCAAGATGGGAACAAACGCACCGCGCTCCTGGCGGCTGATATGTTCTTGAAGGCCAATGGATACTACCTGAAGGAGATTCAGTTTGCAGAGGATTCGCATGTCCAGGGCCTCGCAGAGGCGCATGTTGCAGTGGTCACTAAAAAATGGACCGCTGAACAACTCTGTGACTACTATCGGTCTGTCGCGCTGCCACTAGCCTAGGTGACTCCTGAGATCAGACAGCATAGTCGCCTGTATTCAGGCCTAGGTAGTCGGCCGTATAAGCGGCCTCTGTACTTGGCGACACCAGACTTTAATAATAAACATGATGGACTTTCTATGGATAACGCTCCAAGGTCCTTCCTTGGTGTCCTTCTATATATCTTTTTAGATGTATTTTTATCATATTTGCTTGGATTTCTTTTCTTCTGAGTGTCATACCTAGAATAATAATCATTGGCTATAGAAGAGGCCCCTGGATAGGAAATAATGACACTCGTAGACAGAGTAGATACGTTGAATTACCACTCTGCGATGCACTATATGCGAAGGCAGGATAAGGCACAAACCGACGGGTACAGTTGGACTTTCTATGCATAAGCAAGGATAATTGATTAGGATCCCCGCCTGGTTTCTTGGTGTACAAAACTTCTTGTTCATATATTTTCAAGCCAACTGATTCAATGTACTATAAGAGGCTAATCACATATGCTCCAGTTGATCAAGGACGGGCTTTAGGTATTGTCCAGTAGCGCTGGATCGTTCGGCAAACTCGGCTATATATGCATTAGCGTTGAACTAACCAAAGCAGGATTTGAATTAATACCATCATCAGTCCCGTCTATCGCGATCTCATGCATCTTTCCACTCATAAAAATTATTGCAGGGCTTATATTAGATTCCGACTGGCGTGGAAATTGGGTCGGGATATGAAGACGAGGATAACTCGGTGGTTCTAGAATGAAACACATCCTTGGTTAACGTACTCCATATGATTCGCCTAAATATGCGAGAGCCTTACCGAGGCCGAAGTGCTGCGTGTCATGGAAAAATGACACTCTACACCGGTCTTGCGTCGCTGCTGTAGAGCTGGCATCACGAAAAGCTTCTCCAACGGGTGGTGGGATCAATACATAAGCTTGCCCGGGGTTCCCTAGAACCACGGGAACCTTCTTAGAGACCAATTTGCCTGTCCTATCTTGGGTGATGAAATCCGTGGTGATCTGATGGAAATGACGAGTCTGAGACCCTTGTGTGACAAAGTACCGGGAAAGGGGGCGAGCAGCATTGCGACACATGAGGAACTTGTCTATCATGTCTCTAAGGTTAGGCAGATAATATGCTAAAAACAAATTGGGTAGCGATGATAATACAATCCTACTTGGGATGGAGGTGGGGGATGGTCAACTTAGCTAGGGGCTGAACTGTGGTACGATCACTTCTCTCTCTGCTATTTCCGCTTAGGCCCAGGGCGGCTAATACGGCTACAACCTTCTCAGCCTCCTATAATATTCCCCATATACCTTTGAGGTAGTAAAATAAAGACCGGCCAGATCATAATCCCAAGATGTGAAACAAAAATTGGGCCCCTGTATCCAAACGGATATACGAGGTGCAGGGCTATCTAGGTGCTCCGACACAAGACTTATTAACCGATACGCTGTACCATTTGGGCTCGTTCTTGTGTTAATTTGGAATTATGGAGATCACTGCTTGCTTCCTGCAGATGCACCTTGGTTGACAGGCCTTCCCTAGCCTATAGATAGCCGCTACCCCCGCTTCAGTCGAGCTATCGTGTCGCCTTCCACCATCTATCCAATCTACTTAACCCTACTATTCTCTACTATATTCTGTCCTACGATCCAATCCAGCTCCAATTCTGTCCAACTCACGACATCGACCACACACACACTGCCATGTCTACAGGTCATCGTATGTTGCCCTGCTCAGTAACTTCCAAGGTTGAGAATGCATCTGACTGGCTATCTAATAGCGTATCGCAGCCTTCGAGTACCTGATAAAGTACCATTCGAGCTAAGACCCTCGCCAGGCAAAGGATGGGGTGCCTTCGCGACAAGACGCATTGCTCGAGGATCCCGAATTTTGAGCGAAAAACCAATCTTCATTATCAGGAGGCCACATACAGAAATCACGGATGATCATGTTACCATAGCCTTTAAAAAATTGTTGCCCAAGCAGAAAGCCCAGTTCTTACTCCTTCACGACAACGGGGCAAAACGTTTTACAAGTATGAATGAAGCCTTCGCTGAGAACTCGTTCAACATCGCAAATTCAGACCGCAACGAGCCTGAAGCTCACGGCCTATTCCCCCTCCACTCGCGCTTCAACCATTCTTGTATCCCTAACGCGAAGATTCCGAATGTCACTGGAGAGGTGATTTCAAGCTTCGCGACTAAGGACATCCACGCTGGCGAGGAAATCAATTTCTGTTATAATACGGATTTCGAATGCAGGACGAGATATGAGCGTCATCAAGCCCTAAGGTTTACCTGCCAGTGCATGGCGTGTCTACCTGGCACTTCCTTCCGGAGACTGAGTGACATCCGGCGACGCTTGATTCGAGGGCTCCAGTACCTTACCCGTGGCGTGGACTTGGATAGGAATGGGCAGAAACAAACTTCGCATCCTATTATTGTCGACTCTAAACTGAGGATGATGGCAGAAACTTTCAGCATACCTCTTTCGTCTAGGTGGATTTATGCCCTCCTGACAATCTTCTTTCTCGAAGAGGAGGGATTGCTAGATGATTTTATGGAGGCAAGGCTACGACCGAGCTTAACCAAAACGGTGCAATTTTTCAAGTCAGAAAGCAATCAAAGTATTGTTAGGAAAGCTATGCAACAGAATACCTGGCTAAAGAAATTGCAAGTGGGATTCAAACTATATGGCCGAGAAGATGCTGTCGACTATGAACTTACCCTAGCTCTACGACGATTGCGCTGATTTGTTTAATAGTTCTCCTCTCTTACAAAGCACCCCAAAGTTTGATAATCCATTCTGGTATTTGCTGAAAATGAGCTTTAAGCTCATCCATGTATGTAGGTAGATAATAAATACGAGAAAATATCTCGATGTTCACAACGCACAATGGCAAAGAAAATATTCAACAGATAGACCGTCATCCCACCCTAATATGATTGCCGCAACCCTATCAACGAGTGGTTTACTTCGGCAGCTCATCGATGCGCATTCGAATATATTCGAAAATGCTGAGTAGGATCATGTTGTTGACGCCGGTCCGGATAAGAATGATGGAAAGGCCTTTGTACATGCTGGATTTGGCGACAGCTTGCGAAGCCTCGCCAATTTCGCTGGATTTTCCTAACAGAACACTCTGTGCGCGAGTCTTGCGCGTATCGAGGGGATATGTCTATGAGTCACGTTAGTGCATGCTTGTCACAAAACAGAATGTCCGTCTGGTTACGTACGCAGAACCAGGGTACAGTGCTGCAAATGGCACCGGCAATCATAGGTGCCCCGAATGGGTTCTTGTCCTGACCCAATTCCTTGGCTGCCACTTGCTTCACGGTTTCGTAAACACTGAAGTATAGTCCTGAGCCCACAGTGTCACGCAATGCATGCAGGCGGAAACCGGTATAAAGGCCCCAGAATCCATGTCGCATGTATATCTGCTTGATAGCTTGAATGGTTCCCAAGCGGGGCTTGTGGCGCAAAGATTGGTCTCGGACTGCGTCCGGGGCAGCCATCGCGCGATTTGACACTAAAACAGAGGTCTGGACGACATTCTTTGCCAGCTCAAAGGGGCCTGTTCCAACATCAGCCCGTCTCCTTTCACTCTTTATGTGATTAATTTGAACATACAGGCAAGAGGCGATGCTACCAAGCCAGCGACAAAGCCTGCAGTGGTGAAAGTAAGTACGCCCGTCACAGTTGGGGTGCTTCCAGGCTGTTTATAGTGGTCCAAAGGGTTGGAACCAGTTACGCGCTCGACATTATCGGCGATTATGTCCTTGAAGGCATTGTACACGGTAAAGTTGACGACACGGACTACTGTGACACTCGCCAAGGGTGGAAGCGCGCCTATCTGACTGTCAGTTGATCCTTCAGCTACCAACTCAAGGATGCGAACTTACCAGCTACATATCCCCGAGGCCCTTCAGTGCGCCAGAGATAGCGAACACACTGCCATATGTTCTTGAAGTTATGTCTATCAAGCAAATTAGCATGCTAGTTCCATTTCCAAGGTCACGTAGAATACTTACGTCTGCATCCGAGTCTTAACGTTTTCTAAAGGAGTCTGCGGAACGAATTACCAGGAGTTAGCATAATTTACATACCATATTATAGCCATAAATGAATGATGAGAATTTCAGCAGAATAAAGCACTCACCACCGCCAGCGTCGCGCAAACTGTCGACGCCCCCGAAGCCACCTGGGTTTTGTACTTTTTGAGGAGTTTGTTGCGTGTGGCCTCATCCATATTCCAAGCTTTTCGGTTTGGCATACTGGCGGTTCTTGTGTGGTGATTTGATGAGGGTAATGGTGCATGTTCAGAACTGTTGTCACTAGTCATCCCTGGTTGTTCTCCATTGGCGGCTCAAAGGAATCACAATGGCAATATCTCTCCGGTCAGTGGAAGAACGCTGGATTCAGCACAGATTTGAGTAATTGCAGGCTGGGGAACCCGATGGAACGCAAAGCGGTCTCTCAGAGCTCGAGTAGACCGTTCAGCGTCCCACAATTGTCCATTAAACGGGCCCGACCAACCCAATTCTATCTTCAGTCTGTTGGAAAGTATCCCGGGAGGCTCTCGCAGTGTAGGTAGGTACGTTTAGATCCCTCTTTGCAGAGTATGAAAATAGATTCGATATTGGTGGCCGAAACAATGGCGGCCACACGGATTCGACCCCGCGTTCACGAATGGTATCCAGGAGGTGTGGTGCAGGATTGAGCAGGTCAAGTGATGCTCTTCGAATGTCCCCTGTTCCAGGCAGTTGGGATAGTTGTGCCCAAGATGTCTCGTCTATAGCAATGGGTTACTGGTAGCAATCGAGAGCTGTAGGGAGGCGACCATTAGTATCAATTTGTTTTCCCGTCTTTCTTGATTCCAGAACAAAACAGAATGCAAGTTTCTCATTTTTTCGAGGACAACTTACTGGCGATATTTCCATAGTATCTCCACTAGACAGAAGTTGAGCTAATGCTATGTGAAGAAGAGAAGAAAGAAGTTGAATAAAATGGCATGTGGGCCGAGCTTAACCTGAGTGCTTAAAGGGGTTTAGGGCCAAACAGAGTGACGTCGTCGTGAACAGCGGAGAGACCCATGGACATCTTCTTAGTGCTTACCCCCGGATTATTTTAAACACACATCATTGGAACCTTGGAAATGGCTCAATTGTTGAATTCTATGTAAAGCTATGGAGAGTCCCTGATCTCGTTCTATCGGGAAACTGATCACACTATCATCTTAGTCTTGGCACCGCCGTGGCACATCTACCGGTCGCAGTCTAGTCCTATCATCTATACATTTCATGCAGAGTGGAAGCATACTTTTCGAAGATCACAGAAGGTTAGACCACGGACCATGGTGATCTCTATATGGAGGACAGTACTCCGTGACGGAGTTGGGCCCCACGTAGGGATTGGGCTCATCACAAACCACCAATTAATCGCATCCATCACAACCGTGGAATGATTGTAAACCAGATTCCAGACTCAAATTCAACCACATTTCTGTGAGTGGGAGGGGCTGCAGATTATCGGTTTCCGTATTCCTGACCCTGTTCTCCGTACTCTGGAGTACGAGTGCGGAGTGAGGAATAGCTGTTTGTATATGGGGTATCTGCCCTCACGCCACTGCGCTGGACCACCTCGACATGGCTTGTGGAAATGATAACATAGTATCACATGATGCAATATGGCGCGTAGATCAGTTGAGGACATTCCATTGCCTCACTTGGTTTGGAAGCTAGGTTTATTGAAATATGGCTCATAGAACGATATCCATAGGTGAAAACATATCAAATTCTGCGATCGCATACATGATTGACGATGCTTCTCAGTGCTACTAAATCAACTGGATTAGGGATTGCTGAAGAGATGAATTGCACGGGTGATCACCTTGTGATTGTCTTGTACATCCCGGCCTCTTTTCACATGGGACTCAAGTTCCAATAAGGAGACAAAGTTTTTTTTTCCTTATATTTCAGAAATCCGTTCAGATGAAATATCTCAAATCGACATTCCCAACATTCTCAACATTGTCGTTGAAGTTATGAATAAATTATGCGATGTCCGCGGTTCCTCGGGACCTCGGCCTATCCCCGCAATCCCATATTGAGGTCCCCACATCCCCCGGGCCGCTGATTGTATTTATAGGTAGGGCCTCACTTCTCAAGTCGAACCTAAACTAAACACGCTTATATTTATCTCAACCGATAATTCATATACACACCATGGGAAAGAAGCAAGGAACCCCCGCTTACGTCCTAGGCGTGGGCATGACTAAGTTCATCAAGCCACGCGGCAAGGTCGACTACCATGAGCTTGGCTATGAGGCTGGTATCAAAGCTATGCTCGACGCCAAAATCAACTATGACGATGTTGATCAGGGTGTTGCATGCTACGTCTACGGTGACAGCACCTGTGGCCAGCGTGTCTTCTACCAGTTTGGCCATACCAGCATCCCTATCTACAATGTGAACAACAATTGTTCGACCGGTTCGACTGGCCTCGCCATGGCTCGCACTATGGTGTCCCACGGTGCTGCAGACTGTGTGCTGGTCGTCGGCTTTGAAAAGATGAATCCCGGTAGCTTGCAAACCATGTACAACGATCGCGAGAACCCAACTGGACTGTTTGGAACGATGATGGCCGAAACGCGGGGTGTGACAAACGCGCCCGGTGCCGCACAGATGTTTGGAAATGCGGGTAGAGAATATAAGGAGAAGTATGCAACAACTCGAGGCAATATCAGCCCATGGCATGAAGAGTTACAATGCTAACCTCCGGGAAACAGATACGGTGCTAAGAACGAGGACTTCGCCGAGATCGCCCGCATTAACCACGAGCACTCCAAACGCAACCCTTACTCTCAGTTCCAAGACGAGTACACTCTCGAGCAGATCATGAAGGCACCCATGATCCACGAGCCTCTGACCAAGCTACAGTGCTGCCCTACCTCGGATGGCGGTGCCGCCGCTGTTATTGTTTCGCAGGACTTCCTCGATGCGCGTCCCCACCTGAAGGAACATGCCATTCTCATCGCCGGCCAGTGCCTCGCCACCGATACCGACACAGTCTACAGCAAGAGCGCCATTGACCTGATGGGATTCGGTATGACGCGCCAGGCATGCCGCACTGCCGCCGCCGAGGCCGGCGTGAATGTCAAGGATATCAAAGTCTGCGAGCTGCACGATTGCTTCTCGGCAAATGAGATGATTACTATCGATGCGCTGGAGCTGTGTGAGACTGGTCAGGCCCATGAGATGGTCCGCCGTGGCGATATCACGTATGGCGGAAAGATGGTTATCAACCCATCTGGTGGTCTCATCTCCAAGGGTCACCCGCTTGGTGCTACGGGTATTGCCCAATGCGCTGAGCTGGTCTGGCACCTGCGTGGCTGGGCGAACAACCGTCTGGTTGCCGGTACTTCCGCGGCACTGCAGCACAACCTCGGTCTGGGTGGTGCCGTTGTCGTGACCGTCTACAAGCGTACTGATGGCAAGGTCGCCGCCGCTGTGCCTTCGGACGTTGTTGGCAAGATCAATGGTTTGGGCTACAATCCGGCTGTGGAGGCCAAGGGCTTCACTGCCGAGCAGGCCAAGTCCGTCGTGAGCAAGGCGCACGCCCCTAAATATGCCCTGTCAGATACCCAAGAGCGGGTCCTTGCCAGATTCTAGAGGCAAAGTAAATAATATTTGACTCGAACTATTTGTACATAACTCTACCCTACATAACTCTATCGATCAGACTTGAAATGACAAGATTTACAATTTGTTTCTCAAAATGCAGCCTTCTATATCCCAATCTATATGTTCAAAATGTTCAAGATCCATGCTATAAACAAGTTTCGCAAACCGCAAAATAAATCATGAATCATAAATGCCTCTCTTCCCAATCCTCAGGGAGCTTGTAGTCCTTCGGTATAGAATACTGCCCTTTACAGCTCCCCGGACCCCGACAGTTCAAATCGCACTTGCCATACAACCGACAATAGCACTCAGAAGCACTAGGACAAGAATCGCGATTCAACTGGTCAAGCTCAATAGCCCCGCGATCACCATAGTTCGCAAAAAGAATATGCCAAAGGTATGAAACAATCCGACCAGCCACACGGTCGTCACCAGGCGCAGCCCTAGATCCGGCCTGCTCATTCCGCGCAACCCCATCATCGCTCCCATCAAGCAGCCACTGCCGAAGCGCAATATACTCATCCCGGCCATGCTGCCAGATTCGGTCGCGGGAAACAACGAACTGCGCACAACACTGCGCGCGCACGGCATCATTCCGGCCAAGATGAAGATGGAAAGCATTCCGGATTTCATCAACACGTGCTTCACTATCTCCGCCAAAAATATGGCCGATCGCCTTCGGCAGTGCTATATCCGATGCCGCACGCGGACTCCACGGCGACACGGCCTTCGACAATCTCATCTCGAGACTGCCCTGCGCCGGGACAGAAGAAGGGCATGTGCCTGCGCTCCAGTCGCAGCGCAGGTTACTATATCCGGCTGGTTGCAGCGCGGCGTGGACGTTCAGGCTGCGCAAGAGCGCGGCGTTGTCGTAATCCGGGATGTCGTTGTGCCAAGCCCAGCGGCTGCCATGCACAAAAACGGCGCCGGCGGAGGGTATGTCCGCGTAGTTGTCGATTAGGAAGGTTAAATAGGCCATCGCTTCATGGCCGCGGTTTGCGGGGACTTGAAGCAATTTGGAAGTTTTGTCCGCTGGCGCGTCCACTTGGTACAGGCATACATGGTACTGTTTGCGGAGGGGTTCTAGCCAGGATGGGTCGCCATCGGTGGAGACATGTGAGACGATTAGAGCTGGTTTGGTTGTTTCTGCCAGGCCGGGGCAGATGCCGCGGGCCTCTGGGATGATGGATGAGGTTGTTTTGTAGCGGATTTTAGTCCAGGCGAAGAGTTTGTCTTTAGTTGATTGCGGGCGGTTTAGATATAAGATGAAAAAGAGAATGCAGAAGAAGAAAATTAGTTGGATAAATGATCTTTGTACTTTTCGGCCCATTTTGTATATATATGCATGCAATTATGTGTCTGCTTTCTTTTTTGCCTTCGCTGATATTTCAGATATTTCGGCAAATCCGGGAATGTCGATGCCTTAGGTGTGAATATCGCCCCTATTTGTAGGATCTGCATGCCCCTTTGCTCCACGTAGATGAGGATGTGGATGAGCGTGGATTTTTGTAATTCCGGTGCCCTTGCCCTATTCCTATTATGTATGGTCTTCATTTCTAATGGCATTAATGGTGTTAATGACATTTAATGGGTGTTTCTATTTCGATTGTAGCATCAGCCTGCAGTGACATCAATATAAACAAACACTCTATCTGAAAGTGGCTCACTCACAACTAATTGGACTTGGGATGGATTGGACATTCTTTAGCGTATGCATGTACCTGTAATGTACAGGGTCTATTCTGCAGCGTATAGCCCAGTCTTTGATATGCTCTGCGGAGGCCGCCAGCAAAAGTCGTCCTAACATTATATACTATTTAAACAAGAAAAGGTGACACCAGATGCATCGATGCCTAGCTTTTTAGCCTTCCACTGGCTATTTAGCTAGCTTCTGTTTACTTGTAGAGAATCAAAAAAAACGTCATCTCTCCTCTGCTTCTTGTCACTTTTCGAAATGACTCAGGCTGACAGACGGCTGTATACAGCCATATATATGATATCAAATCTAAACCCGAAGGGACTGAAGCTCCAGGTGGTTATATCTGCGACTTGGCTTCAGACATTTTGACACAGGCTTATAACCTTTAGGTCAATATGAAATAATTAAGAGGTCTTAGTCTTAAAGTCAGTCGTATTCATGCCACCTTACTTAACAATCAATCTTGGTATTTATTTGGTTCTCTTTCCATTTCTCTTCCCAATCTATCACAACTTCCTATTTTCCTACCAATCGCTCGCATTTGACAATTACAAGGTTCTCTCCACGATTTTTCACATTCTGACTACCTACCTCATAAGGACTGGGACTTCCAAGCTTTTTCTTCCAAGTTTACAACTTCCCTTACTATTCCTCTTGCCATTTTCTTGTCACCTCATGCAAGCCATTTACCTTCATCTTAATATTCTCTCGGACTTCCGGTTTACCTTAGCCGAGCGTTATATGTTGAAACACGTCCTACCAAGCTTCGGCCACAATCTGCAGCCAGTAAATGTGGCTATAATACCTGGATTTGACACATTCTAATGCACACTACAGCATTTACATTTCGAGATCACAAAAAAAACTCAAATATGACCACTCGTTTAGACATTTTGGACAAGCTACGCGACGCTATTGGCCGAGACACTATTCGGGTACAAACATGGGCATTTCTACAGGTATGTGATCTTTCCTGCCTTGAGCAAATTGTCCGCGATTGCAAGGTCAATCCTCCAGCCTTCGTCCCGATCGATGCAAATTCTAACCAAAGCCTTGAACCCAGAAGGCCGTCATATCTACCCTCTATCTTTAATCACCTTGTCAGACACTAGATCTTCAAATCAACCCGATATCTAGAGCCTTCTCCCTGGAGCCTGTATCTTTTACGAATGATCACCTATCACAGTGGAGGGCTGGCAGGTTCACTGATTGTGACGGTCCCCCCAGTGCTTTTGATGGACCCTGGAATGTGATCAGTTTCAGTCCTGGTGTCTGTACTATGTGGAGAAAGGGGGACTTTAATTTTAATCCGGTCGAAGTATCAGATATCGAACTTGCTATGCGTTTCTATTGGCACTAAAAGCAGTTGCATAATCATCAGGGGCAGATTATGCTGATGTCAATGCTTGTCCGCCCGAGGTGACCTACAAACCTCTCGGGCAACGCCCTTGCCTGTCTTGACTTTCCGGGCCGTATTACATCTACCGGTCATCTTGTCGGCAGTGAAACCGATTTCTAGATGAACATGGCAGACTCCTTGTCACAACCACTTCCTACCTGGGGACTTCTAGAGATACATTGGTTTTTGAGCCGCATCAAGGCTCTCTCTGGCGTAACAAATGCCAATCTGGAGGCTGGCTGTGATGCAACTAGTTTCTAGACATCCAACGGATATACGTTGGTAGATAGGGAGAGCACCGGAGTAGCAGACCAATCTAAGGTGACAGAGAAGGTGGATAAGAGCGAAAGAATAAAAATCTAGTATATCACATACTACTCCAGCTCTCAATGATGTATCTCTGAATGTAATGAGCCCCTTGTATATGTAGGAACTCATTCGTCTGAGTCCCCTATGCAGTACATCCTCCTGTATAGCCCTTACGAGAGTGTTTTCAATGTGGCAGTCTCAGTCTACAGCTTCCCTATAGGAACCGCAGGAACCGTAACACCCCACTCTAGTCGGGGGGAAGCGTTGTGTCAATAGTGACATTGCTCATGGACTCTTTTACCTACAGGATACCAAATTCTTTTCAAGACTTGAGTGTCCTGGCGCTCTGTGGTAGTGCATGGCGACCATTGGGGACTCCAGTCCTAATGGCTTTTGAGATTCACCGCTCGGGTCTCCCTAGCACTATGGAATAATACATGCTTCAGATGTTATATCAACCTTATGGGAGTTTCTATAGATTTATAGTGAGTTAGTCATTTATATAGAAGCAGAATATATATAGATGGTTGAAGATGATATTACAGGCATGACGATTACGAATACACTTCAATGTATTTTTTATTGTATTTATGAGCTAATTGTTTTAAGTATCGTGACTATCTCCGCTCTCATTTCGTGGTTCTTTACTTCGGCTAACACAGGGCCAGCTTTCCCGTCCAGTTGAGCATATGGAATAACTTCAGCATTGAATTGCTCACTTCATCACTATCACAGGTTGAAAAAACATATCCTATAATTGGAGGTACGCAAGTATTGTAGCCTATTTTAATTCTTACTTCAATATATACCTGAAACTAGGGCTACAGTTCTGTCTATGTTTATATGTTTTCCGCATCCGCACCCTGAAATATATATCTCAAGTTTCAAACCCATTGTGCGAGACGGATAAGATTCAAAGTCAAAATAAACTGTGAAGTATGATATGTTTTACGGGGCCTACATTGGACTTCTGAGCTATCAAATTGGAATTAAAGCCAGAGGTGTTGGCATCAAAAGCCCACGGAAACTATAGTGGGCACGTGACTCGATGACATAATCCGCGCTACTGGCCCCATCGAATAAAATTTTGCGATCCGCTTTCTCTTTTCCTTTCTTCTTCACTTCAAAACATATACACGGTCCCCAACACACTCTTGTCGATGGAATAATCTCACTCTATCTACATATTTTAGTTTAGGGACCCAGACCGAAGAATGCTCGTTCTAATCCCGCCCCCTGACATGCAGCCTGAGGGGAACGGGTTCGCTTTTGAGCCAACATACCCAATTCATGTATTGATATAAATCTTGCGATTTGGTCTTGCAGAGTTTGATACTTTTGGACGCTGTGTTTACTCGCAGGGGCAGCTTAGGCTGGCACTGAACTCTTGATGCTTGGGCTTCAACCCTGCGAGGCACTCGAATCCTTGCAACTGGCATGGCCATTTCCTTCAGACAGGGATGATCATATTCGCGTCTTTTATCCACTAACCATACCCCTATGCAGCTCGATAGATGTAAACAACCTTGGCATCTTCGAAGTCTTGTCCATCATATCTTGATGTTCGAGGTCAAAAAGATGCCAAAACTAAGCCCTCACAGTTGGATACGTCCTCCTGGAGACTCCCTCGTGTTACGTCCGCTCCCTCTATGGGGCTGTGCGTGTCAAAGTAGGGAGATACATTCCTCGTAAACAGAAATGAACTGTGAATTGTTTATCTCATCAGTGACTTGCAACAAACAAGCATCGCCTCATGATGTCTGAGAGAATACAAAGAATGCTCTACCAAATGTGGAATGCTGTAGATCTGCATCTTCCATCAGTCCATGCCAGGGACTGGCAGCAACCCTTGATCGAGAACTTGCTTCTCCATCCCTGTGGATAATTCGTTCCCGCACTTTGAGTAGTTGCATGACTGAAATTCTGAAAAGAAAGCTCGTGAAACCTAGACAGGTCCTCAGGATGTATTGGACAAGCCAGCATGAAAACTGCTGAGTGCGGAGGTGAAACTGTACATGTGGGTTGATAGAGAGGGTCAGGCAGTACGTTTGGGACACAGTCCTTGCAATTCCAACGTTTCAACATTCAATGCGGCACGATTCATCATGTAGCGTGGCCCACATAGCCCTGGTCGATTTGTCTCACTTTTGTTCACTGATTTAGTGGCATTGATGAATATCCCTTGATTGATCTCACGCAAATCATTAGCTCAAACGGATATACATACTGCGAGAGAGGAGGCGTTCACGCCAATACCAGTATGTCGGCGAACGACTTGAATCTTTCTCTGTCAAACCAGCCTTTGGGTATGGCCAAGGGCTCATAAAATAGAGGAGAAAATACTATTGTTGTTTATTCCAGAAAAGGGTCCGAATACCACGCGAAGACGTGCGGTAGCTGATCACAACAAGGCTCTTCACCCTGGCCTCCCTGGCCTCCTCCCATTCTTTCCATACTATGAGCGAAGGGGCTGTATATAAATTCGACGTAACTCCCACAGAGCCAGGGGCTCTGTCTCTTCCAGCGCCCTGTTCACCCCAGTCACTCATTTCCCCTAAACTATTGCCACCTACACTCATTTGAAGACAGCCATTTGGACATACATTGCTTCCCCTGATCCGGATCCATAATCTGCTTGACATATACCACCATTCACAATGGCCCGTTTCAGTCTCTCGTTCATCGCCATTTTCCTTGTCCTCGCGGTCTTCACCATCTCCATGCCCACCAAGCGTGATCAACAAACTCCCACTCAGATGCTTGGCCTTGATGGTACTGTTGGTAAATTGATGGTTAGTCACCTGTGCCAAAGTTATCATAAACAGTATCATATTAACCAATGAACCCAGCATGCCACTAGTTTGATGGATGGCCTTGACAAGAATGGCAGTAGCGAAGAGGAGAAACAGAAGGCCCATGACGCCGCTGAATCTAACCAGAAGAAGCAGGAGGCCAAGGTTGCTGCGAAACTCGCCGAGAAGGCTGGGGCTGTTGATCAGCCTCCTGTTCCTGCCACCTCTACCAAAAAGCTTTCCTCTGGTGATTTCATGACCCCAACTGCCACCCCTACCCCTAAGCCCACATCTCAGGCCAACGCCTTGGGCAATATTCCCATCATTGGTGGTCTTCTCGGTGGTGCTGGAGGCGGTCTCTAGTTCACCAAGGATCGAGCCCCAACATATGAAACTGGATGTGAAGGTATTGGAATCTGTGAAGAACAAAATCCTCTTTTGATGGACGCTGTTTGGTTCATATTTATTTGTGGTGTCTACGTTTGCTTCAAGGGAAATGGTCAATGATGTGCTTGTTAGGTTTCACGATTAATTTGATATGATTAGTTCCATCGTCCGTTCATTATGTCCTGTTCACAACCTGCGTTTGGTAAAATTGTATCCGGTCATGTGCTCTTGTAAAAAAAAAAAACAATGCTTTCCATCCCTAGGCCGTGGTCGTATCATGAGCTCTGGTTACGGCTTGCCTGTTGTTGGCCTTCATGAAGTCCAGTGTAGTAACCTGCATAGTACCATGACATCATAAGGTTTTTCAACGATTCATCTTGGACTAGAAGCATATGTCAGTAACCTGAAAGGATGTGTGTCCCGAACGTGGAGCATACCATTTGCCATGATTGGGTGAGGCATCGGCATAGCAGCCGTGGAAACTCCAGAACTGCCATCAGTCACAGGCTGAGAAGGCTATATATCGTCAGCAACTCATTTGATGAGGGCATAAATAAAATGGGAATATACCTGAGGGGCAGACTCGGAAGTTTGCTCATCAATGATCATTGAGACATCCTCATTATTAGATTGAACGGTACCATCCTCTGTAGGTTTGATGCCTTCACTATCATCGTGATGTACAGCTGGAGTAATGACAGCGTCTTCCGCTTCTTTCAAGACATCTTCAACATTTTCACCCTTCGCATGAATGCTCCAATAATGCTGCCGTCAGGTTAGATATTGGTCACGTGAATTGGAGATTTGGTGACCGACCTGGTATTCTTCAACAGCGTCGTCCCAGGACTGAACTAGGGCAGAATCATCCCACACCTCTGCATGTGTCAAGGACACTTTTTTTTATTCTTCCCCATGATGTTGGCCCATTTATGGTTGTAGATTAGGTTGTATGGAGCAGTAAGTAAACATCTTGGCGGAGATTGTGGTAATCGGTCGAGACGGCTCACCGCCTTCCAAGCAAATCAGAGAAGAAAAAAAGTTTCCCGCAAATGATTGAGCAACATACAGTCTCCAATTCGACACAACAAAACGTCAAAATGGCCCCTGAAAAGAGAGTTTCGAAGCGCAAGGGTATGTAAAATGCTGATGACCGGTGGAAATTATTTTCATTTCACTAACACTACCGACTACAGCTGCGCCTGTCGCCGCCGATTCTCCCGCCAAAAAAACCAAGAAGGTCGAGGCTAAGCCCGCCGAGGCAACTAAGGAGGCTGCTCCTAAGTCTATCTTGAAGAAGAACGAGAAGGCTACTAAGGCCAAGGCAGAGAAGACTGTTGCGCCAGCCAAGACCGATGTCGAGCCCACTCGTCAGGTCAAGCCTCGCAAGCGTGCTGCCGACTTCCTTACCGACGAGGAGACTGAAGAAACTGTTGCGCCTGTGAAGGCCGACAAGAAGACCGAGAAGAAGGCTGAGAAGAAGCCTACCGCTAAAAAATCCAAGAAGGAGGAGGCTGAGGCCGCCCCCGCTCCCACTCCCAAGAAGGCTGCCGCGAAGAAGGCTGCCCCTAAGACCAAGAAGCCCGAGCCCGTCGTCGAGTCCGAAGAGGAAGTCGCTGAGGAAGATCTCTCCCCCGCTAATGAAAGCGAGGCTGAGAACGACGGTGATGATGACCAAACCGAGGCTCTCATTAAGGGCTTCGAGAGCAGTGGCGACGAGGATGAGTCTGATGGCGAGGGTTACAAAGAGGGTGAACCTATCCCCAAGGCCCCAGACACCAAGAAGGCTGAGCGCAAGCTCGCCAAGCAGCTGCGCAAGGACGGCCCTCCTGAGGAGCCCGGAACTGTCTACATTGGGTGAGTTTCGACTGTAATGTCTGACCAGATTGAAACATCTAACATCCTATTCCCAGACGTATCCCCCACGGTTTCTACGAGCACCAGATGAAGGCCTACTTCTCCCAATTCGGCGATATCACCAAACTCCGTATCTCGCGCAACCGTCTTACCGGCCGCTCCAAGCACTACGCCTTCATTGAATTCTCATCCACTACCGTCGCCAAGATCGTCGCCGACACAATGGACAACTACCTCATGTACGGCCACATCGTCAAGTGCAAGTATGTCCCGAAAGAGCAGCTGCACCCTGAGATCTGGAAGGGCGCCAACCGCCGCTTCAAGGTCACACCATGGAACCGCATCGAGAAGAAGCGTCTTGCGAGAGGCAAGACCCGTGAGCAGTGGTCGAAGAGCATTGAGTCCGAGCAGAAGAAGAGAGAGGCCAAGCTTAACAAGCTCAAGGCTCTGGGTTACGAGCTTGATCTTCCCCAGCTGAAGAGCGTTGATGATGTTCCCATTCAGGAGGCTCCTAAGGCCGTCGAGGCGGCCGAGGCCACTGAGACCACTGATGAGCCGGCCAAGGCCATCGAGGCCCCTGCCCCTGTTGAGGCCCCTGCTCCTATTGAGACTTCTGCTCCTACTGATGATACCCCCAAGAAGGCCAAGAATGGCAAGAAGACAGAGACATCCAAGGCGGCTCCTACTGAGTCACCGGCTGCCAAGTCGCCTGCCACCAAGGCGAAGGGAAAGGCCACTAAGAAGGCCACCAAGACCAAGTCCAAGGCGTAAACGGGATCATGTAAAAATTGTTTGTAATTTCATTCATCAAGCCTTTTGTCAAATGCATTGTGTGTTTTCTTTTCTTTATCAGTGAATCTCCTTCAGTACTGTAAAGCGTAAACCGGCATAAATCAATCAGCAGAAAAAGGTGAAGGGTGAAAAGACCATGGTCATGGCTGATAGCGATCCCTCAGATTAATATGTCCTGTTCCTCCCGAGGTCCCCTCTCCGATATTCTCTATCCGTCTGTTTGTTTGCAAATATCTTTTATAGCAACGAAAAAAGTCCCATCATTCTCCCCGGCATTTTTACTCAATACTTTACTTCAAGATATATTATTGCTCTCTGGAACATCGCGAGCCCTAAGCCGATGCCATATACGCTAGTCCTAACTAAGCTTAGTCACGTCACCTGACTAGCGCGAAAAAAATAAAAGCGTCGCCCCGAACATTCCGTTTCCTCTTCTTCTCTCAACTCCTCGCTCAAAGAATCGCATTCAAAGCTCACACACAAAGGGGAGCCTCGCTCCCTTTTCCAATATTGCTTTGGGAGAAAGTCCCCGGACACCCTGCGCTTTGGGTAACCAAAGTACCAAGCCAGGCACTGCGGAAACGCGCCGCCATAGAAGCAATTCGATAGCGGCTTACGCCCTATTCCCTCACGGTATCCCGTACCACCCGACGGTTACATTTCACGATGTCTCTGGAAACAATGGGGTGTGTGTTGGGCATTGGAGAGGGGAAGGATTGGTGGTAAAACACCTTTTCTTGTATTGGGTTGCCTTTCGTCAAGTTCGGATAGTCATGCGATTGCCTCCCGTTTGCTTCTTCGGAAGTCGATGGAGGTAACTCAATGGGGCTCATTCTTGAGGCGAGGAGTTCCTTTGTCTTTTTCTCAAGAGTCTGTAGCTTATGGCAAAGCGGTGATGAGATGCTGTCTCGTCGCAGAAGCCCTGTCACAGGGGCCGGACTCGTAATATCTTGCCTATAGGCTCCATTTTTATTGTTCGCGTGATGATATACCAATCATAGAGTCAAGCACAGAGACCCCAAGGGGTTGTTGACGATAAACGATTTAAAATTATCTGATGAACATTCTAAATAGCTAGCTTTTCAAGTCGAGCGGCTTTCAAATATCAATGCAATTGAACTGAATGATTAAAATGCAATATTCATGAGTAAATCGTAGCATTTCACTTCGTATAATACAACCGGTCTCCATGCAATATGTTGTAGCCAAGCTCATGTTTTCGCGTTCACTGGGCCTTACCCTCAGCACCGACAGGCGCAGCCTCCTTCTGTTTCTTCTGTTCCTCCTGGCCAACCACCTGCACCAGTAATGCTCCCACAACTTCGGCGGCGACCGCAATGGTGGTCGCACAGACTTTGCTCCAAACCTGGATGCTAACAGATCCCAGCGGGGCGCGTGGGAAGGACACAATCCATTCAACGTAATAAGGGAACCAGGCCTCGGGGAGCGGGAAGACAGGTGTCTTCGAGTACCAGAATTGCAAGAACATCTTCAAACCGTTTGTGCAGACCCAGCGGGCGATCTTCACGGTCCAGTCGAAGGAGGATTTCTGCGAGGTCAGCGTCTTGTCTGTAGAAACAAGAGAGTTAGTAGTCTAGTCAACCAAAATAACAACGCTTCCTGGAGTCCTGCCTAGTGAAACGTACTCAGCGCCTCATATTCCTCCATGGTCTTGTCGTGTCGTCTCCTGGCTTTCGCCCACTTCGCAAACTCATCCTGGGAGCTTGTGCTGTTCATTTCGTGCTTTTGCTCGAGGACTTGACGCTTCAACTGCTGCTGCTTGCGGGCAGTCCGCGAGGTCGGTGTGGGCAGTTTTAGGTAAAGGAGCCATAGCTGTATGCCAAAGAGAGTAGGTGTTAGTGTGCAATCACAGTGTAGGTGTGCGGCGGAGCTGGGGGGCTTCCCAAAGGCAACAGATGGGCGGATTGGAGACATACAAGACCGTCGACGGTACTCGCACCGATCGTGTTGATCAGGTAAATTGCGACGTGTACGAAGAAGACCGTAAGGACAAGGGACAACATCGTGGCGGGGGTTGGCAAGACCGAGACGAGGTGTTGAATGCGACGGCGCAGGCTAGGAGAGCCTGGAAGAAAGCGAAGGCAGCAGAGTTAGCCAACCAAGGAAGTCTCTGCTATCTCTGCGGGATGAAACAGGAAATATCCTGGTAAGATAGATGTTTGTTGCCGGTTGAAGGAGTGAATGACGTTCCTCAGTGTGGAAAGGTCAAAATAACAGCGGACTTGGCCTTTCCGCCTTCACTGTATCACGATCTACACCGTCTTGTCTATCGTTTCGCCTGTGACAAGACTATAGAATACGAAATTATTTCAAAGAAAATGTGATGAGGCCTTCGCAATTACTACTCCCGATTTCCACCAACCAAGCCCTCAAATGTCCAACGCGAAAGATGCATTCCATGAACTTGTCCGCATCTTTTCATCTAGAAACAACCAAGTCCTCGAGATCGAGATCATTCCACCAGGCCTAGGCGCTACATTCCTCCAAGATGGATGCTCATTGGGAATAACCAAGAAAGCACTAGTGCAAGCCTTTACGGTCGCGCGCCAGCTCTTCTTCGACCGATTAATGCCCATGTCCGAAGATGACCTCCAAACCATCTTTTCCGCAAACGCACAGTCCAGAAATGCAGACTCGGCTATCACAGAAATAATGCTTCTCTTCGATTGCGAGCATCTCACAGCCTGTAACTGGCGCAAGCGCCGACTGCGGGCAGCCATGACGCATTACCTTATTTCAAACCAGACCTCTGTCGCAACGGAGTTATTAGAAGCCGAACTGACGCTCATGTCGAGCTACCAATGCTCGCCACTCCACCGTCACACCAAGTCGCCGACGCTCTGGCATCACCGGCTGTGGGTACTTGTCCATCTGCTTCAAAGACGGCATTGGATTCAGGAGGATCTGCTCAAGCTGCAACGGACGGAATTGGATGTTGTTCTCCACGCCGGAGAGCTGCATCCCAAGAACTACTACGCTTTTAGCTATCTGCGACAGTTGGATGTGCTTCTCACTGCCACAGCGGAGAAGACTGGGCAATCAACGCGGGAAACCCATACGGCACAGTCAGTTGTCGAACGGGTGGTTGATTGGTGCTTGGCTAATCCACGCGATATATCGGGTTGGAGCTTCGGCCTCTACGTACTGGGCAATGTCCTGGAGCAACAGAGCCGCGTGAACGCTCTTGAGAGGGTGGTTAAGTTTGCGCTTAACGTTGGATGGGAAGGCGAGAGCCTTTGGACATTTATCGACCAAGCATCGAGGCAGTTTAGGCTTGAAAGTGTGGTTGAGGATATCATGCTGTTGCAATGGGATCAAGAAACCAGATCTCATGCGTCCCAAATGGTTCAAGATGGTCGACCGAAGAAGTCGTGGCAGACCTGGTTGGCCCGGGCGAGAGTATACTGGGCCGTGGACGGCCAAGGGCAAAATACATAACCGGATGTGATATGAATGTATATATATGTTTACGCGTTTACGATTACCACCAAAAATCGCACCTCCGTGATATTTCTCATGTGCCGTTGCCTCGTTTGGTTAGCACTCTGGTATACATGCTTGGGCTAAATATGTGATAAACGCCAATGAGAGTCAAATCAACGCCTCGCTAGACACCCAGCCCCCGGTTTTTAAAAATTGGGCATAGGTAGATGGTTCCAGTCTTATCCATGAATCCAGCGCCGCCCTTCACTCATCCACTTTGCGATGCTGCTCGGTGGGTTGTCTGTTTCGGGCGATCGCGAAAAAGTAGAGGAATATGAGATTGACTGACGGGTTAGATCGAAGGATGGGCCATTTTATTTTTTGCGTCCACCTGCAGCCTCGGCTGCTTTCTTTTCATCTGCTGTAAAAGAGAAGCACATTAGAAAAGCAGTCTCATAGCGGTTGGACATTTCACATAGGGATACACACCCTTCCTCTGCTTCTCGCGCATGATGGCAGCAGCGTCTTCCTTGGACTTGGCGAATTCGCTACCGGTCTGCGTGTTTTTGTTTTTCTATACAGAGTAGAGATGGTCAGTATACATGAACAAAGAGTAGCAGGTGGAGGGAGCGAGGATGAGGCGAACCGTGTTGCCGGCCTTCTTCAGGGCCTTGGCCCGATCGTTGTCACGTTGGTTACCCCGTGTCATATCGTAGGTTATGGAAATATTATTCTCAGGAGTATTGAACGTGGTGGGCGCGAGACGTTTCAATGTTGGAGAGGGAAAAAAAGTTTGGAGGGGTCGGCTTTATTCTAGCGAATCACAGGGATTCCGCACTGTATACCTACAGTATACACATCTTCTTAATGGTTTTGATTGGATTATCGGAGTATTTCTTTGTTATTCTTTATACTGTTGAGTCATCTAATCAGCAACTACGAGCTGACTGTGATTGGGCTATATTCTTACCTTGTTTCAACTCGGGTTTTCTATCTCACCCCTGGCGCTTCGCCTTAAAGCCCACAACGTATTTTGCCCTTCAAATACCTTGCTAGATCCACCTTGATACACCTATGATCTAGAATAGTTTGAGCTATACTTATCAGGGAATAAGGCATGTTTGAGGCAAGTAAAAACAAAATATGGGGGAGCAAACCTGTAGCCGCCAACTAGTTTCAGCATGGTCGAGTATCCTTCACTAATGACCAGTCATTTTGTACTTTGGGCCCTAGTTGAGATCCCAATAACGGAGGCGTAATATTTAGACTTGTTCCGGCTACAGCCCCCGATCTCCGCGCTTAAAAGGACCCTATTATTGCCTGAATCGCAATAATGAAACACCTCCTGCAGTACCTAAGTATATCTCTCCCACTGCAGATATGAGGTGAAGAACCCTTATCTCTTTCACTAAAGCTCTAATTAGATACATACTATTTGTGTAGTTCATTTATATGTTTCAAGTCTATTCATAGAAAAATATCGCCTTTGTCGGGAGCATACATCTAGGCTACTGTACCTCAATACCCATTCTTCCATAGATGCCTTTCTTCATTGTCACCTCCATTCATCCATTTCTTTTGTCATTATCTTTCTTTCTTCTATTCTCGCCCTCGAGTTGATCTCGTTGTATCTCATTGTTCCATTCTTTCTGAACATATCAAGCTTTCTGCTGGACAGTCGCTTTCTTCTCTCTTTTAATCCCAAGCCTGCCCCATCCAAGTCTGCGAACAGACAATCTTCTATACATCTTCGACAGCGAGTATCTATCACCCTTCATAAGTGCAGAAGCAGGCTTGTACCTCAACCATGATGACTCGCTTGCGTGAATCCCTGGCCGGTCCAGGGTACGTGATCCTGAACGTTATTCGCGTTCTCAACATTATCACTTTTATGGACCTTATAGCTGCTTGTGCAGTCTTGCTGGCCAAAATCGACAAGCTGAATAGCTTCTTTTTCTTCGAAGCTGTGACCCATGCCGTGGTGGCTTTAGTCAGCCGTAAGTATAATCCTCCATGTTTGTGATATAAATGCTAACGCTGGCAGTCTTCATGATAATTTCGGAGCTCCCAGTGCTCCAAAGCTATTTTGACAACCACTGGCCGATGTTCGGGCAAGACTCTAGCTTCTACTCTCTCGGCGGGATCATGATGATCCTGGGTGTAGCGACACTGGGCAACCTGAACACCAAAGCCATGACCCAGGAAGCCATTGGAATGACTTTCTGGCAAATCATAATCTCTGCTGGTGTCCTAGCAATGGTGGTTAGCGTGGTGAACGTTGTGGCAGTAAGTAACGAGTTCAAGGACTCCCAATCCCCCAATGTATTTCTTTGACCGGGTGCTAACCCATTTCCCCCAACAGAGCTACATGTTCAGCGACCCCGAGACCGGCGTCAGTGCCCGTCAGGTGCGGGTAGACGGCGCCGTCGCACCCCAAAAGGCAATGAGCCGGACGAGCAGCCACCGCACCCTCCATTTGAGCGTGAAGCGCGAGGAAACCTTGCCTACCTACACTCGCCAAAACCCTGTCAAGCGTGCTACCAACCGTCTCACCGGCCGGTTCCCGCTCAAGATCTCCAAGCCCATGAACCCGACCCTCGTTGACGAGAATGATGCCGCTTCCTCCAAGTACTCTCGTGACTCTGCGGAGATCCGTCCTCCCGACCTTGCACACCACCCTGCTATGTACTCGGGCCACATGGTTTGAGCTGATTGACTGGTTGACTGGTCAACTGGGTCAAATATGTGGTTGTTTTCAAGGAAAGGTTCTGGCGTTGGTTGAATCAGAAATCTTGCGTTATTGCGATGGCACATTCGGCACTGTTTTATTCCCCTTGTCTTTTGCTTCTTAGTGTTTTAAATGATCTAATCGACACATATGATTTTTATGGGTCATTCACGAAGTAGAAAAATTAGAATATTCGTAGATGATAGAACAGTATGGAAGTTTTGCCTACGTTGTAGGTGGTGGTTGAGGGCAATTTCCAAGAAAGGACGGGGGACCCACGTCTGGCCCCGACTTCAATGAAGCTACATATGTAAGTTAGACATTCGAACACTCTTACATCTTTTATCTTTCTTTCGTCGAAACTCGACTCAACCTGTTCGAGATTCCGATGAAGTGAGATATCCTAGCAAATATGGCTACAATCCCAATCTCCTGGGGAACGTAAGTTTTGAAGCTCTCATCCCGCAATCTAGCCTGACCGCGAATAGCGTCAAATCACTCCTCATATTTTTCGGCCCTGTCCTACTCCCACGCGTAATTACCGCCTATCGAAGTCTCCGTGTATCTATCGCGAGTCGGCCACCACCGCGTCCTCTGCCTGCCGCACCCGCTCGAGCGCTGAACATCTTATTTGGTGGCATTGTCTTCTTTCTACTCCTAAGCCTACCCTTCAACCCCCACGCGCCCGAACCCAACATCTTCTCTCAAACTCGCTCCCGTCTAAACACCCCTACCGATGTCATCTTCAGCCGTCTCGCCCGGCTTCGACCAGATAACCTCCTCACCGAAGCCGACAACCTCCTCCAATCCAAGTTTACCTCTCTTGGTGCCCGCAAAGTATACCTGACTTATGGCCCCGATGCCTTAATCTCGTGTCAATATTGCTCCTTCGATAACCTCAACACATACCTCGTATACTACCTCCCATTCCACGTGTTGCTACCACACCTAGCGCACCTGCTGCTCATAGGCGTGGCCACATCCGCGCCCATCGCAGGGCGCGAGGCCTCTCGTTGGCGCGTAAAGTTCGCCATAGCTGGAATTGTCCTTGCAGCCATTGATATTTACATCATGGCCACCTACGATGCGATCCAGGGTGCGTCGCGCTCTGTGCGCGCGGGCCAGACACCGCCCTCCGGTCTCTACCACTACATCACCCTCCTGCGACCGCTGGCCTTCGTGATCTGCGATGTAATCTGCTCAGTTGTGCTCTGGCTTTCCGCCACCAACCGGTTCTTTTTCAAGCCGCCCTCAGCAGTCGAGCAGGTTGACGACGCGGTTTCGATGGCCGCGCAGCTACTCATGGGTGCAAACTCGAAACTTCATGCTGCGAGCGTTACTCGCAATGCGGTAGTTCGGGATTCGGCTTTGAAGAATCGAGATGATCTGTATTGGCGGACTATGGTGGCTTCCGAGAACCCCACTCAAGGGCCCGGAGAAGGTGGGGAGCAGATCCTCAACAATATTTGGGAGGAGGAAGAAGTTGCTCGGGCCATGTCGCGGGTGATGGCTGGGCAGGGTGGAATTGATTTGGCTCAATTGGGAGTTAATGCTAATGATTTTGTGAGAAATGTTACGGAAGGTTTAGAGTGAATGTGTATCTCTTCCCAAAATATACATCGTACATGTGTACATAAATGTGTTCTATTATTATCCCATTTCTCATATTACGTGCCAAGACATACGAAAAGACTGGTTGAATGGTGTAAATAGACCGGAATTGGTACAATGTTGACATCGACATATAGAATACAATAAAAAAAATTACAGCCAAGACACAGACAGAGACACAGACACAGACACAGATCTTAACTTAGATTTATGCACTTTCGTGTACAATAGCCAGCCAATAATCTCGACATTCAACATTTAACGAGGCGGTGAGTGGAGCGATGATCGTCGCGACGAGATGAAACGAAAGCTGAACCAAATAAACCACGTTCCCCCTCTATTCCCTCCTTTTTTTTTTCCTACAAATTCTCTTGCACTTTCACGTTATTGCTTTTCACGTTCCTGGTTGAACGAGTCAAGTTAGAAAGTAAATAAAGCTCAGATGAGGCAGGTTCCACATCTATCTCGGCATTGATCATTTTGGCTCGATTCCTGGTTCTCGACTGTCGACTCCCGGCCCTTGCTCCTCTTTTCCCCCCACGGCGCTCCCCCCGTGGAATTTCCAATATCCTACTTTCCATTGGTGCTATCTTCACCATGGCAGACACAGTCATGCCGTCGCAGCCACTACCAGAGTTAAAGGGGCGCAATGCCTACGTCTCCTCTCCAAATGGATTACGATCAGCCAAGGAGACCACGTTCCGTGAATGGGTGGTTGACAACCAGATCGGTATGAAGAATCACCCTCAATCCTTGGATCCATTTGTGGATGAAGGCACATCAAGCTGTACCTGGGAATATCGTTGCGCTCCCCATGGAATCCCAACAATATGCGATAACACTATGTAGTAGCGCTAACACCAATCGTTGCTCTACAGGAATTTCCATGACCACCCTGGCTATGTTGCTGGCTCTTCATAACCTCTATCCATCGCTCCGCCCATATACCCAGCCATTTTTCCAATTGTCCTACTATAACGAATCCTCAGACTCATACGTTCAGGGCTGGAACGATGTCTACTTCGTCATCAGCGCTGCTATCGCACTCACCGGTATTCGCGCTATTGCCATTGAATGGTTCATGCAACCATTAGCCCGCGCCTGTGGTTTAAAGCGCAAGCAGTCAATTCGCATTGCTGAGCAGGGCTGGCAAGCTATGTACTATTCGTTCATTTGGGGACTTGGATTGGTGTGTTTGACCCACAGATATCTATCCGGGAATATATGACTAACTGCTGGTTCTATATTGTAGTACCTCTGGAAGACATCATACTACTGGGGTGATTTCGCCGCCATGTGGTCGCAGTGGCCCGCCCGTCCTCTGTCTGGCTTGATGAAGTGGTATCTTCTCGTTGAGCTAGCATTCCTCGTTCAGCAGGTCTTCGTGATCCACGTGGAAGAGAGACGAAAGGACCATGTTCAGATGCTTTCCCACCACATAATTACCAGCGTTCTCTTGAGCTCTGCGTACATCTACGCTATGTACAATGTGTCCAATGTAGTGCTATGTCTCATGGACATTGTGGACTTTTTGTTACCGGTTCGTCAAATATTATTCGTCAACTGGTCGTGAACAACTACTAATGCCTCCACAGTCTGCGAAGATCCTCAAATACTCCAAGTTCGAAACGGCCTGTAATATTGGCTTTGGCCTCTTTATGGGCACATGGTTCATTACCCGACACATCATCTACCCCATGGTGTGCTGGTCCGTTTATTATGATCTCCCCCGTCAGCTTACCTATGGCTGCTATACCGGTTCAACAAGCGAGTTCATCTCAGCGGAGGCCCCGAATGCCTTTTCATACATGCTTGGTCCATACTTCAGTCTGGACAACCCCATCTGCTTCAACCCCGCTCTCAAATGGATCTTCTTATCGTTCCTGCTGTTCCTCGAGGGACTGTCCATTGCATGGTTCAGCATGATTGTCCGTGTTGCTTATGGTGTGGTTCGCGGCGGCAATGCTGAAGACACCCGCAGTGATGATGAAGATGAAGACGAAGTAGAAGCAGAAAACCAGACTGCATCCCACGTCCCAGCACATTTGGCTGCTAAGGACGGTGTTCCTATCGACACAAGCGAGACTGGAAACGCACCGGGCTTGGACCGTCGGCGGTCTAACGGTACTGCCTCCGTGCGCGCGCGGGGCCGTGGTCGTGTTCCTTTCGATCCGAGTGATCACAAAGCTCTCTTGGGCCGCATTGGATGTGAAAAGCCAACATAAATGCCCGCTTTCCATTTACCATTTTCTCTTGACCAAAATTTGATGACTCTCATTTCGAGTTGCTCTCTAGCATGCCATGCCTCTGTCCACATACCCTGTCCCATGATATACATTCCCCGGGTGTCGGTGTTGGATAGCCGGCGCTGTCTATGCAATGGAGTGCCCGAATTACGATGAACTGCGATTCCCAAGGTTTGTTTCCGGCACATCGTTTTTCAGTCCGCTTTTGCCAGGTCTTATATCCACTTTTTTTTTTTTTTTTTTTTTGTTTTATCTTTTGTTTTATTCATATTCATACGAATTGTCGCCTTCTCATCACTTGCAGGCTGGCGTCGGGGCGGCTTCCTGCTATGCTTTTTGTTGCTGTGATGGTCTCTACGGACTTGGAGTTTCGTTCTAGAGAATCACACAATAATACCCAATGGAAGCATTTGGCCTTGTACATGTATAATAGAGCCCTGTCCGGTATGGACCTATAGATTTCCCCTAGGGTGAATACGAAATCTAAAATTGCCTTCAACCTCAAATCCTTGATCATCTTCACCTAATCTAACAATATGGACCCTAGTGATGAACATAGTCCCTAAGCGGTGGCTCCCCATTTTCGTTATATCCATACAACAACACATCAAGCGCCCCAACCACATTCGACACAGCCTCCATCCCCAAAAAGTCTTCCACGTCCAAACCAGGTGCAAGCATCTCCCTACAAACAGCATCCAGATCAATCCTCTCCAACCGCCCAGGCCCATCGTGCAATACAGCATCAACAAATAAAGCATAAGCCAAAGGATTAACCAACATAGCCGAGTGTGAATAAGATCCCCCAGCAGCACGCCCTGCACAAGCAACCTGTACCTGTACATTCGCCACCCCAACCTTACGTACATCCCCCAGCGCCGCAGAAGCCCGCTCCCCACCCTGCGGTTGGACAACGCAGTCATACCCAGAGTACACGCTTGTCGTCGGCACAAACGCCGAATCCCCATCCCCACCACGTAAAGCCTGAATGAACCTCGCCTTATATCCCTGCTGCTGCACAGCAGGCGAACAAACTGGCTCGGCAAGCACGCACAGCGTCTCAACAACTGTCCCGTGGAAATCACCACTGACAGTCATGAAGTCGCTTACCGCAGCTCGTGTCGATGGCCAGTATTTTAGCGCCCATTGCACATCTAAACTGCCCTGTGACCAGCTTAGCACCCCAATGGAACGCTGGGAGAGTCCCGAGATGTAATTTATTGCGTATGCAACGTACTCTGCGTTGCTTTGGATATCACCCAGCGAGTTGCCCGGGATGTTCACCCATACTGGGTCTGTGTGTGGGTTTGCGGCGAAGAGCTTCGCATAGTTGAAAAAGTAGGTGCTACCAGCTGGATTAGCGGTGCCCGGGAGTAGGAGGACGGGTATTTTGTTGTTTTTGCCGTAGGAGAAGGTTTGGGGGATGTGGATTGCGCTGCGGAGGGTTGTTTCGGGGATGTCGTAGGGTGCGTCGTAGAAGAATTTTGTTGGGTGGATTCGTGGACTTGGGTCTTTTGGGTTATTGTTGGCTATGGAGTTTATTTCGTGGTTTGTTATGCCGTTGAGAATGTCGAGGATGTTTGTTGGGACTAGACCTAGGGATACTATATCGATGGCTCTTTGGAGGATTGTTTGGTTGTTGGTGTGTGGAATTGAGGAGAGGATTGAGAGGCCTTCTTCAATTGTTGAGACTGGCTTGATTTTGCCTGTTGCGATGCCTGATATCTTGGCTTCGAGCTGAGATAGCTCTTGGTATATGCCAGTGCTGAAGGGAATATGGTTTGCGGATGTGTTGAATAGCTTGTTAAAGATGTCTGGGACATCGTGAGCTTCTTCCGACGTATACGAAGACACCGGGCTGCCCAACGATGCCGATACAAAGAGAACAAGCTGAAGTAGTTGGTGACAGCGCATTCTAGGTCTTCAATTAGGGCTGACTATCTACCCATGGGGCTTTACCTAGTAAATACTGACATTTTATATCCAAAAAGATATTCCATCGGAGCTCAATCAACATGCATTTCGTACCATATCCTATTGGATCTGAGTTTCTATTTCAGCGCTAGATACATGTGGGATGCATATCGTATTCTACCCCTCATATTTTAGAACGTAAAAGCACCGTAAACGCTTGGTAGTTAGCACACGGACCTGTCTCAAGTGTGTGGGCCATCTCATACTTCTCATGCTCGGTCGTTCCAATAACGTCCGAGCATCGGAGTTTCTTCTGCATTTGTGTATCCCGAGACCAATAGTCCGGGGAGGGTCTCCTGCAACCTCATCCTGGAGGATAGGATAGATAGTCAACACCATCAACGTGCCAACTGCCCGAACCACCACCTGAAACGGAAGGAATTATGGCGAAGGAGAACCCATATTCACCGCAAGTGCAGCTTGAAGGTGGACGGTTTTTGTTGATGTCTCCGCGTCAGAATATATATCTTACATTGGATTCATGCCGGTTGTTATGAGAGCGTGGATCTTTCTCGAGCTTATTGTTTGTCTAGTCAAACACTGCTCCCATATGTTAGCTTTAGTACCCATGGTTGCGAAGTATACATGGGTTGGTCACAAAGGCGAAAGTTCAAAGTCATTGGTAACCCCCCACGATTATGGAGCTAATTATGGAATGATTAATTCACACATTTTAGGTACAGGTCAATTGCTTCCTTTACTGCAGTGAATTATTCTCTCTGGCAATTTAGTATATTAGTCCTTGTTAAGCCCTAGTAATATTGGGGGGCATTGCAATCTCTTGTACAGTCCTTCGATCTCAAAATCTACTACTTCATGTTGTCGCCGGCTTAGCGCGTTAATAGAATCAAGGTCATCGGATTCAATTGCATTGATTTAGACTCAGTGAGGATTCGTGGTTTGGCTGTCTAAGTAGAATTAAACGAGTCGAAGGCCGTGTTTCGCAATGACTTCTTCCAGTGGTGTAGTTCTGAAATGGCGCCCAGGTGCGTCTGTGAACTGGGCTTATCCTCTGAATCAGTGGAAAAAGGGTGGAGGAAGTCAAGCACAGCTAAGTGGCCGTGTCTTCTAGCCCAATCAGCAGCTGTGTGGCCAACAGGATCTCTGATCCAGGGCAAGGCCCCGCGTTGGACTAATAGCTTGACAGAACCCAGTAAACCCTTCCCGGCAGCGCAATGAAGAGGAGTCCCTATTCCGCTATACATATGAAAGTAATAATCATCACCACAGTTTTGATACATGATGTTATTTACTGGATGACCACGGTCTAGAAGATAGCGAACAATTTCTAGCCGATCATCCAATTCACGCATTGCCGCATAATATATCACTTGGCCATGCTGCAAGGATGCATTATGGCCAAGAAGAAGCTCAATTATTGGAAATGGAGCCTCGACAAACGCGATAGATAATGGAGTGCGATCCGCATATCCATAGAATCGCCAGTTAGGATCCGCTCCATGGGTAAGGAACTAACGCGTCAAGTTAAAATCATGGAAGGAGAATCTACAACAGAAAAATTATTAGTGAATTGTCGAATGTCTGAGTGAGGCTAGGCTACGCCAGGGCTGAAGGAACACTCGAGTAAAGTGGCGCGTTGATGTCCCATCCATGGGTAAGAAATACCCCTAAGGTCTGGTATGACGAGTTCATGATGGCGTTTAGAATGCACTGAGAATCCAAGGGAACATTGTGACCGAGGAAACAGTCGACTAGATGGAATGAGTTTGTCTCCACAGCTTCGCGGAGAAGAGGCGTTGTTGATTGGAAGGTTTCCTCATCTAGACTGTCTCGCAATCCAGAAAGTGTGGCGTTTATTCGGTCCATATTGTTAGATAGGACATCTGCTCGAAGCTGAATTGCAATGAGATTGTTGGACATTTTTTTGATGAAGATAAACACGCTCCCTGTAGGAAATTTGCACTAGCGTTAATCCAATGCAACAAAATAAAAAAATTGAATTTATATTTTGAAATTGATACATTAATCATCCAGGACCATGCAGGCGACTACCATAGACGCCAACATGCCTCCTGTGGGGGTATAAAGATCCCGAGGTCTATTTCCAAGACTCCGGCCTCGAGGCTCCAGCTCACAGCTTTTGTCCCACATCTCATGTAAATCAACAGCGGACCGCAACTGAATCGTAAGGTATTCCTGCAACGCCGGCACGGGCTGTAAGGAATAAGGAGCTTCTTTTAATCGCTGAATTTCATGAATGGTGGATGCTAACATAGTACATTTGTGGAAATTGATGAGACCTTCGGGTGTCATGGCTGGGTTCCCATCTTCGATGAATGTCAAATCTTTCAAAAACAGACCTGCAGAATGGTTAATTATAGATACCTTCAATGGTGAACGATAGAACTAACCAACAAAAGGAATGCACGGTGGCACTGCAACCTGCAACGTCTCACGGTAGGCCTGGTAATTGTGTGCACTGAATATCATAGCTTGCAAGGGCCTTAGTGTGTTGCAACTTCGTTCGGTGACCATTGCCCAAGTGCGAGCAAGCCGATAGATAGGTGCACTTTCCAGGCCTGCCAAGATAGAGACCACTGCGGAGTAATTATGAAGTTCATGACAGGTCTGTAATAGGTGAAAATTAGCATATAGCAATTATTCCAAGAGTGAGGCTCGAGAATACAACGTACATTGGCCACATTGACCAAATGCCCTATCACTTGAGTTCGCTTTTTCAATTCCGATTCTGCAAGGATTAGGGCGCAGACCCAATTAGACAGCTGATTGGAATACCGAATCAAGGCCCTGACGTTCGGAGCTAGCTCAGGTGTACTGGGGCTCTCCTTTATTTCCCAGTTTTTGTTTAAGAATTCATCTCGTTGTACTTTGTCGAACACACGCGCTTCCATGATAGTCAGCTGCCGGGCAATCTCCTTGGCATCGATTTTGAGGAACTGGAGCTTCTCTAATTTCCGTGGTAGAATTGGCTTTGGCGGAGCTGAGGTGGATGATAGTGGCCTTCTCTTGCAATCGAGACCCGCAAGTCGACGTCGAATGATCGTGAGAAGTTGTTGTGTCGCGCTTGTCTCTGTGACATCTGTGGCGCGCTTTGCAAATGACTCTAGTATTCGCAAATTTCGATCTGTATCAATTCCTTTTGGCTCAGACCAAAAATGTTCAAGCCACTGGTTTAGAACATATATCACGCGTAATTGAATCAGTGGCTTTGTCTGGGTTGACCATTCTGCCGTCTGAGCAACGTTTAATATGGGAGGCGAGCAATTGAAGCGGTCGATAAGGAGCTCACGGAGCTCCGTTCCCGAGGTAAAATATTTATAAGTGGTGAAAAAGATCCGATTGAAGGAGCAGTCGAGCTTGTCGTGGTCCGTCAATTTTTCCACCAGCGCTGCCAGAGTTCCGGCCTTGACAACTTCCACGCTTCCGTGGTACCCGCAGATGAGTTTCTCCGGAGGTGTGATATCATGAGATCCGGAGTCCCTCCGCTCTTCTATATCTGCCTGATCCATTGTGACGACAAAGCCATGGAAAATTTGATTCAGGTATCATCCAAACGGCACTTCTGCTTGAATCGCTGTGGTCAGATGGCATTGTGTCTGAGCTGCGGTCAAGGGCGAGGCAGAGAGATTGATAATGTCATTTGGGTAGTGGGGTATTTCCACTGGACCAGTGTACTAACGAAGCACTCCACTTATAGGCGCGCTAATTTCTGACCCTACAAACCCCGACCATCGTCCGGTCTCGGATTGAGACCTCGGATTGGGTTCCCATGATCAGCAAATTGCATTAACGGACCATCGGATTTCGCTTAGCCGCCCCTGTTATGGACCCACATTTAATCGTTTTTGGCTAGGATCGGAGGGTTTTGGTTATCTGATCCGAAACTTACCGGGAAAGCTTCGAGTTTATTGGCAGAGAGAGGATCCGCAGCGTCATTTATGTATGTATGTATGTACTTTGTAAGTCCGAGTCACGCGGTTAGAGCCTACTTTTAGAATTTTCAAAACGGTTGAATTGTTCAGTTAACTACATAGTACCTAGGTAAAGCAGAGGTTGAAGAGTACCATTCTGAATCGCGTGAAATTTTATATTTTCTTATACTGATTGGTATCCTAAAAGACCGTACCCCTGACCTGCGGCTTCCTCTTCAAATTGATATCTTTCATCAAAAAAGTCCAGGGAATTGCCAAAACTATAATACCACATCCGACAGCGAGTAGTCGAAGTTCAGCGTAGGCGTAGGCTTTCTGAATAGCTAGTCTAATCGGGGTTCCCACAGGATAGCTCAGTTGCGTGACGAGATCCTCGTATATGTCGTTCAGATTCGGCATGGCTGATTCCGGTAGATATCGGAGAAGAGCTTTCATATATGTGTTTTGCCAGATGACGGTACTGATGGTAAGACCTGCACTATCGCCAATAGTGCCAACCACATTTAGCAGGGCTAGTGCTGTAGCGACGTGTTGGTGGTCGACAGCCGCTAGGATAGCAAGCTGCTCGACAAGAATGAAGATTGAACCACCGATGGCAAGGAAGATTTGGCACATCACTTGGTAGCCAACATTTACGTTAGGCTGGCGGAAGTGTATCATCAAGCCCTGTGCCAAGATATATAGTGGAACGGCAATATACAGAGTCCACTTGTAACGGCCAACTCTCCGGATTAGCCAACCCGTGGCTAATAATAGTACTCCAGAGACCATGTCAAAGATATTGACGATATAGTTGGAAGTGGTGATGGATAGGTCATTGTTAACTTGCAGCCAGGACGTGAAGTAGTAATTCCAGCAATAGTACGAGAGCTGATAGGTGGCATCCAAAAGGACTGCACCGACAATTGTGCGGTTCGTAAGAAGTCGCCACTCGAAAAGAGGCACTGGAGCCAGCCATCTTTCCCAAATTGCGAAGAAGAACAGCATAGAAAAACCGACGACAAGCATAGCAATGATATAGTCAGAAGCCCATTGATCGGGGGCGTAATGAGCGAGGTCGAAGGGAAGTTCAAACAACACGAGACCAGCAGTGAACAAGAAGACTCCGAAGACTAGGACTCTGAGTTAGACTTCGTATGGGACGGGTATTGGCACAATGTACTTACTATCAAACTCGACAGTCCAATGACATATGCTTTCGAGTACTGTGCGACCACTTGGCCTCTTGATTCTGTATCCTTCCTCCTCTGCCTTGCGCAGGTTCCACTTCAGCACAATATATAGCGGAGCTGCCACGATAGGAACGACGATTGCCCAGCAGCCAAAGCCCCATCGCCAGGAAATCTGGTAGTAGAATTCATTCGCCACTTTCGGTCCCGCAAATGCGGTGATGATGTATGGAGAGGAAGTGAATGCATAGGCGAAAGCACGGTTTCTCAGAGTCGAAACGTCGGCTGTCATAACATCGATTGCGTATTCCATGCCGTAGGAACCGGTATAGTAAAAGACCTAATATCCCACAAAAAGTCAGTAGTCACTCAATCTGATGCAATTTTAGAACTCACGTTGGCGGCGCAGTAGATCTCGAAGCTATTACAGGTCGCCATGAGAACCAATCCGATGGTGGCACATATGACCATCAAGAGAAATCCTTCTGCACGGCCCCATACATCCATCATTTTTGCAACAGGTAGGTAGGTTGCAGCTGCAAAGACATCGGCTAGGGCGGTGGGAACCGCAGACAGCGAGTGTGCTTTAAATGAACTTGTCACATAAGGGTTGAGAGTGGCGGTAACGGTAGATTGAAATGCATTCACGAAATAAAGGAACCAAATGCTATTGAGGTCATGATATCAGTGTCAGTCGGAAAATTGGTAGCGGTATTGAATCTATGACTCAAGATACAGTAGGATACATACTTGATGAAGACTGCAATAAGCGTACGCCTCGTCCACGTCATCGTCACTGCCTCAACATCTTGAACACCATACTGGGCACTCCTATCCGGTACCTCCTCGAGTGCCACAGAGCTGGCGGGACTTCGAGGGGTACCTTTACCATCATGGGGCGTGTTATGTGCCAGGGACTCATTGTCACTATCTTCAGTCGACACACGGCGGAACACGATTCGCGCTCTTCGGATCAAAGGGCGAACACCCATGATGGCTGACTTTAGAAGTCACAAATTGTCCAGAGGTCGGGCTAAATCAAGTTGGACCCCACGTGGATACGTAGGGAATCCTTTCCCATATAATAAACAAGCACCGAAGTCGGGTTTTCGTATTGCATCAGCGACTAACTGGAAACTAACTAGTTACATACTCTAAGGGTCGTTCCTGGATATACCGATAGTGAATTTCCAGAGCATTCTCCACTCGCGGTTAAATAATAAAAAAAAGCTAAGATCTTGTGTGTTTCGTGCGTTCGTGGACCCGGTCCACGCCACTTTTCATCGTCGATCGGAAATTGCGCATTGTCCACAACCGATCCACTGCTAAATTATTTCTGTATCAGCAAAAGCTATGTGATCAATTGATAGGGTAGGAAAGCCTAGGTTGAACGAAATTGGTTTTTTCATGTTCATGCTAGGATTTCTCGATGCAATATAGTATAAGTATATCCTGGCTTCGCTTGCCCGAGGGTTCCAAGGTTAGGCGTATGTATTAGGTAAGACAAGACCCATCTCTTGTGCGTCACAGGCACCAGAGGGCAAAGGAGAGCCCTGGAGCCCTGGAGCCCTGGAGGAGGGAGAGCCTTAGTAACCACTTAGGGATTAATACCTGAGGCACCAAGGCAACACTTCAAAAGAGCCTCCCTTTCTTCCATTTTTGATATCAAAGCGTAGAAATAAAAGGACTCAGTTTACCCTTTTGATCATTCAAGGCCTCGCATCGCCTTCTGATATTTTTTCCTACCGTGCTATATTAGGAATCAATCTAGAATAAAAAAGCGTTTGGCGCTGAATTGATTTTAACCTAAAAACAAAATGCTAGAGATATAGTTCCCTTAATGTTGACTAGGCGTGTCTGTTCAGATTTGAGGGATACACAGCCCATCAAGGAGATTGAGCGAGGTGTGCACGCTGAGTGCGGGTATAGTTGTAATCGGTCTGCAACTGAAGGCGCTTAGAGCCCAGTTCCTCTATAAAAGCCTCTATTTCTTCAAATCCGAGTTGAGAGAGCGGGGGCCCTTCTCGGTAAGAGCCTACAGCCAGCAAAAGTCGGAGTTTAATTGCAGCTTTATTGATTGCAGTTATATTCGACTAAAAGCTCTCTTGCAAACGAGCCTCGCGTAAGGCTAACATCTTGTCTCGTACGATCAACTCCGCACGCTGGTCTACCTAAAAATACTCGGAAATGATTAGTATTTGCCTGAAAGAGATTGATAGGAGAAATTTATCTAAAGGACTTCTAACAAGGCCTCACAAGAGTATCATCTATTTTAGGTGATGGAGTTGAAGATAGGAATAGGAATGGGAGGCTAAGTAAGAAGCTGCTCATTAAGGCATATTTGTGAGATATCGAGGAAGGTAGAAGCAAGAGCTGATAGATTAAATCTAGCGCAGCTTGAGAAAGAGAGAAGGAAAATAGTGGGGAAGTAACTTGATTGGAAATTTATTATTTCTAAGACCCTATAAGATGTTAATGACCTTGGCCTTAGTGATAGCCAATTTTTCACGTTGCTACTCATTTACTTTTTACCAAATTTAAAGGGAAAATATAATTCATACAACCGCAATTGGATAAAAAAGCCCTGGGATACAATCATTGCGAGACAAGTTCCAATGGAAACGAATACAACCAAGGTTAGGTACGAGCTAGGTGTGGCCAAGCAGGTTGAGCAAGCTCTCAACCTCTGCGCACTGAGAACAGGCGTGGTGGTGATCCACGGTCAGCTGTACTTCTTGTTCTCTCAGTCCCTCTTGGATAACTTCCAATTCCATGGTTTTATCTTGGTCGTAGGCTCGAATTTTGAGGATACGGAGCTCATTGTTGGTGTTCTCCGTAGATATCATGTTCGCGTAAAGGGCATCTCGCAAGTCTGCCTCACGAGAGGCTAAGGCATTTAGGCGGGCCATCAACTCGTCATATTGATCTTGCTTTATGTTTTCAATCATAAGTTAGAATTCATCCAAAAGCGACTGATATCTGACAGTTATATAGAATATGTTAAAGGTGCAACACATACTCTATCCATGGTAGAATGAATGAAGCTGAATTTAGGGTGGGATTGAGAAGTTGATAGATGAGTGAGGAGGTCTCTGGTGATGATGAGCGAAATGGGTTTTGGTTGAAGAAGAGAAATGGAAATAGATGGGAGGGGCAGATTTATAGGAGATGGATTTTCTTCCACCCAACACTCTAAACGTTAGAGAACTCTGGTGTCCTTTGGCGGGGAATTCATTTCTCACATCACGTTACTACTGATTTACGGTTATGAAATTTCGAAGAAGCATCTGATCCATGATGGCTGGAATTGTCTAAAGAAACATACGCTTCGAGAAACAAACTCCAAGAAATGGTAATAAGACTTGTTGGTTATGTGCAACCGTAAAAGGAGTTGATCGATCAATACCTTAACCTGCGCCTGTTGGGCACAAGCGTGATTGTACTTGACGACCAATGTTCCCAAACACCCAGTTCGTCCCGGCAGACCTATCCTTAGCTGAGATCTCTGGTCATGAGTGAGAGCCCTAAGAAGGCTGAGTTTGTGGTTGATGGCCCTCGTTGGTGTCAGGTTCGCGTGGATAGTACCTCGTGGTTGCGCTTCGCGGAAGGCTAATGCCCTCAGGCAAGCCATCGACTCTCGTGTTGGTCCTGCTTTATATTTTCTATCATAACTTAGCATTCATTTGAAACGGACTGATGTGCGAGAGTTATATAGAGGATGTGAAAGGGGCGAGACATACTTCGTTCATCTTGAGATCGAGCTGTAGTTTGAGTGGAATATATGTCAGTAATGAGAAATAAAGAGATGCCCGATAGCTTTGGATGTGATAAGCTGAGGAAGAGAGAGAAAGAATATATTGGAGGGTCAAATGTATAGGAAATGGATTCTCTTCGACTCAAGGCCCCAACTGTTAGAGATGTCTGGTATCTTTGGTGGGGGATACATCTCTCACATCACGTTGCTGCTTGGCTTTTTATATAAAGTCAAGGTGACCAAAATAAGGATTAAGGTCTAATTAGCCCATGGCTCATAGCTTAGTGCTTGGGTTATCACTCAGCCTTCGTGTAGTATGTCTTCTGTGTCGTACTTTCACTGGATGTTTTCATGCAAACACCTATAATCACTTGTTGTATATGGAAAGTTCGGTTTGAATGTTTTACACAATTTTCGCCGCCCATGTTCTATTATTTTGTAGCTAATTATGCTCATTTTCCTAGCTACAACACCATTAATGGGGGAGTTGACTAGGGAAAAAATAACAGCTGAAATAGCCTACCAAAAAAGACAGAATAAGGTCCCATAGGCGGCCCACTGTTGTATATATACTGATATGTGACAAAGAACCAGACGGCACCTGGCACTCGGTTGATATCTTGTATTGTTGTCATTATTTCATCAAGAGCCGCATATAAGTATATCTCCTAGGAGGCTAAATGATCTTTAAAAAATATCCCGAAGACAGAAAATCTTCCAAATGAATGCTAGGGGCTTTAAATGTACTTCATCCACTTTTAGACATAGAGGGAAGATACGTGCGAAAGGGATTAGGCTGGGTCCTCAAGATTACAGGTGACTCGAACTGAGCGGTTCCTGTCTAAATAAATCAGGTATTTATTGACTGTCCGTTGTGGTTATATGTTTGCTCCCTAGGTAGATGTCTTCGTTAGCTAGCTTAGTGTCGTTGAGAGATTGAATCATTCGCTGTTTTTGCCAAAGACAACCTCCGTGTACACTAGAGCTGCCATTGGTGACTGCACTGATAGCTGTTGGGTTGTCATGCATGAATTCTTAAGTTTGGCGACTGGTCAGCAAGTGATTTTTGACTTGCTCAACATATTCGTTGTGGAGGGGTGTATGAGTAGCAATCGTAACAACATGTACGGCCGCTGGGACTCGAATGGGGAAGCAGCTGATGAATGAATTCCTTGAAGATGTCACTGTGAGCGCGAGTGTGGTCGTAATTGATTATTAATTTTGCTTCCTGTGCCCCCATCTCCTCTCAGATAACTTCCATTTCTTCGATCTGAGGCAAGGCCAATAGGGGAGAGTCGATGGAAGACGCATTGAAGGTGGGCAGCCTGTTGAGTCTAGGTGATGCCACTCCTGTGATATCTTTCCACAGTACACAGCGCCACCCAATTTGACAGCTGAACGCGCTGTGAAAGTGCTAGTACCAAGGGAAAAATCCAGCATTCAGACCATTGGGTAAAAGCTTGCCTGAGAGTCAAATTGTGGAGGAGCTTGGAAAGGAGAGCCAGTGTCATGGGCTCGATGGTCAAGCACTTTATCCACTCCCGCATCATTGTGTTGTTTATAAACTGGATTCATAATAGTTCATTTGGCGGACGTGTTCTCCGACAGAGCCCCAATGGTGTAAAAGACAAGGGCCTGGAGCAGTTTGTCGATAGTTCTGAAATCATATTTGCTTGCCGTGCTGATTGAAGTTAGGCATCACAAGAGGAGGGATACCATAGCGCACGACCAATTCAACGTATTTTTTGACCTACAGACTTTCAGATAAAAATTAGTATTCATGTTGAAAGGAGTGTTTGTGAGAGTGCTAGATCGTAGTCTTTCTGTACCATGCGTAGTTTGTCCATTTTCAGAAACGAATTTGGTTTTGTTGTAAGAGTTTATTTGCAAAGTGTGCATTCTGGGCCGAGGCGGACAAAAAGGATTGAGAAAAAAAGGATAGAAGCGCCAGAAATGTTTGGGAATGAGGGAAGGAGAACAGATAGTAGGAGAAGCTAATTTCTAGCAAAGCTGTCCCCGAAGACTTGCAAAATGTCAGCAAGTTCCAGTACATTGTAAGCAATGTTGTGTAAAATAGCGGTTCCATTTCCACAGAAAGTGTTCAAGACCTACCAATCTCGACACCTTAGTTCACGGGCAATGACCATGATATTTTCAACCGATTGTCCGAAGCACTTGATATGGTTATAAATCAATATCTTGGTGGACGTAAAGAATCTGAGATTGGTCAGGTTCTCTGAAGGTCCGAAATCGCACACATGTATTTTATTATCAACTATCCTGTGTAGGCGAGGGTGAACGGGGAGGTCCTCGATCGTCAGCTAGGCGTATGGCGTATGGCGTATTGCGTATGGCGTAATTTCGAACGAGCTGTCGGTTGCAAGGGCTATTACGGGCTTTTCATACTTAGCACGAGAATGGTCATATTCGGTCATACTGCATTTCTTACATTTGTAACTGCTGCCGAACAGATTGGCTTTTGTTGGTGTTGCTCCTGACTTTCGGATATCAGCTGCTTTCCCAACAATAGAGGTGTCCAAATTTCTCTGATAACTGCATCTGACACAATCACCTGTGTTTAAGCCGCTTGGATTCTCGGCCTCGTGAGAGGTCAGGAGTTCATGGCTACCACCTCTGGGATTCTCAATGCAGTGATGAAACTCACAAGGAAGAAACTGCATGTGTGATTCACAATGAAAAAAGATGGACGAAGGAGAAGAAAGGAGAGGGGGGAGAGAACAAGAGTAATCTACTGCTAGCAAATAACAAGTGCTTTCAAAACGCCAGACAGTCCGTATATATCAGTTATATCACTTTGCTCCTAAACTCTAGTACTCCCAAATTCCATCAAGTTTACTACCTTAGTGACAGCTAAAAAAAAAAAAGAGAATTAGTTAACAGATTCGTAGAAATCGAAAGGAAAATAAAAACGAAACCCCCTAGGTTAAGCGCAATCCTGGGGCCGAACCAGGTACTTCACCACCCAACTGACCTCCCTATCACGACCTGATCAGCCATATCGGCAGCACTCTAGGGAACTCAGTGAGGAATAACCCGCTGCACTATAAGGGATTTTCGTTGAAAAATCTTATGTTTTAGGTAAACTTAACAGACACATATTTGGTGCCTCAGGGACCAGATATCAAACAGCAACTCAGCGTATGTGGTAAAATTACCTCGGAATTTATTCAACTTGGTCATCTTTTAGAGCTGCTGCGAAGAGGTCATCAATATAAGTAATACGAAATTCTGCGCTTTGCCCTTTGCCGCAATTTCAAAAGTAGGGGTCTACTTTGAAAGGTCTGTAACTCATTTGCTTCATCTTTTCGTCAGGTTCTTTGTTTCGGAGCATAGCAGGGACCAAAGTGCTACAAAATACAAACACTCCCTTCTCGCCAATACTTGCTTCGGAGTATACATACAAAGCCGCCTGACTGAATTATATATAGTGTTTTCGTCTTGGCGTGAAGCGTTCAGATATACGGTAATGATATCAATTGCTTCCTTCCATGTACAGCCATGTACTACAATGACTGAAAATAGTATCAGAGACAAGCGCCTAGCAAGTCAACTGTTCGGCTTTTTCCTGATAATTTCTGTATACGGCCCATCAAACTTCGACCCCAAACCACATTTTCCTTGTTAGCGTTAACTGCAGATACCAATATCTAGGTGACCATTGCTAGTGGATTCCGCCAAATTACCAGTAGTTATATATTTCCAAAAAGCTTGGTAAAAGAAGCAAACATGCAGATAATCAAAGGTGCTCATGGACATGCATATTTCAACAAAGGTCACACCTCAAAGGAATCGAAATCCATTGAGCTTGACCCAGCACATACGATCACTATTACTATCGGGAGTTGGCTATTCTAACAAACTCGATCGTGAAAATTTTGATGCCAAAGACTATCCAGAAAGAAACCACCCAAATAAAGTGGTATTCCATTGACAATTGCAGCTTTTACAACCACAACTTCTCTGCATTAAACTGGGCAATAATATAACTAGTTCACATCAAACGAATAGATACTACGATTAAAAGTCAAGGGGAATATATTCGTACACTATCCGACAAGAATCGTCAGCCAGACCTCGCTCATTGCGGGAAAACCGGAGAAAGAGTTGATCAGGGCCCCGGTTCCATTTAGCGATATCTGCCTCTGTAGTTCCAGGAGGAAACCCATCCATTGGCCGGAAAGCAGCAATGGGTCCAATGCGCACCTCCTCTGGAATGAACAGTGCTGCTGGTATTCTGGGCTCTGAAACCGCATAAGATGAGGTTGTCGCAAGTTCGGAGCCGGAAATCGGTCCATTTGTTGACTCCAGTGCACCAAAAATGGGTGTATGATGAACCCCATTGATTTCCATTGCCCGTGATTCTTCTAGTTCCATTATCGTTCGACCGACGGTTGCCCAGATCGAGCACTGGTAAAATCCTTGCACTGAGGGCGCTTGGTAGAGTAGAGCCAGTGCCGCACGTCGGGTACGCGGCTCACGGCATCGGAGACTGGTGAACCAAAGCGGAAGTCCAACATTGACTTCAAATGTAAATGGCGGCTGTGTGCCGTCTGATCGCTCCGAGGCTTTGGGCGCATTGCCACATTGTTCGACGATATTTTGGAAGTTTGGTAAATAAGCATCAAATTGCATCAATGACAAGGATGTGCAGGTCTCGAGCATAATGTATAGCATTTCATGATAACTCAACAGAAGGGCACTAGTACCAATCTGTTGCAGTGATAAAAGGTCTTTAGTGCGAAGAGAAGTCATCAGCTTCTCAAAAGAAGTATGCCAGTTTTTCAGTCTAGTAGCCAGACTGAATAGTTTAAGATTGAATTCTTCAGGCACATGAGACGCACCAGCCTGGAGTAAGTGCTTGGTGCAACTGGTTTCAAAGAGCGGAATCTCTATAGCTAAGAGCACGATCGCCTCCCTAGCAGACTTGAGTGAGTCGAACTGTTTCGTCAAGGCATGCTCAGTGTCATTTAGTAAAGCGGTCACCGGAGCCCCACCAATAGCGAGAGCGAATGTTCCTAGACGGACGAAGATCGGGATAATCGTATCCTCCAACATGGAAGCTTGACTCGCAGCCCCAGATGCTATTTGGGGACGCAAAGCAATAATGAGCTGCACACCTTGACGATAAAGCTGCAATGCCCCATCTGCATTTCCCTGGATGGCCTCAATGCAAATGAATAGCACACAACTGATCAGTCCGACAAAAACGTCTACGCTACCCTGCTCGATGCGCTGACGAACAGCAGATACTGAGCGTGAGTACCAGCCCAGAGCATCTTGATGATTTTGAGTAAGAGAAATCTGGCTATCACGGCCTTGTAGCACGGGATTCGGGCTTTTTTTGGCATACTCAAATAGCGCACTAATAGTGATGATTGCATCCCACACAGCAGGTTCATAACGGCAGACCTGTGGAACGACAGTGCGCCAAAAATCAACATCCAATCCACCGCCAATGGAGGAGGCAGCAGATTCAAAATAGTAGGCAAATGCACGTCGTTCTCGCCACACCGTGTTGGTATTTGGCGACAATGATAAAGGGTTGGCGATGACCGAGATTGTGGAAGGGGGCTGTGCGTCTTCAAAGTCGCACTTGCGACCTGTACTAGTACATCGAACACAGCTAGGCTTTTCCTCTCCGCACTTGACCCGTCGAATTCTACGACACATTCAATATCAAATATTCTGTCTATGGAAAGGAAGCACCTACTTGCAAGTTCTGCAGCCTAGCCTTGACCTTGGATGGACCTTTGAGCGACCCCTTGAATGGTCCACACTAGCAGACATGTTGATATCATTCTAGATTTGGCTTGCGATTAGAAATCTTGTCGTGGAGAACCCGTGGACGCACAATCATCAAGTGGTGGCATGAAACCCAGTCTTGTCTTGGAAGACCACACCTGATGACTAATCTCAGATTAGTCAGCTTCTGTAGGGCTCCAGGGCTGCCAAGGTGGGCCGTAGGTATACTAGGCTGGGATTCAACTAGCCAACTCTTTTGCTATTCGGACATCACCTATACTCCAAGTGAACACGCAGGCGGGAATCGCTCGGCGACAATTAAGAGTATCAAAGACGAAAGTGAAAACCCCGGAAAGAAGGGAAATATATATATACCAGGAACATGCACACGATATGAAGAAGGATGTTCAGAAAGTAATAGCACTCAACATATGGATTTAAATCAAGATGGGGTTCTCAATATAGGGAGAAGGAAATAGAACAGTGGAACGAAAATGGAACCAAGTCTGGCATAAGACAAGTAAACGGGTCCCACCAGCCAAAGCCAGCGAGGCCGCGGGCAATACGGAAATCCATAACAAAACTCCTAGCCTCACCCAAAGAAAGGGTAGGGTGTTCATAATACAGCCAGAACGGAAGGGTCAGTTCCAAGTTTGCGCAAAATATGAGATATACACCTGTCCGAGGAGACGACTAGGAGTGCGTGGTTCCCGTGAGCTAGATCTGTGTCTCGGACATGGGCAAACTATCACGGCCATGAGGTCGCCTGGCGCGTTCAAGTTGTGAAACCTGCGCACAATAATGACATTGCGTTCTCGCGTTCTTACGGTCTGAGGAAGATCCTCCTTTGTGAGAGGTGCCGGTGTCAAGGAGGCCCATCTCTAGAAGCTGGGAAGGTGTAAAGTGGATGTGTAGTGAAGACAAGCTAGGTCAGTTCTCAGCCAGCATTGTCTCTGAGCCTAGCAAGTGCCGCCGCGATACCTTCACTCATCTCTTCCCTTTGCTGGCCTCCAGCCTGAGGCTCAGTAGACCGAGCAGCTTGCGCAGCTGCGGTTTTCCTGCTTTCAGCCAGAACTTCACGAAGGATAGCCTCTTCTTCATCCTCTTCCTCTACATTCTCGTCATGCCTGTCATCCACATTCACGGCTGGCAGTTGAGCACGGCGTTGTGTGGCAGGAGCAGAAGACCTCTTCGTACTCTCGACTCTGAAATCTTCTCGAACTGCATGACACCATTGCTGGACCTTTTTCTCTCCCCAGCCCGGCACAGCACTAATCTGCTCCGGCTGTGCATTGATAGCATTTTGCAAGCTGCCAAAGGTAGAGATCAAACTCGCGGCGTCGGACTTGTTGATACTTCTGGGGACCGTGACAAACTCAACTAGTGACTCTTTGTAGGATTGGGGCTGTTGGGCTCGGATGGCAGTGGGCTGTGCGTTCTCTGAGGACTTGAAGAGCTCGAGATAATGCGCTGCCTCTGGCGCGGACCAACACAATATCAAGGTCAGATTGTTGATTATCGATGTTTTGGACAGCTCTCTCAGACTATCCTCATGATTTTGTATGTCGACCATCACTAGTACGAGGCGGAGGTTGTATTTGCCTGCTAGTTGTTTCACTCGGGAGTAGATGTATTCAGGGTGTAGACGATGGTATTTCAAGGAGAGGAACATTGCGCACGTTGTTGTGCCGACCACATAGTCCGCTGGGATATCGGCATATTCCCATGGTAGGAGCTTTATATGGGTCAGGATTGGGTTGCCCTTTTGTCGCGTGGACACCAGAATCGCGGAGGTACTAGGGCGGTTGGCGAGGGCTTGGGGTTTCGGCTGTTGGACCTTCGGTCTGGAAGATGCACTTGGAGTTGGGGAGTCTGAAGGGCGAGTGGGTATAGCCCTCCCCGGGCGCGACGGATCCATCTCGTCCACCAATGTATTATTGTTAATAGCAGAGCGATAAATGGAGAGTTGATAAGTCGATAAAGCTATTGCTTATCTGGACGGGACCCACACCGCCCGGTCCAATCTGCCTCAGTTTTCTGCCGCTAATTTTTTTGTTCTTCCTCGACCGCAAAAAAAAAAACCTCAGTCGCAACAAACAACGATGGCTGAATTACACAAGAAACGACGCCTCTCGGGCGACGAAAGCCCCGAAGTCAAAGAGGAGGCCACTACACCCGCCGCCGAGGCTCAGGCAACATCCCAGAACAAGAGAACTCTTTTCGTCCGCTCACTACCCACCTCGGCCACGACAGAGAGCCTGGCAGAATATTTCTCGCAGTCCTACATTATCAAGCACGCTGTTGTCGTCTGCGACAAAGAGACGAAGGTATCCAAGGGATTCGGTTTCGTTACATTCGCGGACGTCGAGGATGCAGAGGCTGCTCTGAAGGAACTCAATGGGTCTAAATTTGATGGGAAAATCATTCGCGTCGACTATGCCGAGTCTCGTAAGCGTGAGATTGATGAGAAGATTGGACGCAGTGTCCCCACTGCTGCGTCCCGTGAGTCTAAGAAGCAGAAGGAAGAGGCCAGAGGGCAGGGTCTGCCACCCAAGCTGATTGTTCGCAATCTGCCGTGGAGTATCAAGGAAGCCGAGGATCTGAATGTCTTGTTCCGCAGCTTTGGAAAGGTTAAGTTTGTTACTCTCCCCAAGAGGAACGGCAAACTTTCTGGTTTTGGTTTCGTTACTATGCGTGGCAGGAAGAACGCTGAGCGGGCGCTCCAGATGATCAACGGAAAAGAGATCGATGGACGTCAACTCGCTGTCGATTGGGCTGTCGAGAAGGACGTTTGGGAAACTACCAAGAAGGAAGAGGAGGAGGAAGAGGAAGAGGAGGAGGAGGAGGAGGAGGAGGAGGAGGAGGAGAAGGAGGAGCAGACGGAAGAGAAGGAGTCTGGTGATGTTGAGATGGAAGATGGCGAGGGTGTTCTCGAAGAGCCCTCAGAAGACGAAACCTCCTCAGACGAAGACGAGGAAGACGATGAGGACAAGGATCTGGATGAGCTGGACGACTTGGACGAAGACGAGGAAGAGGAGGAGGATGACCGAAATGCCACTACAATCTTCATTCGCAACCTCCCCTTCACCGCTACAGACCAGTCCCTCTACGACCACTTCAAAACCCACTTCGGACCGCTACGGTACGCACGTGTGGTCTTAGACTACGAGACCGAGCGCCCTCGAGGCACTGGATTCGCCTGTTTCTGGAAGCCCGAGGACGCCAACACATGCATTCGTGAAGCCCCCCGAGGAGCCGAATCCATGAACCCGAACAAGGATAAGCCTAAGTCGAACACCGCCATGAAGCACTCCGTCCTCAATGATGAAAACTCCGACCCAAGCGGTCGCTACACCCTAGAAGGCCGCGTCCTACAAGTCGCACGCGCCGTGAGCAAGGGCCAAGCCGCCAAGCTGGAAGAGGAGGGAGTATCACGCCGTATGGTCCGCGACACGGACAAGCGCCACCTTTTCCTCCTTAACGAGGGTACGATCCCCTCCAACTCCCCGCTGTACAAGAAGCTCTCGCCCTCCGAAATCAAGATGCGTGAGGACAGCTACAAGCAGCGCGAGACCTTCATCAAGAAGAACCCCGCTCTCCACCTCAGTCTCACCCGTCTCGCCATCCGTAACCTCCCCCGTCACATTGACTCCAAGGAATTGAAGAAGCTTGCCCGAGAGTCCGTCGTCGAATTCGCTAAGGACGTCAAGGCAGGCACACGCCAGCCTCTCTCAAAAGAGGAGCAGCAGCGATCCCGCGATACGATGAAGGAGCTGGAGCAGCTGCGCAAACAGAAGAAGATGGGTATCGTGCGCCAGGCCAAGGTCGTCTTCGAGACTCGCGAGGGTACCAAGGTCTCCGAGAAGACCGGTGGTGGTCGCAGCCGTGGCTACGGATTCATTGAGTTCTTCACTCACCGTCACGCGCTGATGAGTTTGCGCTGGCTCAACTGCCACTCCATGGCAGTTCCTCCTTCTGCCCAAGCTCCCGATGACCGGGACAAGAAGAAGAGCCTCGTTGTTGAATTCGCCATTGAGAATGCCCAGGTCGTTAAGCGTCGCAATGAGCTGCAGGCTAAATCCCGCGAGCCTAAGCGTGAGGATTATGCTGAGCCAAAGGGAGATAAGAAGAGGAAGCGCTCTGATACTCGTGATGGTAAAGGAAGAGATGGAAGAGATGGACGAGGTGGACGAGATGGTCGCAGTGGTCAAGATGGAAGGGACGCGAAGCGTGGCAAGACTGGAAATGGAAAGGACGCTAAAGATGAGAAGAAGACTGAAGAGGAGGATAAGGCCGCTAAGCGCAACCGCATTATTGGACAAAAGCGCATGAAGCGGAAGTCCCGCAAGGGTAACTAAAGGCGTCAAATGTTGCATGTTACTTTTTTAATGTATAGGCATTATTTATTCCAGCAGTCAGAGGGAAGAGCTGTTCTTTGTACGCGATACCACCATTTCGAAAATGAAAAGCATGGGTTTTTGATATTTGATACTGGGTTGTTCCATTTCTCAAACTGGGTATATATTGTCGCACATTCCATATACTGTAGCCCCTAAGTGTTCTTAGCACCTTCGACCTTGCCGACAATGTTATACCGCTTGCTGAAGAAAGTGTACCACTCATCCAAGACGGTCTTTTCCTTGTCTGGTAGGTCATACCACTCGGGCACACAGTCTTCGGGCTTGAGAGAGGATGAGGCAAGAGCACGGGAGGCATCCTTGCCGGCAAAGACTAGAAGAAAAGAACAGTCAGTCTGATTATTCATTATGTACTTCATAAAATAGAAGCCGATCCTCTACTCACCCCGATATGAACCCGAGGCACCATAAGCCGAATTCCGGCTCACATCAAAGACAACACCTTTAATGGCGACCAGAGTCGGGCGGCTAGGATCGGAACCTGTAGCGCAATACACATTAGCAATAATTTCGAGAATGCCCAGGCGGGCGCATTGGAAATAAGCAATTTGGGGGGAGGGAGGGGCAATGGGGGGTAACCTCTCACGCACCGTCGCATTTGGCCAATTCCTCGACGGAAATGGGATCGTCCTTAGGCGGGTCTAGCTGGACTGCCACCTTGGGCGCAAAACGCTTAGATTCCTCTTGTTCGACCATCTTGATTGTTGGAGATGATGTCGAGAGAAAAAAGATATTGGGGTTTGGCGGGGTTTCCCGAGGTGGGCGAGCTTCAAAGTTGCTTACTGTCGGCTTTCTGATTGATTCCGAGGTTAGTCTACTTGGCTCCATTTTTATTTTATATGGGATTCCACTGGGTATACATTTAGAATGATTTCCTCTATATTATAGACTGTGGGTATCTAATTCTTTCTTCATAATGATCGGCCTACGTCTTATGAACAGTATATCTCTGGATTCACCCCAGTGATAAGACCGTGATCAACTACTTATTCGGGCATACAAAAAGACAGTCTTAGAGCCTCTCTCTTTTTGCCTCAATCTAGTTAGCACTTACCAGTATACCTACATGTAGGTAAAATATGGGTGTTAATATGGGGAATTGTCTCATGACGTCAGGATAAACCTCGCATATGTGCAGCTGATCTTCCAAGGAAAAGTCCCTTCAACGTCAACTCAACGATTAGATTATCTTCTAGTCTTTTATTACACAAATCCTACCCAGCACATTGTTCTACGGGTATCTGACATGTCCTCCAACATGAATCTACATTCAGGAGAGCGCTCTCCTACCGAACCTATTGTGCATGAGGAACAGAACCAACGCCGGAACTCCACAGACTCTGATATGATCCACTACCTCTATTTTGAAGACAACGATGGCTTTTTTCCACCTAGTTGGATCGGAAAAGAGTCTCAGCAGGGACACCCGACCGAAAACATGTGTGGCAACGACCTCGAGGGCCCTAGGGACACTAGCAATAGTGCCTATGCCTACAAGGGCAAAACATAGCATGTGGCGTTGATTTTAGGGATTCATTTTGTTCCATATAACGTCAGCTGTATTTAGTTTATCCGGCGTTGTAGGTTTGTTCCCACAATCTTGGAGTTTCCGTCGATGTAGTACAACATCGGAGGGAACCTCTCTCTGCTCAGGTGTTTACCTCGGCATTAATCTCCACACAGGCGGAGACTTCCATTATGTATTATAATCCTCCTAAACAGATAATATTTTTCTACTTTCTGACATTGTATCGTATGATGAGAATATAATATATGTTAATTTAGAGGCTATACAAGTCAAAGTATATATAATCTAACAGAGCAATCAACCCCAGTCTTTCCCCTCTCCCCCCTCGTAGAGGGGCAATGTGGAGATAAAAACAGAGAAAACGGCCTACACTGGGGGGGCCGTCCCTCTCTGATTTGTCACTTTGTGTTAGCTCAGTCTACGCCGAAAGCCATGCAATTCCCACTAACGCGAAACAGGAAAATACTACCTACCTAGGGAAAAAAAAAATTCTCTCGATGCTACAATTTTTTCACACTTATCTTTTTCTTTTTTAGAAGAGAAGACTTATTTACGCATTTGTTTATGCTATCCATTCGCTCTTTCCTGGAAATACAAACACCTTCAAGATGTCACATGCTCCTAACTCGGAGTATGTCTCTCATACCTCAATGACTGCCGCTATACAGAACGCAGAGCCTATCCGCCTCTCTGATTCCGAATCCAAGCCTACCAAGATGGATAAAGAGATGGAAGTCACCGAGAAGGACTCATCCAGTGCCCGTCGCATACCCTCCGTCGATAGCGGGTCAATGGAATCCACATATGACCATACTCATCGCAAGCTCAAGCCCCGCCATGTACAACTGATTGGAATTGGAGGAACAATTGGCACGGCCCTATATGTTCAGATCGGAAATGGACTGCGGACCAGTGGCCCCGGCAGTTTGTTCATTGGATTTAGTCTTTGGTTAGTATCTCCCTCGTTATATTATTGCTTTTTGGACTCTATTGGGTTCTGGACCTGGGTTGTCTCGACTTTGCTACTTTCGACAGCATCACCATGGATGGTAAGTAGGTGGAAATACCAGAAACGAAAAAGAAGTCCGCCAATGGATAAAGAAACAAAAAAGGAAGAAGAAAAAAAAAAACAAAAAGAAAAAGAAAAAGAAGAAAAAATATGGAACTATACGACCAAACAAAGCATCGAGAAAGGACTTGAATCCTGATTCCGCAATTTCAGATCCTCAAGGATGTAGTACGCTGTTAGCCCAAGAAACCTCCATACCAAACAGATACATGAATGTCGACCAAATCGCCATTAGCCCTACGTCTACCCATGCATCTGCCGAAAGCCAGTCGGACACCCAAGAACCCAACCCAGTCCATGATGCACTTGCCTGCTTCCTGCGTACATCTCATTGAAGTTTCGCAATCTTATACTGTTATCTAGGAGTTGTGTGATTTTGATCATCACCGTTTGTACGAACCCCATGCTTTTGCATCTTTCCCACCAGCATTCCTCCCATGCCTGAAACCGTATCCTACATCCCAAATGCGCCAACTGTTTAGCTTTTTGCCCTAACATCGACCAATCGCCCAATTGCTGCAACCTTTCCTCCCGTCCTGTTTTCCCACCTGGATGCGTAGTATGATATCCAAACTCACATATTCTTTTTCTAGGCTTGGCTGAAATGGTCACATATCTGCCTATTTCTTCGCCATTCATCCGATTCGCTGGCCGCTACGTCGATGAAGCTTTAGGTGTTGCCGCTGGATACAACTTCTTTATTTTTGAGGCCGCCCTGGTGCCTTTCGAGATTGTCGCTGTCAGCTTGATTATCAAATACTGGACCGATATCATTCCTGTTGCAGCCATGAATGTGATTATCATCGTACTCTATGGGTTTGTCGTCCTCTATGATCCACCCACGAGATACCGGCTAATAGATCGGAAACAGAGTACTGAACCTCTTTGCTGTCCAATGGTACGGTGAAGCGGAATTCTGGCTCTCATTAGGCAAGGTCCTGCTGAGCATAGGCCTGATCTGCTACACATTCATCGTCATGGTGGGCGGTAATCCGCTCGGCGATCGGTTTGGTTTCCGCTATTGGAATGAGCCAGGTGCCTTCAATGAATACTATAAGACAGGTGATACTGGCAAGTTCCTTGGTGTCCTTGCAGCTGTCATCACGGCCAGCTTCACCATCGCGGGTCCAGACTATGTCTCCATGGCCGCTGGTGAAACTATTAACCCGCGCAAGGTGCTACCCAAGGCCTTCAATGGTGTCTTCTACCGTCTCACGGCATTCTTCGTTCTGGGTGTTCTCTGCGTCGGCATTTTGGTCCCGTACAATGATCAAACTATGGCCGATGCTTTCGACAATGACAAGCCTGGTGCTGCTGCCTCGCCCTATGTCATCTCCATGGATCACTTGAAGATCCCCGTCCTGCCAGACATTGTCAACGCCGTCATTCTCACTGCTTCGTTCAGCGCGGGCAATAGTTACATGTACTGTGCCAGTCGCAGTCTGTACGGTCTAGCGCTTGAGGGCAAAGCCCCGAAGATCCTTACCAAGTGCACCAAAAACGGTGTTCCCATTTACTGTGTCGGCATAGTGCTCATCATCGGCCTCTTGAGTTTCCTGCAAGTATCCAACGGCGCATCCGTCGTGCTAAACTGGTTTGTCAATCTGGTATGGCCCGTCTAGTCCCGAATCCTTCCCCATACATCCAACTAACCTCAAATAAAGGTCACCGCCTCCCAGCTCATCAACTTCTCCGTCATCACTTTTACCTTCACCCGCTTCAAGAAAGCTACAGAGGCCCAAGGTATTGACCGGAGAACATTGCCATACCGTAGCTGGTTCCAGCCATACATCGCCTACTTCGCTTGCACATGCACCACGCTCATGGCTTTCGTCGGTGGCTACACCGTCTTTCTTCCCGGCAACTGGTCCATCCCGACATTCCTCTTCTCTTACACCATGATCGGCATCTTCCCGATTATTTACTTCGGGTGGAAATTCTTCCACAAGACCAAGTTCCTCAAGCCTGAGGAGGTCGATCTGACGACTGGTGTCGCTGAGATCGAGGAGTATACTAAAGACTTTGTGGAAGCGCCGCCGAAGTAAGTATGCCCTCTCTTCTAGGTATGATTTGGTGCTAACAATCCCCATAGGTCTGTCGTGCACAAGTGGTGTCAGATTATCTTTGAATAAGACTTCTGTGGATCTCATCGCTGCGTTGGATAATTGTGATTCACTTGACATTAGAACATACCCAGGCGACCTCCGATGCAGACCTGTGGATGCGTGATTCTTTGGGCGGTGATTTGTCTCTACTTTGGACTGTAGACCACATATTTTTATATGATGTTAGCATTACTATGATACCCAATACAGTTATTGGAAAACTGAAAAATCCTCATACTTCTGAAAGAATAACTGCAATCATCAGTCGTACTTGACATCCAGCGACATGTAACAATGCCTTCTATAATACATATATGCAATATCAATATACAAAAAACCGTACGAAGACTCGCATCTCCCATCACACTCAAAGCCAGGCTAACCCAAGCTGAGCTCCCCGTAATATATGTTTTGATACACAATCAAGCCTCATCAGACCCTCCCTCCGCCTTCGCCTTAGCCTTCAAAGCCGCCAGGCGCTTCTGATTCCGTTTCCCAAGGACACGCAGAGTATTACTCTTCTCAATCTCGGTCATCTGCTGCCAGTTCCCAATCTGCGATAACGTCCCGTCGACATTCACAACCATCGGACCCAGATGATCCAATTTCACCTCCGTCCCGCCGCTGCTCATGTCAAGTTTAATGCTTCCCTCGCCTTGTTGGTTCGAGATTGGATTTAAGGGATCGCTGGCGGGGAGGTAGAGGGGCTTTTTCGGTTGGTTTTCCTGTTCTTGTTCTTGCGTCTCTTGGTTCTGGGTGTCTGGGTTTTGGGTGGCGGGGTTTGAGGATGCAGCGTCTGCAGCAGCGGAGTTGGAGCTTGAGTCACACATTGTGCGTGTTTGGCGCGTGCAGTCTGATGGTCTGAATGTGGTTGCGCACTGCGGGAAGAGGATGCTGTAGAGTCGGGTGTTTGGTGCGTGGGTCGTTGCCGCGTTGAGGGATGGCCAGGTAGTAGTACTAGCTGGGATCGAGGCACGCGCGAAGGAATTGACGGATAGGTGGAGGAGAGCGGCGCGGTAGACTGTGCGCGATACTTGCATTGTTCGAGGTGAGGTTTGAGGGGGTTAGGTGGGCTTTTTGGTGGAGGAAAATAAGGATTGCGGAGATGGATGGGTCTGGTTTCTTCTAGATTCGACCTTGACTTGGATTCTTCCGCCGCATTTTCCAGGCCGCGATTGCCCTAAATGCGAGTTCTACATAATTCGTAATTACCAAAATAGCTCTATGCTGGATATATTATTTTCGATTGTGTCTGTGACACCGAGTGAGCTTACACAATCGAGCGGCCAGATATCTACAGATACTTGTTCTGTCATATTATGAGAGACTCGAATAACCTTACCTAGAAGAGTTTCTACAATTTTTCCAATCAAAGAGCCCCTAATTATCTATGCGTGTGTAGATATAGAGAACATTCAGATCGGATCTAGCATAGGGCCGACCGAGCACCGAAGTCCAGGTGTTACTATCGAAACCACCAGTTGACCTACAAGCATATCAGCGACGGGCACAACCCTTCCTAAAAGAAACATACTTACCGAAGCCGTAACACCTCCACCTACACCCTTGATACTATGCCACCAACCCTTGGGAATGAACAACCCATCACCAGCCCCAAGACACGCTTCAAAGCCAACCCCAGCGTCCGAACCAGCAGACACCAGAGTTCCCCAAACCATATCATCTAACAACGCCCTCTCCCTCCCCTGCATCATCTCCTCGCCCCGGAAAGCCGCTGCCTCCCGACTCCCACTCTTCCCCAGCTGCCTCCTCACAGCCCCAAACACAGCCTGCCCGTCCGCCGGCGCAAGCAGCCGCACAACCTTCTCCCCGGCCATCTGGACAAACAAGTTCGGGTTCGGGTCGCGGTGGAGCGGCGTATAAGTAGGCGGGTGTCCAATCCACACGTTCGTATCGTATATATCGCCCTTACCCGCCCGCGCTACAAGCTCCGGCGTCGGGAAATCTTCCCGGAGCACCGGAGGGAGGTCCAGGAGCTGGCATTGTGCTAGGTAGAGCCGCGCTGATTGGGGAGTGGTCTCGGCCGTGCGCATCCAGTCGAGGAACAGGGCGAGTGGCGCGTGGAATTGCCGGAAGCTATGTACTTCTGTTGCCCCGCCTTCGGATTCGGATGTAGCATCTATTGATGTGGATTCCGTGAGCTCAAGTGGGACGAACGCGTCGGCGCCGTGTTTGTGGAGATACTCCACGTTCAGGCTTGCGACGGGGTTTGAGGCGCCAGGTATTGACTCGGGCCTCGCGCGTTTGAACCATTGATTTAGGGCGGGCAGGTCTCTGAAAGTAGAACGTGGGAGAATTGCCGGCTGTTCGGAAAGGAAGCATCGTTGCCGGAAGGTGTTCAGGGTGGCATTTTCGAGAATGCCGAGAGGCCGGTATTGAGGGTGTGAAGAAGCGGAGAAATTTCGGACACTTGATCGGGGTTTATTGCGGAGGTATGAACGCGGGAGTCGCGTCCAGACTCGGATTGACCATGGCTGGAGCTTCATCCAGATTGACGTCGGAGGTGGTAAAGTGAAACATTAGGGATCGGGAGACCCGAAATAGTGGATCTCTGATAACTACCTACAGTCATATTTCATGAGTATTTGCACCCCAGTACTTCCTAATGCTTTTAATGTACTCTCTTCTATTGTGGCCTGCATGCTGGAGCTTCTACCATACATATATATAAGCGTGTATGTAAGCCTTCTACTTACTAATTATTACTTAATGCGTTCAATAAAGTATTAACAAGCAGAAGGAAGGTGGCCTGAAAATTTTGGTAGTACTGGGGTGCAAATACTCATGAAACGCCACTGTAGTTATTTCGCCATCATTTCCCATCAATCAAAGCTATTCTATTCTTCCATAATGATCCAATCACGAGGCATATAGGGAACATAATCCACTTGTCGATCACAATCACAATCACAATAGATGAGCATGAAGCCGATAAAGGCCGAGGTCGATAGGCACCCCCCGCAGTTCTACAGAGCATGCATCCTGACGTATTCGAACACAAAAAGCCGTCCATGTGACCTGCTCTGTTCTCAAGACGCCCGCTTTTTGTGCGACATTGGGCACCTACAGCGACATTTGAACTCGTTCCCCTAGGGTTCATGGTCATTCGATTGCCTAAAATCACTGTTAGACTGCAACATGCCTTCATTCGCCCGAATTCATAAGCGCCATGCATATGGCAAGGATGCTCACACCTATTACCCGGTCCTCATTGTAGGCGGGGGAGAGTCAGGGGTGGCCATGGGCTGCCGGCTCAAAGAGGTCCTGGGAACAGACCAATTCCGAATCTTCGAGCGTCAGTCCGGCATTGGAGGTACCTGGTGGATCAATAGGTACCCCGGAGCTGCTTGTGACATGTAGGTGATCCAAGTTTATCATTTTTGCTCAATATTGAGCTAACCCGGAAGATAAAGACCAGCGGTATTCTACTCGTTTTCCTTTTCTCAGAAAAAGAACTGGTCCACAATCCATCCATCTGGTCGAGAACTGGCGCAGTATATGGCAGATGTCTGCGAGAGGTATCAAATTACGGACAAGATCCAGTTGAATACCGATGTCAAGGAACTCAGGTGGATCGAGGAAGATGAGGAATGGGAGGTTACGCTCTCGCACCTTGTTCCTGGTACCGGTGATTTAGCTCAACACGAACGAGATCGAATCGCAGCCCAGGAAGGCTACCACAAGGTTTACGTCAAGACAGAAATTGTGCGAGCCAAGGTAGTCGTCAGTGGTGTTGGCGGGCTGGTAGAACCTAAGGCATGGCCGAAGGACATCCCAGGTATTGAGGAATTCGAAGGCGAGATCATGCATACGGCTCGCTGGAACGACCAGATTGATTTAACCAACAAGAATGTCATCATGGTTGGTTCAGGCTGCAGCGCTGCGCAGGTAGTGCCTGAGCTAGCCAAGCCGGAGGCCAACGTTCGATCAATTACCCAGCTCATGCGAACCCCTCCGTGGGTTCAGCCTGACGTGATCCCTCCTGAATATCTCCCCATGTACGAGAAATGGGGACCCAAACTGATGACCTACGTGCCTGGACTGTCTTCATTTGTTCGGAGGACCTCTTTCTTCTTGATCGAGAAGACCTTTTACGATATTTTCACGGACAATGCGTGGAGCCGAAGAACGCGGCCGCGGATAGAGAAGAAGTTTTTGGACCACATGCGCCAAATCGCGCCGAAGGAATACCACGAGATATTGACACCGAACTACGGCATCGGCTGTAAAAGGCGGATCATCGATGGCACTTGGTATCGCAGTCTCAATGCCCCAAATGTGGAGCTGACTACCGAGCCTCTGACGAGGGTTCATGCAAAGAGCGTGACTCTTGGCCCGGGCCGTCACTATCCCCCCAACAAGTCGGACGACGCGGTGGAGAGTAGGGAGATTCCCGCCGATGTTATCATCATGGCCAACGGATTCGAAACTAACCAATGGCTGCACCCACTCAAGGTGATTGGGCGGGAGGGCAAGGATCTCGAAGAGGTCTGGGCGGAGCGTGGAGGCGCCCAGGCATACCAGGGCATTGCAATGGATTCTTTCCCGAATTTCTTTATGCTTTTCGGCCCGAATACGGCCACAGGGCATACCAGTGTTATTTTCGCGACAGAGAATGCGGTAAATTACTCGTTGAAGTTCATAAAGCCAATCTTGAATGGTCAGGTCAGCTCGTATGAGATCAAAGAGGATGCTGAGCGTGAATGGACTCGGAAAGTGCAGGATGGGCTTCAGAAGAGTGTGTTCCGTCGTGGGGCGTGCGTTAGCTGGTACATCACTACCGATGGTTGGAACTCAACCACATATCCGTAAGTTTTTTCCTTGCTGGTTTCTAATTATTACTGACATATCATTCAGATTCACTCAGATCCACTATTGGCTGCGTTGCACGTTCCCCGTGTGGCGGCATTGGACTGCGAAACTCACGAGAAAGGGACGGATATTGCAAGGTATCCGGAGAGCTTTCCAGGCCTCTATTATACTTGGCCTCATTGCAGGCTTTGGCTTCTTGCGCCAGAATCCTCAGCAGAAGTCTGAGTTGGTGCAGTCATTACTGGCCGGAAAGGAATGGCTGATTTCAGCGGTTTTGCAATTGAGGCGCTGATATCTTTTCATTGGGGTTTATTTAAGCTTGGCATCTTTTGAAATTTGGAGACCGATATATATAAAGCGAGAAATCCTATGCAATTAGCAACTTTACCATCATTTACGTCAATAGTATACTCTTATCTATATTCTCCAAGCGTAGATATGCCCTGGGGCCAATGACCGGCCAGAAATTCCGATGAGTAAGCCGAATCTGGGGAAAACGGGAAACCCCACGAGAGAGGAATTTCTCCGCACTTGAACGCCGGTATCTGTCTCCGTCTACTCGTTGAGTCAGTTGAGGATTTTGTAGGCCATGGCTTCGGATTCACCCCAGCTGGAAATGTCACCGCCGCAGACAGAACCCCGCGACCAGTCCATTGGTGCGTCTGATTCCAACAAGAGAAAGGCGGAACAAGGCAACGGAACGCAGGCGCGCACAAAGCGGAATCGCTATATCTCCATTGCATGGTATGATATGGCCTGATCCCGCACTTTCTTCTTTCCGCTACCTCGGTTGCTTCACTTTCCAGCCTTGCAGCTGGTCTGCAAAGCTGTTTTGCATGCAAAGACATACGATTATGACTTCTCCTTCGGTCGGTTGAGCCGAGCTAACCACGGAATTTCCAGTAATGAGTGCAAGCGACGCAAGATCAAGTGCAATGGCCAGATGCCTTGTCAGCGGTGTGGTCACCTAAATTTGGAATGTGAGTGGCTCTTAACTCTATGAGCGACTTATAGCTCTCGTGTCCGAGCTGTCCAATCCTCGGTTTCAGGCGCTGACCCACTCACCTAGGTCGCTATGCACCTAATTGTTGTAATAACAACTTCAAAGACTCGGAGTAAGTTTAGGAATAAAAACCCGTCCGAAATTTGATACTAATAGCCGAGCTAGTGAATTCCGGTCAATGACAGAGCAGATCACTACTTTACAAGACCAAGTCAATAGTCTGTTTAGTAATCTCAACGACCTTCGTACCCATAGACCAACCTTTGATTCACCGGGGTTTGAGCACCTCTCTCGCGATGGTTCTCAATCGGTCTACACTCCAATGCAAGCCGGTCTAGCAAAGCCACGAGCCCGTCACCCTCGCTTTCATGGTCCAACAAGCTCGGCCTTCAACTTCGACGTTGCCAAATCTAGCTTGCAGAATATGGGTATCACCCCAGCGGAAGATGGAATACCAGATGACTTGACCACCGCACATGTTTCTCCAACAGCTTCACCACCTCCTCCCAATATGGGACAGATTCTTCCAACCACACACCCTACCAAGGATCCCATATGGACGATCCGGCGTGAAGAGGCAATACGCCTTTGTAAAGTCTACGAGGAAGAGATTGGGATTATGTATCCTGTAGTGGATATCGCCAAAATTACAAGCCAGGCCAATCTGCTATACACATTCATAGAGGCTGCTACCAGGACAGGATTTGCACAACGAGGATTTCCAGGCTCTGACGGTCTTCATGACGAAAGCTCGATTCTTTTTAAATTGATACTTGCCACCACGCTAGTCGTGGAGGGGGCGGTCAAAGTGAGCTTGGGCAGCGCCTTTATTTGGATGTTAAGCCATTTATAGAATCGAAGTTGTGGGAGTCTCATAGTACCATCAAAACCATTCAGCTCTTTGCTATTGTGGTAAGTTAATGTCCCTTCGAAAACCCCAATCAATAACTCTAACTCTGGTTCCTGCTTCAGGCCACATACCATTTCCATACAGATGATGACGCCATGGCTTATCGGCTTATTGGATTGGCGGCACGGATGTGCTTAGAGATGGGATTGCATCGTCGGGATGCTATGGTGAAGTCATTCCCGGATGAGGAGCAGTGGGACGAGATCACTCGGCTCTTCTGGTCGGTCTACACCTTGGACAGACGATGGAGTTTGGGAACGGGGTTACCTTTCGTGATACAAGATGAGGATATTGATCCGAACTTGCCAGAACCTGTAAGGATGCATATCTCTTGCCACGCAGTTCCCTGTATCAACTAACGTGTGAAAATTACAGGATGCATCGCTACCATACTTGCGATGCATGATCCTATACAACCGGATCAGCTCCAAGATCTGGTACTCTGGTTTGGGCTCCGAAGGCACCACTGACATCCGTCGTGATGAGATCGGCTATCTGGATTACCAAATTCTACAGTGGTACAAGCAAGTCCCAGACGAGCTTAAGTTCTATCCCGTCGAGCCCCCCAAAACCGGTGAAAACGTAAGCAGAGGTATGAGGCGACTAAGGGTCCTCTTGTACCTGCGGATGAACCAGCTGCGCATCCTTATCTATCGCCCGGTGCTCCATTCTTCTGCCAGCATTGCCGAAGATCGAGGCCACGCCCAGACCGTTGTGGAAGTAGCCAAAGACTCAGTTCGAGTCCTCACTCGGTTGAACCAGGTGTCCGATATCTACCGGACACAGCAGATAACGTTCAACCATTTCCTTGTTGCTGCATTGGCGGTGCTGTTCCTAGCAGTATCCCATGCCCCGGTCGAATTTAATCGACAGATCCGCGATGAATTTTACATGGCGCTCGACCTGATCAACGGGTTCAGTACCAAGTCCTACGTCTCCAGGCGGCTATGGAAGACAATTAGAGGTCTAAGGAAGATCGGCGAGAAGCTCGGCGTTCTCGTCCGGCCTTTTGGACCGGACTCAAGTGATCCCCATTCAAGCGCGGCGGTGGCCATGGCCGGTCTTGCGGGACATCCAATCCAGGACTTGTCGATGTACGGGTCCATGAACGGTGGGAACGAACTTGGAAATAGTCCTATCAATGGACTCCAGATGAGCCAAGAGTTGACAAACCTGTTTGAGGCTGTTGGCGCTTTTGGTAATTTCATGCCCAACACTTCGACTGATGGTATCAATGGCTTTGTTGGGCCGGATGGGGAAATTCAGAACACTGGTGAAGGTTTATCGGGTGTTTTAGGTGATGAAGGAGAGTTTGCTCGAGCTATTCGCGATTTGTTCTGATATTTTAGTCAATACCCTTTGATATTTACTTAGCTAGTAACGCACAGACGAATGGAAGGTTAATTAGTTGAGTCTCGACATGAATCCAATGGATATCAATGATGATTCCTCCAGAACTCTGGCAGTTTTTATATACACGTCAGCTGGCACGTGACCCCTGCCACTCACGCAAATTGAGATCTGCCACCATTGACTTCCCTTTTGCCCATCGTGGGAAAAAAAAAATCAGACACACGATAGCGGTCACAAAAGGCGAACAGCCTTGGAAGACCTCTCTCTTCGACTGCCCACCGCCCCCACGAACCGAACGGACCTAACCCGATTCGAACGACACACCCAACCTCCAGGCTCAAGTCACCAATATTAATTTTCGAGTGTCTTTGGGATCTGGTAAGTATGATCTGATAAATTCAATATGAAGGCCATAAGAAACTGATAAGATTTTGGTGGGGTTTAGCCTTGGATTCAACCTCTTCCCGTTGATCGCACAATCTCCCCCTCTCCCGCACATTGCCATGAACGTCTAGCTTTTTGGCCCCTCCATCAACTTCAAGATCTCCTACAATTATACTTGAGGTCTCTCGCTCTCTCCTCTCAACTTTATACCCTCCCCCGCAGTCACACGAGCCAGCCCCTCCGCGTGACGAAATCACTTCGTCTTCGCCAACATCCTCGAAGACCTCACCCCCCAGCTCGGCAACGTGTCGAGAGAGACAGGTTCGGCGTTGGCCGACGGCCTCGACAGGCTGGATTTGAGTCAACTGTCTGAATCGACCCTATCGTCATCTGTATCCGCCTCGTTCGATATGTCGTCCTCAGAAGGGGCGCCGGAGTCCTGGATTTCTTCGTTTTGTTCATTGATGGGCCATGAGTTCTTTGCAGAGGTGTCGGAGGACTTCATTGAGGATGATTTCAATCTGACTGGTCTCCAGTCCCAGGTTCCGATGTACAAGGAGGCACTAGAGATGATCCTTGATGTGGAGCCGGAGGATGACGAGGAAGAGGAGGAAGAAGAGGAGGAAGAGGAAGATGAAGACGATGCGCTCGGCGGTGATCAGCCTGTATACAGACGAGCAGGCGATCGGCGACACGCCCGAGTTGCAAGCGATTTGAGCGTGATCGAGAGCTCCGCTGAGCTCCTGTATGGATTGATTCACCAACGGTATATCACCTCGCGACCCGGCATTCAACAAATGCTCGAAAAATACGAGATGCAGCATTTTGGCACCTGTCCACGAGTCAACTGTAACGGATGCAAAGTTCTCCCCGTGGGCCGGTCCGACACCCCTGGTCACGAAACTGTGAAGCTTTTCTGCCCCGGTTGCATGGATATTTATACACCCCCCAACAGCCGTTTCCACTCAGTCGACGGCGCATTCTTCGGTACAACGTTCGGATGTCTGTTCTTCATGACATTCCCAGATCTCGATATCGGGCCGCGTCTTGATGCAGCGTTGTCAATTATGTCGCCCCGGAGCGGATCAACACAGTCTCGCACTGGCTCCCTGACCCGAACCCCGGCAGGTCGCCAGGCGCAATCGCCCACACCCGAGAACCAGCCGCTGGAAATCAACGGCGTCCGGACACCCAACCTCTGCCCTGGACTCGGCAAGGGCAAGATCTATGACCCCAGGATCTACGGCTTCAAGGTCTCCGAGGTCTCGCGTGTCGGCCCGCGCATGAAGTGGCTGCGTATGAAGCCGAAAAACGTTATCGAGCTCGATGAGGCATGGAATCACGAGCAGGGGCTGTCTCCACAGGAAGGACGCGACGATAAGGACGGTGATACCGAGATGAACCCGGAACAATCGCAAGATACCGCTATTGCGAACCGCAAGAAGGCCCCGATGCGGCGCCGGCGACCAAACCTGGGCGCGTTAGTCTCCACAGATCCGATGGACGTGCACGGCCGATGAAGAGATAAAATACTTGCATTCGTGGTTGTTTCCAAGATCGAATCTACCGTGTCGTGGGAAGATCTGTACCATGCCCTTGACTGTGGAATGATTGGTTCAAGAATTGATGACGATGATGACAGATGTTTGAGCTTGGTTTACTCGCTGCTTTGAATGGGATTTGTTTTTCTTCTAATCTATTGGGATTTTTATTCTGTCTGCGCGCATCTTCCCTGGCCTACTTCCATGATCCTCTTATTTCGAATACCAGGATCAATATGTACCTCCCTATTCATTGTTTGATTCTTATTACTGTTTTTTTTTCTGACCGTAGACTCAGCACATTACTTTTTTTTTTTCAAATGGAACGTGATAGTAGTACACACATTGCTTGTCCTACTATCTTCCCACTTCCCCATATGTCTCAGAGTAGCTCAGCATTCAAGGGCCCACCTACATTAAAAGACAAATCACCATTGCTAAGAGTAAGAGCCTCAGGTACAAAATTCATTATAGATCTGCAAGAATAAAAAGCTGAGCCTCCACCTCTGAGGCTCTCCAACTGCATGTGAACGTCATACAACGGGCTCGTATACCTACATACACCGGCGTCCCCGAGGTAACCCAAAATAATTAGAAATCTTTAAACTCAAACATTCCAAATATGCAGCAAGTTCCCGAGTCCGTTCAATCAGCGTCGGGTTGCTCGTTCCCCAGACCTTAACTATCGGCGACGCCGATGTCAAGGGTACACCATGCCCGTGCCACCTATGACAACAGTCTCGTATTTAGCTGCCTTGCTCCGTACTTCGTTATTAATCTAATTTGTAAGAATCACTCATAATGACATATAATTTAGAAATTCATCCAGGAACAAAAGCACATATTTTTATAATCCAGAAAATCGATACATAAACAGAAACCGCTAAAGTATTAGTGCACCGGACTGGCGGACAGGCGGAACGGCGGCTGTGCGGTCCACCTAGAAATTCCATTGGGGATTTAGCGTATATGCGTATAACAGTTAGCGTATACGTATATGCAAGGCCACACAACCCTGGTCAATTATTGGGGTTGGGCGCGTAAACAGTATTTGGCTTGGCTTGTCCTATTTGCTGAGATAGTGGTGTAACGCTGGAACCGTCACATGGGGGTAAATCCTCAGGCCAAGGGCGGTTCTTTGTTTGGTGACGCGTGTGATTTCCAAGCATTGGATGGTGCCGTTTATGGAGGTGTTATTAGTGGGTCTTGGCTGATGAGTACATTCTTTGGGAGGTTAGCTTTGTTTGTTTTAGTTATAGGTTAGTTTAGCTGTCTTGGATGAGGGGGTTTGTATATTGCCACGCTCCTCTCTCCTTCATTTTTCTTTTTTTTGTTACAAGATGTCAATGTAGCTAGGGGATCGTTTTCAGTTACTGGACTTGGCGGTTTTTTATTCTTCTCCCTGTATCTTCAGCGCTAACCAAGTATGTAGTTCCTTACAGCCGAACATATCAATCTCCACCGGTGGTCTCCAGTTACTCCCATTGCTATATTAGTTTGAAAGAATGTTTTATCGCTTTCCAGGTAACAGTGTCCAGTATCCTAGTAGTACCTCTAAATATATATCTGTCATAATGTGAGGCGATATACGGATCTATGGACAAATGGTGAGATTCTTAACTTTAAAGACCCTGCATAATCTTATATCTTGGCGCTGGGTGATGTGCCTCGAGAGTCAGCCAGCAAATTCGTTTGTCATCCTGATATACTCCGTTATATATCCCAAAATTGTATTGAATGGGTAGTGGAAATGCATGTTCGGTTAGTATAGTCCTGATGTATATCATCTGTGGGTGCTGCTGTTTCTTTTTTTTTTTCTTGTTTGCTTACCTACCTCAAGTCCTGCTACAGCGAGAATAGTAGCCCTACTCAACTATGCTTCCTGGTTATAAATACCTTTTCCCTACAATATCCCCATAGCTCGGAGTAAATTTTATTTGGGCGGATTTTCGCCCTCGGGGGGGCATCGTCCCAAGATTCACTATATGAGCCTCGTATTACTCGGGTTTCAGAACCCCAGGAAAACGAAAGGGAGCGGACATCTACCAAGCTCTGGAACAATCTCCACATCTACGAGGGGAAGAATGCATGCACCTTCATTGGGACATTTGACGCGAATAAAGAGTTCCGACGACATTCCGTGACCTGTATGTAGGCTACGAAGGTACTCTTCTAGCAACACGACTGGAGCAGTTTTCCTCTCCAATCAAGATCAAGCATATTCATAGAGTCTTTTAGAACTTCTAGAAAACCAGTTCAATAGGCTTCAAAGCAATGTCACCAAGTTTAACGCAGATAAGATATAATACAGTAGCTACCTGCTGCTCTCAAGCCGCTATATACAACGCACTCGGGAAGATCGTGGAGCTAGAATTTAAAACAAGCCTTTGATTACTATACTGAGAGTTTGGTTACTATACTGACAACCCGTCAAGGTTCGGGAACTATAATTTAAATTATTATTTCAAATTCTATAACATATCTATAAACAATGATGAGCGCACGTTCTCTCTTCACCCGTCAGGAAGAGCCTGAGCCTAAATCTTCCAATTAATACTCCGGTGTTTCAACCTCCTATGATTATAGGCCCATATGGCACATGGTTGACAATCTAGTAGATATGCATGCGCAATTAGTGCCACGCACTGCCGGCAACACCGGGCCATTTACTCCGTACTCTAGAACCTCCAGGAATAATTGACGATATGGGCCAGCAAACAGCCCCCAAAAGGCCAAAGCCATAATCCAAGCGAACTTTGACCGAAATCGACCGAGTTACTTAATTTCCCGTTCTCTATTTTCCATCCATGTCCAAAAATAGTCCTATCTATGTAAAAAATACTCCGTACGCGGTACGGAGTACTCCATATTAAGACGCTAGACTAACCATGTGTGCAGTATGCACCTCGACCACAAGTCACCGCATCGATTTCCTTATTTGTCAAGGTTAAAATCCTTCGCCCAATGAAGAAGTTCCAATGTGGAAACTGAAAGACCAGACCTACCGTTCCCAATACTGCGGTCTCCCGTGCTGACTGCGGCCAGCCCCGCTGCAGAATGTGGAGTTTGACGGCGCATGTCCCTTTAAGGCGCCCTATGGGTCTGGACGGCGATAGGTTAGTTTTAGGTGATTACTGAGAATGAATTATTGCCATTTCAACGGGATTCGCGTCCAGCTCGGTTCTTGGCTGGTCACATTAGTGGATATCTCTGGGAACTTTGTTCTACTGCTCGTCACAACTATGATTTTTTTTTTTTTCGGTTGCCTATTCCTGTTTAGTTTGTTTACTTTATCTAGATAGGGTTACTCTAAAACTAGGACATGTTGTACTAGAATAGTATATTGTATGGTATGTGCTAGTAAATAGTGGGTAATGGATATACCTTCCGTCCTCTACTCCGTACACCGGACTAAGTGTTTCTCGGCGAGAATTCCAAAATTGTAAAGAAGCCAAGAAGAAGGCTGAAAGACCCTTCCCCCCCCTCTCTATTCTTGATCGAGATTTCCCAGTTTCATTCCAAATTGCTCGGCAATATTGACCACTTAACATGTTTGGCTTTCGCCATAGATAAGGTTGGGGACAATGCGGGTGAATCACTGCAACATGCAATATGCAACATGCAACGTGCAGAGAGGGGAATATCAAAGAGAATAATAATCATTTTTTAAAAAGGGAAAAAACACCTTCCTTTTTGGCTAAATAAAGAGTCCCATCTATGCATATCTCCATATTATTGATCCACACCAGTCAGGGATTGGGGATAGGCGGGAGTGCTGCAGACCAGAGCCGCCAACGATAAGCAGATCCCACCTCTCAAGCTAAACCAAGACAGGAAAAAGAAGACCATTGGTTGACCTAAGTACAATTTCCATGCATTTAGCCCTTTAACCTCTCGCCCCTAAATCCTGCCATGTAGATTGAACGGGAGGAGAAACTATGCTGTACGAGATACGGCGAGTACCTAAATTATAGCTGTTTTGCCGTTCAGCCCTTTCAGCCCCAATCTTCTCTAGCCTTCGTAGACTTTCCGGCCGAAAATCTTGTGGGGCAGTGGGTTTCTAGCAACCTACTATCATTTTCTCGGGATTCTTGGTATATTGCGTATGGCAACCGTGCCACGGGACTTGGATAGCAACCATTGGAGGAGTTAAAGGTGCGGCTGTTCCTCCGAGACCTTTGGGATTCGGATGTAAAATGTCTCTACTAGCCGGGAGAAACATCGCCAATCCGAAGTGGATGCGACTGTTGGGAAAATAAAAAAGCCAGAGTACTGGGCGTGTTTTACTTGGCTCTAGTGTTCGGTTAGCTTTCTTGGTGTGTTTATTAGTCTCGAAGGATCTCAATGTGTTGTCCTTGGCCAAAGTACAAATGCTTGAAATGAGGGGGGGGGAGGGAACCCCAAGGGTTGAGGCGCAGCAAAAACCTCGGACCACCTCCGTACCTATGCGCATATAGTACAATATGTAACCGGGATAGTGGGTTTGATGGGGGGAGTGGGTTTGATGGGGGGGGGGCAGACGGAGGATATTGCAGATAGTAAATTGCAGATTGCATCATCCGATGAATTTATTGGAGTTTCGGAGTCCCCTTCTGAAATTCGAGGCGGATCTAGGAATCCTTTTCATCAAAACAAATTCAAGTGGCTGCTTTAGTCGAACTAGGCAAATGCCGGGATAAACAAGTGCTGTGGGGTGTGGGTATTGTCTCTTTCTGCAGGGATCGGGATTTTCCCAGCAGACTGGTCCCTAGTTAACGGTTAATGGACTTCGGTGAGTTTGAGTTGTTTCTTGAATCATGTATGAACTTGTCCGCTTTAAGAAGTTGGTCTTGGTCATCTATAATGTTAACATACTAGGATTGTTAGGGCTATCAAACTGGGGAAACATCCCCCAGAAAGAATAGATACTACATCAGATCACCGTTGAGACAGAAAAAGAGTAGTCTCCGGTCACATAAAAAAAGTTTCTGGCTAAGCTGAAATTGAAAATGACGCACGGAGCTTTGGGGGCCATGGAGTTATGCAAGTTGGCTTTGGATCAATCCACCTATGAGAACCTTTTGTGTATGTATAGGAGATTCGTTTTTTTTTCTATAGCTTATCAAATTCGCCATCTGTACTCTGTAGATCTGCATTTAATCAAAACAGAGAGACAAAAAACAGAAGTCCAAGAACAAAAGAAAAAAAAAGAAAAAAAAGTAAAAGTAAATAAACCCATTTCAACGTGGCTCCCTAGCTCATCCCTGTTCCCTTTTAACACCACGCTACCAATAAGAAGAAACATCAACGCCAGTTATCATGCAGCTATCTCGTCACACATAAGGGAAATAATAAAAAAAAAGGGCTAACACAAAACAGAAAACAAAAAAACCAATAAAAAGCGAAACAATAAAAAACACATGCAAAAGCAATATACTCGGAGGCAGAAACAAAAAACGTGGCGGATGGATTCGAATCCGGCGTTCGGGGTCTGGACGGGCGGAAATACCCGTCGGGCTTTGACGTCCCCGATCTTCCCGATCGCCTTACGGCCGTAGATCGTACTCATACAGACCATGCATTGAGCGAGGTGAGCATGGGGCAGATTCCGGCGTGAGCGGGAATGTGAAAATAGATGCCTCTGGTGACGTTGAAGGTGCTCGCTGGTCCTCGTAATATGCAAGCGCTGGCATCTGAAAAAAAAAAAACACAGACAGATATTAGCTGACTGGTCGATGAATGGATTCAGCGAGGAAAATGTACCGGAAGCGCAGAAGGCTGATGTTGGGTATGAGCCTGGGCTTGCTGTTGGCACAGGTCGATTCCAGCCATTGTTGCATAGCTCATGCTGAAGGGACTGATCAGATCTTCGTCGTAGGCGAGTTTGCGGGCTTGCATCGATGGGAGCACGGGGACCAGAGAGGGAACGGGCTCGCCATATTCGGTCTGGTATGCGATTTCGCTGTAGCTGCTCGGTGCTGCGTGGTAGATGGGGGACTGAGTGTATGCGGACTGTCGGTAGGTGTCATATGGTGACATGGGTGGGTAGGAGAAAACTGGTGGGGGTGAGGCAGAGAGCTGGCGAGTGCATTGCTGGGCGAACATGGTTCCACGGTCCTCGGGGGAATAGTATTCGTACGAGGAAGCTCGGTCTGACGGAGAGTGAGACTTGACATCTGTAGACTTGGACGATCGCTGCTTGGTTCGTGTCTTTGGTGATGGCTTGGGAGACACTGGCTCTGCGTGTGATTGTTCTGGCGAAGCGGAAGTTGCAGCTCGTCTCTCAAGGTCCTCCAGGCGGCGCTTCAACTTCTTGCCTATGTGGGTTCCGAGTCAGAATGTATGAGAATCTGAGATTCCTTTTTTTAACTTACGATAGTTGCGCTGGGCAATACGGTTTTGAATGCGTCGACGCTCTGCGAGATCAGAGATCTTAGTCCAGTCCTCGTTTGGGTTGGCATTAGGACTGAATGCGCTGCTGTTGCTGTGACTACCACGAGAGCCTGAGCGGCCATCATACGATGGAGAGCGATTCATGGTAAAAAAAAGGTAAAAGGCTAGGAGCAGAGATAAAGATAAAGTATAGAATAGAGAGAGTAGATAAGAATGGAGGAAGGTAGAGGTAGATATAGAAGAAGAGGTGATAACGGGTGAGGCTAATGACCCAAGTGGATGCCAGTATATTTATATATAAGAAGAACATAAGGCTCCCCATTGATCAGCTGGAATTGGTTTTTCGGGCCTTGCAGCTAAGCCCCGTCGCGATAACCAGGTCAGTCCGTGCTCGAATACCATTAGACTCGACCTGCCATGTGCACAAAGTCCCGGTTTTTATTTTATTTTCTTGTTTTTAATTAATTTGCTCAGGGATCCACGTTCAGCCTCTGTACTTGGGATTTTATGAAACCCCCTCATTCTAATCACTCTAAATAGTTAATACACTAAATCAGTCTATGACACCTAAATCTATTAAACCTTTTTAGGGCTATGATCACCAAGCCTTACTCAAACTACCAAACCTACTAAAAACACCACTAAAACAAAAAAAACCACTAACTTACTGAAACTACGAAACTACTAAAACACCGACAGACCGGTCAGTTACCGAGGATCTCAGATCTAACATGTAGCACCAAAGTGGTACGGCGTATGATCAAAATCCAAGACGGTAGGATGGATTATTGGAGTTGGGCCGGGACACGCTAACCAGACGTTCGCTTGGAGGCGATCCTCATTCGACCTGACTGGCCCGAGACACGATATGCCCAGGGATGAAACGGGATGCGTGGACTTTGGGGTTACACCTTTGCTTTTCACTTTCTTTCTCTATATTCTCACGTGGGTTGCTTCAGACGTGCACGGTCGTTAACCACGTTTTTAATTTTTTTTGGTCTTCATCTTGGCAACGGACTAAGGGGATAAAGATCTGACTCTTTGGCTGATCTTGAGGATTATTCTAGAGGTATTAGAGTATTGGAGTTTTCAACATACAGGACTATAGAACCAGAAAGAAAAAGAAATTATATGTTCTGGGGAGTCTAGGCGCCCTGGAAAGTCGGGCCTATATCGCCTATAAATGCTCTTTGAACCTCTGTTGGGTCCTGCGTATATTGATTCACCCCTATGCCTGTATTGGATTCGGCGATATCTCTGTAATTAACGTCACTTTGCTTTTTCATTTTATTTTATTTTTCATTTATTATTTTAACCATTATTATCTTCCTTTCTGTGATAGTGACCTCATTGACGCGCTTCCACTGGTTGCCTGATTGGCGGCATCGCGAATACCAATCTAGGCATATGATGCGCCCTAAAATCCGTACTCTCCGTACACCCGCACTCCGTAGTTAGGAATTAAGGCCCACTCGCTTGCCTACTGCCTAGCCTACTGCCTAATATACTGTCTAGCCCCCGGAGATACGCTTAGACCCAGATGCTTGACTCCGAAAGAATACAATACGAACTACGGAGTACAAATTTGAAGCCCGACAAGGGGAGGGGGAGTGGGTTAGAGGGGGGGGGGGGGGGCGGGAAGGGAAATCCACAAAATAAAAGAGAGGCTCTTTCCAGGTAAGACAACTAGGCTATGAATAGGTGTCCTTGCAGGGTCTCCCCACCAATACGGGGTCGGAGTTAATAACAAGAATGCCGTGCGTATTAGGAACCAACTCCGCTAGTGCGTCGCCCTAAAGTCCTGGGCCATTGTTTGTATAGGGCTGAGCTGGACACCTTCTTATTCCTGATCAAGTAATATCGGGGAGTCATCTCATGACCTCAGTGACACGCTGAATGAACACAACATCTCAGGTACCCGGTACATAGTTCTCTTCACCGCTGATACTGTCCAAGCCTCCAGCTGGAATTTGAAGATCACACAGCCATCCTAGTGGAAACTCTTCCTCCTGCAGGGATTGTAGCGAATCACATACCGCACTGGTCCCCAGATGCTTGAATGGGTTGCATTGTGAGCCTTCTAGTAACAATCTAGAAGAATGTTCCTGGCGGTGGACTATTATGCAGCCCCCAACTTTGCTGTGTCCGAGATGCACCCCCCTCCCTCCCCCCCATGACACACGCATGTCTGCAGAATGCCTTGTCTTTTTCCCCATTGTGTTTATTTTTTTTTTATTTTTTTTTCTTTTTTGAAGGATTTGGAGTTACGCAAGGAATATCGATGACGGCAATCTCCGAGCCTCTTTGTATGGTTCTGGCACGTTGTCGTTCTCGCGTAGGATTGTTACACTAAATATGAAATGGACCGAGTGCAAAAGCCCATCCAAGCATACCTACTGGGTGTGCCAACTTCATCCGACTTCTCTGCAAATATATTTGCCTAGATCGGGGAGGTTGGACAAGGCATCCAGTGCTGAAGCTGGATGCGATCAAACAAAACAATCTCCGAAACATCTGCGAGTCCATGGCAACTTCAAAACGAACATGGTTAAGATGTCCAGCTTGTTGCTTCCTCTTCCAAGGGTTGTTTCGAGTCGCACCAAAAACATCGGCCCTCTGTACTTAACTTTTCCAACTTTGTGTTTTGCTATATTTATCCTGTACAAGTCAACAAGTCCGGAAGTGAATAATCATAAACTGTCATCGGGGGTATCCCAAGATAAGAAGCTGACCAGTTCCTCCTTCAAGCCACTCACAACTCCAAGTCCGGTTATTTTCCGTAATGCAATATAATAATTCATAAAAGCGTTCATTGCAACCCCTCAAATATGCCGAGCACTAAATCTGACCTATGAAATCAAACAATCCCCATTGTTATCCATGCGGAACATTCTGAAACGCCTGCTGTGTGCCGCTGTGCTTCTAAATTTTGCCCCAATATGTAGGCAAAGGGCGTACAGCGTGAGCCTGAAACCTTCTCTACAGGAAAAGTCGATCTTTCTGTTCATTTTCTGCATGCCCTCTCGCTTGACTTGTCGCATCTGGGTTTAGCCACATTCCACGTGGTCCACGTGCTGCAGGTCGCATGTATTTCCTTATTTTGGGTCTAGTTGCAGCTGGATATCTGCAGTTGATCCAGGGTGTATTGCTGCGACCCATTCACCCGAACTATCAATTGATGATATTGATTTGGTCTCTAAATCCTTGCCATTAGGTTGACTTGTACTGCCCTATCTCGAAAACCGTCGAATGCAAGGGGCCAGAGGTCAACATAGAATTGCAATGAAACACGTGGGATTATGAGTATTATGGGTACGGGTGGCTGTCAATCGTCAGCACTGTGTTTGTACAAGGTCAAGCTGGACGATCTGACTAACATATCTGGATCTTCATGTGTTTGGGGGCATCAGGTGGTCTGGCAGATGTTTCAGCATTGTCTGTGCTTGATGCTGATCGGATCATCGGCCTTGGGTGGGGGCTATATCCATCGCTGCAAGGGAACGATTTCGAGTCCTGTTCGAGCTATTGACCTTATTGAGATAATCCTAGCCAGATTTTTCTCTTAATGATAGTGTAGAAGTTGCGTCATATCTTGAGTCAAAGTAAAATGCAATAAAATATTATTCTTCTTCGACGTTTATGTTGTAGTACTTGATCAGTTGTCGCTGTGATTTTGGCTATCATTGTTGGTAACTAGTCAGCGTCCTGGATGAAAATAGACCTACATGATTTGCTAACTTCATCACTGAGTTGTCTTCTTGTTGAGCAAGGTATATGTAATTAAAACATTCAAGCCTACAAAGTGGTAACCGCAGTCTGTAACATAGGCGAAGGATGAACTATATGTCAGGCAAACAGACTACCTAGGCACGACGTTGTATCTAGACTGTTTATTGATCGATAGATTTAGCGAACCAAAGGCCAAATATATGTTAATCAAGTAAGTCCTATGGGTTCGAGTATAATGTATGTAGTACATAATGACATAAATAAGGGTGTTTCTTCTGGTATAATTTGGAGGTTTTGACTTCAATCGAATCTATCAACAAATCCTGTGTGACTTTTTCTTCTTTGCACATTCCATGAGCAATGTATTCTTCTTCCCCTCTCTCTATCTCTCTCTATCTCTCTCTCTCTCTCTCTCGCTAAATCTGTCATAGATCTTTGCGTAATGTAGACAATTTCTTGCCGATATATAACTACATTCTGCTCGCCATGATGAGGATATATATAGTTCCATATATCTTCACCAGACTGTAAACTTGTTGAAAATCATGAAGTCATTAGAACGCTTTAACAGCATCCTTATTGCCTGATGAATTCTTCATTTTCCTCCCGCTATAGGCTGTTAAGTGGGGAAATCGATGATCAGCGAGCAAACCATGGCCCTGGGGCCGTTTCATGTTCATTAGTTTCAGAAAAGCTTAACTGGACCTCGCTACTCCAATGCCTTCTCTGAGTCAACGCTAAAGGGAATCATAATGAGCTAATATTTGAATAGCCGCAGGCTAAATTGCAAAGCCTGCGGTGTGTTGCTACACTACAACTTGAGGTGAGCCAATGGAGTCAAACCGACTTGATAAGACGCTGGATTTCTCCAGCAACTGTAGTTTGTCAATTCTACAGCATGTGTGGCACTCAGGGTATACACAGGCTTCCACCCTGTCCAATACCTCTACGAAATGGTTGATTCAACGAAAGGCCGAAAATAGCAAAGTTCAGAAAAGCTCTCTATATAAAGAACCAAGATCCAGATGATCATGTAAAAGACGCTCGCTGCTGTTCGGTAGTCTTGGTACCCCAAATATTCAAGCAAAATGCAAAATTAACCAAGAAAATACCGCACAAGCAACGACTTTTGAAATCCTAGGCACGGAAGCCTTTTTATCTAACATCTCTGTCTTAGATTACAACACTACAGATTGTTAGTATATCGTCATCCAGGTTCAACAATGATTAGTGCCAACTTACCTCCAGGGGTTCTTCTCGTCACCGTATTGGATACCCTCGATCCAGTTCTTCATCTGGAGAGCAATCTCGCCAGCCTCCTCCTCCTTCTTCAGACCACATGCAACCATCTTACCCTTGTAGCTAATGTTGCGGACCGGGCTGACAATGGCAGCAGTGCCAGCACCGAAAACCTCGAGCAAGCGGCCCTCCTCAGATGCCTCGGCAACATCGGACATGCGAATCTTACGCTCTGAGATGTTCCAGCCCTCAGGAGCGAGTCTCTCGCGGGCGAGGGTCAGAACGGAATCACGAGTGACACCCTCCAAAATTGTACCGTCAAGAGGAGCGGTGATCAGCTCCTTCTGTCCAGTCTCCTTGTTCTTCATAGCAATGAAGAGGTTCATAGTGCCGACTTCGGTAACATATTCCTCCTCGCCGAAGAGCCAGAGGTTCTGCTGGAACCCACGGGACGCGGCCTCAAGTTGAGGTAGAATGCAGGGGGCGTAGTTAGCTCCAAGCTTCTTGTCACCGACACCGCCGGGCCAGGCGCGGACGGCGTAATCAGTGGCCTCCAGGTCGATGGCCTTGAAGCCAGTTGGGTAGTAAGGACCAACGGGGCTAGCAATGACAAACAGGAGAGCGGATCCTGGTGGCCCAACACCCAGAGTCTTCTGGGTACCAATCATGGTAGGGCGCAGGTACAAGGAGTAGCCACGAGCACTGTGAAGTTTAGCGAGGATGTCTATCTGAGGTACACAGGATCTACTCACTCTGGAATGAACCGGCTGTCCAACTTTACGAGTTCTCCAATGACCTTTGTCAATTCATCACCGTTCACAGTAGGAAGAGCAATGCGCGCAGAAGACTTGTTCAGGCGTTCCATGTTCTTGTTGGGGCGGAACAAACGGACGCCGCCGGTGCTGTCCTTGTACGCCTTCATGCCCTCAAAGCATTCAAATGCATAGTGGAACACACAGGTTGCAGGATCCAAGCTGAGATTCTGGTAAGGGACAATGCGGGGTGCGTGCCATCCGTCGGTAGCTGTCCACTCCATGGAGAGCATGTGATCTATAATTTCTTCCGGTCAGTGCTTGGGAGGCAATAAAGCGTACACATTGCCTTACCTGTGAAGTACTTGCCAAAGACAAGATCCTTGGAGTCCATTGGCTCCTTGGGGGTGGTAGTCTTGGTGATAGTCAATTTCGAAGCATCAAGACCTGGGAGCTGGGAGGCAGTCGCTGTGGAGGCGCTGAAAGCCCTCTGCCATGTCCGGCTGGCGGCGATGTTCTGTGAGGAGAGGACGCGGGGCATTGCAAGTCCAGTCAGTGCCTGTCGGCGAGCCAATTGGTGAAGCGACTTCATGACTGTGGTGGTGTTAGGAACGATCCAAGGGCCAGCCAAGGGTATAGAGAGGGGAGAGTGTGTCAATTGAGTCACTGGAAGAAGTATAAACGTACTGGAACCAAGGAGGTCAATGGGGTTTTATATTACAACTAGAAATATGACTCTGCACCAGAACCGCAGTGTCTCTACGGAGCTTGACGACAACTCCGATGAGTCGGAGGCCCCCAGATGGGAAGTTCTGCCACCGCTCTGTAGATAAAGATGTTGTTGGCCTCTTGGCCAATCAGAGGCTGCAAATTAGAGTTGTTGGCCGACTTCGGCTTCCTGCGGCTTGTGTCGGGCGTCGTGCCTGAACTCTCCTTGAAACCCTGAGGCAGCAAGATGGGATCATGTGATGAGAACCGATAAGAAGAATGGCTGTTATCGACCTCGGGAGGACCCGTGGACCTGAGGCCATATTGCGCGGGATATTGACCAAGTATGCAACTCGTGGACAATTCTCTTAGCCTTTGAGCTAATGTTTCTGACTCCCAATTAGCCCTCGAACTCCAACACCGGCCTGCCTCTCATTTATACTCTTTTTAGCCACTGAATTGTTGAAAATCATGTCTTGTGCTGCCTACGCCGTGACGACACTGTGAAACTAACAACACCCTTCATTCCGTCGACTGTCGTGTCGATAAATCAATCCACGCCTGCGACCTCACCACCATGTTTTCCTCTGCGCTCAAGTCGTTCAGTTCCAACATTTCCGCCAATTACCAAATCTCACCTAACCCCACTGTCTACTCCGGCCCCTGGAAAATCCACGATGCAAAGAAAAAGTCTACAGGAACGACGGCATCGGTGTTCATTTTTGATCGCAAATCACTAGACACACGCTCTGGCGGCTTTGGGAGGAGTTCTGGTTCCTCCTCCAAGAAGCTGCAGGACGATGTGATCGAGCGACTTAAGCGCGAAGCTAGCAATCTTGCGCGCCTACGGCACCCATCCATTCTTCAGGTGCTCGAGCCTGTAGAGGAAACGCGTAATGGCGGCCTCATGTTTGCCACAGAGCATCTTACCGCCTCACTCTCCGGGCTACTCCTAGAAAAAGACGACCAAGAAAATACCACACGCGCTGGTTCGCGAACAAGCCGATACGTGATTCAGGAGGCTGATGGAACTCGGAGAAGAAGAGATGTGGAGATCGATGAGTTGGAAATTCAAAAGGGACTCTTGCAAGTTGCTAAGGGTCTTGAATTTCTTCACGAGTCTGCGGGCTTAGTGCATGGAAATCTGAACCCGGACGCCATCTATATCAATGCCAAATCAGATTGGAAGATCTCTGGTCTGGGATTCGCGGGGCCTCCGGACTCTTCTGAAACTCGTTCATCCCTTCCGCCATTAGCCGTGTCTGAGGTTCTCTATCAAGAACCAAGGCTTCCCGCTTCAGTACAGTTGAACCTGGACTACACGTCGCCTGACTTTGCCATGGACTCCAATGTATCGTCAGCTGCCGATCTCTTCTCTTTGGGTCTCGTCATCATCGCTCTGTACAACTCTCCCCATGTGTCGCCTCTGCAAACGAACGGAAACTTGACCACATATAAGAAACTGCTGAGCTCTCCATCTTCCACTCCATCACAGAGCAATAATTTCCTTTGCTCGAAGCCAATTCCCAAGGATTTACTTTCCCATGTCCTACCAAGGCTCATTACTAGAAGGCCAGCTCAACGGATGAATGCTCGAGAATTCCAGCAATCCCAGTACTTTGACAATATCTTGGTTTCCACTATCCGGTTCTTGGAATCTTTGCCAACAAAAAGCCCCAATGAGAAGTCTCAATTCTTGCGTGGCTTACAACGGGTACTGCCTGAGTTCCCTGTTTCTGTCTTGGAGAGGAAGCTATTGGGAGCGCTGATGGACGAATTGAAGGATCGGGAACTCCTCCCGCTGATATTGCAAAATGTGTTCGGTATTCTTCAACGAATCCCCAACGGACGCCGTGTATTCCCGGAGAAAATCATCCCTCATCTGAAGGAAGTCTTTGGAACTGGCCCAGGCAAGGGAGCTGCTGAACGAGACTCTAAGAAAGATGCGGGCCTCATGGTTGTGTTGGATAACATGAAGCTGATTGCCGATAATTGTTCAGGGATGGAATTTAAAGATGGTGGGGTTTTTCAAGCGAAACCTATGAACCTCCAGCTGACTTTTCTTTCTAGATATTCTACCCCTGATTCGGCTAGGGCTGGATTCTCCCACTCACTCTTTGGTAGATGCTTCCCTTAAATGCCTCCCTGTAATGCTCCCGGTTCTCGACTTCAGTACGGTCAAGAACGAGGTATTCCCTCCTATTGCTACCACTTTTAGTCGCACTAGCAGTCTTGCTATTAAGGTTCGCAGTCTAGAAGCTTTCAGTGTGCTTTGCGGGGCCTCTGCAGAAGCTTCAGATGGGCTTGACGATGATTTTTCTGGAATCCAGGCGAGCAAGTCAAAACCAGCCAAGTCCTCGATCCTGGACAAGTATACCATTCAAGAAAAGCTCGTCCCATCCCTCAAGGCGATCAAAACAAAAGAGCCGGCAGTGATGATGGCATCGTTGAAGGTCTTTCGTCAAGTTGGAGCCGTCGCAGACACAGAATTCCTGGCTTTGGAAGTTCTGCCTGTTCTCTGGAGCTTCAGTCTCGGGCCACTTTTGAGCCTTCAACAGTTCAATGCCTTTATGGCTCTTATAAAAACCCTTTCAGCGAGAATTGAACAGGAACAAAGCAAAAAACTGCAAGAGCTATCCTCTGGCGCTGGATCAACTGGTTTCCAAAATGGTGCCGATGAATTTTCGCAGTCCGTCACAGGCCTCAGTTCGCCCGATGCAGACGGCGGTGCTGGTAGCTTTGAGCGCCTTGTTCTTGGGAAGAAGACATCTCCTGCAAGTGACCAGAGTATAGACATGTGGGGCAGTATGGAGCCAGAGCCAGCCAAGCCAGCGGTTCCGACCATGTCACCTTCATTTTCGTGGTCTTCAAATAATGCAGGCAAGACACACCAACCCAGTGCCTTAAGCCCACAGTCCAATATTGGCTTCCGTTCCATTACCCCGGATCAGAAACTGGGCTCCTTCCCGTCTCTCGCTCCTGCCCCTGCTCGGCAAGCCTCACCGGTTGCTCACGCCTTCCCTGCTATGCAGCCATCAGCTTCTATATGGGGAGCCCCGGCTAATGCCAATGTTCGATCTCACACAGGCCCGCCGGGTCAGTCTTTGGGGTCCATGTCGACTATGACATCCTCGAATCATATGTCCGGGTCAATGGCACAACCGGCACCTAACTACTCCTCCTTCTCAATCCCCCCTCCTCCCAGAGGAAATATGGGACCTAGCAGCGCTATTAGGCCCCCTCCGATGAACACAGCCAACAGATCAACGTCCTTCCAAGGCACAGCTGCGATGCCGCAGCAGGGAACTCAGAAGAACGGATTGGACAAGTATGAGAGTCTGATATAAGGGACAATTCTGGTTATTTTTCTTGGCTGATACCCCTTTTTATTGCTGTTATTGCTATTTAATGCATATACTCGGCATAGTGAAAATAGACATTGCAACAGTTGTAATTAAGTGTAAAAAGAACCATTACCAAATCAAAACCATAGTGCCAAGCAATTATAGATCGGACTCCATCGGTGATCCGACCGTGGATAGGGAGACACGTCCCTGATTGGTGCCTCTTCATGATATGTCATACCTCGTCGTGAAGCCCCTCCATATGCACCCTATGCGTGGCATTGCGCCGCATTTGTTCTCCCGGAGCTCCGTGTTACCTTTACCCCTCCATCGAATCTCTCGCCTGTTGACTCCCAGATTAGCAAACAGCTTCTCATCATCCCATCTAACTCGCGCGCCAGCTATGGACCAAAGCATCAAACAGCATTACCTGGCTGACTCACCTCCTACGGTGGTCAGACTAGAAATCAAGTCACACTTTGATACTCTCAAAGACCAAAACTTGAGAAAATATGCCCACTTCATGAGCAGGTATGGTGTTCCTGCGTTGGATCGACCTGCCAGTGCCATACTGAACAGCTACGGGGAGCTAACGTTTCTTTGAATGTATACAGAGCCGCATTTGAGGGCACGCGAGTCACCCTGCGCCAGGTTTCCCCCGAGTCCGAACCCATCTACGACCTCATCCTGTCACTCTACCATGCCTCCAGTGGCGATTGGAACAGCCTCGCCCAGAAAACACAAGTCAGCTCCGAGGACCTCCGTTTCTTCCTCGAATATGCGGGTCAATTCTTGGGAAACTGCGGAAACTACAAGGGATTTGGTGATTCAAAGTTCATCCCTCGGCTGCCCGCATCCGCGTTTGAAGCTCTGGCCTCGGCCACTGCGGAGACAAAGGAAGCTTTCCAGAAGGCTAATACCACCGGAGGAGGTATCTATGAGACCACTGAACAGTCGATGATGCACCTCGGATACCCCAAGGGTGGCCACATGACTACTTACTACCCCGATTCGCCGACGATCTCAAAAGAAGAAATCACGGCAATTGGTGACTTGATGGAAAAGAAGGGACTCGCGTTGGAGAATACCAGAATCCGGAAGACATCCTCGGGTGATTTCGAGCTTTTGATTGCATCTGGTCTTTCATCTCCTCCTGCGAAGAACCGGGATCTCGGCGATGTGGACACATTCGAGCTCGACGGAGATCTGAAGGGAAAGACGCTGCGCCTTGTCTTCGGTGATCATCAGGAGGAGATGGCAAAGATTGCACACAGTGTCAAGCAGGCAGGACTTGCTGCTGCAAATGACAACCAAAAGAAGATGTTAGATTCATATGCTCTGTCATTTGGAAGTGGATCCATTGAGGCTTTCAAGGAGAGCCAGCGCGTCTGGGTTAAGGACCAAAAGCCTGTGCTGGAGACGAACCTGGGCTTTGTTGAAACATACCGAGACCCCCATGGTGTGCGCGGAGAATGGGAAGGCTTCGTTGCTTTGGTATGATACATGCTGGATTTATATTGACTGGTGTCGCTAACATTTTCAGGTCAATTTGGAACGTACCCGAGCCTTTGGTACGCTGGTTGACAGTGCTGAGAGCATGATTCCCAAGCTGCCCTGGGGCAAGGACTTTGAAAAAGACAAGTTCCTTAGCCCCGATTTCACATCATTGGAGGTCTTGAGTTTCGCCTGCTCGGGTCTTCCAGCTGGCATCAACCTGCCCAATTATGATGACATTCGCCAGAACCTTGGCTTCAAGAACGTGTCTCTTGGCAATGTTCTCAGCGCCAAGGCTCCTAACGAGGCTATTCCTTTCATTGCTGAGAGTGACCAGGAGATCTACCGCACATTCCGTGACCCGGCCTTTGAGGTCCAGGTTGGTATCCACGAACTGCTAGGTCATGGAACTGGTAAGCTGTTGCAGGAGACAGCACCAGGGGAGTATAACTTTGACATTAAGAACCCACCCATCAGCCCCGTTACCAACAAGCCTGTGTCGACCTGGTACAAGCCTGGGCAGACATGGAGCTCGGTCTTTGGTTCCATTGCTTCATCATATGAGGAGTGCCGTGCTGAGTGTGTGGCCATGGCGCTTGCCTGCGACTTTGGCATCCTGAAGATCTTCGGATTCGGCGATGGCAAGGAAGACTTGGCCGGTGAGGCCGGCGACGTCCTCTTCGCAGCCTACCTCTCCATGGCCCGCGCTGGTCTGGTTGCCCTCGAGTTCTGGGATCCGAAGACACAGAAATGGGGCCAGGCACATATGCAGGCTCGGTACAGTATTCTGCGCACCTTCCTTGATGCCGGTGATGACTTTGTCAAGCTGTCTTACAGCAAGGAGGATCTCTCTGATCTGGAGATTCGCCTTGACCGGTCTAAGATCATGACTCACGGACGCCCTGCCGTAGAGAAGTACCTCCAGAAGCTGCACGTCTACAAGAGTACCGCAGATATTGAGGCTGGTAAGGGCTTGTACGACAGTATTACCTCTGTTGACAGCTGGTGGGGATCCACCGTTCGTGAGGTTGTTTTGAAGAACAAGGTCCCACGTAAGGTGTTTGTTCAGGCCAATACTATTCTCGAGGGCGACGAAGTCAGCTTGAAGGAGTATGAGCCAACTCTCGAGGGTCTGATTCAGAGTTTTGCAGAGCGTAATGTCTGATCTGACATATTTTTATATGAACATTGAAACGTTCAATGCTGATATATAAATGAAATACAAATACAGTATATATCTCCATCTCATCGAACTAGCCACGCATATACTGAGGCCATGTCTAAATAGCCTCACTCTTTACCGTCTTCCCAGAGGCGTGTGAATCATGACCTTTATTATCATTGTGACTTTGAGAGCGTAGGGACTACCCCTATTCTACACCGAACTACTCTGTATGGAGGACCACGTTGAAACAAGGGTTTCTTTACCAAGTCACTTTTGGTTCTTTGATTTTATTTGTGATATTCATAGTAAGATTCCAAGATATCATGGTTGAAGATGTGTGATGTACATGGTAGATGTATATTCTAAGGTTATATAGACGATGAAGATAATATTCGACTTTGATACCAAGTACAGTGTACCCCAAAGAAAATTAGAAAGTACAATAGTTCTATACCTACAACTAAGCTTTCAAATTCATTTGAAATTGAAAATCAAAACCAAAATAGGCCACCTCACAATATGTGATGGTATACGGAGTATAGTAGGGGGCTTTGCGGGGACCGGCCGGGAATAGGCCAAAGCCTATGGCATACTTGAGTTTACCGTGACTTGAGCAGGTCTAATAACATCCCAACAATAATATTCAATCTAGAAATAGCATTGGAGGAAATCCAAACTAAATCCAAACCAAAGCAAAAGACAGAGGCCACGGCACGTGCCAAGGCTTCGATGAGGCGCTCGGACTTACCGCCGTCCAGGCAAGTTGATCTACCCATCTTCCCCAACCTCTAAGCGCTCTCTTTCTGCAACTCAATCACTGCCAATTTAGCAGATGAAATTTATATCCATTCTACTCATTTTGGAATAAAGATTCTTTCATCTCGCTGAAAGTCAGTTCAGTTGGAAAACTGTCAAGACTCCTTCCCCACTTGGACGAGACTCGTCCCTGATCAGTCGCATTGCTAGACCAAGTCAGCATTCGATCATTTTGATTGCGCAGATCAGCCTGTCTGACGTGATTCAGGCAAGAATAGAAACCACGGTGTCGCGAGAAACGCCACCGTCTGAAGCATCAACCACGGCGTGCCCGCCTCATTCAACCGACTCCCTAGAGGAGGACGACGATTATTACACTGCACCTCCACCGCACTCACCAGCATCAGCATCGAGTTCCTCTCCCGCGTATCCACCGCCATTTTCATCTCTTATCTTCTCATCACTGCCAGACACCAATCGCCCGTACAAAGTTACCGAACCTGAACCCGCTTGTCCTCCAGCCTTAGCGCCCCCAGCACCTGTCGAGGAGTCGCTCGAGCCGGCCCCATCTTCGGCAGTTGCTGCTGACACAAAAACCTCTTTCTCTGAACCAAAAAACGAGGGCTCTTCAGACGACGGTGAACCACCGCCACCTTACACAGAAGGTTACAGTCCACTTGAGTCATTTACCTACGTGATGGCTGCTGCAGGAGGTGCCTCCAGCATCATTACCCAGGTCCAGCAGACCGGGGGACCGCCAATCAACACTCTTGGTGGTAGGTTTGATAACCAAGGCGGGCTGTATGGTTTGCGCTAACATGTTATAATAGATATCGGTGGAGATGAACACGTCGGTCTCGACCTTCGGTAAGATCACACATTGATTCATATCTCAATTATGCATTGTCTAACGAGTCGATAGTGGTACCCGATTCACTCTTTCGCGAGATGAGCTGTTGACTTTGCCTGAGTTCGTTCTGCTCTCTCTCTTCCCCAATGGCCTCCTCCCGGATGGGCATAGTACAAATGGTTTCCATGACGGGGATGTATTCCCGGTTGACGTATGTAAATTGCTATCTTGAGTATCAGAGAAGGTCTTTCTAACAGCTATTCTCTAGTATGACCCCATCTCACTTCAGTATATGCTTGATTTCTTCCGAACTGTTGCCCAAACCATCCCTTCATCTCTGCCTTCCGGCTCAAGCTCACCTGAAATGGACATGTCGGACGCAATGCAGGGCTCAGCCCGCGACATGCTGCAGGACCGTGCTGGAATCATTGTCCTTCGAGAGGACCTTGACTTCTATGTCATCCCTCCTCGCGCCGACATTGGACACGATGAAATGCTTGAAGTCAAGCGGGCAGCTGGTAGGTCGTTGTTGAGACAAGATGGCATCTTTTCTGGACTGCGCAAGAGCGAAGAGATTGGGTCAACTGAGCAACATCTCATTGAAATGCTGACAGCTGGGTGAGTAAAACACGAGATTTCAACCACGGGCCAACGCTAATATATGATGTAGAGGATTTGATCGTGCTGACCAGTGGGGTCACCGTGCTCCGGAGCCTAACAAGGCAGTAATTTGCAGTCTTGCACTGGCTAAACTCCGCACCGATATTCGCGGTGACCTGTCAAACAACAATTCCGTGGGCATGGCCCAGAAGCTTCTCCTGTTTTGGCGTAAGCCTGCCCGCCGCTGCTGGTGGGAGGGCATCGAGTTGGACGATGTGGAGGGCGTTGAGGGCCCAGTAAAGGTCTGGATCCGGCGTGTGTGGACTTTGGAGATGGTAAGACCCCTATCCTCGGCGAACTTGAAACCCATGATAGCTAATCCCATTGCAGAGCGTTATTGGGCTCCGATGATTTTTTTCCGTCCTTCTTTTCTTTGCATCTGTATGCGATTACCATTCCCCCAGGCCTTGTGCCTCGAAGTTTCAACTGTTATTTTTTTCCAAGTTGCATTTAAATATGTCTGCAACAAATATCCAAGTCTTTACCTTATCAACAGTAGCGCTGGCGTACTCAGCAGTTTGGGTGTTTTCATTCCTTTCAGCGGATTCATTTGCTAGTCAGATTAGTGAATTTTTTCTTGGACATCAGTTATTGTGGCTATGAAGATTGTATATGGTGCAGATCTAGAATTTTTTTAGCAATTGTGTGGCCTCACATTCCGCTTGCTTCCAAGGTTGTTTTGGATCTGAGGTATGAATGCGACAATGAGCCTAGTCCACTACATTATCATAACCCAAGAACGATGGAAAAGGCAAAGCGCCAATTGATCATCTGATGATGCTATTGATAATTCTTATTGATATGCCTATTGATCTGTTTTTTCTACAATGGTTTAGATTTTATAGCCTGAGGCGCCAAACACGTGATGTCCTCCCTGGAATGGGACTAGCGTCGAATTGGGGAAAGTCGCGCAGAATATCGATCTCAGAGACAATCTCTCCAGCTGGATCCTATCTGGATGTCTTTGACGCGATCTTGATTTTTGTCCCACATTTGCTTTATACTGTGGCATCATACAGGTACTCGTTGTTAACTTTTTCGCGCTTGGACCATTCTCAGTTGTGCCTCGCTGCAGTGATCAGCCCTTCGAACATCGAGGCGATCAACAATCGCAAGCTCCCTATTCTCCCGCCGATATCCTCGAAGGGGCATGTTATTGTGCAATTGAATCGCCAACATGTCCCCTCTCCGAGGCTACATCAGTTCCTACCCTCCGCGGATGCGCCAGTATGGAAACGCGTTGCTCACACCTGTCAATCCTCCGTCTCAGACCGGCCCGACTCCGCGCACCACAAAGCGTGGAACCACAGCAATCAATTATGCTGAAGATGGCTTTGATGATGAGGATTTTGATGAGAACGACGGACCCAGACGGCCGACTGGACTGAGGAGTCTTCGGCGCGAAGAATCCGCTACCGACAAGTTGGTGCCGTATTCAGAGAAGCTAGGCAAAGAGGTACATGCGCCGGTGGAGGTGCAAGGCCTGTTCCGCGAGTGGATGATCAAGAGAATGCTGCGACCAGCGTATGTTCCCTATTGTTAGGACGAATGTGGCCATTGACGACAGTGGCCACTGGCTTCCCCTACCATCCTTTAATCTGGCTAACATACAGCGCGGTGATTCTAGGTGTGCCGATCAACTGCAGATTCAAGCGCAACTACCCTTGACACTCGTTCCTATCCGAATTGACGTCGAAGTCCCCGCCCACCAACCCCTCGAACCATTCCCTTTCCCACGCACTGCTGTGGACCCTAGCATCAATCAGACTCTTCCTGCGTACCGCAGACCCGAACCATTACCTCCGTTCCGTATTAAGGATACCTTCTTATGGAACCTCCACGAATCGCTTTCAACCCCCGAAGAATTCGCTATTGGATTTGTTCGCGATCTTGATCTCCCAAATCCTCAAGCCACGACCATGACCATCAGCAACCAGATCCGGCAGCAGCTGGAGGAGTACGCTGGTGTCGCTCTCCACCCCCTCTTCCAGAGCACAGATGCAGGCACGGTGCCCAGTGTCCAACCGCAGACTGAACCGCCAAGAGATACGCCAACCACACCAGCTGCTGCCAACATTGCGACGCCTGATAGCGGGTCAAACGTGGGGACCATTGTAACTGTGACCAAGGAAGCGCTGGTAAATGACAGCCTTTTGAACCCAGATGACGCATATCGATGCCTGATCGCCCTCAACATCAACCTGCAAAACAAGCTGTACACAGACAAATTCGAGTGGTCTCTACTGCATCCACCTGGCATGGCTGAAGAATTTGCGCGCATCACTTGCGCCGACCTCAGCCTTGGTGGTGAATGGGTCAGTGCCATTGCGCATGCCATCTACGAAGCAGTCCTCAAGTTCAAAAAGGAGGTCTGCGAAAGCGGTGCTCTTGTCAGCGGCATCAACGGCTACGGCAACGAGATCGAGAATCTGGCAGCAAATGGCGTGGAGGCCGGCTGGCGTTACGATCCTGAGACCATCTGTGATGGATGGCAACCCCAAGTCGAGACACTGTCCAAGGAAGAAATCGAACGGAGAGAAGGTGACCGTGAGCGGCAGATTCGACGTCTGCGTCGGGAAACAGCCAGATTCTCTTCAACCACAGGTATTACACCTGATATCTCGAGGCAGAACAGTGGCAATTACTTCGAGGTGGATAGCGAGACTCCGCTCGGACGTGGAGAGAGGAATAAGCGCAAGCGCCGGTTCCGCAGCTTGAGCCCTACTGGCAGAAGTGGCACTCCCGGTGGCCGGGGAACTCCTGATACCGGATCAGGGGCTGGATACGGTGGCGGTGGTGGTACACTTTCTGAATGGTATGTGGTAGCTAGATACACATCGCTAGAATATTCACTAATGACTTTCTGCAGGGAACGCCAAAGCTGGAGATGTAAGAACTGTGCAGTGTGGGGCACAGCAGTTTGGGCTGTACGTGATGGTCCAGATGGCCCACGGGTAAGTGTTCACTCTAGAATGTACTGAAAGCTGTCTCTAACCATACTCTCCAGACACTCTGCCATAACTGTGGCCTGCTCTACGAACGTGACAAGGTGGCACCAGAATGGTCCAAAGATCTCCACCGTCACGATGTTCCCATCGGCCGATATGGCTAAAATACCAACAGCATCTTTCCCTACATCACCTTAATGTACCCTATCTTAAGCTTCAATGACCTATTTCACGCCATCTACTTATCCGTGTCCCCCTCAACCATTTAATCCGCTATCGTTGCACTTTTCTTCTACTGATCTCGGCGCTACGGCGTATTGCCTTCTGCTCTGCCACCGGCATCTGCTTTCAATTTCCATTCGCAAAATTCAGGGGCGTTATCGTCATTGTGGACCATCAATCATTGTCTTTCTTGCCTTCGATGCATGATTTCTGCGGACGACAAGAAGGCAAAGAGCTACTAGGGATTAGAGTAGACATCTAGTGAAACCAGGTAATGATACAGTTGTCCCATTTTCATTGTTGTCTCATCAAATGCTAGTGCTAGTGCTATCCCCAAGAGGGACCCTTGGTGTTTTCTTTAGCAGACCCAACGGCCTGGACGTAAGGCCCGAACAGTCTACCTCGTCCTGTCCGAAGTCCCAAGACTCTATGCACCCCTTCCCTGCGGAGCACAACTACATCAAATGACACGGAACCTCCCCCAGCCATCGGTGTCCAGCTAAAGTGATACTCAAGCTAGTGAACAGAACTATTGGATTGAGTTTACCGACTTGAAGAATGTCGAGAAATGAAAATTGATTTGATTATTGCATTGTTTACTGTAGGAAAACTAGTATGTACAAAGATCATTGAAAACATTTAGGATGATGGGTATTACATCCTAAATGCTCAGCCATGTCTTTGTGAAGTTTTTATCTAGGTGCGAACATGCAAGGAAATCAACAACTTGGTGATGTTGATATCTCTGTATGAAGGTAGGCACCGGACAGAACACTTGTCCTCTCTCCTCTCTTCTGTGCCATCTCTCTTGGAAACCTTGGAAAAAGAGAAGAGAAAGAAGAAAAAATCGGGGGCGAGGGAGGTTTTTATAGCCTCAGCAAACGCACCTTCCCAAGTTCCCTACGTTCCTACTTTGTCTCGTCAATTGATCGCACCTTCCTTGGAAAACAAATGATCAGGTGATACGTACACACGTGAACGCCTTTTCCATTTGTTGGATACTTCTGGAGCGAAACATTCCTTCGACCCCTTATAGGGTTGTACTCGAGAGGTTATCCTTCCATAACAGCATTGAAGTCTACTAGTAAATACATGTATATACCAACTTTCGTCGAGACCTTTTCTTGTGGCTGTACCTTCCCTACAGTAACCGAATACTCCCCACAGCAGGGCCTATTGACAGCCTGCCTGGAGAAATCAATTCTTGAGAAACTGCAGAATCTGGTCAAAGCCCTCGGGTTCCTTAACCCAATGGCCATCACCCTCTGCCCCAGTGAACTCTTGCCAGTCAACGCGTACCACAATCCTCCGCAGAACTTGACATGCCTGCCGTCCAAGTTCTACAGGTACCCATGGATCGTCTGATCCATGACTTAGAAATACAGGAGTAGATAAAATAACACTGTCAACAGGCTGATCAGAGTGCGATATCTCACCGGCAATCTCATCAAAGAAAAACCCGGATATTAGACTTTGTATCTGAGAGCTGCCAGGAGTAATGGATGGTCCAGATAGCAACTGCTCTAGCTGTTGCGCGAATGGCAACCAACCACAGAAGCCTAACAGACCACCCAGTCGGCCCTGAATTCGGCCTGTCGCAGTTGCAGCTAAGAACGCCCATATGGAAGTGGCCATCCCCTGACTCATACCTCCAAGGTAGATGTGGGAAAATTGCCCATCTAGCAGTCGAGCTTCGTCTTCGAGAATATCGAGAACATGTAAGACCGACTCTCGTATTCCGTCTTTCTGTAGTTCCTGTCGTTCGTCGATATTGCTTAAGGAGTAGGCGTCAAACCAGGCGCATGTCTCCTCCTCAAACGCGGTATTCCATCGGTCGCGTGAGGTTGGAAACACCCAGCGATAGGAGGGTAGACAGGAGGGCAGGTCTTGGCCCCTGGAGGTTGAAGATGAGAAAAGCTCTTCCGCGAACTCGGGGCCATCGCTGCCGCGACCATGGAGTAGGATCACCGTGTGAGTGTGGGTGTTAGGAGCGTGGGGATGATGAATGTGAGGTTTAGGGAACTCCATGCTTCCTGTAACTTTTTTTTTGACGAGATGTAAGATAATTTCAGGATCTTTTGTTTATTTCGATTGGGCGTTAGAATCAGCGGATAGCGGTCGGAGGTCTGTGGTGCACGCTCTAAACGACTTGCATTATTATATCTCTACAATATAATTACAAGGTGCGGTTGATTATCACACCTTTTATACCACATATCGCAGTCAGCGTACAGAGACGCCCCAAGGGTAAATAGGGGAGGGCAAAAGCGAAGAAGCTATGGACTGCGACAGCTCATGGATTAGGGGCCCATCCCAATGAATCGTGCCTGCAGATTTATTCTGGAGTGATAACTCAAGGTTACCGCATGGAAATCTATCACGCGCAAATAACTACATACATACATACCTAGGTAGCCTCATCCTAGGGGTATGTAATCTCAATAGTTGGGCTCACGGGAAGCCCTAAGCCCAATACAGAATTGGAACTGGAACGATATGGAGACGACCAACCGGCGTCAATGAAGGCAACTCTGTCCACAATATGACTTTGATGTTGTTGCGCATTGTTCGCGCAGTAAGTGGGGTAGCTGAGCCATAATCTGTCCACGCCAGTGTTAATCTAAGCCCATCTTGGGGCAGTGTAGGAGAATAAGATCGGCCTGCGCAGGAATTAGAAGCACATTGCCTCTTTCATCGGTGCATAGAACGTTCCGTGCCCCGATCAAAACTACCTTAGGATTTTGGCTTGGCCTAGGCTCTTACACCTGGGGCCACATTCCGCCACAACTGAGCCGTATGGGAGAAGACAAGAGTTTATATTATTATTCGAGGAACTACGAGTTTGATATAGGCTTAGATCCGGGTGAAGCTCTAAGCTTAATGCATTCTTTGATGCAGTGTTGAACAACCGGAGCAAACTTGAAGGGCGGAAATGGACAACCCGCGTCTTTTCGCAATGAGAGCTTGGACATAGGCAACCTGTTGGGCTATGTGGTCCATATTTCTTTTTGTTTTCTAGGCATGGGCGGTATCAAGGTTAGCCGAAAAAGAAAATGCAGTTGCACAGAGGGCTCAGCATCCAATGATGTTATGCTATATGTTTTTGGATTTTGTCGCACGCGACAATACGTGGTAGATTCAGACTGTGAAGACATATTATTTGCTCGAGCGACATATACTTGAGATTTGAAGTAACTGCATCCTGCTAAGCAGAGGAATTCGTGATATTGTTGTATGAATTCTGGATGTACCCGGTCCCCTACTTTTGGACATGGTAATCTGCTGTTTATTGCGTATGATTTGAGGATTCAAGCTGCAAAAAGCCTTGCGAGCATTCAGCCTATATACTCTCGCTCAATAAGAGAATGTGGTACTTACCAGCAATGATTGGGCCGTGGTATCTACTTTCTGGAATCCACCGCTTGTTAATTGCAGCTTTTTCCGCTGTCGTGATAAGAAATTACTCTGAGTCTTGTTAGATAGAACTTGAATAATGCGCTGTTATTAACCAACCTCCTCAACGGTCCCTTCCATAATGTACCGAACAATGGTCACATTGGAGACTTGGCCAAGTCGAAGGGCTCGGCCAATTGCTTGAGCCTCAATTGATGGGTTCCACTGCGGCTCAAGAAGATATTTACGTGACGAAGTTGTAAGATTGAGGCTGTCTCGATCATAAGTGAGAAGTCTTGAGAATCGTGAAGGAGTGACTTACCCAACAGCACCCGTCCCAAGGGTCATCAGGAGAACGTTTGTTTCCTTTTGAGTTTGGTATCTTTGTAATTCCTGTAGACGTTTTGACAAGGGAAAAAACCCTTCAATCATGCTGTATTTGATTCCATTGGCGGAGAAAAGCTCAGCAACAATATAGAGAGTCTTTTTCCAACTTGATAAGACGATACTAGGAGACAAACAATATGGTTAGCTGGAACAAGAAAAAAATTGCATTTCTTGCGTAGAAATACCATTTTCGAGTGGGATTTTGAGAAATCTCAGATAGAAGGGCCAAAAGTTTCGTCGGATATTGTTTTGTCAGAGGTGTTTCACCACTTGCAGTCTGCGGGTGATGATATTTCGCGTTGTCGAGCAAAGGAATTGGCTCACTATGCTGTGGATGATCGGAATCACAACAAGGACATTTATTCTGTCGTGAACGATGGGCACGAATGCAACTGTGACAAATCAAATGAAGGCAGCCAGGGAGTAAAATGCCTCCATCTGTATTGGGTGTATCACTGAGCCAAAATATTGTGCCGGAGCAGTAACTGCAAACATTTTTGTCGAGCTGTTCTAGGTAGGATAGGGCTTCATCAGAGTCTACTGGAGTACAAGCCGTGGCTTTCCCATTGTTGCAGAATAGGCGTAATGAGAGAAGAGATTCCAGGATTGTAGAATTGACCTTCCCATTTCTCCTGCCACTGACTGTCATATCAATCTTTTTCATGCATGCTTGAAGTAGGTCTCTATACTGTATTCTCTCCGTGGATGACATCAGAAGTTTTCTGGTTTCCGCAGTAGGCTCTGGTAGATTTAACACATCTCTTGTCCTTCGAATACAAATCGCATGGAGAAGTGTTTGGAGATTATGAAAACGATCTCTCTTGCCTGAGGATATGGGGGTTGAGATGAACTTGCGAAATGCCGCGACGCGATCAAGGATCGGAACCCTGAGAAAGGCAACCAGCGCCCCCAAGTGTTCAATCGAGTTTTGAATGGGCGTTCCAGTCAGACACCAGCGGTGCTGGGCTGATAGGTTGACAACGGCTTGGAACTGTTTGGTAGCGCGATTGCGAATGTAGTGAGCTGGCTGGGATATCAGTTTCTATCAATAGCACGTATTTTCAAATAATCTGTGACTACCTTCATCGAGTACGATTCTGAACCAATCGACCTGTGATAAGGTATTTTGTCCTCGGCAGTGCTCACTGGTAAGTGTTGCATAAGTAGTGAAGACGATAGCGCTTTTGTGAAGCAACTCCCTTTCGCATGTCTCTCTGTTCCAATATGTTTGTGGACGAATAAACTGCCGAAGAATGTATGCCTAGATCCGAATTAGTATGAAACTTGCTTGCGGATCTCGTTGATCCAATTATCAATCAACACTGGTGGAAGCCGCTATCAGATACTATAAAATGTGCTTTCTCATGTTTTTGGTATTTTTTTCGGCCAAGACCTACACGTTGATGGGACCACGATAAGTGTTGCCTGAGTTCGGTTCTTCTTTTGGGGAAGCTCGGATTGTTCCTGCCCTCCTGTGAATTTCTCTGCTTCATCGAGAGAACCAGCGATGACTGACAAAGTGACCAGTGACTTTCCCAGACCCATCTCATCAGCCAGAATTCCACCGCTGGCTTCTTGCGGTTTTGTTCGCCTCTCGCCAATGAAAACATGCTGATAACTGTAGCGAGTATCAATACAGATTTCAAATACTACACAAGGACGGAGGGGGGATCACAATGGCTCATCCTCGTCCGTATCGTTATAGTTCCAAAGACTATGTTCCAATCTTTGTCCATTCTCACGCTGGGAGATAAATCCGATTGCCTCTTTCTGATGTCTGATATAAATAATCAGCATATAGAGGTTGATAGTTAGCAAACCGTACTTACTGTAAGAGGTTACTCTTAATACGCCGGTCGACAGGAACGTTGGTTTGAGATATATGCTGCAACTGAAAACCAAACATATCATCCATTTCAATTTCATCACCATCACCAGAAAGACTTTCATCGCTTGATGAGTCACTTGAATGTATCTCCTCCGCATCAAATAAAGTAGAATAGGGGAGTGACTCGTCATTCGGTTGTCCCTCGAATCGTAGAACATGCGGATTCATATATCTCCTCTCTTCACGCCCATAGCGAGGCGGTTGTAAGAAAATACGAGACTTACTCAGTTTAGCTCCCACATCGTCGGCGTCATTTAAGGAGCCATAAATGTTGATTTCAATTGGTAGTAGCGGTTGGTCATTTTCTTTCTGCACCGCTAATATCGCATCCTTGTGAGCAATATATGCCTGTAGTCGAACTTGTCGATTGCTAGTCGCTTTTGAAAGACCAGTGCATAACTGCTTGTTGAGACGAGCAAATTTATTTCCCTCATGCGTAAGTGAGAAGAAATTTCCCTCCCTTGTTATCGAAAGAGATAGGAAAGAGGTGCTGTGATCGGCTGAAATTTGATCCAATACGCCGTTACGACGATTTAGCTGTGCCATAACACTAATGATCTATCTAGCGTCAGCTATGTCAAGGGTTCAGAACGGAATCGACTCACAGCCCCTAGACATGTTTCCTCAACAAAAACACTGGGTTCTGACATAGTTGGTTCCCGAGACGGCTGATCCTCAAATGGCAAATGCTGTCCCAGCAAGTCCTGTGGAATAGACATAATCGTCTGTGATATGTTACCTGTAATATCCCTGAAATTCTCATCCGACAAAGAACATTTTCATGTGATATCTGCCAGAAGAGCTTTTCTAGAAAGACTGATTGTAATCGACATAAGAAGATCCACTCAGGCGAGAAAAATTGGGTCTGTCAGGGTTGTCTGGTGTCCTTTGCTCGTGCGGACATGCTCAACAATCACCATCGCGCACCAATAGGTCAAGCATTCTTGATAAAATCCAAAGCCAGCAACAGGATCTTGTGCCTTGATTTATGAAATGAGTGTTTCCGTGGTAGGTTCTGGTAGGTCTAACACGTCTCTTGTCTTTCTCCTCCAGCTCCTGCGGAGGAGGGTCTGGATATTGACGGGAGCTTTACTGTAAAAGAACATCTTGGCAGAGGGTTTAAGAGAGAAATGCCTGTTTATGAGGGTTCTGCTATATTTCATATTGCTCATTTCTTGGCCAAGATCCAGTGAAATGGGGCATCCCGCGAGACTCCATTCTCTTCTTCGCAATCCACGACAACCTCATCAATCTCCATCTCGAAGCCAATATCTGTGAGAAGTCTATTCATTTCGGTTCTACCCCATCCACTCCAATGCATTGCCCCTTTTGTACCACCCAACCAAGATTGGTCAGAAGAGCTCGCAAATCCAGTCTCGGAGAAGTTTGCGAGAAGTCGTCCGCCAGGTTTCAACCAATCATGAATGCGATGAAGGATTGTAGTTTGTTCATCGCGTGGTAGATGAATAATAGAATACATGGCCACCACAGCATCGAACTGCTCCTGGCCAAATTTCAATTCCATCATGTCCCCTGGTATCAGATTCACGGACTCAGGAAGCCGCTTCTTTGCCATGGCGATTTGGGTGTCGGATATATCATTTGCAGTGACGCTGATGTATTCACGAGATGCCAAAAGTTGAGTACATGGTACCCCGGCGCCGCATCCTAGCTCAAGGATGCTAGTTTGGTCATTTTCTCTTGCAGAATCGAAAGATCGAAGCATGAGATTGAGATAAGAAAGGCGCGTTTCGTGGGAAGACTGTGTCCAGTCTAGGTAGACTTCGGCAATGTCATCATAGGCTTTCTTTATGTCATCCTTGATTCGATGGTTGTTGGTCTCGGACATTGTGGCAGAGTAAGCTTTGATATATAGTGTGCTGAATCGTGAATCTAATTGTAATCAGGCGAAAAAGAGAAACAATCAAGTTATATTTTCAGTTAGTACGGAGTATGAGAGTTCCAATTAGAAATGACTCATTTGGTGATTCAGACCTCGGGAGGATACGACTAAGTGGTTGTTTTCGTGGTAACCCGATGAGGATTAGTGCAAATATCCGGTATGTGAGAAGAACGAATTAGATTCAATAATTGACATCTGATATTCGAGACTTCAAGCGCAATTTAGAATGTATTGACTTGTGCCTATATAACAATGAATACATAGATTCTTAACCAAAACACCCTACTCTTTCGAGAAAGGCCATTTCCAGTTCCGAATATGTTCAGGATCAATCCCATTATCGAAAGCCTCAGATTTTCCCGCAAGCTGCTCATTGATCAGTGTCTCTCTCACGCCAGATGCCGTGTTCCCAAGAGATTGAACCAAATCAATGGCAGCTATGGCGAGACTGTATCGATCGGTCTCATTGCGCAAAGCTAGCTCAAATGGCGTGTCAATGTTGCCCTTCTCTTTGTACCCTCTCACATGCAAGTTATGCTGGCCGGGTCGCTTGTACGTGAGTCGGTGGATGAGCCAGGGGTAGGAATGGAAGTTAAATATGATGGGCTTGTCGGTGGTGAAAATGGACTTCCACTTCTTGTCGGGCATTCCATGGGGATGGTGAACGGCTGAAATCAGTCGGAATAGATCCACCACATTAACAAAACGGACTTTAAGCTGTGGGAGATGTTCGCGTAGTAGTGCGGTCGCGGCTAGGGCTTCGTGCGTTGAAACATCACCACAGGATGCCATCACGACATCTGGCTCTGCGCCTTGGTCGTTGCTTGCCCAGTCCCAGATTCCGAGACCCTTGGTACAGTGCTGTACAGCTGCATCCATGTTTAGGAACTGGATGTGCTCTTGTTTATCGGCGACGATGACATTCACGTAGTTGACACTGCGGAGACAGTGGTCCATCACCGATAGGAGAGTGTTGCCGTCTGGCGGGAGATAGATGCGAACCACCTCGGGGCTTTTGTTAGCCACCACATCAAGGAATCCGGGGTCCTGGTGGGTGAAGCCATTGTGGTCTTGTCTCCACACAGTAGCGGTAATGAGGATGTTGAGAGACGCGACTCGGGCTCTCCACTCTATCTCGAGGCACTTCTCGATCCACTTGCAATGCTGGTTCACCATGGAATCAATGACGTGGATAAAAGGCTCATAGCTATTGAGCAGTCCGTGCCGCCCAGAAAGAATGTAGCCTTCTAGCCACCCTTCACAGGTATGTTCACTGAGCATCTCCATCACGCGGCCATCGGGGGCCAGATTTCCTCCGTCTTTATCTTCTTCAAAATACTCTCCCATCCAGACTTTCTTGCCTGCTTTGTACACCTCAGAAAGCTTGTTAGACTCAGTTTCATCGGGCCCAAAGAGCCGGAAGTTTTGCATGTTCTGAGCGATAATATCACGAAGGAATTTGGCCATGTTGACCATGCCTCCCTTGGATGTCAAGCCGGGATTAATATCAGTGAATCCATACTTTCGGAAATCAGGCATATTGAGTGGCTTGCGTAGAAGACCTCCGTTGCCAACGGGGTTGGCACTCATCCGCGAGTAACCTGTGGGCGCGAGTTCCTTCAGTTCCTGAATCAATCTGCCATTCTTGTCAAAGAGCTCTTCTGGTTTGTAGCCCCTCATCCATGTTTCCAACAATTTAAGATGAGCTGGGTTGGTGCGGACATCAGTGAGGGGAATCTGGTGCGCGCGCCAAAATCCCTCGAGAAAATGGTCATCAACCTCCCGTGGAGCCGACCATCCCTTGGGTGTGCGAAGAACGATCATTGGCCAGCGAGGCCGGAATGGGGTCTTTGTCTCTCGAGCTTTCTTCTGGTATTCCCTGATCTCTGTGACACATTGCTCGAGTGTAGCCGCCATGGCTTGATGCATACTGTCGAAGTCACTTCCCTCTACAAAGTATGGTTTCCATCCATATCCAACGAGCAAAGATGAAATCTCTTCATGGCTGATTCGTGCGAGCACCGTTGGGTTATTGATCTTGTATCCATTGAGATGAAGAACGGGCAGGACTGCTCCGTCGGTGATCGGATTCAGGAACTTCGTGCTGTGCCAGCTGGTTGCAAGCGGGCCGGTCTCGGATTCACCGTCTCCAACCATGGTCAAAGTGATGAGATTGGGATTGTCGAAGACCGAGCCAAAGGCATGCGAGATTGAATATCCCAGCTCACCTCCCTCGTGGATACTGCCAGGTGTCTCGGGGGTTGCGTGACTTCCAATGCCACCAGGGAAGGAGAATTGTTTGAAGAACTTCCTCATACCCTCCGTATCCTCGGATTTATCCGGGTAGACTTCCGAGTAGACACCCTCAAGGTAAGATTGTGATATGATTCCAGGGGCGCCATGTCCGGGGCCGGAAACAAACAGAATATCGAGGTCGTACTTCTTGATGAGACGGTTCATGTGTATCCAGGTGAAAGCCTGCCCGGAGTCGGAGCCCCAATGACCTAACAGTCGAGCTTTAAGATGCTCCAACTTGAGTGGTTCTGCGAGGAGTGGGTTTTCGACAAGGTAGAGCATGCCCAAACATAGGTACATGCTGGCACGAAAGTAGGCGCTCATCTTCCGAACTGTCTCGGCGTCGAGAGGCTTCCCTTCCACGGTTGAACGAGCCTCGCCATAGGCGGAGATGCTCTTTTCAACTGATTTGGATGCCATTGTAGTGTATCCTGCTAAAGTGGAGATGTCGCACAATGTATAAACAGGATCCCTAGTGTGATTACAGTTGGGATCCGACAAAGATAGAAGGGATGTATGCACCGGAATTGTAGATACTGAGATGCAATAAAACGAAGAAAGCAATGGTCGTAGGTCAATGAGAATTTTTAATAAAGGAGAGAAGTGATTGTAATAGACTTGTCTGACAAGTCAATGACGTGTAGTTTTTGTTAACCTTGGAAACGTACATAATAACCACCACCTGAGCAGGGCTATACGGTGTCATGTGCATCATGACCTGGGCACCATATGTGTGAATTAGCATCAATATATCCACTGCTCCTACAAAAGATAAATTGTTGGGCAGCGCGGATGTCTTCAGGCCGGGGTCGGGGCGAGGCTATATAGTAATGTCTTGGCATTGGATATTGACACCTGAGGCCATTGGAAAAGAGACAGGTTCGAAAATTCGTCGATAGCGCGCTCGGTAGCGTAGAAGGTCGAAGTCAGCAAAATTGCGGCCAATATTTGTATAGTAGGAATGTCCAAAGTGGCGTTCGTCGAAAAACGGTGCTCAAGAGGTCTCATCCACGTGTCGCGAGGCCATATGGCCTGCTATCCCAGCTTCGTCTGGCGCATAGAAATGGGCTCAGAGCATCCAATCGATTTTATCGATTCCAAATGACCAAGGTCGCAACATAATGATGAAGCTCATGGGAGGGAATATCTTTGATGGACGATTGTGGAAGAGAAAAATATCAGGGCGCAAGTGATAAACAGGAGCAGCCCTGGAGGCCTCAGGCAGCAACACATTTTAAACACCTTTCCATCGCATATAGACCATGTACAAAACGTATCTCCGTGCGTACCGCAATAAGCAGACAATTGGCATGAGATCCAAACGAAGTATCGTCTTTCTGATCAATAATATCGCGCGCCGGTGATCCCTTGTAAACCTGCAAACTATTCAGACACATTCAGTTTATGACATCGAACTCGACCGCGTACATCTGACATGGTTGCGATTTTCGAACACTATATATATCATTTCTTAAAAAGTCTTAGCGTCTTTCGTCGCCAGGGAGTTCGCATATTTCCCTCGAAGCTAACTCCTGGGCAGATATGTTTGAATCGAGTTCCATGGCATTATGGATTGCAAGTCCGTGTCGTGCCTTTCCTTCACCTGGTAACTCAGCCTTTTCATAGGCATCGCCACGTTGGTTGTTCAAATCCACTGCAGCCCCGGCACCTTGATTTCGTTTGTGTCTCTTCAGCACAAAAATGGCGGCAACAATAACAAGAGCAACACCAACGATGGACCCAACGACAGGACCGGCAATCCATGCTTTATCTTCTGAATGTGAGCTTTCATCGACCGGAGGAGTCTCCGTCCGTGAGGGTGGTTGTGTCGTTGTTGCTGATACGCTCGTTGCAGGTACAGCAGTGGAACTCAATGTAGTTGTATTCGCTTCAGTCGTTGTTGTTTTGGCTAGATGCCCGTACTCGCTAATAACCAAGATAGCAGAAACCATTTCATCGCGGCTGTCGGGAAAAGCAGTTGGACAGATTTGCAGAACGGTTATAATTTCTTCTGCATCTTCTAGGTCGAAATAAGAGCTCAACCCGTTGTTCGTTCGAACACAGTTGGCACATTCTTCGATGTTGTCAAAGAAGAGTCCGCCACCCGAAGTAGATTTGTCGCATAAGGCCTGCATTTGAAATTCTCCGGCTTTGTAGTCGGTAATGACAAACCCTGATAGATTCGTTAGTTTTCTTTCCGTCGAACTCGGCGGACTTTAAGAAATGGATGAACACGCACCACAAGAGGAGTAGCACCCCGGGTAGGAGTCCAAAGTTGTCTGCGCACCGACATTCGAAAGTACGACAAACCCAACCAAAAGGGCTAGCCCACGGTAAAAGAACATGGTAGGCAGACTTGATGATATGATCAAAGCAAGAAGGAAAACTGTTGGGGTTGAAGAAATCGAAATAACTCCAAGAGAATTGAGCCCCGGGCATAAGTCATTTTCTACGGAGTAGTTAATCTACTAAATAATACACCGTATCAGGGCTGAGCCGCACTGCCCACAGTTCCCGGGTGAGACTAGGCCGTAGATACACGGTCCTTGCCAAGCTGGAGACAGAATAGATGCATAGAGTAGTAGCTCCTAACCCGGGTGAGGGTGAGTTCCCATATTAGTATTACTAGTTATTATAACAACATATGTACATTGTAATCAGTTTCTCACTCAATAACTGTCATAGTGAAGTACTTAGTCTGTGAAGTGTATTCACCCGAATACACTTCCAGACTGAGCAGACTGGAAGGGTCACGAAATCTGGGGGCCATGTCCACGGGTACTCCGTATCCTCCGGCGTCCCTGTCAATGTAGATCCCGCTACGGTGTACGGAGTACTCCGTACAGAATACTATTTTCAGACTAGTGTTTTTCTTGCTTCATTGTTTCAGTTTCGTGAACCAATTAAATTACCTGAATAGATTATTTACGGCCCTGTTTCCCCCTAACTCCTTTATTGGTGTGGCCAAGCAGCGCTAATATCATCTGTCACGCTCAGGCATATTTTTAAGAAGCTCCCTCGCCCGTTGGCGATAAAATTCTCAGCCTCCTACAAAACCCGGATATTAGGGAGGAGCAGTATCGCCTTTATAAGCAACGCCGCTGGATCCTGTCCGTCATCAGATCCTAAAGTGATCCGAATGTATTAATTATGGCAGTCAACCCATGAAAAATGAGTAGCGTCGATCAAACTAGGCCCTTGATGAAATGAGTAAAAGGTAGAACGATCAGACCACTAGCCCACGCTCGATATTACCCTGCGTGACAGTATCCCCTTAAGGGATATATAAAATAGTGAGAGTAGATAGGTAAGATGTATTAATTTTAGACCCCCAAGCGTTATACTACCTCTGGAGAGCCACATACTCTTTAAAGCATTAATAACTAATTATATCCAGCGAAGAACGTCATGATCACACAATGAAGTGGCGTATTTCCTCCAGTACATTCCTTCAATGCAAAAATTCCCCGCCTGTCTCCTTCAAAATCAATTGGTACTCAGGCTCGAATTGCATATACATTACCTCAGGAGTACCTGTTCCTTTCTTGGTGTAGAGTGCAATTTCGTGATCGACTAATGTCTTCTTCAAGACTCCTTCGCTTGCACCAATCGAACCGGGTGTTGTCGAAGATTCTACCAAGATCTGGGTCTGACAGGCCCTCTCCAGTGCGATGAAAAAGGCCGCTGCTTCTGCGACTGTGCCTCCAGCAGTAAGCAAGCCATGATTCTGCATTATCAAATTTTTATTTTTGGGCCCAAGGTAATCAGCAATACGTTGGCCCTCATCCTTTGCGAAAACAACGCCCCCAAAAGCTGGGTATACCGAAAGATCGTTGTAGAACATGCAAGAGTCTTGAATTTCGGAACAGTGTTAGTAACAATATGGGAGCACGGCTGTTGATCATTTGTTGGCTTTACCTTGATTTAACATATCAATTCCCTTGCCGAAAGTGCTCCAGGCTCTTCCAAACGGACTGTGCATGTGGCATGCCGCATGTATATCAGGTCGTCTCTGGTGGATTGCTGAATGAATAATAAATCCAGCCGTATTGATAGGTTTATTTGCGCCAGCGACCCTATTCCCTTCTTCGTCTACCCGGACCATATCGGAGACTTTCAGAAGAGCGAAGTGTACTCCGTACGGGTTGATCCAGAAAGTGTGGGGTTCGACGGGGTCTTTAGGGTATCAACATCTAAAAAATAACCACGATTTTCGAAGTACAAAACATCCAATAAATCAAGCATACCTCGGACACTGATATGGCCACTGCTACCGTCCGAGAATCCCAGTTTGGCGAATATGCGGAATGCGCCCGCCATATGCTCGAGAAGCCACTGTCGCTCTCCTTCTTTGTTGGTGGGCCTTGGAATGTGATGCAGTCTGTTTACTTCACCATTGCCGCCTTTTTCTGTGTTCAGGGCAGAAACAATTGGCTTCGGTTCAACAGTAGTCACAGATGATGACATTTTGTGTTGTAATTTGGATGAAGGGTGATAGTAGTTTGACAACACGGGGGAGGGGCTGGAAAGGGGGAAATGGGGTTTAACCCCGCAGTAACGTTGACTCTATAATTTTGTGTTGATTATAGCATTGCGATTATACAAGCGATTAAAAGAGCATGTTGTTCTACACTCCACACTTGCTATAACTGATGCTGATGGGTTTTCAAGTGGTAAAACTTGTCAAACAAAGATTTGCGGATTCAACCCCCAAAATTCAGAGACATCAGCTTGGGTTATTTTGAAGCCATGAAAATAATCGGCTAACCTGGTCGATCTCAAAATCCTATAATCATGAAAATGAGAGACAAAAATAGATCTTGGCGCGATAGGATGCACTAGGCCTCCGCAAAGCCCATAAATGGGCCGGGCTTCGAGGGTCCAACCCACGGCCCATTGATAGGGGCCCCCATCAAAACCCCTTTTGCTGTATAAATATCATCTTGGCATGCATAAAGTAGCTGATTAATAACGGTATTTTACGCATGTTCCAACCTGTATACTCAGTAACATTTAATTATCATGGTAAGAAGTAGGAATTATATGAATATAACACTAATTCTAGCATCATAATACCGGATTTCATACAAAATTTCATGAAAAACCATCCCGAAGAGTCTAATTTGACCACAGTTTCGTATATAGGAGAACTGCCGAGTATCAGTATGAAGAGATATATATCTTACTAACAGGGGGACAGATAGAATTTTCGCTTTTACCTTCAGAAAATAAAATGTACTTCTGTTAAATATATAAGCACCTAATTAAAAGAAGTACTTCTTGTAAAAAAGTAAAGTTTTATGAAAATGGATTATGATTTTTGTTGATATCGCTGAGTATAAGACTGTTACTTAGAAGATAAAGAAGAGGAAGAATATGATGATTCACGTATAGCTTTATATACACCCTAGATAGTAATCTCAATACCCAAAAAAAACCAGCAAAAAATGTATTAATTATGCAGTTGCGATATATTGGTATGTTTGTATTGTTTGATAAATAATAGGGGCCCATTATAGGCTCAAGGTATAAGCCCATAACCCATCGATGGGCCCGGAGCATGGGCCCAAAGCCCAACCCGTTAGTGGGCTGGGCTTTGGGCCTTGTGGGCTTTGCAGAGGCCTAGTATACACATCTTCGGGTAAAAAGATGTAGAACCCGGAGAGCCGTGGAGGGAAACAAAGAATATCCAGTTTTGCCTCTGATATCTCTTCTTTAACTTCGGACAGCGAGGGGATATCGAATAATAAATCCTATAGGGGTTAGATCTTGCATCTATCGTCACCCAAGGTATTGCCGGAATTGACATCTAGGATATCCCGGATTTCTCCCTATGATTCTGGCCAAGTGCATTAGACTCGAGTAATCTACCATGTTATATTCATGATGGTGGATGAAAAATCTTGCGCCATGTAGTACAGAAGTGATGTATTGAAAGGCATATGTTACGTTGAATAGTCAAAATCAAAATGAAAGATACAAACAGTGCAATAGAAGAGAAGCCGAAGAAAGGAGAAAGGGAAAATCAATAAAACATTCAAAAAATCAAAAAATCACGTAACAGAAGTCAAATGCGAAATGTGTAAGAAGAGACAGAACCACATATTTAGATCAAACTTTGCCCTGTTGCAAGAGTTGGATCAAGATGAGGAAAGTCTGTAACGGGATGAAGCCGTCCAGTTCGGAACGGCGCAGTCAACTGTGCCGCAGACGCAGTAGGGAGAGTCCTCTGACCTTGTGGCTGGCCGGGGTTATAGTTAAAAACCCAAAGACGCATTGACTGGTCGGGACAAGTTCCTGTGTAGAACCTGTGTCGCAGCCATGATCCACTCAATCGATCGTGACCAGCCCTTGTTGATCTACCGGGCTGGATAGAAGCCGGTATTGCCTCCCAGTTAGGGGCCATCCAGCCTGATTCATCTGTACTCCACATGTTGACCTCGAATTCTCTAAATAGCGTTGGGACCTGTCTCCCATCCGCGACATACAGTACTCCAACACCTAGGCATCGGGGGAGGGGGTAGATGTTTCCATTCCTTGCATCAGTCCGAAGAATGTCAATATCGTCTTCGAATACGCTCATGTGTGTGGACCCAGTATCATCCATAAAGGGAAATTCATAGCACGGTGGTCTGGGTGGTGGTGGGACTGGAGCTCCATCTCTGGGTATCGGATCCTGCGGGATTCGAAGGCTAAATCGTACCTGGATGCAATCATTAGCGCTCAAGTAAAGTGGTAAATAGGAAAATAGATAGAGAAATAGTTAGCCTACCATTGTGGCATTTAAAAGCGGGTCGGGTTGGCAAACCATCGAAGTCTTGCTAATTCCAGGCCCAAGCCCGAAAATCTGAATATATAGTTTTAGTATATTTATTGACACATAGAGCTTCAGACAAGACTTACACCTTCGACCCAAAATCCTCCATGTCCCTGATATTTGTCATGAATATAGCGGTATTCCTCCCAGTGGAAAGGTCTCGGCAGGCAGAGCTGCACGCCAGCATGCCAGTAGGTGATGAAGTCCGGATGCCAATCCAATTCACCTGATCGATACTGCTCCATGATGGTTTTTACCGTATCGACCATTTTGTGTACATCATTTCCCGCCACAAGCCAAGCCAAAATAATTTTGAGATCCTCGAGGCGTTGTACAACAGGCCAACTTAGATTTGGCTCTGCGGCCATTAGTGCACTAGGTAGAAGAAAAGCAATCAGTGACTGTTACAAAAAGCATAGCATATTTTACCGCTAGACCATAACAAAAATCAATGTTCTTGTTTAGGGCGTAGTCGGGCCCTATCTGGGTTTCGGCATCACTCACTCGCGTTCTGCCTGCCTTGCTATAAATTCTCCCATTTTATTTTGGTAGACATGAGGCATGATATTCTGTCCGATTCGCTCAAGACACCGATCGATCTGAGATGCGAAGTCGCTAAATAGCAAAGGTCAATCACCAGTTATACAAATGAATAGCCAGCGCCGAATTGGCGGAGCGGGTAGAACTTACTCGGACATCAGATCAGGTTCATCTGGGTTCCAGCCTTTAGGTGCATTCTCCCGCTCTATGATAATACCTTTTACTATTCCCCATTCTTGTTTTTTGGGCATTTGTGGCCTAAGCTTTTTCCTTTTCCTCGAATAATCGGTACTGAGATCGGCTGCAAGTTCTTCCTCGTTCAGAACTTGTGGGATTGGTGCTTTTGTCTTCTTTTTTGGAGGGGTTGCCTCTGAATCTCCATTCTCGTCATCTTTCTTGCGTTTTCCGCCTTTCTTGCTTTCCGCTTTGCCGTTTGACTTTGCGGCCCGAGGAGGATTAGCCCTTGGAGGCATTTCACAACAGAGACAGAGAAAATAGTTACGACCAAGATGGTGCGTTCTTCATGTAACTGCCGAATCAAATATCGAACATGTATTTATAATGGACACGAAGGGGAGAATCATGAAGTTATTTGTATTCTAAGCATTTTGTACAGGCCGAACCCATCGCACCGGATGGAGGGGTCGACGATGCAATATCAAAGAAACCTCCAAGGTCATAGACAAAAAGAAAGAAAAAAAAAAAGCCTAGGCGGCAGGGCATGCTGTTGGAGGAATATCTACTCTCTTTGATCGAGCTGTTCATTCAGTGGATCTTTTGAAATGCCCCATTGAGTGTGCACTTGGAAGGCCGACTCTTAGTGGATCTGGCTTCGACAATTTGATGCCATCAAAGACATCGGCTAACTCCATCAACCTCAGACTCCGGTAGCCATACTAATGAAAGCCAAAAATAGACCCTGGTGCGAGAGTATACGAAAGAAAGAACGTTTGACTCTCGCCCTGTCTAATTTTATACGACTCACTGTCCTTTTTATTGTGGTGTAGCCGTAGACTGGTGCCTCAGGCATCGAGCCCGCTCTTTGTTGTAAGTCGGGACACTCTCTCCTTTCCTTTGGACTCCACGGCCTGTAGAGCCCAGTACTTTCCCGGGAGATCTAGCAAATACTATCTAATTATCTTCATTATGTATTTTTGAGCGTGGAGTTGGTGGAACTTATGTTGTTGAACCTCAGCGCGCCTACATCGGCCGGCTAGGCAGTAATAAATTCCCATGTCAAGCTATGTGAAGAAGATTCGTCCTTTTAGTAGATCATGTTTTATTAAATCAAATAGCCAATGATTCCGAATTTGCCTGTGAAATACCACCACATAATACACGTGCACTACTCTCCAGGGCTGTATATTGTATGAATACCCACATGTGTATCCATACTCTCGTATCCGATCTCCGAAACCGGGGCCGAAAACAACAGAGATTCCGAGTCTTGCCAATATTTTCAAAATTAGACAGACAAACTTCTTTTCCTGAAATTTGCAATCTCTTTGAGCTACGTCTGGTTTTTCGGGGCTATTTCACAGGATCACCAAGATGGGCGAACCCACCAAAATGGAAGAGAAGCCGACTGCAGTGCCGCTCCCCAATTCCGAGCAGTTCTACCTGAATAGCGAGCAAGGTGAGCGGTATCTGATTCAAGTGTCTTGGCCGCTGCATTGGCACAGTGACAGCACTTCTGCTCACGGGTCATTTCCCATAATGTAAGTCTCTGCTGACGAATTTCAGTCTCGGAGAACAAAAAGAAGCGTGGGTTTACGAACTGATATTAGATATTTTGTCGATGGAAATGCTCTATTCTTGACTGCAACTGAGACTGCCTGGCGTCGCGCGCCTGCATCGCATTTTGCGGGTGGAGGCATCATTGTCGCTATCGGATACCCGTTAAATGGAAAGCTTTATGATATGTGGCGTCGCGCTCTTGATTTCTCTCCGCCAACGGAGACTCCAATTGCTAAACATGGAGGCGCCGATATATTCCTTGACTTCATTCAAAATTCAGTGCGACCCGCTGTCAAGGCCCGATTTCCACAGGTCTCTGTCTCAAGAGAAGCCCTCTACGGCCATTCGTATGGAGGATTGCTTGCACTACACGCGTTGTTTACACGCCCCGAGACATTTGATTGTTACATGGCCAGCAGTCCCTCGATCTGGTGGAATGACAGATTCATTTTGCAGGAGGCGAAATCCTTTCTGGAAAAGGAGCCTTTGGATGAGAAATTGCCTTCGCTCATGGTCTTTTGGGGCTCAGTCGAGCAAAATCCTTATCAGTGGGACAACGAACCATTTGAAAAATATGAATCAAGAAAGCAAATGGCCTCAAATTTCAGAATGGGTGACAATGCTCTCGATCTCTGTGGGATGCTACGAGGTTGCAGACAGTTGCATACTATCATGGCGAATGAGTTCGATGGGGAGGAACACACCAGTGTGATGTCGTGCTCGACAAATCGGAGCTTGACGATGTTCTTTGAAGATTGGCCTTTCAGTCATAGACAAATGTCATGAACCGAAAAATAATTTACGCATAAGTGGAACGGTACTTGATAAAACGAGCCGAACGTAATGGCGGGAAGACGTTCTCCGAATTAGCACCGTACCTTGTATGCCGCTCCAGGAAAAGTCAAAAAACAGGATTTGGGGGCCGCTCCACCAGGCCATGATTATTAAGAATCGAGGGTCCGTCCATCCAAATACGAAAGGGTTCGGGGTGGACCCGGGCCTGGATCTTGCCCAAGTAAGCTCACAGATTGGAAGCCTGGCTTTTTGTTGATGTTCTTTCCGCTCCTGCTCCTGTAAAGATATAGCAGCGCACTTGATTGCCCACATGAATGGGACTGAGGCTTTAACATGAGAAATTGATTCGAGATCTAGCCGTCGTGTAAGTAAGATTTTAGAGCAAGAAAAAGAAAAAGAGTCATGAGTAGCCCCTAGCCTAGAATACCCAAAGAGGCTAGTAGCCTCAGAGATTACCGCTCACCGCTAACTTTAACTAATCTAATCTGATCTTAATATCGATACGGTACGGTACATACACGTGGTGAATTGGACTAAAATTCGATGTTAGATTTCACATAGCGTTGGAATAAATTTCCATTACAAATTTTGCATAGGTAATTCTATTTACACCTTCCATTCCGAGTTGGACGTCACTCCTCAACCTCAAAAGGTGCGGCTTCACCGCAGTATATAGTTATATAGTAGCAATATTTAGTCTATGAACTCTCACTGGGATCTAACTCAAGGTTTGACATTGCCAATTGCGATATCGGACCTTTTATGGACAAGTTTACCTTTGACCGAACTGGGACTCGTTCGTCTACTTGGCTCCATAGAAAAATGGTGAACTACGCCACCCGTTATCTCACTATCGGATGCCCAGCTTGACGGATGTGGAATTTAGGCTTGGGGCCAAGCTCTTTTGATGCGTTTTGTCTTAATATTACTTGGCAATCCTAAGACGAGCACTTTGACCATTTCATAGTTTCGTGGATCAGCGAAATATATCAGAGTAATAGCGCTAAACCCTCAATATCATATTTCCTCTGCCCGCGGCGACTGACTGGGAAAGAAAACAAACCACTCTGAAAGAAACCATTCAAATCAGAAATATTTATATGTGGCTTAATGGGGGTAACTCTATATACTAGCGTTAGACGCTGGGGGTAATTATAGTTTGTTTGGTAAGCTCTTGTTGTGTGCCCAGGTGATTACCTTGTGGGTGGGTATTCCATCGCCAACAACTGATGGTCTGGCTTTCCCTTCTGGTGTTTCTTCTGTATTTCTCATGCTCTAACCTGAAGACGTTAGAGTCTCTGACTCAGGGTGTCATATTTAATGTCCAGCTCCTCTCTCGTTTCAAATGGACTGTCCCGTATACAACGCGTGATTTCTTTGCACGCGGAGAAAATATGGCGATCTTGAGCAGATTCCATCATATAGTTGGCAACAAGTCTGCAGAGACTGAGGTTACCCTAGTTGATGATCCAAATACCCTGCAAGTGAGAGCCGACGACAAGGAAGCTGGACATTCTCCCATCGATGAAGTGACTGGCAAGGAGGAAGCCAGGCCTGCTGAAGATGCCCAAGCCGGTGTCCAGAAAATCGAGGCCGTCACTCTGGCCTGGGGGAAGGGATCGATGCTCATGACTCTGGTACTGTATGTATCTCAATCCTTGTTGTATTCTTGAACCCTAGCAGGTCGGCTAGCTCACACTGTCTTTCTCGAACAGTATCTGGCTTCTCACACTGGTGAACAATCTCAAGACTTCTGTGGTGTACAGTCTAAGCGCCTATGCGACAAGCTCTTTCGCGGGTCATTCGCTTTTGACCGTCATTGGTATCGTGTCATCTTCATTGACAGGCGCAGTGTACATTCCTATGGCGAAGGCGCTGGACCTCTGGGGTCGTGCAGAAGGTATTCTTTTAATGACTGGGTTCTGCATTCTGGGTATAGTCATGTTGGCTGCATCCCATAACCTCCCCACCTACTGCGCCGGAGAGGTAAGCTATAATCTAACATTCACGCCCTCATTCCTGCAAGTATCTGACATTTCTATTCCCTGCAGGTATTCTACTCGGTCGGATTCGGAGGTCTCGCCTATAGTTGGAATGTTCTTGCAGCCGATGTGACAAACTTAAGAAATCGAGGGCTAGCATTTGCTTTTACCTCGTCTCCGGCAATCATCTCGGCGTTCGCTGGATCTAAGGCTGCTGAAGTATTTCTCGCTAATGTCAATTGGCGATGGGGCTACGGAGTTTGGGCTATTATCGTGCCCGCCTTTGCTTTGCCGATATATTTCATGCTTTCCTATAATTTACGGCAAGCCGAGAAGGAAGGCATTCTGGCCAAGGAAAAAAAGACCTTGAATTTCAACCTCGAAACAATTTGGTGGTTTATCAAAGAGTTTGATTGTGAGTCTTCATATCAGCGTTTTGCGGCTGTTATTGCAGAATGCTAATTCTGTTCTGAACAAATAGTGATGGGGGTTTTCCTCTTCGGTAGCGGCATGGTGGTATTCCTTCTGCCATTCACTCTGGCTAGCATGGCACCCCATGGTTGGCAGACCGGCTATGTCATTGCCATGATTGTGGTTGGGCTAGTCCTACTCATTTCATTTGGCTTCTATGAGACTTACATGGCCCCAGTGCCATTCCTGAACTATAGGTTCCTCACCGATAGGACCGTTCTAGGTGCATGTCTCCTTAATATGACATACCAGGTATCTTACTACTGTTATGGCGTCTATCTCCCGTCATTTTTACAAGTGGTGTACAATTTGGACGTGGCCACAGCTGGATACGTTGGAAATACTTTCAGTATCGTGGCATTTGTCTTCCTGTTCTTCGCTGGTTGGCTTATCCGTGTGACGGGTCGCTTCAAGTGGATTCTCTGGATTTGTGTGCCACTCTACATCTTTGGACTCGGCCTGATGATTCACTTCCGTCAGCCTGGTGGATATATTGGATACATTGTCATGTGTGAGATCTTTTTCTCCGCTGCCGGTAGTATTTTCATTCTGTGTGTGCAGCTCGCTGTCCTCGCTTCGGTCGATCACCAACACGTTGCCGCGGTGCTTGCCTTGCTTTTCGTAATGGGAAGTATTGGTGGATCTATTGGCAGTGCCATCTGTGGAGCGATTTGGACAAACACGTTTTTGAAAAAGCTTGGACAAACTCTACCAGAATCAGCCATGCCGAATTTGGCCCTCATTTACTCAAGTCTTCCCCAGCAGCTGAGTTATGCAGTTGGGACCCACGAGCGGGACGCGATTGTGGAAGCATACGGCTATGCCCAGCCAAGGATGCTTGCAGCTGGTACCTCACTCATGGTTTTGGGCTTCATCTGGGTTGGCATGATGAGAAACTTGAACGTCAAGAATATGACTCAGACAAAAGGTAACGTCTTTTAACGGGCAGGGATCGTTTCAACAATGAGTAAACAACATTGTGTTGTTTATTCGACTGATTTTATTAATGGGAACCAACTTTATGATGGGTCCCGATGCTCCTTTCCGGTCCTCTATTTTAATAATATCTATCTCCAGCGGACTGATGCTACTACTTCCAGCATTTTTGTTGAGGGTGGTCATGTGACCGCCCCACTCTCCTAGCTTTAGCTATCCTCCCATTAGATAGTTTCTTTTCTTCTCTTCTCTCTCTACGCGAATAAGAGTTTTCCAGTTACACCTACATCTTCATTGTAGTCACTGCTACTCTTCTCAATTTTTCTGTGATATAATAACATATATATTCTTGATTATCGGATGGAAACTTGCCCTGTGTAAACCATTCTAGGATTTTATTTTCCTCGAAGCTGTTCAGATCTGGAAGGACTTCGTTTTCGGTCATAGTAAAATATATCGCAAAGCCAACCGCAAAAATATCAGCATGCACATACGCGTAGTTTTCGTGAATCCAAGGTCAAAACAACTTCGAGCACTCATGAGATAGCCCATCAAATAGCGACTTCCCATCAACCGACTTCAACATCCCTTGAGAATCGGTTAGCACAAGATGAAAGCTCTCATCAAAAAGGAAATTCCGAGGATTGAGGTGAAAACTAATCACAATTTTGCTATAAATATAGCTGATCGCTTCCGCAGCTTGTCCGCAGTAATGAATTTGAACGCCGCCCAGCCTTTGCTTTCGAGAAACAAGTAAAATAAAACGATGGAAATCAGCAAAGCCAGGGGGCTGAGAATATGCAAACCATGCAAACATTTTCAAAGCATTTCCAAAGTCGTGTCACTTCTTACACTGTGTCGTGATCAGACCCTTTATGGGGGCATGAGAGCGAGTTTTAAACCTCGACCCATAACCTGCTTTCATATATCCAGTGCTCTGTGCTGACAATCGAGTTAGGTGGAATGATGAGTTCAACATTAGCATATCGGGCCTTGGTTTATGATCCACTTGAACCCTGGCGATCTTTGCCAGGTCCGAGAGAGCGGTAAATCAATGGATTTTATTCGACAACTTTACAACGCTAAAAAAGAAACCGAAACATTGGGCAGGGGCTGTTGATCGATTTTGTGTAGAGTGGAGGGGAACTAACGCTTCTAAATTTAGTGGCGGCTACTGGGCTCCCTTGAGTCGTTTGAAGAGAGGGGACATGGCGGTTACACACCCACTACCAGACCCGTTGGCCTAATAATAATACTTTGGTTTCCCGATGATTGTAAGATGGTGCCTTTAATTTTATTCCTGGCGCTATGGTGTTTCCCACATATTGAACAATGATCCCGTCGATAAATTTATCCTCCTGTGCTCCAGTGTGCATTGCCTGTGTGCCCCAAAACGCGCGATCGCCTAGTCGCAGTCACGTCTACTCATATGGATAGAATCGAAGCCGTTTCCGGTTTAAGGGGGAGCACGGTAAGCTATGGGGGACTTGAACTCGTTTCAGATCTCAAGAAAGGGCCGAAGGGCTATGATGGCCTTGAAGTTGCCGTTGAACAAGGGAAAGAAGTCCCAGTAACTCGTGGCGGATTATATTACTTGTCTAGCCCAGAAAGGCCGGGGTCTAGTATATCTGATGACAGTCTAGCAAAGGCTGATAGTCCAAAAGACAACAAAAGAGTTTGCGGAGTGAGGCCTACTGTGTTTTGGCTGCTACTAGTGATCGCGGTCTTGATCGTGGTGATCGCTGCCGTGGGGGGTGGAATTGGAGGATCCTACTTAGCAAACAGAGATAAAGGGTATCTATCACTCTCCTTCCTAAGCCGATAGTCATCTAACACATGTCACAGTAGCTCTGACTCAACCACGCCTGGGTCGAATACTAGTACTGCAATGTCTATCGTGACAAGAACATCCAACAGCGGTCTCTCTGAGACAACCTCCCAGCCAAAGGCAGATTCTTCAACATCTATTGCATCCAGCATATCTGATAGTGGCTCCCATTCAACAAAATCCGACCCCAATGAAGATTCTACAGCCACAGCTTCCTCCCACTCGGAAACTTCCACCATAGCCACGCCCTCCAAAACATCATCGGCAGCCGTCACATCTGGGACTTCAGGCATGGCTTCCAATCCGTGTCCTGGTCAGAACCTCACCACGGTCACTGGCTCCGATGGATCGATATTTACATTACTGTGTGCTGTGGACTGGCCCAGTGGTATTCAGACAGCATACGGCAACGGAAAAGTCAGTGACTTGACGAGGTCAACTGAATATACCTTGAAGTCCTGCATTTCACAATGTGTGCAGTGGAATACGGAGAACAACGAGAAGTGCAAAGGGGTCATCTACACTGCAAATTTGACAGCTTCATTTAGTGGTGGACAGGACGGCAATTGCTTTTTGAAGAATAGTGTTGGGAAATATTATCCTAATTCGGATGCCTCCATGGCTGCTGGGATATTGGGAGGCTGATTTGACGTTGTCGATATGTATAATAATGAAATTAACAATTTAAATGAATAGCTTTCAGTATCAGTTCGATTTTGCTCATATGGCTTCAATTCAATCTTGTCATTAACACTGTCATCATTTTTTTCTCTTTCTTTTTGATCAATATCTATATAGTAACCCGCAAAAAATCGTATATTGAATTCAAGTAGGCAAATATATCCAACATATTGCCATGTCTCGAGAGCCATGAATGCCTCTACATTCCGAGATAACATTTTCACATTTTCACATCAAAATATAATAACTCTCTCCTCCCATCCACCATGATATCCATTTCTTTATCTACCATCCGAATGCCTCCTCGAAGTACTCGATATCCTGAAAACCATTCTTCATGACCTCGTACACGGTTCCGCGACATTCATCGGCCATTTGAGCCGGGCCGCAAGTCAAAACAGCCAAGTTGGTTGAGCTGGTCTGGGCCTCCCGCACCTCAGACATGACTGTCTCGCGGATGTTAGGACGACCAGGCATGAACCGTAGGCTGCTGTTGCTAGTGGGAGAATCCGCGCCTGTTGCCTTGATCACCGGTGCAACACCAGAAGAAACCTCCTTGGAGATGTTCACATCGTCGGACTCAGAATCACTCGTGATCTTAGAAAGACGAGTGCAGAAGACGGTGATTGTAATGTCATTATGTTGCATGATCTCCGCCAGCTCCTCATTGAAAACTTCGTTAAACATTTCCTTTTGTCGGACGGACCACACGAGCTCGATTTTGGTAGTCTTCGTCTTGCCTTCCTTGACGCGCGCAATGTGATCTAGGAGGTAGGGCACTGCTACTGCAATACCCGTTCCGCCGACAATGATCAAAAGCGTGTTGTAGGCGTACACCGGCTCGGAATGACCGTAAGCTCCCTCAAGAAGGAGCTTGGGGTAGAAGGTTCCGCCTGCCTTGCGGCATTGATCACGAAGACGGCGTGTCCATCCATCGTAGGGCCGGACGTAGAAGATAAGCTTGTTCCCATTTTGGGAGGCTGAAGCGGACTTTTCATTGTTGGCCCCGGAAGAAGGAGCCCATGCACCCAATGAAAAGGGGTGGTTCTCCCAGCCCTTGAGCAAGGTTGCCTGGTAAATATAGTAAAGCTGACCTGGTCTGGGTTTCAAACTTGCGGCCCCAGGAACCATTTCGATCTTGACCAAGTCGCTTGCCTCACTGTATGTAACAGTCGTAGCAGTTCCCAAGAATTGCTTTCCGAATCGGGCGTTCAGATTGCAGTATACCACACGGCCAACACGGGCAAGTCGCTCAAGGACCCAAAGTCCAACTGGCGTCCAAAGGTATCCAACCCATTCACGACCATCGAAGCTGGTGTGTCTATTTATTGTCAGATCGGAACTCCTCTCCTGGACAATAAAGATGAGTGCAGTACTTACTGGAAGAGGGCAACGACTATGACAACAGCGAAGACAATGTGAAGCATGAGGAAAGTCTCATACCAACGGCGTTGGAAGAATGTCATAGACTGTACAAGCATGAAACACAGGAGAATAGTAGCCTAGTAGAGCGTTAGTCATGAGTTTCATTATCAATCGGGTCGGGCAGACTCACCACCACACCCATATACCAGTACTCTTCCTTCCAAGCAATCCAATAGCGACCAACTATAGTGTATATTGTCAGTACGGCGTGTTCTTTTATTTATTTAAAATCGGTAAACTTACCATATTCTGCGAAGAGGACGCTGTAATTGATGGAGTGCACCACGGCCAAGATAGTGCAAACCCATGCGATGTGACGGTGGAACATTGTGAATGACTGAACGCTGAAATGTGTCATTTGGATGAACACATTGTTTCTGCCACTGAAAAGCCACAAAGCCGGCAGACAGGCGTATGCAAGAACTCCAGTGCGGTCAGAGGTATATTGCCAATTTTGTTGGTAAAGGCTTGGTACTCTGTGTATAAAGTTAGTAAAAGTATGAAGAATGATATGGAAATATCTGGTAGAACTGACGAAAGACTGCCCGCGAAACTGTCGTAACCTACGCAGCTCAAAATGATAGAAACAATCCAAAAGCCAAGCACGATCAAAGTATCGACTCTCTTGGGAAGAGCGTGCGACAGCCAGAGTTGCTGGTGATTGGGGATAGCTGGGGCGAATGTGGCTGGCATAATGATGTGCGTGCGCAATGAATGGAATAGAGACGTAAGAGGACCCTTCTTAGTCTGCAAACTGGGACGAGTCTCCGGATCACAAGAACCACGCACACTCCGCCTGCTGAAGAAGACTGTCCATGCCTTGGACATCATGCCCAGGACTAGTACAGCTCCCCAGTATCCAATAAGTCCCCATCCATATCGCTTGTGTTTTGGCATAGCATAATCATGGCTCACCTGAAGAAGTGTTAGTTGGTGGTTCACTGACAAAAGAGCGAGATGGAATATCAATGGGTTGACTCACATAAGACTTATGGGCCCTGTTATAATACTTTTTGGTCAGAAGCACAGGCGAGTCAATGGTCCCAGTTGTGGTCACATTGTTTTGCTCTGGGTCTATCTGAGGAAGTGAGTTGATGTACTCATCCGTCAACAATGGTTCGATTGAAGCCAGACTCATAAGCTCCATGCTGTTCTTCGCGCAAAGGCTTTGCCAGTATGGGATAACCGCTTTGAATTCTTTCTCAGAACACCAGGCCTTAGCGCTAGCATACATGGAAGTAACTTCCACGGTGCTGTTGCAGGGTCCAGTGGAGTATGAGCCATATGAACCGCCACCATGAGCGCGCCTTCCGAGGCTCACGCTTCGTCGCGATGACCCGTGGCTGTGTGTCCCGGAGGTAGAATCAGATGATTCAGTGGAAGCATCGGATGATCCGTGCGTGTGTGCAACAGAAGAAGTCTCGGAGGATTCAGCAGAGGAAGATTCAGAAGATCCATGAGAGTGAGTCCCAGAGGTAGAATCAGATGATTCAGCGGAGGAAGAATCGGATGACCCGTGTGTGTATGCAACAGAAGAAGCCTCGGAGGATTCAGCAGAGGAGGATTCAGATGATCCATGAGAGTGAGTCTCAGATGTTTCAGTGGATGAATCCGATGATTCATGCGAAGAAGTCTCCGAAGCTTCAGTAGAGGAAGAATCGGATGAACCATGCGAGGAAGACGAGGAACCCCCGTGAGAGTGGGAGCCACTCGTGGCAGACTGGACTGTTACACTGCCTTCAAAGGTATATGCGGACAAACTGGTATAGATTGAGTAAAAACAGTACTCTTCCAAGTTGGAGGCGACATTGCGACTCGAGCTCGAGCTGGAACCGCTGTCGCTATGTCCAGCCACCTGGACACTAGCCCAGAAGAGAGCCACGAAAGCCGCTCTGGGAAGCATTTTGTCGGTTTGATTATTTAGGGCAAGCGAAAAACCAGGCAAGCCCGAAGAAATTCGACTATACTTATATCAGATAAAACATGTAGCGACAATATATGTACAAAAAAAGAGAAAAATAAAAAAAATAGCAATAATTCCGATAATTCCAACCAAGGTCAAGCCATCTAGCTGCTGGCTCAAACCAAAGAGGCAATGTTTGGAGAGAACTTCGGGTGTATCAAGGTCATTGAGTAATTTTGTCACCACCAAAGCCCACTCGAGATTGCGTGGTTTCTCCACATTCAGCTAAAGTCTCGGAAATAAACCAAGTAAGACCTCATTTTATCATCTCCATTGATAAATATATTCCTATAACGGTAACTCGAGTCTTCTCTTGGCAGACAGCGGAAGATGAATATAGTTATGAAAGCCGGAGAAAAGTGTTGAGTGGCTGATGCATAGACGTTGCCCTCCTAGACGGATGTATCAATGGCAGTCCGAGCCTTTGCCGAATAGGAAGGTGCCAGTATTAGCTCACCGGCATGTTAGTCTGCGTTCATCTCTAGCGAATACAGTGTGCCATTGCCACAAGCATGTTTCGCTAACAACGCGTGATAGGATTCTAGGCGATGAAGTCCGAGGCTTGGCAATATATCTCGGCCTTAACGTAGGGCCATAAGGTTAAACTATGCCGATTCGGAAGGTCTCGGGCGATAATAGTGGAGGTCCTTCTATACTACATTGGAACTAATGTTTTTGCAGAGATTGATAACGCAAGACTCGGATTTATTTCAACCAAGGTTAGACGAGTGGAGTTCCTTATATTAAGCCTGGCCCTATAAAAAAACGGTTGTAATAGCCGAATTTGAGATCCCTGAAATCTCCCGGCAGATGGTCCCATGGTTGACTAGCCTGGTGTATCCAAATTTGTGATTGTTGGCCGCCCCATATATTCCAGAGCGTTAGTCTTCGAATATTTCTATATAGATTGATAACGGAAACTTCCGAGGTAGTTCAATATAGCAAGCCTCACACCATGCCAAGGCGTAAAAATGAAAAATTGGTTACAATTGACTTTACAATATCTAAAAATCTAGACAACTAAATGGATGGACCCGTAGATGGATTGTCGCGAATGGTCATAGGCTGTAGGATGAATTTCAGGAAACTCGACCACTGTAGCCTGTGATTAAATGACTGAACAAGCTCGGTCAATAACCAAGAAGAAGAAAACCCCTCCTATACACGAAATGCGAGCAATATTAACAAAATCCTTTGTTAGACAAGCTACTGACGCCAGATATATATCGCAACGTTCTTTCCACGCAGTTTATTTGGGTTTTCTTTTTCGCCCTAACTGATACTATCTCTTTTCCATATCCATTTCCGAATAGCAGATCCACAAGGTTCTTTTCAAGAATAGAACGAAGAGCACCTAAATTGAGTTATCTGATTGTACCTCGGGGCTACAGCGGATCACTCGGGTATAAGCTTGTGCCCAGCTAGTAGGGCTGGTAGATTACACAAGGATGTACATAACTCGGCTTCGGGTATCTCGGGTCGGATAAGTCAATCTCGGGTCTTATACATTGTGGGGCTCTTCGCAGAATGATTCCCAATTCGGGCAATAGTGCACACGACCCACTAAGGCTTAGGCAAGATGTGGACAGTCGCAGGGTCATATGGTCACATGATCACAGTATCACAGTGTAGTCTCAATATCTTAATACTACTTACGGAGTTTAAGGTCACATATTTGCACAGAAACAGTCATGTATATGTATTTTAAGTATAGCAAAAGGACTCAATCTCATCTTGATTATATATCAAATATAAATGTCATTTATGGCAAACTCCATATATCTTGCAGCTAACCCTTCGTATCCCGAGATCTAAACCCACATTACATCGGAAAAGACAACTACCATAAGGACTACTGAAAAGTCTGCAAAAACGACTAAACGGCCGCACAAGCAGCCTACTATTCTTGTATATTATCTATTGACGGCTTCGATTCATGTAATCCAAACAATCCATTCTCCATTTTGTAGAAAAGAAACCAACCAACACTCCGTAGATTCACCTGTTCATACGAACCCCCACATCCAATCACCAGTGTTCAAGAGCCCACAGAATCAAAGAGTATATATATGTCTAACTCATTTGCTGGGCTGCACCGTCTCTGTCACAACGATAGATTCTTGGAAAATGGTCGAATTGATCTGTCCCACTGCGGTATCATCATTGAAGTTCATTCCTTCCAACTTCTTCTTGGCAATGTTCTTGAAGCCGGGTACATGCGCCATCAAGCTCCAGAAGCTGTTTGCCAGGGGAGCTCGCCCGGTACGCTCTTCGTACAACATCCAGGCGATGCAGGCCATGATGAAGATCCAGTAGACGTTGTATCCAATGACAGATCCATAAGTACCGGTATTTTGCCATCCCAGAATGGACTGGAAGATGTCCCAACCATTATCGAGCTCAGCGTTGCAACAGTTGACGTGCCAAACGGTCTGGAGGATATTGTAGGAGCCGGCACCAGAGCCTGTTTCACCAACATCACTGCCCACCCCAAGCACAAACTGGTAGTACTGCAAACTCCAGATGGCCTTGGAGAACATGCCGGCCGAAATGAGGTAGAGAACACAGGTTGAGGCGATAAGGAAGATCTGGATCGACATGACATTTCCTCCACGGTAAATCAACCAACCAGCGAGCAATCCAGCCATGATTCCAGTAATGACTGGGAGGGGGAAAGCAGTAGCAGGGTATCCGAGGGATACACCACCAACAAAGACCACAGCTTCGACACCCTCACGCATGGTTGTAATGAAGGGCAAGATGAACATGGCATAGCGGCGGCCCCAGTCACTGCGCATCCACCGTGACTTTCCTTCCTTCTTTTCAATCAGGGACTTTGCAATCTTGACACGCCACTTCTCCCTGGTCTTGTTGATTCGGAGAAGAGCGAGGCCCATGATGGTGATCATGATCTTGTATATTGATTAGCTTCATTCATTTGGTATGATCTCGGGTATCAATCGAACTTACCGTGGCAATCAGATAGAAGATACCTTCCCACAACTCCTCCGAATCTGCCCAAGCATCGTGGCCCAAGCCGTAAAAGAGGCCGATGAAGATGGCTCCGATACATATACAGCATATCACACCTATAACCGACCCCAGCCAAACCTGCTTTCGTAGTCGTTTATAGACCGCTTGGTCTTGGCCTGGCTGGCCCAAACATTGCTTGAGGAAAGACAGAAGCACAGAGATAATGATGACTGCCTCGAGACATTCTCGAAAGACAATGAAGAACACCTGCACGGAAAAAACGTTGACCATTGTGCAAATGGGGTAAGAAGATAGTAGATGATGAGAAAAAGCGAGGAATGTTTTCTCTCATGTGCTTTTATTTTAAACAACCCCGATGCATATCTGATGACCACGGGCCGTCCAGACCTTGACCTTCTGATTCAGGCTAGTCAATAATCTATACTCACTGCTCGGAAATCACGGACTACTGGACACCGATATTTTGTTGAAACTCATTATTACGAGACGAATATTCTTTTTTTTTTTCTCTCACCCCACTCGAGTGTTGGCCACTGTTCCAATCCGTTCGGAGATTGATAACATATCCCGAAAATGTCAACATTCGCTTAGAACGAGTAAAAAAAAGCGAGAAGGAAATATAATTGTGGGAATGTGAACATGACTCACAAACGTAATAGCTCCTAATGTGGAAGGCATCGGAAGAATTTGGTGAAGTTGGTGAAGCTCTGGCGTTCCTGGCGTTCCTGGCGTTCCTAGCGTTCCTAGCGTTCCAAGTGTTTGTTTGCTAGATCTGATAACCATAACTTTTTGATATCTTCAAATATACCTAGATACCCTATAATATTTTCTTTCTTGCACTTGTTTTCTCGCTTTCACAAAAATTTCCTCTCCTTTTTTTTTTCTTGCATCAACTCTTTTCTCTTTTCGCCGGAATTTACTTAAACTTCCCTCTAGGGTCTATTTCTTGGCAGGGTGTGTTTTCTTGGCACGGAGAAGTCTTGGCAACAAGACCTCGGCAATGAATGCAAGCTTTTCTCATACCTCGGACTTAAGGGAAAGGGTAAAAGTGGGCTACAGAAGTGGATATCAAAGTGGGCCTAGTGGAATGTGATTGCACGTTTGGCATTTTATCAATCAGTTCCGAGACCCTTAACCCTAACCAATACGTTGAGACTCGTATGCTGATCAGATTAGGAAATGAAAGCCGAGTATCAATCAGACTTCGAACTCCACCACGCTAATTTAATTGAACGTCTTTTTGACATCCCAGACATGGAATTGCCAAGTCGACCCATGTCGGTGTGATCGGGAAATTAGATTGGACAGCATCCGGAAGAAAAAAAAAGCGCCATGGAAGAGTACAATAACTATCCCTTGGCCCAGGAGCCTGAACAATCCCCCGAACAACTCCTCGTTTCTCTGGACAGTTTCTGTTCTGCAATTCAAAAATGCGGAATTCCATTGTTCTGCTGGGAGCTTTCCAGCTCCTGTCCGGATGCTGCCAGGCAGTGACACATACATTTGACTGGAATGTCACATGGGTGATGGCAAATCCAGATGGCCTTGCTGAACGCAAAGTCATCGGCATCAATAATCAATGGCCTCTCCCAACCGTTGATGTGAACAAAGGAGACCGTGTGGTGGTCAACATGCACAATGGTCTCGGCGACAAAACTACATCCATTCACTGGCACGGAATGTACCAGACCGGGACCAACGACATGGATGGACCTTCTATGGTCACGCAGTGTCCAGTAGGCCCAGGGTCAAGCATGACCTACGACTTTACGGTCAATCAAAACGGCACATACTGGTATCACTGTCATACGGATTACTGCTATCCCGATGGTTACCGAGCACCCTTCATTGTCCATGATGAGGAGTCCTACTTCTACGATGACTACGATGAAGAGATGGTCCTCACAATGACTGATTGGTACCATGACATGACCGAGGACATCGGACCTGAGTTCATGTCCTTGTATAACCCTACTGGAGCCGAGCCCATCCCCAACTCTTTCTTGTTCAACAACTCGGTCAGCCAAAGCTACCCTGTTCAGGCTGGCAAGACCTACCTCCTTCGACTCATCAACATCGCCACCTTTGTTGGTCAATACTTCTGGATTGAAGACCATCAGATGCGCATCGTCGAAATTGATGGTATCTATGTCGATGAGACAGAAGCAGATATTTTGTACCTTTCTGCTGCCCAGCGTTACTCTGTCTTGGTGACGATGAAAAATTCAACCGAAAAGAACTATGGTATGGCTATGGTAGCCGATTCATCTCTCCTTGATTTGATCACGCCTGACCTTTTGCTCAATCAAACGAATTGGCTCGAGTACAACCCCAGTGCCCCTCACAACGAGGTGACAATGCCCGTGGAAGACTCGTCGGAACTCTACCCCTTTGACGATATGACCCTCGTGCCACACGATCGCGTGGCGCTATACAAAAACCCCAAGCAGACCATCGAGCTCACTCTGGTCATGGACAATCTCGACAACGGTATGGGATACGGCCTGCTGAATGACCACAGCTACACCAAGCCAAAGGTCCCCACACTCTACACTGTTATGTCCGCCGGTGACCTCGCAACTGATGCGACAGTGTACGGCGAGTATACTCAGTCCGTAGTTCTCGAGAAAGACGATGTTGTGGAGATTATTCTCAGCAACCAAGACTCGGGCACCCACCCCTTCCACTTGCACGGTCATGCATTCCAACTCTTGGATCGATTCCCATCATACGGTGAGAACTTCTACGACTACAGTGAGGGCACCGAGTTCGCTACCTTTGATCCCTCAAATCATACCGAGTTCCCGGTGTATCCCGCGCGTCGTGATACTTTCGTCCTTCCTCCCGGTGGATACTATGTCATCCGTTTCCTCGCTGACAACCCCGGTGTCTGGCTCTTCCACTGCCACATTGACTGGCACATGATGCAAGGTCTTGCGATGACGTTCATCGAGGCTCCTCTTGAGCTTCAAAATAACCTCGTCATTCCTGATGATCATATCAAGGTCTGTGAGGCTGCCGGCGTGCCATATGAGGGCAATGCCGCTGCCAACGCGGAGGATTATCTCAACCTGAAGGGAGAGAACAAGCCCCCCGGGTTCATCCCAGCTGGATTCACCGCCCGTGGAATCGTCGCCCTGGTATTCTCTTGCATTTGTGCAATCATGGGAATGGTTGCCATTTCGATTTATGGAATGTCTGGTCTGAAGTCCCCTGTGAGAAAGCCAGAGTCAGATGACAATACTTCCACGGAAATGGAAACCAGGGTATACTAGGATTAGAAAGCTAGTTGTGATCTTTGTAATGGGTAGTGACTGGTAAGACCGTTGCTATATAGTTTTGTACTTTAATTTCGTTATGCTGGATACTTAGATGTTCGGACTTGAGTGAAAATACCAGACAGTATGCATTTGATTGAAATTCAGGACTGCATATCACTATGTCTTATAGTATTAGCTAGACAGATTATCCTAGGCTATCCTAGACATACCCATTCAAAAGCATAGTGTTTACCGGCAATCTGCTGACTCACAGAAACAATGCAGGCTGAGCCCAAGAACACACGGAAAATACTTAAAATGTAATAATGTAGCTTAATAATAAAGACTTAAGAAACAATCAGAAACTAGAGGTGGAAGCACTAGGTTCAGGACGCCCTGTACCTCTGTAGATTACTATGGAATTTTAAAGATCGTCATACAAAAATAACAAGCAACTTTCACCATTTACGCAGTGCCTGGTATATCTGGTATTTCTGCATATTCTGAAATTGCAAGGTAGGTATCATAAAACGTATGTAGGATATCCTATTTTGAACACACAGTATTTAAATCATAATAGTTAAGTACATCCTTTCTTCGCTACTTGAACCAAATCCAGCTAGCTCGCTTAAGAGCTTTGGAGCAAGGACTTTATACGATATAAAACGCGTTAACATCAAATTCCCGCTCTCGCAGCACCTGTGGGACATGAGTAGTAATCAAGGTACCAATAGACCCCAAGGGACTTGCAGAGTGTTCAGCAGCCCGGGGGGCATAGTCATAGCCATCCTCTTGTACTTTGACAAAAGCTCCCCAGTCTAGCAGCATCTGCGCGATTCTATCGTGTCCGCCGGAACGAGCAGCCTGGAGTGCATTTCCATAGCGACCACCTTGGGCGTTGACATTGGCTCCCCGCTCTAGCAGCATCTGCACTATATTGTCGTGTCCACCAAAACAGGCAGCCTGGAGAGCATTGCCATATCGATTGTCTTGTACGTTGACATTAGCTCCCCACTTTAGCAACATCTGCGCGATATTGTCGTGTCCGCTGGAACAAGCAGCTTGGAGCGCATTTCTATAGCGACCGCCCTCAGCATTGACATCAGCTCCGCACTCTAGCAGTGTCTGCACGATACTATCGTGTCCGCTGGAACAAGCAGCATGGAGGGCATTTCCATAGCGACCGCCTTCGGCATTTACATCGGCTCCCCACTCTAGCAGCATCTGTGCAATATTGTTATGTCCACCGGAACAAGCAGCCTTGAGGGCATTTCCATAGAGATCATGCTGAGCATTGACATTAGCTCCCCACTTTAGCAACATCTGCGCGATATTGTCGTACCCGCTGGAACAAGCAGCTTGGAGGGCATTTCTATAGTGACCACCCTCGGCATTGACATCGGCTCCCTGTTCTAGCAGGACCTGCACAACCTTGTCATATCCATAGATTGAAGCATACATAAGCGGGTATGTCCCCGTATCATCTGCTGTATTGATGTTTCCTTTATCTTGACAAAGCAGAAGGTGAGCCTCCTTCTCATGGCCATTGAATGCTGCTAGTTGCAGCGCACTCATTGTAGGCACGCGCATATATGGCCTAGCTGCCTTCCAAAGAATAGGAAACCAGAGAAAAAACCTTTTTCCAGTGATATCATATAATCGATGCACCCGGTCGGTCAATTCTTTGTCAGAAGTAGAAGCCATTTCACGTACGTGGTCAGGCCAATATAATGCTGAATATCTCAGAAGGCTTCGAGTGTCAGAGCTCAACTTGTCTTCCTCGTCTTCAAGATCATCCATCAACAAGTATCGCAAACAGATATTGGCCATTAGGTCGTCAGTTTCACCGAGACTGAACGGGTATATAGAATCAATATTATTCAAAGTGGCCTTTTGGATAAGGAATTCTCTTGCTGTCTCATGAATGAGGTAGATTTTAGAGTTGTTGATAAAAACAAATAGGCCACATAACCGACGGAGCTTTGTCTCTATCTGCAGGGGACATAGTCCGGCCTGTGCTGTAGTCTGTGATTGAGGTCGGATAGCTATTCCAAGGGCCATAGCCATTTCCGCTAATGTCAAAGGACGCCTTGCTCCAACAATAATTTGCAAGATCATTCTCGCAGTTTTTATCTGGCCAAGAGGGACTCGATCAATAATCTTTTCATATGCCTTGCTCACCGAGGAAGGTATCATTCGGATTGACTCCTCATCAGGACGAAGGCTATTCTCGAGTGTAGATCGAATATCATCAATAGCTAAATATAGCCAAAGATAAGTGCGGTGTTTCATTTGTAAAAGCTGTTCCTCGAGTCGCTGCTGTGTATTTATTGACAATAATGCTGTATCGGCCAGCTCCTTTACTTGTATCTTCACAACTAGATTTATCTCTTCGTGGATTTGGTCATTTTTATCCTCCCCCTTCAAGTGTAGGTGTGGGAAAGATTCTGTGATCTCCCGGAAGCGATTCTGGATTTGGTTATAGGGCCGACTGGTGACAAGAAATTTCAAACAGGTACCCTGTGTCGACGAACACGGCTGGCGACGAAAGAGCCGCAGCTTCTCAATCAATCGGTCCTGATCAATCTCACGACATTCATCAAGCGTATCAAATATACAAATCGTTTTGTTTGATAAGTCAGCTGATGTTGCCGTTGTAAAGACCCGCCAGAGCTCATCAACCTCTTGTTGGAGTCTGTCTCCGTTCTTTTCCCAGGGCAGTATAGCATGATCCAATAGATGGGGCCGCTGGCTAAAGAGTTGATGGAGTACTGAGCACAGTGCCGCAGAAAGGTGGTTTTGTTCGTCGTTGTCCTTGAAGAAAAAGTAACAGATTGTCACTATAGGTCTAGAAGTTCGCAAGTGGTTATCGATGATCGATCTGGCCAGTACAGATTTCCCGCAGCCAGGATCAGCTGAGATCCAGAGGAGATCATTAGAGTAAGATTCTCGCCAACGGATATATTCAAAGCTTTGGAATACCCATTGACAGGTTCCCTGAGCTCTTATTGGATTTATATTCATTTGTTCCTCGTAATTTGATATCTTAAAAGCTCGGTGACAACGGTGCTGCTGATCTGTTAAAGCTCTAGTGACCTTCTCACGGCGATATTGTTCTTGTTGGTTGTATACACGGTCTAGGCGTTTATTCGTGCCTTGGACTTCATGTTTCAATTCATCTATATACAGCCATATAAGTAAGCCACTCTTAGTTCGAGACTAAGCTAATATCGAGTTCACTTACTACACGTATCTGCTGCCAAGCTCTCTTGCGCAACACAGCCCATTGGTATATAACCTAGCAGCTCCTTAGCATACGACGCCGCTGCTAAAGCTGCGTACCCTTGCCACTGTTTGTTCTTATGCGAATCAGCATAATCGCAAATCCCACGGATAACAATACAAGGAAAGTCTTGCATCAACCCCGCTGCCTCCATCTCAAAGCACAGTGCCCCAGTGCTCAGCCTCAGCTTCTCCCGGGTTCTTCCATGCTTAATAACAGAATTCCCAGACGCAATGATACCATAGTGTAGTTGTGGATCCCTGCTCTGGCGTTCGCTCCTCGTCTCCTCACATTCTACTGGACAAACATCACAGCTACTCGCAGTTATGGGATGATCATAGTCGCACTTGAAAAATCGGTCCTGTTGTGTTTCAGGTCGACCGAGGTTTTTCCGAGTTCGATCGTTCCTTCCGATCGCCCTTGAAAGATATTCGGGAAACAGAGGGTTATCTGTCAGCTCGGCAGCCCTCATCGTCCCGACCGCTGCTAATAGCGATCTAGGAGGGCTATTCAAAGAGCCAGTTCGATCGAACTCTCCATTCAAACCGACTTTTCCCATATCATACTGAACTACACCGCCGCAAGTGCCCGTTGGATAGCTAATCACGACATCGCCAAGCCGAATATCATGAGCAGCCGATGGTGTTCCGCCTGCGACACCAACCATCAACCCGATCCGGAGCGATTTTGAAAATGTGCGGACCATATTGTTTGCGACCATGGTGGCCGATGTAGTTCCATATTGACCTCCAGGGAGGCAGGCGATCGCGACATAGTGTTTGCCGATTCGACCTAGTGAATAGGTGTTTGTATCGGCTAGATCCTGTACATCGAGAATGCCAAAGCTTTCATCTAGCATTTCCTTCGCTGCGGCGGCCTCGATCGGCAGGGCACATATCCAACCGATTTGGAACGTTTCTCGTGGGGGACAGGCCATGTCAAAGATCTTTTCACGCTCACGATAGAATCTTGCAGACGCCGAAGGAAGTAGGAGACGATGAGTTTGAACTCTATTGAGGATGAGAGAAATGCTGGCATTATAGGCGGAAGGGAGAGCCCCCAAAGCTCAGCCTCATGCTAGACACGAAGCACAGTAGCGGGCGCAAAAAAAAAATAAAAAAAGAAATACTATTGGTGGTAACAGGTTGCTTCGCCAAGAGAATGCGAGGCGTGCCCTACCGAATCCCTCAATCAGCCACTCCACGCAGACTCTACTAGCGCCTTGAAAATCAGAGATCTTTTCCCACTTCAAAGCACTAGACCGAATTTCAGTTATGTATGCAATAAATAAGAACCAACTTACATAGTTTTCTCGGTGAACTGCTGTAGAGCGAAACAAATCTGATTCTGCTAGCGAGTGAACTTACTGTACGCTGTAAATACACAACCGTAATTATATGGTCAAATACCAAGCAATACCTTTCGAAGGCCAACGGTCTTTTGCTCTGGTGAATTATAAAATAGCACTAGCGTACGAAGGGGCATAGCGGCCAGTGATAAATAGACTGTATTTTGTCATTGGTGCCTGATTTTGGATGGGTAGAAAATTAAAATACCTGAATTACTATTACAGATTCCTTAGTAAGCTGGGTATCTTTGGAAGCTTCTTGTAGCAAAAGCTTGTTGAAGCTCAATGTCATATTTCTTCTTATCAACAAGCTTTCCCAGCACGAATTTTGCCACGTCCTTTCTCCAGTAGAAGGGCATGGTTTGACGAAATTCATTCGAGTAATCCGTAGACATCAAGGGTTGTATATGCGAATAAAACAGATGGAACAAGCCCGTTGGACTAGAGAGTGCCAGAGAATACCAAAATGTCCCAGTTTTCCAAGCTTGTTCCATGACCTCTGATAGTAGTAGTGGTGTCCTACCAACTTCCGTTGGCAGGATGCTGCTGGACGTTTTTTTCTCCTCGTCCTTCAGGACAGACATCATTTCCTTGCGAACTACATCAAATTGATCAATTTCGATATGGCTAACATCTTGATTAGTCAACCAGTAAGGAGGTTCGACCATTTCAATAGGGCGGGAACAGGCCCATTCCAGATCGACCAGACAAGTAATATGCCACTTGTCATCAACAAAAATGTTGTTTTGGTTGAGATCTGTAAGTGTGAGAACAAAAGGCCCACGACACAAATTTCGACGGAAAAACAGTGGAATTAGAGTTCGCATTGCCGTCAGTGCTGATATCTGATAAATGCAATCGCCTACATTATTGGCAGCATTAGGTTGATTTCGTAAACGGTTGTCGTGGACTCGTAAGATATCCATCACGCAAGACTCGACCGTGTTGTACGTATAGTCACGCGGCATTTCGGTTGGAATGTTCTCGTTCTCTAGGTACTGGAGCTCCATTGAAAGAGGGCGATTGCTTAGGGTCAGGAACCCTTCTTTGTCAATAAGGAATGAACCAATGCGAGGCAAGGGTGTTTTGCTGAGACTCAGCAAGATACGAGACAATCCCGGAAGAGATTAAGCCGCAACTCGCTGTCTTGTCGTTTCTCAGCCCAGGTCTTCGAAAGCATTCTTCCTTGCGCTTCTTCGATGTATTGTAGCAATAAGTATCCGGTACTGGTAACACGAGGTGAAGGTTTTTCTGTCTGATTTGGATGGCAGATATAGTTTGAAGGTACTGGGAAGTGAAACCAGTACGGTAACAGGCGCCGTATGGATTGGAAGCAACGGCTCAAAAAGGGCAATTGGTCCAGTTTTGTAAACTACTTCCCAAAATTAGATTTATCTAGAAAAGGGATTGGGCTCATACTGTTTCACCTGTAGACAGCGCGAAGCCATACAACTATGGAATTGGGACATCTGGACAATTATGTTGGAGCCATGCGTATGTGCCAGCTTCACATTGTATCTTTTCGTCCCCGTTGCCGGGTCTAAAATTATCGCCAGTACGATAAGGAAGCGCAAATCTGAGTACGACCTGTTGTCCTGGTAGTTTCCCACTACCCTGAATGGAGATAGGAATGCAGACATTAAACCCGCCACAGAGCCAGGCTTCTATCTTTGCCACATAGCACCCATCGGTTGAGTTCAGGCCCAGGTGTTGAGCAACAACAGCTTTCATCCACTCGCGTCTGTCATTGAGATATGAAAGGAAGCGGCGTTGTTGGTCGTAGTAACCAAGCTGGTGAAGTATGTTTGTCTCCTCATTCTTGGCGAAAGAATAAGTGATCGCTTCTCCTCCGCGAAGGTGACGACGTGTCATGATCTGAGAGAAAACCAGAACCTTACTATCAGGTGAGAATAACAATTGTTTTCAAGCTGTGAGTACACATGTATTTTTTTAAAAAAAAAAACAATGCGCTCATGCGGGGCCAAATTCCGTGGGTGAGAGACTGAGGGGAACCGGGAACTGGCGATCATCGGGCCGGATAGATGTTTTGCCGAAGTAGATATTTAAATGAGAAAAGCAATAGTTATGGTAAGTCGAAGTAGTCAAGCAGCTCAAGTATAGCTACTCACCTTATTTCCATTCTAGGCGCTCCTCCTCTTGAAGGTGAAACCTCAGGGCGAGTGGAGAATATCGAAACGCGTGGTTGGCATTCGAGATGGATTGAGATTCAAGTTAGAAAACTAGAAGCAGAGGAAATTACATGTATCTATATCTTTGGCCGATTTAGTACACGAGCACAATCATTTTATAGCACTGGCTTAAAGTCCCGCATTCAATCTGGCTCGAAGCTACATTCATCGCCTTCATAATCATAAAGTAAGCAAAAAAAAACATCGACCATAACAAATGAAAAGTCGCAGAACAATCGCCTAATGATGTACAGCTTTCATAAAAAGATACCAGGGCATCAACCAATAACAAATAAACCAAATATTTGAAAACTCCGCTAAGCAAGCCAAAGGCAAAAAGTGACCAAATTCTGAGAGTACTGAAAGCAAAAAGAGAAAGGCAATCAGCTTCTCACAAAACAACTCGTAATACCTTCTCAAGATGAACGGGGGCGTTGTGCTGACGGAGCTCCCACAGGCTCCTGTATTAACCAAGTCAGTAATCGAGCTTCTTGAATATCTTTTTACGAAGTAGAATACGAACCGAACTGGCGCGGCGCTTGCGTCCATTGCTTGCTCCAGTTGCAGCATCAGCAGTCTCACTCCGAAACTTTTGGGCCTCACCCCCGACGCAAATGTTGTTGTTTCTGCCATTCACCCGAATGCCTGCGAGAGCGCGAATGTTGATGGGCCGAGGATAGCCCATATCATCGTTGAGGGCATTTGCACGGCTCAGTGAAGCGATGATAACAGACGCGACGGAGGCCAGGCGAGGGGATGTCTGGCCTGCCTGAGGGGTTGGATCAGTGGGAGAGTCAGATCCAGAAGACGAGACCGTGATGGTGTTTTCATCACCAGTCACGGTGATCGAGTTGTCGATGTAAATATTGATCGGGGAGGCCCACGGATCATCCACGTCTTGCTGGTCGATACTCATGATAGTCGTGCCACTGGGTCTCGTGACAGATAATGTGTATGGAGGGGGAGCTGAGCCTGGGGTGGAGGTAGAGGCAGGCGTAGAGGTAGATATAGAAGAAGCATTGCGATTTGCTCGAGCTTCAGCGAGCTTATGTAGGTGATGTCGCAAAGAGTCTGAGGGCGGCGTCATTGTGAGTGGGATGTTATTATTTTAGTAGTGTTTGTGGTGATATGACAAGAGTGAAGAAGAGAAGTGCACTTGGTGGATTTCCTAGGTATTTAAGGTCCTGCGTTTGTTCATTCGTTTGGGTGGGCACAAACAATAGGAAGGAAGACAATCAATAGACAATCAATAGACAGCCAATCAGAGGCCATCAGGGGTCCATTGACTTGCCTAATTGGGAACCTTGAATGGGACCTATTGTTCTCAATAGAGATCACGTGCTTGCTATTGTTCATGGGGGTATCAATAGGAATTAAAACTATGTACCGGGTACCTACACCATAGTAGATACTACCGTAGTCAAGAAGGTACCTCTACATAAGTACCATGGTTTCGCTAGTGTAGAAAATGCGCCTCCAATTCTCTTCCCAAAAAGCAGATCGGAATGTTGTGCCGGTCCACAAGCCCCTGGCTGTGGAGTGATTCCTCGTAGAGTGCGTTTGTGTCACCATAACCAAAACTAGATCCCAGATGATCGGATGTTTCTTCTTTGGTCGGAGAATATCTGCTGGTGCCTACACCACCTGGGAGGTGGACATGTCTGGTCAGGTCGTTGGCTGGTCTTTCATGGGCGCAGGACATCAAACCCTACCGATAGGGTTGTTTGGCCCATCACTGTTAGACGGGATATCGGAACCAGGGTTTGTGTGTGGTTGGCCCGGGTAGTATTTCCCACCTGGGTGAAGAGATTGCGCCGTCTGCAAATGATTATTAGCAAGGACAATAGCCCTTGTAGATTGACCGAGTTATACCGGTGTTTCTGTCGCGTCCGACATCCAAACCGTTACGGGTTGGTACTGACTTCGCGGAAATCATCTCCTTCAACTTCCACCTCGCGATCTCGAATACGGCGCATCAAAGCCAGGAAATTGCTCTGTTGGAATTTTTGGCTTTGTTCATTGCGCACGCTGTCGAGCAGTTGCCCTGCTGTCCGCGCAAGTTCATCTGCATCTCGACTCCGTGTTTGTGGATCCTGCTTGTTGTCACTTTGAGGAATAAGATCCGACCCGAGTCGAATTGGCTCGTGGGTGACTGGCTGGGGAATATCGACTTCGTTGGCCTCCTGCAAGTTCTTCTGAGTATCTTGCTGGGCAAGATCGGCTCCTTGCAACTCCAAATCAGCCCGTGCCTGATCAAAAGCCGCCTCAAAGGCGGACTCGTCAAACTGCTGCGTATGATTTTGTTGCTCGGTCTGCACGGCCTGCACGGGCAGCATCTGATTCATGGAGGAGCCATACATCGGGTAGCTTGGCGCAAAAGATGGTTGATAGGCACCATGCATTTGCGGGGTTTGTTGGACCTGGGGCATAGGCCCTCGCTGTTGAGTCATGAATTCAGTGTGCCATCCGCCCTGTGTCGCTGCCGGTGCAATATTCGGTCTTTGTAATTGCGCTACAGGATGTGAGGGCCCCGAGATTTGCAAGTTCTGGAAGTCTGATGCCCAACTGGCGTTGCCTGCACCGTGTGCAGCTGGGTGGTGTAACGCGGCATGATGTGACGGTGCTCCAAAATGGGCGGGGTGTTGCAAGTTAGGCAGCGCAGGACCAGCAAGGTTGCCTTCAAATGCGGCGAACTCCGGATCAAGTATTCCTTCTTGCGGGTTCTGGGATCGGAAACCCTAAGGTTTACTTTTAGTATGAATGAAACAATGTGATCTCAGAAGCGCTACCAACCTGGACAGGTGATTGACGCGAAGTCAACCGGTCTTGCTGAAGGGTGCGATCAACAGATGTATGCTTCTGGAAGTTCTGAAGGGCGTTCGACGGCCCGCACAGCGCATCACCCATAATGACCAACTTAGATCGGCCAACCGAGATATGGAATAGTGTGGTGAGGTTCGTCTTGGAATCTCTTCTTAATCAGTTGCCAGCTCAAATCACAACAATAAATAGAAATGAAAAGATGTTGAACTTCAGAAGCGACTCCGGCCACGCCACGCCCGCCGTGGGGTTGCCGACGGCCGAGGCTCATCACGTGCATAGATCGGGCAGGTAACGTGACCAAGCTTAGCACACGATAAGATACGGAAGGGCCAGGTTGTTTGGCTGAAAGGGAGAGAGCTGCTCCGACTCCCCGCGCTTTCACAGCTGTCAACTTATTGTTTGCTTTATTTAATACAACATGGTAATCGCTAATTAACTACATCGATTTGGGCCTTTTTCTCAATCCCATCGCTAACGGCTTCAAACCTCCAGGCGACCCCTCAGGTGATCTCGAATTCCGGACACGAAGAGATGATTGTATGTGCTAAGAAACGAACTCCAATTGTATATGTGACTACATAGTATATTCAAGCTAACTGAAATATGTGGAATTAGCACGATGCTGGCTTGGACTATTACGGCCGCCGGTTGGCCACATGTTCATCCGACAAAACGATAAAGATCTTTGAAATTGAGGGAGAATCACACCGATTGGTCGAGACGCTGAAGGGGTAAGATGGTCTTGCTAATGTATGAAACTAGATATCTGGTCGCTGACATTGGTATTTGATAGCCACGAGGGAGCTGTCTGGTGTGTCGCATGGGTGAGTGATACCCCCAAAACATATGCTATTGTAGCGCGCAGTTCGACTAATCATGCGATTCTCCCAATTTAGGCTCACCCCAAATATGGCACAATTCTAGCCTCGTCCTCCTACGATGGCAAAGTTCTGATCTGGCGGGAACAGCCCCAGAATGCAACCACACCCTCCGGTGGTAGCACATGGACGAAGGTCTTCGATTTCTCCCTCCACACGGCCTCCGTGAATATGGTCTCCTGGGCTCCCCATGAGAGCGGATGTCTTCTTGCCTGCGCTTCTTCCGACGGTCACGTCAGCGTGCTCGAATTCCGTGACAACAACTGGACCCACCAGACCTTCCATGCCCACGGAATGGGCGTCAACTCTATCAGCTGGGCCCCCGCTGCCTCTGCTGGTAGCCTCATTAGCTCTACCCCCGGACCTGGCCAACAGCGCCGGTTTGTTACCGGTGGCAGCGACAACCTGATCAAAATCTGGGAGTATAGGTATGTTCATTGATAAAACTTACCAAACATACATCTATGACGTGAACTAATTCGGTGCTCTTTAGCTTGGAGTCCAAATCTTACAACCTCACCCAAACCCTCGAGGGACACTCAGACTGGGTCCGTGATGTGGCCTGGTCTCCAAGCATCCTCTCCCGGTCCTACATTGCCTCCGCCGCGCAAGACAAGACTGTTCGCATCTGGACCTCCGATGCTTCCAACCCGGACCAGTGGTCCAGCCAAACACTGGAGTTCGACACTGTTCTGTGGCGCGTTAGCTGGAGTCTCAGCGGCAACATCCTTGCCGTCAGCGGCGGTGATAACAAGGTCAGTTTGTGGAAGGAGAACCTCAAGGGGGAGTGGGAGAAGGTCAAGGATATCGAGGAGTAGTGGCTGTTCTAATTTCCTTGTGTCATCTGTTCCCTTCCTCAACGCATAATTGTCTTCTATCCAAGAGCTAGATTGCTTGTTACCATAAATATTGATTCCACTGCGAGAATCCTATGTCAATTTCCAGCGCTTTGGGCGAACTTGGTCTGTTCCATTCACTATATCCTCCACCGAGCTCGCCAGCACCTTCCCAATCCAGGGGAAACAACAGAGCAAAAATAGAAAGAAATATCCATCCAGAAACACAAACGAAGAAAAACGCATAGGAAACGTAAATGAAACGTGGGGGACACCGGACTCAGCCCTATACGTCCCAGAAGATGAATGGGCCTCTGGCTTCTGGCTCCTTCATATCAACCCACCGTCCCAGCATCATACGCCCACCGGGGATGATGACAGCCTCGTATCCATGGATCCAGCCCTCACCGTCCATCACGGGGGAGAAAGGCATTTCGTCGTCTTCCTCCTCTTCCTCTTCTTCTTCCTCCTCCCCCTCCTCCTCTTCTGCTTCAAGGATCATGAAACAGATCCTCGTCCATCCCCCAAAGCCACCATGCTGGGCAGGAATATCTTCAGTAAACCCGAACACAGGGTTTTCTTCCTCGTGGACGCCACCATATCCTCTCTGCTTGCCATTGAAATATGTCCTCATTGTATCGGGAACACTAGCGATAGGGATGATCTTGTTGCATTGCTCGGGCCAAAACCGGTAGGACGAGGGTTGGAGATCGAGGTTCTTGATATTTGTTAGCCTGTTTGTCATAAACTTCCAAACAACTCATCATTCACCATGATGTCGATTAAATCGCCATGTGTCTCAAGATCAGCGCATGTCTGGCGGTCCGTATGCAGCAGATCTGAGAGGGGATGCATGCAAGCTAATCGGAAATTGATGTCAGTTTGGGGTAATTGTGGGTTTTCTTTCTGTCGGTATACTCACAGTAATATCCTAGCCATGATGGGCTTAATTTGGATATATTGGTCGGATTATCCTTTCGTGTCTTGGGCTTCATGTCTGTAGGCAGCCCAGAAAAGGACTCATTGAAGGAAATCTCAGAAGCGTTCAAAAAGTGACGCTGCCAGAAATTGCGTAAATTCAATAGTTTGGCCAGGTCAAGGTCGTCGTGATCGATGAATGCCTGGCCCACCTCGTCTAGATACGAATAGACTTGGGTGATGTCGTAGTCTGTCCGACGACAAGGCTCAGTAATGGTTGGGTCGAGGGCAAACGAAGTTAGGCACTGTGCATGGCAAATATCAGTGAATATCCTCTCCATTACTCGATGAAACGCGCTTACCAGCTGGAGACCATAAAAGAGTTGCGAGGAAGTTCCTTCTTTTTGAAACTCGCTCAGAAAATCCACTCCCTGGAGAGTCTCACGGATACATTGCAGGGTCTTTGAGGTTTCCCCAGGCGCGATGGGTAGGTTCAGAGACTCCTCGAGCATAGTCTGCATGACCTCCATCCAGAGATATTGACGATCATCCTCCTTGCCTTTGAACTGAATCGGGGCCCTCAGCACAATCGCGCGGATCTGGTATTCGATCTTCAACTCCCTGTAAAGTTTCCCCGGGACAAGGTCATAGCATGTACTAAATCGATACCGCCAGATGGCGGAATCTGGTCCAAAGACCCTGGCCCACATCTCTTTGCAGCATTGGGAGAGATGAAGAACATCCCGGTCTCTGGCGAGACAGCATACAATCGCCTGGAGAATCTGTTTTTATCAAACATCAATGGTGCGGTCTATATTGTTGAATACAGACATATACTTGCCTCGTTCGGAAGTCCGAGCAGTCGGCTTCGATCGCTTTGCACGGCCGCTGAAGCGGACTGCAGGCGACTGTTAGCCGGCATTGCTATGTACGCTTGTGGTATAGTTCGGTATGCAAGTGGCAAAATCTAAAGGGCTCAACGTGAAACGGAAGATGCGGGATCGAAGATTTAAATTGCAAAGAGCGAACATTAAATGTTGGATGTGTGTACTCAGATGTCGTTTGGGTGATTGTTCATGAAACGTGTGGTTCGTTGTCGTTTTAATAAAAAGGGCGGATATTCGTTTTCAGTTAGAGATTGCTTGATCTAACCAATGAAGTTCGCCTCACATATGATATTAAAGCAATAGGAAACAAAGAACTGATCTGCTTAGATACATCTACTCACAGGAGCAGATGTAGCATGTGCCCGGAGGTTAATAGATTTTATGCGCATGCTATATACCGTCATATGTAGGTATCTATACATGCTGCGAAATGCGACGTCGCTGCAGGCTTTCTCTCACTCCCCAACCATCTGCCAACAGGCCCTTGACTTGCTCTAGACTAAGTCCGCTCATCTCAGGGTAAATCGCCCATACACCAGCCCACCCGATCACACAGACGAGTGCATAAAGAGCAAATGTCCATGAGGGTGAGATCCATTCCATCATAGGCAGGAACGTAAGCCCGATGATAAAGTTCGATCCCCAGTTAGTCGCAGTGGCCAATCCCGACCCCAAAGAACGTACATTCAAAGGGAAGAGTTCAGACTGCTGCCAGGGGACATTGCCGAGTCCGAGGGCATATGCCGCGGTATAGACAGTAAGACAGAGCAGAATTGCAAGAGGTACAAGAGAACTAGCTTTGTCGTGGGTTTCTTGATGGCCGGTTGGAGTTGGAGGTTCCGAATTCCATTTTTCGTCCATTGACGAAAATGAGAAAGCACAAACGACCAGAGCAACAACCATGACAGGAATTGAATACAGAAGAATACGCCGGCGACCGATCTTGTCAATCAGCACAAATGCAACAAGCGTGAAGATGAAGTTCGTCATAGCCACGGAGAGTGATATCAGTGTCGGTGAGGAGAACGAAAGAGAAGAGAAGATGGTCGCCGAAAAGTACATCAGGCTGTTAAATCCGCAGAGCTGCTGGACTGCCTGAAGCATCATCGCAATAGTCAATGCTCTTCTATTCCCACCATGCAACAGCTGCTGACCCCGTTGAATGGTATCATGTAACCACTGGGGCTTTGTGCCACGGGACTTGATTGGTCCCATTTCTGATGCTTCTTGGACGATTTCTGCACTGATATTGCGCAAGACATGATCCACAACCCGGTCACACCCAGTGCAATCCTGATAGATCTTGGTCAGGACTGTCTTCGCCCTGGCATCGAACCCAGCCTGGACCAGCCATCGAGGCGTCTCAGGTAGCAGAGCGAGAATGGCAAGCTGGAAGAAGGCTGGGAGTGCCCCAATTCCCACAATCCACCGCCAGCCTCCAGTTGTACTGGAAAACAGCCACCCGACTATATATGCCACCACCTGGCCACCGGTGATGAACAGACTGAGGATCGTGACAAGTCTTCCCCTTGCATGTGAAGGAGCTAGCTCGGATATGTACCTAAATTTCCCAACATGTTAGCAGTCATAATCTCTCCCGTAATCAAATTTCTGCCATGGGTCAGGGCTCTCGGTCCCTGCCTGACATGACACGGTCCACCTACAATGGGGTTACCGCGCTTGCGCTCCCAACAGCAAGACCAACAATGCTGCGCCCAAGAATCATACCCCAAACATGGTTTGTAAAGGCCTGTATCAAAGCTCCAAGTGCAAACAATAGATCTGCGCCAAGTATGACCTTCCGACGACCAAACTTGTCTGCCAGCACTCCGGTGAACGGGCTCGCGATCAACGCGAATAGACTGGTGCAGGACGTGATGAGGCTTTTATCAAGTGTTGTTAATAATCGACCCGAAAGATCTGACCCGATGGTCACCAAAGTAGACGATATAACACCTGTGCTGGAAGTTCCGACGATTGTTAGTGAGCGGGAGGATCAATGGAGCAACATGATGTGTTTTGTAGGAGCTAGCATACTCATATCCAAATAGTAGACCGCTTATCCCAGCGGAGAAGGTCAATGCCCATATAAACCAGCCTCCTGAGTATTCCAGCTCAGAGGCCAGGCTCTCCTCGTGGTCATTGCCATCATGGTCTGAAGAGGCGTGTGATGAGGCGAGCAAAGGGGCATGGGGACCTGATTGGTCCTGTTCATCTGCGCCCGTCATGTCTTCGGGCACTTCAAGCTTGAGCCCTGAGGTATCATCTAAAGTTTATTCCCTAGGGCATCTAAGATGGTAAAGTGACGTCTGGGGTTGATTGCGATAAGCCGATAAGGAGACCCGCCCGGAGCGGAACTTGGATTCCATACGCCGATGTGACTCAGTATGTTGTAAACAATGAAGGGTAGGAAAAGAAGAAGCTAGTATTGTAATATTATGGCCTTTTTAGTAATAGCTTTGTCTAGTTATATGCACTGTGTGTAATTGACGGCCTTATCTATCAGGCAGAGCAAAGACTGAGCTGTAGGATACCAAAGAAATAACAAATATGGTCATAATGTAGATTCATGCAGGATATTCATAGCATTTACGGCATTAATCTGTACATGTAGCCCTCCTAGCCTAGTGTTTAGCCACAACACCGGCAGCATCAGCCTGTGCGGTGATCTTCTTCTTGTAGGCATTGACGGTGCCGTCGAACTTGGTAACAGTGCCTCCGTCGCAGACCCAGAGACTGGTGCAGACACTTTGCAACATGGTCACATCGTGGGAAACCATCACCACACCTCCCTCGAACGCCCGGAGTGCATCCGCAAGGGCATCCATACCCTCGATATCCAAGTGATTGGAAGGTTCGTCAAGAACAAGGATATGAGGATTGGTCAAGGACAAACAAGCAAATGCAACACGAGATTTCTGACCTCCGGACAGCAGTTCCATACGTTGGAGACCAGTTGTACCAGTGATACCGAACCTATAAGACGAGGGTTAGTCAATGTAGTAGATGCGAGTGGTTTGGGTAAACTTACGCTCCCAGGTGTCGTCGGTACTCCTCATCAGTTTTGCCGGGGTATGTCTTAGTCATGAAGCCGACTGCACTGGTGGTCATGTCCAAAGCATCGACGTGATGTTGGGCAAAGAATCCAATGCGCAGTCTCGAGTTTGTAGAGATAAGACCGCTTGATGGCTCAAGCTGGTTGGTGAGTAGTTTCAGAACTGTGGTCTTACCAGCACCGTTAGGTCCGACAATTCCAATACGCGAATCAAGTTGAACATCCAGGTCGACATCCTTAAGAAGAGGCTTGTCCTTAGTGTAACCGAAGCAAACATCGGACATCTGAACAATGGGTGGTGAAAGCTTCTCGACTCCGGGGAATGAGAAGTGCACGGTGTACTCGGCCTCTGGGGCATCAAGGACTGGCATGCGCTCAAGTTTCTTGATTCTAGACTGTGCCTCGGAGGACTTTGCAGCGTTGTATCGGAACTTATCAATGAATGCTGATGACAATCGTTAACACGACCCATATGATATGATAGAGGGGGTGACAAACCTTGCAAGTGTGCTCTCTCGCCCATTTGCTTCTCGTATTCGCGCTTAGCAGTCTTCCGACGCTCTTCCTTGGTTGCATAGAAGGATTCTACAGCTTATTAGAACCATTCAAAGTCTTGGAATCTCGTGTAACTTACCGAAGTTAGCACCTCTGTAATAGTCCAGTCTCTCGGAATGCTGGTGGATAATATCCGTAGCGACTTCATTCAAGAATGCACGATCGTGAGAAACCACAAGGACTGTGCTAGGGTATCCCTGAAGATAATTGGAAAGGAAAGTAATTGACGGAACGTCCAACATGTTAGACGGTTCTGTGAAGTGTCAGTAGGCTGCTTATGGAATAAAGAGACCAGTGGGACATACCATCAAGCAAAAGCAAATCAGGTTCACAGAATAGAGCTCGTGCGAGAGACAAACGCATTCTCCATCCTCCGGAGAAGGTCTTGGTGGCGTACTTTTGGCGCTCTTGGGAGAAACCAAGACCAGCCAAGATACTGGCCGCACGGGATTCGGCCTTATCAGACTCCATTTCTGAAAGCTTTCCATGGATATCGCTCAATGTGATATCCAGGCCCTCTCGTTCCTCGTCGAGTCTAGCAGCATCCTTCGAAGTATCTGCCAATGAAGACCTTTCTTCTTCGATTTCTGCCAGTTGTTTCGAGATTTTCTATGGTCGTTAGTGAATATGCTGCTATGATATCTTGCGAATTGACTAACCGCTTGTTCCGCGAGAAGATGTTTCCGCCACACATCAGCATCCAACACTGCTTGCAAAGCTGGTGTATCATCACCAGTAATCTACAATAGAAAGTCAGTAAGGAAGAAAAAGAAAAAGAAAGAAAGCAACCCAACTAGGACTTGAACATACCTCTTGCTCAACGTGAAGAATAGAAACGTGAGTCGGAATTGGGATTTCTCTGCGGCTCAAAGCACGCAAGAGTGTAGATTTACCGATACCGTTCTGACCAACAAGACCGTAGCGACGACCATAAGCGAGTGTGAAGGCAGCATCTGTCAAAATGCGCAGGCCACTAATCGAGATATCAATGTTATCCAACTTGATGTCCTTGCTCTTAGCCTGGGAGTCCGAGCCCAATTGAAGAGGGTTGACAGCCATGAAGAACTCCTCGTAGGACATAGCCTCATCCGGCTGGTTGAGCAGACGGGACGCCTCGTAGGTAACGTTCTGCATGATCTTCTTGTCCTGCTTAGCGCGAATCTTGCGCTCGGCCTTCTCGAGCTTCTTCTTATCCACCTTAGACTCCATCTTTCTAGCATTGGCAGATTCCAAATCGACAGCGTTTCCAGTCAGACCCAGTGTAGAAGACATGTTCCGTTGTGCGCCGACATTGATGGTCTGTGCCAGTTTCTTGGCCTTGAAGGGCATTTGCTTCCGCTCTAGGTCGTCATCGGAGGAGCTCAGCGTGGTAATAAACTTCGCAACTAAGTTGCCGATCGCTTCGTAGTTTTGCGGGGAGAAATCTCCCGAAGCGGAGACTAGGAGCTCAGTCACGGATTCAGCGGCCTCTGTCAAGGGGGACTGGCCACTGGCATCGTCGACGTAGAGGTTTGCGGCATGGGTCAAGTAGCCCTATTAGACAGTCAGCTTCAATGGACTCACAATCCTCCACCGCGCGCATATATGTGCGGAGAGACGTACGACTGAGTATTCGGAGATGATGTGGTCGAGGCCAGGGATCAGGGATTGGAGTTCAGACTCCATCTTTCCAGGCTCAAGATGGCGTGCGTCACGCCGAGATTCAAGAAGCTTCGACGTCAAAAGTTCGTGGAGTCCTAGAATTGAGGTCCCCATCGTGAATAGTGGCGGATTTTTGGATGTGTGTTATCGATAAGATCACATGACATGTGTTTATCGTTTTTGTGGGAGCCATTTTGGTCCACTATGTAGACCATAACAAAACCTGTATAGAACCCTGGCTGTTAGTTTTATGACCAGATGCTACGTAAATTCCAGTCTCCCAGTGAGCTGCTATGATTCATGTGATTAGCAAAATCTAATGAAGCGCAGAGTAAAAGAAGCAAAAATTTGGAGAAAAAGGTTAGAATGCCAGGCATCTTGGAGCAGATTGCAACCCGAGGTGTCAACATTATTCCATAAAACTACATATGTAAACGATCATGAATCTCGGAAAACCTTATATCTTCATAGTATAAGCATGAATTATATAACATGAATCAAACTCAATTGAAAAGCAACTAAAGCCCAACTTGCTTAGGGGGATCTGGATTGTAATTGAACCCTGTAGGAATATAACACTTCATAGAAGTCCAATCGGTGATATTCGATTCCCTCCGATTCCGACATTCCCTGCTCAGATAACCGCTATGACGATACACATCCTTACAATCTCTATTTTCCCATATAGTGCAGATACCACCATCAACTATCCAGGATTGAGGTTCTGTGAGGGTGCCGGCAATGCAGCTAGATTTGAAGGTCCCGCCGAGGGTATACCAGTTGCAGGAAACATCCGTTATTGAGTTTTTGGTGCTTAGGTTTCCGTGCAGGTTCAGACACTTGTAGTCTACCATGTCCATATTATGTCCTTCGAGTATGTAGTGGTCGCCGTGGCAGTCCATTTCGCTGTACATTTTGATTGTCCATGTACTAACAACTGGCGCTTTGCTGGTAGTAGTGCTTGTTTTTTTCTGGGATGATTTGGTCGCCGACGTGGGTTTATTAGTGGTAGTGTCCTTCTTGGTGGTTGTGGTAGCCTTCTTGGTGGTTGTGGTAGCCTTCTTGGTGGTTGTGGTGGTAGCCTTCTTGCTGGTTGTGGTGGTGTCCTTCTTGCTGGTTGTGGTGGTTGACGTAGCTTTAGGGGCAGCCTTGGTAGTCTTTCTCGAAGTGGTGGTAGCAGCTTTAGAAGTGCAAAATTCTGGAGTACTTCCACAAAATCCCCATGAAGAACACTATTAAATCATTAGATTTTGAAGTTATAGAGAAAAAAATTCGAATTCTTAACTCACACATTCATTATCCGCACACGGATTCAAAGACCCTAGGTCTGACCAGTTGTTGGGGCGTTTTGTTCCAGGCACCTGGGGGCCACAAATAGCATCTGGGAGCGTAATTGGCATCAAGGGATCTCCAGAACTAATGCAAATAGAAGCACCCTGCAATATATTTTGGCACCCAGGCCATCCCCACGTTTGAGCATTGTACGTTTCGATATCAGCCACAGTGATAGAGTTTGCTTTAGCAATCATGGCACAACTTTCGCCAGTTTGGACAACATATTTGGCACAAAGACCGTCGGTAGTTGCTCGAGGTGCAACCGCTGCACCTGATGTTGCTATCAGACCAAGCAAAAGGATGGCGATGAGAGTAATGAGGTTGCTAAGGCGAAAGTACCACATCATCGGTGGAATTGTTTGAAAGTGCAGTTTCCCTTTCTTCAATTTTTTAAAAGGAAGCAGGTTCCATCTTTATCTGTCCAGAGAGGCGAGGGTGTGCCAGACTACCAAGGATAAACGAATGAATGAATGAATGAATGTAACATCGCTGGGAATGGGCGAGCGTTCTGGACACCCCAGAAGTTTTCTTTGTCTTCTCGTTGCTCACTGCATAACCTTCCCGGGTTGTTTCATGAAGGCTTTGTCTAACCGCCCAAAAATTAGAGGACTCGGGTCTTTGAAGGTATACAACTTAAAAAATGTAAACGCTTTACCCGAACAAGGTGCTCAGCCCGAGAACAGATGGATCTAGAGGCCTACTGGGAAAGAGGGGCCTCTCTAGAAACTTTCTGAATGCGTGAGGAAGAGAGGAAATATCTCAGGAGCTGGGACTAGAAGATTAGCAAACAGAGGTCACCTGCCATCTTGCACCTTCTTAAATGATAGCAGAAAAATATGTTTATTTATTTTCAGTGCATGTTGAAGACCAAGTCTTTTCTTTGTATAAAGAAGTGCGTAGGCGTAAGGCCAGATGATTCGAAAGATCATCTTTAGCACCATATCCCTATTTACCTTTGTTGCAAACTAGGCTATTGATGCTACTCGGGCGAACAACCCACTTGAAGCAACTGCGCTAGAACTTGAAAACAAAGCAGATATATGTAAGTGACACGCTAGACCTTCCACAATCTGCAATCAGATTCAAATGAGTCCCCATCAATTACAGTTCAGGGTCGAAAACAGGTTGATATCAAAGAAATATATTATCAATGGAACAATTCCGGGCACATTACTGAGAGAAATAATATAGCTACTTTTCCACTATATCATAACAACAACAACATACATAGCTATGTGATTGTTTAGGGCTTAGTAGGGCTATATCCTTGTTTCGACGGTTTTCAAGAAATAACTGGAAATAGCAAGTCCTACGTTGGGGGGATAGCGCGAAGGTGCGACAAATATTAAAGTTCAGCTAGAGTAGGATGTGTTCCAACGCTTCAAATTACGCTGAACAAAATGAGATGTAGGTAGGTGGTTGTTCTTTGCCATATATCTGCGGGTAGTATAGTAAACTAAGCGATGTATGCTTATAATTTCAGGACAGAACTCTATTTCAAGTAGTCGACGCTCATATTAAGCTGTCGGCAACCACAGGTTAAATAATATTCATACCGAGGGAAGTTGGTTGTGTATCGCCAATATCAGCATGAGTTTATTGAAAGACGAGGCGTCCATATAGTATGTTAGCGAGCGACTGAGACACGATGATGAAGTCACCCAGGCCTCCTCTTATCCGTATGAAGATTTTCCAAAAATTGTGAACCATTGGTATCCAGTTAGGGCATTCAGTAAAGCTGCTGATGTGTAATCTGTACGGGACCGGACAAGACCATTGCACATGTGGTTATGAAATGCTTAAATGGTTTCCCAGGGATCTATTCAAATACAGAAAATTCAAATGGCACTTTAAAAGACAGGTGGTTACCGAGGTGAGTTAACCTCGCTTCGGCAGGTTCCCAGCCAACTAGTTGATAGAGCGCAGACAGTCAAGTTTTGAACCACATATTGGCGTTTGTGATATACTTGGCTGCGGGAAACAAGCATCAGATCACCCGAATGTCACACAGCCCCAATGGCTGAGAAACTCCTATGTAGCATCAAAGTAAACGTAGCATACATATGTAATGATCGACCTCAGCTCCGGCCATCCCCCCGGTCATTGATGAGCAATACGAGGTTTTGCGACGATGAGCATAAGCAACGCCCAGGTCTGACCGTTCGTCTTGTCCAAAAATGTTTCAGCTACTCTATACTCTGTGCGGTTGGTAGCGAGAAGACATAGACGGTGAAGCGAAAGATGTGGCCTGACCAGTATACTCTGCATCGACAACTGGACTCTGACGAAATTGCCTAAATTAGATGTTTTTGCAGGCTGCAGGGTGTTTCATAGACTGTTTCATGTTCGGAGATGCATTAGACCTGCGAACAGTAAAATGAAATCCGAAGAGCAGAAAATTACTGGTTATTATGAACTCCCAAGTGAAGTTCTACGTGGAAGCTGGAAGTGGAAACTAGAAACTGGCCAGATGTTCATACCCCTGTAGTTCCTCACTCTCTTATCACACAAAGTCGGAAATTGCAAAGCACGGGCTTGTAAGATCTGCCGGGACTCAAAAGGCCGGAAGTCATCGGGGCCACAAAGTTGTTGTTTTGTTTATTATGTGATTCTTTTTTTTTTAAGTATCAAGAAATTACCAGCACATTTTATCAGTGCAGGGAATATCTTGTTCCGATCTGCAGGTCACAGCAGCCGACACCGACATAACGGGTGACGGCAGGTGTTTGAGAATAAAACACAAATTAAAGTATTGGTAGTCAGGTATGCACATGGCAAGACTTAAAACGATCTGTACTCTGTGCTTTGTACATAATGTGTATGTTGTAGTTCCATATATTGACCTTCCAAACTGAATGGTTGGATATGCCGATCGCTATATGCTTGGGGGTCTGAGGGATCGGCCTAAATTGACCTTTTAGTGGAATAAAAAATAAAAAAATAAACAGCTTGAAACACGAGGTGTTCCCTCCCCCGCTATTCGATACACTATTGACGGTTAACTGCCAACAAAAGCACACATTCGGAATTAGCAACCGATAATGATGACCCACGAGGGCTCCCTTCTCATTTGCAGAGTGGAATAAGTGGAGTTTTTATAGTACATTCAACAGAAAAAAAATAGCACCGGGTACTATATCGGGTTAATTTGCTCGGAATCGAACAGGTCAACTCTTGATCTTTGAAATGAATGTTCAATATAAAATTTTAAAGTAAAGGTATGAAGTATGGAGTACATACTTTGATATTGGAACCCTTACAGTGAACCTCCTCAACTCTTTATGTAATATTCCATTCTAGAAGCTCAGTTGGTTGAAAATGGATCTAGATGAATGGGAAAATTAAAAAAATTTGTATAAAAATTTGTCTACAAAGTATACAGAGTGACGACTTAACTTGAATAATAGGCCCCGATGAAAGCCAATGGAGCATTCAAGCCATTTAATATCGTTGGACCATGGTTCACCATAGTTCACGACAGTTCATCATCTCGGAGAAACGCCTGTAGGAAGTAGGAAAGCAGTGGACACCCGATCGGCCTGAGGGGCCTTTTGGCGATGCGACTAAACTAGTCAGGCTAGGGGCCCGAAGACGCGATCTCAGCCAGCCAAAACCAGATATGTGGGGAATTCTGGATCGCATGGCTTTTTCGGGGCCTTTTGGTTCCTCTTCCTTGCTCTTTAGCCCTCTTAGCCACTTAGAAAACGGACTTCTCCGGTTCCTTGAAAAGTTCTGGACTATGACGCTGCGAAATGTGAGCCGCAAGGGGTGTGTCCTGCCAACTTAGCGCCTAGTGCCCTCTCGCCTGCATTCTGCATTTGCAATAACACCCGCAGGATCGTGCACAAAAGCTAGTACCTTTTCGTGCTACCCTATCGTAGTGCAAATCGGGGTATTTCTGTCGGATATGTAAATACTGACGGTTTGTTTTGATCGCATAATCGTCCTATTTTTGTTTCCCTTTTTGGTTCTTGAAACTGAATGCCAACTTGCAAGCCAATTGTTCTTAACATATTATCGAATAAACTCAAAAAAAAAAAGGGTCCAAGGAGGGGACTTATTGAAGTTGCTCCTAGCGTGCGCAGGGCGGGAGCTGATAATCCCCGTGTGTTGTTGTTGATTTCCCCGGGTCACATCCACTTCATCTGGCACTCTCCTTCTTGACTCGGCCTCCCAGGGGGTAGAGGCATACTTTTTCCAAACTGGTTTTGCTCGGCGTTGCCCATTCACTCTTTTCTCTCTTTTTTTCGTTTTCTTTTTTGCTTTGTCTGGACCGTCAATTGTGGCCTGGTCGAGGCAGCGCACTCCTCCCTCACACCCGCGCAATTCGCAATTCGAACTTCCAACTTCCATCTACTCCCTCATCAATTGTCTCGATACCTTTTTTTTTGTATTTCGCATTCATCTGGAATGTCATTCACGGAGCTTGTCAACCTGGAGCTGATCGTGGGGGTGTTTGACATCCTTCACGGCGTCCTCTGAGGATGGATCACATATCAACAGTAAGCCGCGCCTCAATATCAAATTGCCGGACGAGATCCGGAATTGCTTTCACAACGGCGGTTTGGTCGCTTCGGAATGGTCGCTAACTAGTTCTTCTAGCTTTGTGCGTTAAGCACTCTCGGAATAGCTCCCACCGGCCTTGCGCTCGGTCGCGCCGAACGGACACAGAGGCCCAGCCTTTTTCGGCGGAAGACCCTCACTCAAGGTATTCCTGGGCCGCTTCCTATCAACACTGAGAAGACGGAAGATGTCGCCCGGCCCAAGACCGCTATCCCATCTCGAAGTCCGGCCGCCGAGTGGCTTGCCGCAAAGGAAGAGGAAAGCTCTCAAGAAGGTCCGGGATCCGATCTGCGGAAAGCGCCCTTGTCTTTCAGCGGTGCAAGACGGCGCCGTCGAGGTCAAACTCTCACAAATCCGCCTCTGCGAATTCCAGAACATGAGTCAACGGATTCGTCGGTCGAAACGCATGCCCGGCGGCCATCCACCGGTTGGCTGCGGCGGCTGTCGATGGCCTCGTTCCAACCTGAAACCCCTACCGCAGGTAGTCCAGTGGCGCCCTCGTTCAATGGATCGGAAACTCCAATCTTTTCCCACTCGCCTCGTCAGCGAAGATCTCCGAACAAATTGATTAAGCGCCCGACCTCGCAGCATACAAATGCGCACCCCCTCGGCGCGAACACCATCTGTGGACCGTCGCCAGCTGCACTGCGCAGGCCTGCCACTAGCCACCAGCGATCGGAGTCGATGATCCTCCGAACTCCTTTGACACCTGATTTCGATGCATATTTTCCGCAGGCGCCCGTCGAAGGTCCAGCGATCGAAGAATTCGAGCTTGATAAGCAGAAGCATTGGACACCGTTCTTCTTTCCCAAGGCTGGCAAGTTAGCAGAGAGGCTTTCGCGCCGATTCTCGACCGCCACTGCCCCAAAGTTCCAGAGTGTACGCCATATTGTGTCTGACTATCGCGCTCTTCCTGCGTTAGTTATGGCTGATGCGATCTCACCCACGGCTTCTACACCGCGAGAAGACAGATCAGTACCCCAGACCCCAATTGAATTCAGCAATCCGTTCCAAACGGCCCCCTCTGAGGCTGCTCCCAAGCAGCAACTCGCCCCGGAAGAGCGAGCAGAGAAACCTAGCCATAAACAGTCATACTCGGTCAACGATGTTGAGTCGAAAATCGTCATGGCAAACACAGTGACCGCGCATGGGACACCGATTATGGGACTCGTTCGTGGTGGCTCTCTGAAGCGAGTAAAGGGCAGGACCTTCTCAGTCCCTCCTTCTGAACTCGCAATGGAAGAAAAGAATATCGTTATTCCGAGTCCCCCGGAGGCCGAGCCGCGGCGCAACATTACTGATCCAAGCGTGTTCCGCGCTCCGTATCCCACTTCGCAGTCTGGCTGGGCTGATTCAGCGTTGGAAAGACGGTCACAGGTTAATCCCCGATCGGTATCGCAGGACTACAGCGTTGGCTTGGGATCTCGCGCTGGTTCACGTCAAATGACCTCTGATGCAGTCGCCCTGTCGGCCTGGCAGCAGGCATCTCGTCCCGGCGGTCGGGCTCATGGTTCTCTCCGTCGCCGTCCCAAGGGATTTTCAATTTCAGGTTCCGATCCGGCTTCCACCATCATTGGTTCTGATGACACGCGGGTATTCACATCATGCGATGGGTATGAGACGGACGTGATGTCCGACTATTGGGACTCTGTCCGCACACGTGAGACCAATCGCAGTGGACTCAAGGGGCTGCGGATTGAAACTATGTTTGATAAGGCAGGTACCAGCTTGGTGAATGAAGAAGCGACGACCTTGGAGGCTCTCCTCCCTCGTGGTTCTTTCGCCGCACGGTCTTTAGACAAGGATCGCCAATTGTTCACTGATCCGCTTCTGTCTTCCCCTCCTTTAGTTCAAAAGTCCACGATTGAAAATCCGTTTCATGTTGACTTGTCTGACGATGATGGTCTCAGCATGATTGGATCGCTTCCTGGCGATGATCGCGATTTTTTTTCATCTTCTTTGACACATTCGTTGGCCAAGTTTGCTGAGCAGCCCGAGTCGCGTCGCGGTTCAGCTAATATGGCTGGATCGTTTGTTGGCGAGTTGGATTCGGATATCAACAGAAAGACAAACATCTTTGATTGGTCTGAGCAAGCACACCCCAACCGTGAAAGTTCAGACCTCGAGACGCGTCCTAGGACCATGCAGGGAAAACAAGAGGGTGTTAATAGAAGCAGTCGGGCTGTTTGCCGGAAAGCACCATCAACCGTCCACCTTAGGAGCCAGAGTGTCCCAGTTGCCAGTGAACTTCCCATCAACGAATCGCGCCAAACTTCTGGCAAGTTTGGTACCTGGGGCTTAGGTAGTAAGGGTGTCAGTGAAGATTGGGATAGCGACTTTGACTTTGACGAGTCTGACGACACGCCTGTCGCTGAAAACAAACCACTTATTCAGCCTGATACCAATCGCCAGAGCATGACTGTTCCCAAGGCCATTCTAGAGCGTCAAGCCAGTCTTCGTGGTCAATTTGGACAGGTTCAAGAATTAACTCTGCTCGTGGAGGAATTGAAACGTCTTCGGCATCAAGCAAACGTCCTAGGCATTGTCAACGGGCCTTCCAGTGAACTGTGGGCAGAAGCAGAGCAGATCGTGAACCTTGCTACCATTGACGATGAAGAGGAGCGTCATTCGCCGCCAGGATCTCCATCGTCTCTCACGTTTAGTTTTGATGAATCTGATGATGACGGTCTCAATGCGTCGTCTAAACGGAACAGCGAAGTTTCGTGGGACGTGCCCCGTGAAAATAATGAGTCCGCGCTACCCCTCGCTCAGCTTGCAAAGGACTCACCAAAGTCCAATTCCGTACTTGATATTCTCCAGTCCGGTCGTGATCAACAGAAGACTTCAGCTCCTACCGAGTTAGAATTAGCGTCACGTGCAAAGAAACTCCCATTTGATACTTCCTCATTGAAAAATTTGGTTTCTCGTGCGGGTGTGGTGACGCGTTCGTTGAAGGAAGTTATTCGCAAAGCAGACGGGGTAGCAACCAGCCCGCCAGACTTCCCTCAAGACCCCCCATTCCGACGCATTTTCGACAAACCATCTCACGATGATATGGCCAGCTTTGAGGCAGCCCTTGCTGACATGTCATAACCTTTTTTTCTTTCTTTTAATTGATACCAACATCTCAACACTCACTCCCTCTCATTATCTTCCATCCGCCAACACAACCATGAGACCGAAAAACACCTGAAGATCATTTGCATGACCATCTTCTCCGTCCTTACCTAATGTTTGCTCACTGCGCGATCTCGGAGATTTTCTTTCACAGTGCGATCTGACCCAAAACGCCATTACCTTTTTTTTCCATTCCCATGTACAACTCTACCCTCAATGTACATTGCCATACAATTTTTTTCTCTCCCTTTCCATGTGTGCATCCCACACATACGAGTGCCCATTGGGCCCATGACTTTCTATCTTCTTTTCTGTCATCTTCTTTCCTTTCGTCTATGTTCCATATTTGCGCAGCTCATATTTCCTAATTGCGCTGTACTAATCACGGAGGATTCCCTCGAAAGGGGATGGCCTGTACTCTGATGATGTTTTCAAACGAAAACCCCCAATCCCAGGCAAGATGAAAAGCAATGAACCCCAAATGTGATGATTAACCCGGGGCCAAGCCCTGGAGGGCAATTCTATGAACTTGCCATCCTGTGTCTAAGTCTAATACAATCCAACTTCTAATATGATTAGCGGATAACCTTAATATTTGTAAACGGTCTGAATGATAGTATATAGACACTTCGGTACTTCTCAATGTAGACTTGTCAGTGTCAACGTGCCCAATCCATCCAGTCACGTCGATGAGCCTATACTTGTTATCACAGTCAGTAGATGGTGAACTTGCTCTTCGCTCAAAGCCGGTCACCGTATAGATAGAACAGGATGGGAATAATGATCAATAGCACTGCTATACAGCCAAGCAGTGTCCCATCCCATTTGATAGCCCATCGAAGTATATATAATCAGTATCTGCTCCATCATACTTCGACAGCCACTAATCATTTTTGTTGCAAGCAGAAGACACGCATCAGCCGATAACTACAAGATACTATTGATGATCTCACTTGGGCAACTTCCGGCGTGTTATTATTTTGCTGGTGAGCCCAATCGCTTTCGAATGTTGTTCGGGGATCTATACTCATTTATGCTTCGAAAAGTTGAGCTTTGCCTGCTAGGAGAATTGATCTCTCCACAATCCAACTTCAGCCTCTACAATATATATTGTTGTATTCAATTTTCAATATATGATAGGCCAGGTCTGTCTTCTGAGATGATATCAATTGTGTTCATAGCGAGAACTTGATGTATAAGACCTCATAAAATTGGGTTGCTTAAGTGCTGGGCTCGATATATATACTGCGCAGGTACCACATAATTCTAACAATCCACTCTAAAAACACAATCGCTGCCGTTTATTTGTACTAACTAAATTAAAGTATTCGACTAGCTCCAAATTTGTTTAGTCCTGGTTAATATAATTGTATCTGATGAGTTCAATGTTCAATAGAGGCGTTTTTGTGGCTGTACGATCCTCCGTAGCGCGTCAGAAGACAAGACAAGATAAGACACTTTATTACACATCTTTCACAAGTATTTGAATAGTCCGGGCTTAATTCAGCTTGATCTAGTTTATCAATTATGAATGCTAACTATACATCCATATGATTCCTTTTGCCTACATAGGTATCATATTAAAGTTTTGCCTTAACTGAGAGAAACTGACCTACCCACGACTCAAGGGGATAAAAACAAAAAGCAAACCAGTGAGACAGCGTAGATAAATTGAAGACAGAGTTCTCGAATCAATATATAGAGGCTGGAAATTGTAATATATCATCAAGGAGGTATACAATTAGAGCTGCCTACAATCTATAGTCCGAGTATTTTCCGGGGTGCACTTGGAAATGAGGGGGGCCACACCGGCGTCTCATGTCAAATCAGGAATCACATCCATCAAATTTGCCTCTTGAATTGATATCCTTATATGTTGTATTATGCACGGAGTACTCCGTACTCTACATTGGATAATGATTATGATTATTCCCAAGTTATGTTATTTATCCTAATGATCATGATCAAGCATTAGCCAATATGAAGAGTCAGGGCTTGGCATAGGCCTGGAGCGTTTGAAAAGAATATAAAGAGATTTGAAGAAATTCGAAAAAAAAGAAAAGAGAACCCCCCTTGTGCCCTTACTCAACAGAATACACTGTAATAAACAAGATTACAGCCACCTTTTATGGTCCACACTGGGCACATTCAACTCAGGGGCAGCCCGTCAACCATTGGCGGATAAGAGGCGGGTTCCTGACGCTACGGCAGTCCCATCATAAGGTGTCTTACGCTCGCCTTGCTTGGTGCAGTTGCATTTCAACAAAATAGATCAAAGAAGTAAAAGGGTAGGAGATCAGAATAAAATAAAATAAAACCCAAACAATAACAATAACAATAACAGAGAAAATAACAGTGAAAATAACAGTGAAAATCGAAGGTGTTTCTAAATTAAGCCCTCAGGGGAGATGCGGAGATAGAAACCTGTACGGAGTACGGAGTACACAATACTGTATAATATTGACGCTAGTCCACTTATTCTAGAACTCACTCTCCTTCTCCTTCTCCTCTTTTTCTTCCTTCTTTATTCATTCGCTTTTGGCTCTCTTTTGAGGACTATAGTCCTGTTCACTCCTTTACATTGCTTCTTACACTCCTTTTTTTGCCTGCATATTTTTTTTCGATCTTTGATCTTTGATCCCGATCTTCGATTCTAATTTCTGAACTGTGTGATCTGAACTTAAATGACGAGCATCAATCTCAAGCGGCCATCGCCATTTTAAACGTGTTGACCGGTCTTCACGTTCTAGACAGGTCGGGTCTACCCCCTATAGACCATACTATATCGACTATGCCTCACTTTCGTCGTGATGTCGTCCCCCCAAATCGATTGCCATTTCTGGTCCCCAGCACCATCATAACTACCAAGTCGCCATCTCTCGTGGCAAGAGCCGAATCACCCGAGCCGACCTCGGGAGAAAAGCCCACCAGCAATCTGACAACGACGGTCTTGCCCGTCGTGCTCGGTGTAGGTCTTCCCATTTTGTGTGCTATTGTCGTCCTCATTGTGCTTCACCGGAGACATGTCAAGAAACTTAGGCGGGAAGATGCAATGGATAAACATAAATCTCTTGATTTTGGAATGGATACAGTGGGACCTGCAACCAGGAGGAAAGGTCCTCATGGCATGCCCCCAATGTCGGAACCAGCCCATACCAAAGGATTGTCTCTTGATGTTGGTCCGTTCCTGATGCCTCCGGGACTGAATGATTCCCCGGATTCTCTGCACTCCATGTCAATAGACGATGATAAATATCGTCCGGCCACTGCCTCTATTCGGTCGTACCCCCGGAGCAACCGGGATGATGCATCGAGTTTCACGGGCTCCCGATTTGGTGATGACGGCAATTCAGGCCTTCTCCAAAATGCACAGAGGATGTCTCGTTCATCCCCACCGATGTACTCCTCCCCTACCCAATCTCATGGACGCAGTCCTATGAACCAGCGCAATGACTACCTTGGCCAAGTTCCCGGGGTGACGCGTCCACCTGCTGCACAGCAACCCGGCATGGCCATTGGAAGTCCCAATGGCAACAGGAATCCCTCGCCAGGGCCGCTGCCTCATCTGGATTCCTCTTCGGGTCTTGACTTCGGACTGGACAATACATATGGCAACACATATAATAACCAGCATGAAGAGCGCCTCAAATTCCCGCTGCCTGATGCCTCCCAGCCACGAGACTTGAACCATGGCCAGGCTCCTGCATCACAACTTCCTCGTATTTCCCTGCCGGCCAGCGATGTTACCACTAGTGACTATGGCGATGACCGCAAGTCGGAATACATTGTCCCTGCGGTCAACGCCAATGGCATTGAAAATGTACAGAAACATAATGCCCCAAGCCACGATAACAAGCGCCCAGAACTTCCAGAGGAACCTCAAAATCTGGATGCGGCATATGATAACCGCCGCGATACCCGACGGATGACTCTCGGTTTGCGCCCGTTGCCCCCAGAGGACCCCGCCGACAACCCCGAACAGCGTGCCAATCGGATTCGTTCCTTCTACAAGGAATACTTCGATGAGAGCAAGAACGGCCAGGAACCCACATACTATGAGGACTTCGGTCCCGAGTTCTATGAGAATAATGGTAACTCAGCTGGCTTCATCTACGACCCGACCACCGGCGAGTACTATGATGCCGCTGCTGGTCCTGCGCCATTCGCCGAGCCAGTCACTCGTCGCGCAATGACACCGCCGCCTCGCGCGCCTCCCCGCTTCCAAGGAGCCGCCCGCCATATGGCAACCAACTCTGCTGGAGGTGGCATGCCCGGCCCGCGCGCCTTCTCATCTGCCTCTGGCCGTATGCCCGGTCCACGGGCTCCCAAGAAAGCGGTTCCTCCCCCCTCGCCACTGCATATCCTTCCTACTCCTTCCAAGTTGACGGATGACGCCCTAATGACCGCCCTGGAATTTGCTCCAGGGAATGGAGCCAAGGACCGTCGCGCGGGTCGCCCCGAGACACCCACCGGCGGCGTTCGTCCCTACATGCCTGGTTTGCGCGCGCACACGCCGCTAGTCTCTGCCTTTGACGAGCTCTCCGTGATGCCCAGCCCCCACGCCCTGCGCAAGTCTGGCACGTACACCAATCTGGATTTCGTGCCGCCGCCTCGGTTCAAGAACGAGGGCGGTACGGGCAACGACGCGGGTAGTATCCGCAGCGCTCGGACGGTCGTCTCTGCTAATCACCAAAATAACATCCGCATGGGCAATTACCGTGTCAGTCGTCTGCCGGCCGAGGCGGTCGGTACTAAGGACGACATGATGGCCAGTTTGCGTCCGAAGTGGGATATGAACAGTACCTAAGGAAGCGGTGGCTTTGTCGTTTTCCAATGTCATGACTTTGTTTTGGTACCTTGTATAAGAGCACGTGATGATTTGATTTCTGCTTTTTTTGTTTCTCGTCTGGGTTTCCCGGTGCTCGAGCTTTTGGAGTGATGGTCATCACCCCATCTTTTTATATTCATTACTGTGTTCTCCTTTTTTGTCTGGAAATCTGCTATCAACGGCGTAAATAGATGATGGTTGGATTCTTTCCCGCGACCACTGAAATTTCATTTCTTCTACCCGGTCTCCGGGCTGTATATATTTGGATTGGTAGAGGTGTTTAAGATGGTATACATACTTTGTACTCCGTAGACGTCTTGAGCTCTCTACTCCGTACCTTGGATGTATGTTGTAGACCCACCTGCAATTAAACGGTTACATAAGACGGGAAATTTGCTCCGGGCGGGGCGTTGGCTGCCTAGACAGAAACCGGCGTTAAATAGTCAGGGGCAATTACTAGTAGATGGGAGAGATCATACATTATATGTACAGTGTATGAAGTACATGAGTTTGAATATTAATATGTTAATGGGCTAGATACAGAAAAACAACATTATCCGATCGTATTTCTTTCCAATTATGACATACAGAAATATGTATAGTATTAACGACAGAACCGTTGGAAGTGGAGAATCAGAAACAATATCATCCTGCAGATGTGGCAACTGAGTACATCGTGCATCATTGACCTTTTATGAGCACATGCACATATATAAGTATGTAACCTTGGTAATCAGCTTCGGACACTTCCCGGGTTAATAGCCCTGGAGATTAATAGCTGAACATCCACGGATACTCTCAGCTTGGTTCTCAGGGTTTTTCGGTACCGAACATGAGATGATTCGGTAAATATAGATTGGTTTGTTTGCAGACTTCTTTTACTGTATATTATAGTATACTACATATGTATTTTAGAGAGAGTTAGAGAATATCAGAGATGAATAAGTACACATATCCCTAATAGCCATATGGCCAGATGTCGCATGGCCGGATCAAGGGATAACCCAGAAACAGGCATGTTGTTTTTGTCGCAAGCGGATGCAACTGCAACTCGATAGCATAACATTAGATGTTTCCTCTTTTACTACCTTGGAATATATCAACTATAAACAGAATCCAAGTCAAAAGTGTCTCTCTTACTATTAATACAACTAGGAATGCGGATACGCAATCGTAAGAAATCTCCACTTTCCCACTTCCATCTCCTCTCTCCCACACACTTCTCTCATCCCATGGCTGCTAGATTCGGCCTTGAGAGATCGTGAGTATTCTTCTCTCTTTCTTTTCGTTTTTTTCTCTCTTTTCCTTCTTCTTCTTCTACTCTTATTCCGACCGGTTCCTGAGATATCATTTTCCCCTGAGGCTACCATAAACACACCCGTCTCTCCTTACGCGTTCAACTCGCCGTCTCTCGTTAAACCAGTCTATTAACTCGGATTCGAATTTGTGACTCCCAGTCTAATTCAGCCCGAAATTATTTCCGCACCCGGAAGTCTCCCTAATCTCTCAAAACTCGCCGAACGGTGTCGCGGTTTAGGATCACTTTGATCCCAACCGCCAATCTCACCGGACTTCACCTGTTCTGAACCACTGACCACCATTGACCAACATCGATCAAAATCACAATTAAACATGGCTGCTGTAGTACCATCAAAAGGCGGCGCTGCCACTGCTGCCACTGTTGTCACTGGTGTTGGTTCTACTCCGTCCGTTCCCGGTGCCGCGGAAACTGCTGCACAGACTTCCCCATCCATTGAGACCAGTGGAACAACTCCTGCTCAGCCTGCCACCTCTTCCGCCGAAACGACCTCTTCGCCTCCGCCTCCGCCTCCGACCACGTCCACTACAAGTCAACCGACTACCAGTAGCACTACGAGCAGTACTAGTACTACGCCCACGCCGGAGCCTACCACGCCGACCCCCGAGCCTACGTCCGCTCCGTCGTCCACTTCTTCGACCTCCACTTCAACTTCTTCCACCTCTTCCACTTCTTCTACTACGACCGCGCCACACACCACTTCAACTGCCGAGAAGACAACCTTTTCCTCGACCGATGGAACTACCGTGGTTATTATCACCTCCACCAAAGCAGTGGCTGTTGACCCCGGTGCCACGTCTATCAGCGCAACCGATTCAGCCGCGCTCGCAACCTCCACCGATGCAGCAGCCTCTGGTGGCGGCGGTCTTTCTCCTAGCGGCACAATCGCTGTCGCAGTCGTTGTCCCGGTTGTCGGAGTGGCATTGATCATCCTGGCACTGCTCTTCTTCTGGCGTAAGCGCAAGGCGAACAAGGCCGCAGAGGAGGAGCGTCGCAAGGAAGTAGAGGAATACGGATTCAACCCAAACAACGACCCTACCCTCCCCGCTATGGGAGGCGTCGTGATGCCCAAGGACAACGAATCCTCCGGCTACCGCGGCTGGGGAACCACCTCTGCCGGCCGCAAGACATCCACCAACATGTCGAGTGGAATGGGCGGCCTAGCCATGTCGGAAGGAAGCGGCCCCGGTTATCACCACGGCGCAACACCCAGCGAAGGCACCGTTCAATATTCCGATGGCACTCGGCCCGACTCGGGTGAGATTGTTGAACCCATCGGCGTGCTGGGCGCCGTCCCAGTAGCTGCAAACAACCGCGGCGGCGACATCCACCGCGGTCCCTCCAATGCTTCCTCCGCTTACTCCACAGCCAACCGATCTGACGCATCGGAGGAAAGTCACATGTCCGCTGCCCACCCTTCGGGTGGATACTACGGTGAGAACCCGTACTACGGCGACATCAACACGCACGGCGCATACGGCGGCGAAGACTACCAGCCTGTGATTCGCGATGTCCAGGCGCGTCGCAATACCCGCATCGAGAACCCCGGTGTTTATCCACGACAGGGGAATGCAGGTATCGCGCAGAACTTCTGATGGCCCGACTGATTCGGATTTCCTATAAACTTTGACCTCCCAAAAGCTCGGCATCCTCTTGTGTTTTTTTGTTTTTATCTTGCACAATACCATCACACACGCTCTTTCTATCTCAACCACCGCCGACAACATTCTTTTTTTTTCGGGTCTCTCATGTTCCAATTCCCGGCGCGATGGACTTTCACTTCGTCATGTCTCTATTGCCTTCTACACTTTTTTTTTCTTTTCTTTTTCTCTCGCTCTCCACCTTAATCTGCCTGTCGGGCTTTGATTTGGTCTGGTCATCTCTGATATATCCCGCGCATCTGGTCTCAGCTGCATAGCTTGTTTGTTTGTTTTACCCGTCCTTTTCGTCGCCTTTTTACACACCTCGCTTTATGTCTGTATTTGTTTTTGTTGTCTACATGGAATTGTAAGGAGCTGCATGTACATTTCCTGCTGAGCATGGGAGAGATTTTTTCCATGTGGACATACTCGAGATTTTGCAAATGATCGGGGTGTCTGGAGTGGAATTACCTCCCCCCCAAGTGTTTGTATGTGTTATATTGAAATGAAAGGTTTTGATTTCCGACTCATGAAGTAGGTATAAGTTATACGGAGAAAGTTGGCAGAATGCTAGATATGTCAAAAGCTTAGAGAAATATTTTACTGTTCGAAGCACTAAAATGCACTAAGAAGTACTAAGAAGTACTAAACATGTACTAAAAAGTCCTAGAAAAGTATTAAACACTCTCTATATGCACCAAATAGTTCTATCAGGTAAAATTATGTACCAAACAGAAGTACTTACAAATCCGTTGAAGTGTCTACCAGTAAGTTTACAACGTGCGTCCGCTGTTCGCGGTGATTGGCGATGATTGAATCGCACAGCTCCCCACTCTCCGGCTTAATCGCACCTCGAAAGACTTTCCCTTCTTACCTGAGAACTATAGGTACGCCTCCAGGGCTATATTTTTATTCAGTACCTCTGTCTCAGTTGCCCCGCTATCTATCTATCTATCTCTCTATCCTACCTTTTATCTTCTTCCCTCGGCTGTTCAAACTATCCCCTTTGATATATTGAGCACCTCAACGCAACGTCACACGTTTTATTTGATATTCTGTGTCACTCTCTTGTGTCCCACTTCTATTCTCTCTTTCTCCACTGCCTAGTTAACGCCCCTCTTGCCCGAGTACCAAGTTTGGTTTCATCTCAAACGTGTCCTTGTCATCCCACCCTGTCTCTTTTTTTCCCTCTCTCCATTGACACCCTTGCGCCATACCTTACACAATCAGTTCATACATCCCTTATTTCCCTAGCTTTCCGCTCTGTCTTGTGGAGCTTGCGCTACTGTTGCGACCTCGGTCTTTCCAAAGCTCGGGAGAGCTAAAGCTCTCTCCGAGAGTGTGCAAACATGTACGTATGCCCCCCGGCCCCTACTAGCTGACCCAATGCTCAGAATTGTTACTGATTTGCTCTTGAATTGGTAGGAAGTTCGGCAAACAGATCCAGCGCAGGCAGCTAGATCTTCCTGAATATGCCGCCAGCTTTGTTAACTACAAGGCGCTGAAGAAGGTCGGTTTACCTGTCCGCCCGCTTGCGACGGTACCCGTGCATGGCTAATTCCTTTACAGCTGATCAAGCAACTCAGCGCCACCCCGACTATCCCGGCACAGAGAACAGCCGAGGAAATCGCGAGAGCTAATGCGGACCCCCAAGCCGCTTTGCGGGCAAACAAGGAGGTGTTCTTCTTCCGCTTGGTAGGTTTCCCGGAAATTTTTCCTGCAGACCGGAAGACAGATGTACTTAACCAATGGTGTATAGGAACGAGAGATTGAGAAGGTCAACACTTTCTATCTCCAGAAAGAATCAGAGGTATGGCCGTTTTATTCAGTGCACAGTCATAACCTTGCCCGGAGACTCATCAGATTACTTTAGTTTTCTCTGCGCCTCAGGACTTTGGTCGACAAGAAGCGCGTAACTCAGTCCCGAGCCATCTCAAATTCCAAAGCCCCATCGAATTTTGCTGCTATGTTTGAAGGTTTCCAACAATTCGATGGCGACTTGAACAAACTGCAGCAATTCGTTGAGATCAACGAGACTGCCATGTCCAAAATTCTCAAGAAATGGGACAAAACCTCCAAGTCTCGCATGAAAGAGCTGTATCTGCATCGGGCCGTCGAAGTGCAACCATGCTTTAATCGGGAAGTCCTTCGAGACCTTGCCGATAGAGCTACGACCGCACGGCTGGAACTGGAGGCCTGGGCCGAGGGCGAGAACATCCAATATGACGCCTCGCGTCCAGTGGACCGCACCGCACCCTTGGGGTCGGAGGAGGATGAAATGGACAATCAGATCTTGCAGTCCGCCTCCACCGGCAACCTGCAAACCCTGCGTGAATGGCTGGCCAGGTTACAGCAGTTGCCGGATGCCCGTGAACGCGCCACGCGTACATTCCTGACCGCTATCAACGGCTGCTCGGACGATGTGCTCGCTCTGCTATTGGAGAGTCAACTGGTTGACATACATGCCGAGGACGACATCAACGAACGAAACTGCCTCCACGAAGCCGCCATCTCGGGCCGATTATTTGTCTTCCACGCAGGCCTCAAGGCATCCGTGGATTTCGCCCGCGCCGATGTCTACGGCCGAATCCCCCTCCACTACGCGTGTATGCACGGCCGCGTGGATATGGTCCGACACCTGCTCGCAGCGGGCCCTCACACCGTCGACATCATGGACCATGACAACTTCACACCCCTAATCCACAGTATTGTAAAGGGCCAGCTGGCATGTGCCGAGCAAGTTCTGTGTAGCAATGCCCGCGTTGACCCGGAGCCCGAGTCGCCCGCTTTGAAGGGAATGGACAATCGTCCCCTGAAGGGCCCGGATCATATTCCATTGAACCTCGCTTGTCAGCACGGCTCTCTCCCCATCGCGAAGATGCTTCTTGAGCGAAATGCGAAGTTGCTGCCAGATGCAGAGGGTCTTTACCCCCAGCATATGGTTGCGCGCGCCTCACAATCGCCAGAGCTACTATTACTCCTGAAGGAGCACGGCGCTGATCTCGACCAGAAGGATAAGCTTTACCAGTGGACTCCGCTGTTTCATGCAGCCAGCGAAGGCTGTGTCCCCTGCCTGCGCACCCTCCTCGAGTGCGGGGTTGATTCCCACGTCGTAGATGAGAAAGGCCTCTCGTCTATGTACTATGCTGCCTGGGAAGGACATCTGGAGTGTATGCTCCTCCTCTGGGCCCAGCCCTCTGGTCACAAGCCTGCAATGGGACCGCTTGACATTCTCAATGGCATGCGGAAACATGACCCTGGCCATATGGGCGAACCGATGTCCATGGATACGAGCCTTTCTGAATTGGAAATGGCCGATGGCATCCCGGATCTTGAATTGCCGCCCCCCATCATCCCTCTCCGCCGCTATGGTCACAACTTCCTCGATAAGAAAGTATTCGTACAGCTGCTGTTCGATCAAGGAAATGTCGGGTCTATTGCCTTTGATCAGGCGGGCCGCCATCCTGCGGCTCGCATGACCATTTCCTCCAAGCTGTCAGATCTCATTCCTCGTACCATCATGCTACCTATCCAGGACGAGACACGCACGATATCATTCCATGTGGATAACTTGGACACCTTCGCCGTGGACTTCGAGATCTTCCCTACCTTTGGTTCAAAGGTGATTGCAAAGAGCGTGGCTCTGCCAGATATCTTCCGCGCCGAGTCATCCAGCACCGGCTTAGGCTGTCTGCCTCTCTTCGACCCCCGACTCCGTTCTATCGGCCAGCTGCGCTTCAACTTCCAAGTCATCAAGCCATACCACGGCGATCCTCTGGAGATCACACACTTTGCTACATATTGGAAGGCCACTAGTGCTCTTGACTCAGACCACAATGGACTGGTCACTGGGTCCAGTTTGTCGGGAGATTACGTTCAGCTCTTTGTACAACTGACCCGCGACCGTGTCGCAGTCCTCTACCCGCAATTCATGATCAACCACCACGGAATCGACATCCCAGTGTCTCATTTGACATATGCCCAATTCCAGGCTATTGGCGTAGCACGCGGTGCCGACCACCCCAAGATCCTCCAGTTCTTGGAACAAGAATCGACAAATGACATGCCGCAGACTCATCGACTCCTGGCCTCGTCGTTCTTGTCGTTGCGCGATGTCTTGCGCCAACTCCCTATTGAAATGAATGTCAATATCTCTCTCCTCTACCCATCGCCCGCGGAGGAGAAGATGCTCGACATGACTTCTTTGGCGGATGTCAACAGCTTTGCTGATGTTATTTTGACTGATGTCTTCGACCACGCCCGTGTGACCCGTGACAAGAACCCGGAGTTCATGCGTTCCGTCGTGTTCACCTCTTATAACCCCAACATCTGTAGTGCTCTCAACTGGAAGCAACCTAACTGTGAGTCTGAGGGAAAGCCAAACTATCTAACTCGTGTGGTTACTAACTCTATGGCTAGACCCCGTTCTTCTTTGCAACGATCTTGGTCAAATCCGGGACTTGGCTGGCAACGTCGACTCGATGCCCCATGTCAACAGCAGTGGCCGGGCCTCAATGTCGATCAAGGAGTCTGCTCGTATTGCCCAGAGCAACAACTTTATGGGCCTGATCTGCAGATCTAGCCTTTTGGTATGTTTGATCCTATTTCCGCGCGGTTTCTTTTCTCTTTTCTCTAGTTCGCCTACTAACCACTGTATAGAATGTCGTCCCCGCGCTCGTTGAAACTATCAAGGAGCTCGGCCTTGTGCTTGTGGCCGATACCTCTGATGAGTCCGGTCAGCCGGATCGATTCGAAGAGCTACCCGCCACCAGTTCCATGGGCGTTGCCGAATGGGCATACCGCATGCCCGAAGGCGTCAACGGTGTGATGAGAGCCAACGGCATTCTGAGATTCAACGATATGATCGACATGTGATTCGATCCACCCTCGCTTTTTCCCTGGGGAACACCCACCCTTTACATACGTCGCAATTTAATTTCCACTACGAATATTACGAGCTTTGGTGGCATTTGCCACGCCACGTTTGCTATATTTTCGTGTTCTCTATTTTGATTTTGGCTTTGTTTCAAACTCCAGTGATAGCCCCCCCGCGCACGTCTTTCTATTTATTACTTTCCGCCCTTTTGTTATTTCATCTCTCATCTTGGGCGCTGGAGATAGAGCTGGGCTTGGTTGTCTGGGTTGGCCTGTTGTCGATTATGTAGATCGTTGGAAAGCGTTTTGAGAGATGGCAAAAAAAAAAAGATTGCCGTATTAGAGAGCTGAATGGCTAATAATGTACAATGGTCCGAATCCCAAGTCCTGTATCTCCCGCTATGCTACATATATAATCACATCACCTTCACGTACTCTTAGGCTTCCTCTTTCCAATATCCCATCCCCATCCACGCAGCGTCTTCACAACCTTCGGCGTGACAGCAGCTGTCAATGGCACTCGAATGAACACAAAGCTCTTGTGGATGGCATAAGCGAAAACCAACTGTGTCCAGATACCTGCAAATGCAAAGTCAGAACCAGACTCTCAATCCCCAAAACAAATAAAAACTTACTAGCTTCTTCCTGGTTCCGCTCCTCGGCTTGAGCAAGTTGTCCCTGCCCATCCTCCGCCTCAGACCCACCAGTCTGCGGCCACACGCCCTTGAGCTTATCCTTAACAAACCCAACAACAACATGCTCATAGTGTCCAATGCGCTCAACACCAAGCAACCGCACAGCCGCAAAGCAGAACGGGAAATCCAGCGCGGAAAGTCCAAGATACACACCCAACGCAGCCCATCCATACTCCCGCGTAAGCTTCTTCAACCGCTGCGACAGCGAAGCCTTCTCCGAAGCCCCAGCTCCAGTTCCAGATCCCTTACCGCCAGCCGACCCGGAATTGAATCTGCGCTGCTTGAACTGGAACGCGCTCGGGCCCGGCCGGGTGCGCGTCGAGAAGCGCATTGTCGACAGGCATCGCTGTGAAGCTTGTGTTCCCGGTGCGAGGATTGTGCTGCGCGCCGCGAGGGGCCGGACTGAGGGGCGGAGGTATGAAGCTAGGCTTGGTGTTTTGAGGATCTCGGTAGGGCGCGAGATCCATTTTGTGAGGAGGGTTGGGCGGAGGGACATGGTGGGTAGGAATTATGGCCCCTGGTGTTCTAGAGTGAGGGGTTTGGTGATTCCGTGAGTGAATTGGGAGTTGAGGACATGGAATTCTTTTTCTGTTTTTTTGTTTCTCGGCGTTTTCGGCTTCCGGTCCGATCGGGCTGGCGTGTCGTTGTCGGAGTTAGGGATTAATGCAGGTTTGTATTTGTGTCGAAGATGATCGTAGATGGTAGATGAGTCAGTAATAGAATGGTTTCTATGGCTTTAAACCTATTACTCGTACAAGATAGTTTGGGAAGTATCCCTTGGAATGCATGGAGCACGTCCACAACTCCTGCATCTGTATACTTCGACGCCGGCATATGCGCTGACTAAGCCGACACCAAAAACTTCCCGAGATTCTCAGCCACGACGAGGCACCCCCCAATTACCACTCCCAATATCCACCCACCATGTCGCCGCGTTTAGGAGGGCTCCTTCAGCTCTCACCCGTATGGGGTGCCCCATTGATCGCGCCGCGGATCCCCGTGCGCTCCTTCGGAATCCGATCCCTCAACCCGCCCAAACCCAGCCGATTCAATATCGGGCCCGGGCTGCCAATCCTCGAGTCGACGTCGACAGCCGCTCTCCTCCGCAAAGCCAATTCCCTCCCGCTCCGCACCGGCGCCATCGGTATCAAGAAGGGAATGACTGCTATCTACGACCCGGAGTCTGGAAAGCGCATCCCCTGCACTGTTCTGCAGCTGGATCGTGTCGAGGTGATTTCTCACAAGACCCGTGAGAAACACGGGTACTATGCGGTGCAGGTTGGTGCGGGCTGGAAACATCCAAATAATGTAAACAAGGCTATGCTGGGCCATTTCTCGGTTAATGGGCTCTCGCCTAAGCGTCATATCTTTGAGTTCCGTGTTAAGGATGAGGCTGGTCTTATGCCTGTTGGTCAGAGTATTGAGGCGAGTTGGTTCCAGGAGGGCCAGTTTGTTGATGCTCGGTCCAACACTAAGGGTAAGGGCTTTGCTGGTGTCATGAAGAGACACGGTTTCCATGGTCAGGATCGCAGTCACGGTGTTAGTTTGACGCATCGTTCTATGGGTTCCTCGGGTCCTGGTCAGGGTGGTGGTTCTCGTGTTTACCCCGGAAAGAAGATGGCTGGAAACATGGGTGGTGAGCAGAATACTGTTCAGAACTTGAAGATTCTCAAGGTGGATGCTGAGAATGGCATTGTGGTTGTCAGTGGTATGTGATTCGATCTCGGACTGCTCTTTAAGTCACGAATTCTCTTTTGCTAATATGTCTTTTGCTTTAGGTGCTGTTAGTGGTCCCAAGGGCTGCGTTGTGAGAATCCAGGATGCGATTAAGAAGCCATGGCCCAACGTGCCACAGGCAGAGTCGGCGGAACCTGCTACTGCTTAATTGGAGATTTCTTTCTTAGTTCTGACCATGTACTATTACACCATACGCGCGATATTGTTTGACTTGAGCGGCGTTTGTATATGATACAAAAAATGATATCCTTCTTCCTTTTTTCTCTTAGCCATTGAGAAAAAGAAAACAATGCCTTCGCCAAGTTGATAACGCAACAAATGGTCCCATAAATAATGCTCCCCAACGCCCGAGCCAATGCACTACTGTATCTGTACACACTCCAATATTCAGTTCTTCTGGAAGGGATCGCTATCACCGTCGAGCAATTGAACCACCGTTCCATCTTCCTTCTCCAGACTCCATTCCTCAGTACGGAACTAGAAGAGAAAAAGAAAATAAAGTCAGCAATAATCCCAAAACATGTCCCAAACAAAGTAAACCAAAAACTCACATAGCTCATACGATCCGGCCGAATGCTGCGGAACCTCATCTTGCCCTGGGACTTCGTCCCCTTAACCCAAAACGAGATATTGATGCGACCATGCAATTGGTTCATCTCTCCACTAATCCACGGAATCTGCTGTGCGAAGTAGATCTCATCGCCTAGGATCTCGCGAGCCCGCGACGAAGTCCGCAGCGCATAGAGCGTGCTGTGCACGATGCTCGACGACGACTTCTGGTAATTGAAGATTCCAAGCATGCCTGCTCCCGTCGCCAACGCGAAGAGCGGAAATGTGTACAGCCATTTCCGGCCTGGCTTTGGGTTCGGTAGCTCACGGTCCGCACGTCGCTCCAGTAGTGGTCCTGCGTTCGGACCTGGTGCGGGCATAATTGTCCGTCGGCTGGCGACATTGGGTCGGGTGGGTTTGCGGGCGAGCGCGGCGCGCCGCGTGAAGGCTCGGAGGAAGGACATGGCTTTGTTTGAGGGGGTTTATGTGGTGTTTGGAGGGCTGGTCGTTGGTGTTGGGGGGAGAGGTGCGGAAGAAAATGAGTGACAAACAAGACAAACACTTTCTACCTCTCGACGTCACTGCACCACCAGAGTTGGGCATACAACGTTTTTGTTTTCTTTCGAGATTACGGGAAATGGCTGCGGTGAGATTGAGAAAGGCGTTTCGATACCCTGAGGAATCGGAGGGCGAGAGAGAGGAGTTGGATGAAGAAGAACAGGAACGGGTTATCGAGCAGTTGCAGAGCCAGAATGATGCTCGCAACGCCCAGTACACTGTACATATCTTTCTTTCTTCATAGTCGAGAATCCATGCTAAATATGTTCCCAGATGATTTTCACTGCACTTCCTCTGCTGGCTGCTACAGTATTTGTGTCTTCGGTGCTGTCAGCTTCCAATCAGGCTGAACGATTGTTCTCGCTCCTCAGCGTTGTATCGCTGTCGACAACGGCCTATATCATGAAACGCTCTCCTATCAAGTCTGACCGCAAAGGCAAGAAGCCTGTGACATTCCATACTGAACGTATTGATCGACTTCATGCGGCTCTAGTACCTGGCACCGGTGCAATTTGCTTGTTGCTGGCCCTGGTCTATCTTTCTACAGGATCATCTTATGGGATCAAACCAGTGCTATATCTGATTCCTGGAGGTAAGTGTATTCTTTCTCGGCTGGGAGATATTGAATCTAACCATATACAGTCATGCTCGCCGTGATTCTACTTGCTCAGAAGGTCATGCTCTCTGTTGATCTTACATCTCTCAAGGATCTACAGTACGAGTACAAAGGTGCTTAGCCAATAGTAGTTCGCATCTCAACTTGAATACAGTTCATTATTAAAGTACAGCCAGATTTTGTTAAACCATGGTGTGAAGAGATAAGCCCTTCGGGGAATCACAAATCATACCGATTTCCTTTATCAAACAACCCTTTCGCAAATATTCCAGTGCTCATAGTTCATTGGGATACAATATCCCACAGGAAACTTTCATTACTTTCCGTGTCTCTTTGTGCATTCTGCACAAGTGATCTCTGTCATAAGCTCAAATACAGCAAATTTCATTCACCGATTCATGTGCTCAGGCTGTAACAAAGCCCTGGACCATCAACGATGGATCAACGGGGATGCCCCCATCATTCTCATCAATGTGCAGTGTATTCTCATCGCTTCCATTTCCATTCTGTGCCGGCTGATCGAACGGGCTGGACTCGAAGCTGAAACCCTGGTTTTCGAGGGTTTTCTGTCGCTCCATCTCAGCTTCCTCGGCTTCCTTCTGGCGTTTTTGAATGCGTCCATGCACATCATCGCCAAATTTCTTCAGCCACCACAGATTTGATTTCCGGAAATCCACTAAAGTCTCGATGCTGCGGGGATCGGCAACCTTGCTGGTGTCGTGACCCAGAATGGTACAATTAGGCTCATAGGGTTTCATGGATGGATCCCGCTGACAAGCACCGCAGCTGCATTCCTTGCGGCATTTTGGGCACAGCCAGTGATATTTTTCCATCGCTTCCTGCGGGGAGATTTCAAACGCCCGGAATAAGCTACCGTAACAGTACCGCTGATCACAATTTGAGCATGGTGCGAGCTTCCAATCAACTTCGAAATGAAGACAAACGTGACATCGGTATACGTTAGCTGATTTGGCCATGAGAGGCTGACGCTTTTTGCGGCGCTTTTTAGAACGAGTGTTGCCGTCAGAATCGCTACCAACATTTTCGACCGTAATTTCTTCCAAGGGCTTGGGCTTTTTTGGATCATTCCAGGGGCGACGCGCCAGCTGCTCTTGGCAGATCTCCGCCACAGACTTTTTGCCTACCTTGCCGCGAGCGACAATGAAAGTCGGGAATTGAGCCTTCAGATCCTTATTGTTCTGATCAGTTGAAATGATTAACCGTCGCCATGCCTCATAGCGTTCTGTCAATTGCTTCCATTGAAACTGTTCCATCCACTTGAGGTTGGAAACACAGGCACAGCTTCTACCCATAACGTAGCAATCCATGCATACATCATAAGGGTCCTCGTCACCGCCAAAAGCATTTGCACAGCCAGGACAGGTAAGAAACCGGTTGAAGATATTGCAACGGCAAAATGAACAGGTGACATTGCTTTGGAACTCGTGATATTCAACGTTTTTCTCTGGGTTCTTTAGAGAGAAGGATTCAGACAACAAAATGTTTTTGTACATGTTGAACAGTCGTTTGAAATCTTCCCACAGTTGAACCACCGCCGGATGGTCGACCTTTTTCGCTTGCTGCAACATATTTGAATACTTGTCAAGAGTGTAGTAAACAATGGCTTTGTTCTTATATTGTTCATCACGGCAGACCATTCGCGCATGCGGCAAAGCTTCACGCAGAGCCAGCTCGAGCGTGTCAACCGTAGTGCGATTCCATGCAACTTTCATTGTCCGAGTGCCGCGATTCCAAACCTGGTGTGCAGCAAGCGGGGGTACAAGAATAAGGTCACCGGGTTTCTGTTCCACCACCCAGGTCTTGAATGGTGCAATTTCCCATGCATGCAAGGGAGCAAAGAAATCTTCAAGGTCAATGTCATGCCCAAGAACAGACATCCAGTATTCTGAAACAATCCGCCGATCGTTGGTCTCTGTCATGAGCCAAATTGAAGAACCTGGTTCCGTTGGCTGGCCATTTTCTGGAGACCCATCGGACGCGTCGACCATTATGTTGTGGCCAAGACTGGCACACATCTCTTGATGTGCTGGAGTGTACGTGCCTTCATGACCGATGTAGCACATCAAGTTTTCAGCGCGCATTTTGGGGGGCAGACTGCTCATTAAATCGCCCGCTGGCGCAATAAGTTCGCCTTTGGCGGACCTGGGGATCTCAGACAGATTTGAATTCTGCGATGCTGGGCCTTCAAAAGCTTTGGGCGCTTCATTCAGATAAAAGAGAGAAGGCGGAAACAGGTTCTCAAGATAAGTGCGCCACGCAGGAGGGCAGTCGATATCCTTGAGGTAGAGCCGTTGGATCTCTTTGTTTGTGTAATTATGAACCGTCACCTGCCGAGTGAGAAGTGGCATGTTTTTTAGGTAGTGGCCCATGGTGAACTTCTCAGTCTTTTTTTTCACTAGATCTCGAACTTCCTCAGCTATTAAAAGAGGTTGCAGTTAGTCTCAATGAACGACGGATGAGATGACCCAAGAGCAGAAGCTCACTTTTGCTCGCGTATTCTTTTCGGAGCCATTTCTCCGAAAAGAGACCACGGTCAAGACGTTTATCAAACCCCCTGATAACCAATGGTCTTCCGCTCAGAACAACTTGGAACAGCACAAGCTTCTCAAAGTCTTCAAGTGGAAATTGGTCTATTGAGTCGCAGGTGATATCCATTGCAAACTCGAAATTCGGAGTGGACTCAACCACCCGATGAATGTCAATCAAAGGCGAGAGTGGCTCAAAAGCCAGGCGGGTTCGGTGTGCGGGCATGGTGAGCGCAGAGCCCCAGAGGGGCAAGATATCGATGTTCACCTGATGTTTGTAATCTGCGCAAAGCTCGTAGGAGCCAATTTCATGGCTTGGAAAGAAGGATGATAGCTAGGGTTAAGTTTGAGGTTGTACAAGACTCAGAATTGTTAACTAGCTGGGTGGACTGAGAGGACTGCGCTGTTCTTTGCTGTTTCTCTTGTGCGGGTATGATGATGGTTGGGATGAGACAATTAACAGGAGTAGGAAGGAGCAGAGGAGGAGTGCGCTGGTGTAAAGTAGATCAGACAGAAGAGTAAAAGATGTAAATTTAAGCTTGGAAGTCAAGAGGGATGTAAAAGAAAGTGATGCCGCACCCCATTCCGTTTAATTTGGGCGATCATTAACTTCTGGGGGGACGCCAGAGGGCGCGTTTTGTGGCCTCAGGCAGAAATTTACACGTGAAGCTTGAAAGTCTCACGTATTTCACCATTTACTCAAGTATATATATTGTTTTTCTAAAGGACTTGAACCTGAAATATTCTGATTTCTTTCTCTAAATTGAATCTACTTTCATAATGTTCAACTCAATGTACTAGAATTAATAGTTTCAGTACTCCGTACATTGCGACGGGGCTCCATAGATCTGATGCCCCAAATAGGCTTAGGCTTTTTTCTGCATGACGATGTAATTTCCGACATCTCTAAATCTTCAGATGGCCAGACCTTTGAGGCTCCTGAGAATATGAATATTCGATTGCCTTGATTGACCCATGTTCGGCTTCTAGATTCCCTGCCCTCGCCATGCTTTCCACCAGTTCCCGTCTGTTCCGCGCTCGGCTATCCCCATACAGGCAAAAGGTCAACCTCGGTCTGTACAATGGGCGCCTTTCCACACTCGCTCACAGTGCCTGTTCCTCAACGCCGTTAAAAGGCAGCCGTTCTCTCGCTGGCACCTCATACAATGTCTTGCGAACAACTCAAGTCCAGGCCCGACACAGCTCGCAATTGCAATCGCCCGCAACACAACCAATCGAGTCGGATAGCGCGGAGAAGAACCCGGCAACTCACTACACCCCACCGAAGACAGGCTTGATTGCGTCCTTGCCGAGTTCATGGATACCGTATGCGGAATTGGTGCGGCTGGACAAGCCCACGGGCACATACTACCTATTCTTCCCAACTCTGTTTTCCACCCTGCTCGCTGCGCCAATGGCTGGTGTGGCACCGCTCCATGTCCTGGGTACAGCAGCACTGTTCTTTTCCGGTGCGCTGATCATGCGTGGTGCAGGCTGCGCGATCAACGATCTGTGGGATAGAAATCTGGACCCTCACGTCGAGCGCACCAAGTTCCGACCTATTGCCAGAGGTGCACTCTCGCCGAAAAAGGCAGTCCTTTTCACAGGCTCACAGTTGGTGGCTGGTTTGGGCGTGCTTCTTTCGTTCCCTACTCAGTGCCTTTGGTATGGCATTCCTAGCATGCCTATCGTGGTGGCCTACCCCCTTGCTAAGCGCGTGACCAATTACCCGCAAGCTGTCTTGGGTCTTGCCTTTTCATGGGGAGCAATTATGGGATTCCCAGCGTTGGGCGTGGACTTGCTTGCCAATCATGATGCCATGATGGCTGCAGGTGCCCTTTATTCCAGTTGTATTGCTTGGACAGTTCTGTACGATATGATTTATGCACACATGGACATTAAAGACGATGTTAAGGCCGGGATCAAATCAATTGCCCTCCGTCATGAGCACAACACCAAGGCTGTCCTCAGTGGTCTGGCGGTGACCCAGGTCTCGCTCCTCGCCGCTGCAGGAGTTGCTGCCGGCTGTGGACCTGTCTTCTTTGTTGGCAGCTGCGGCAGTGCCGTTTTGTCGCTTGGTCTCATGATTTGGAAGGTTCAGCTGAAGAGCGTTCAGAACTGCTGGTGGTGGTTCAAGAACGGATGTCTGCTGACTGGTGGAGGAATCTCATTGGGCTTGCTTGCCGAGTATGCGGCGCAGTACCTTGGTTTGTACAATACGACGGAGCCAGAACGCGTGGCCGAATTGACACAATAGATATGTAACAATATAAACAGGCGTTCGAGGGTTAGTTCCTTTTTTTTCACGGCTTCTGCACCAATCCCGCAACGTAGTTTTGGATGACATTGACGATATCTCTCCAATCCATCATGTTTCCAGTGTCGAGATTTTCACTACCTGAGCTCCTCTCTATGGGAGGCAGCACAGTCACCCAGCCTTTTGGGTTTGATTCACTCCATCCCCACTCATCACGTAGGACTTTAAGCTGCTTCTCGGTCACCGGATGTCGGTACATACGTCTATCCATATCCAATGCTGCAAAGACCATAGATTTCTGAGTCTTGAATCCCATATCCACTACTCCAGTAGTATCCCAGGCCCTAATGACTGAGAGAAGCAGATTGTCGGCGATCCCATTGGTCATTTTCGCCATGGTATTTGCAGACATTGGGGCAACTAGAAGGATATGTGCCCCTATGATGATGTTAGTTGGTTCATTCTATCATGTATCTACGTAGCCACTGACATTTGCGTAGCTCAATATGTAGGACTGGTGCCCCGCGCGTCCATGACGGAGACCATTCATCTTCGTCCCGGTAGATAGCATCCACACCATCAATTTGAAGCAGAGTGTCGAAGACCGGCTGCTCCGAGCTCTGTCTGATAAGGAACTTCTCCGCTGGTTCAGTGATTAGGATGCGGACTGAGATATTTTCATTGCGACATAGCGCCTCTGCAATGTTGGGTAGCTTAGTGGTAGCGGCTGCCAGTAGCACATGGACCTTTTTATCATCTGTATACTGCTGGGCAATAAAAGGCGGCGATATTTGAGAATCCATTGCCTTGCAATATATTGTGGATAAAAAGAAATATAAGAATTTTGTACAAGAGAAAGATGAGTGGTTCATAGAGCCCTACAAAGCTTAGAAGTGTGGAGATCGACCTTTGACCAACCGCTGATTAAATAATACTAAACCTTTCCCAAGGTTCCCCGAGCAAGTCAACCTCCCGAGGTCTTCTCTTGTAAACTACCATCACCTTCAAAAATCATGTTTTCTAGAGCAGTTGCATCGGTGTGTATGGAATATTCCCCGCAAGATCACCCAGCTAACATGAATTACACAGGCTTTCCGCCCGGTCTCGCGACCAACCTTTTTGCGTCCCGTCCGCTCGGCCATCCAATTCCCCACGGGCCCTTCTATTCCTTCTGTCCTCCATGCACGCCTTCTGTCCAACGAGACCCGGACGGCGATCGATAAGGCGGTCTCTTCCGCTCCCGTCGTTCTGTTCATGAAGGGTACACCGGAGACTCCGCAATGTGGTTTCTCCCGTGCCTCCATTCAAATCCTGGGCCTGCAGGGCGTTGATCCTAAGAAGTTTGTTGCTTTCAACGTGCTGGAGGATCCGGAGCTGCGCGAAGGTATGTTGGGATTATCTAGTGTTGACTTGCTGCCAGTTTCGGATTGCTAATTGTGTTCCGTTTACAGGTGTCAAGGAATACTCTGAGTGGCCTACTATTCCCCAGCTATACATTGAGAAGGAGTTCATTGGTGGTTGTGATATCTTGATGTCCATGCACCAAAATGGTGAGCTTGCGAAGCTTTTGGAGACTAAGGGTGTTCTGGTTGCGGCGGATGAATAAATAGCAGCCGAGTCCGAGTGGAAGATGTCAGCCTATCAATTTGATAGATGGCTGTCTCTGTAAAATTATTTGTCTCTAATGTATTCTGGTCTTAATATCCTGCTGGTCAGATAGTTGGTTTTTTTATTTGACAAATGGAAGGTGATCTATAATCTATCTGTTCTAGTGGTTCAAATTGTCACAAGCTGTCATGCGAACGAATGAGGTAGACACTTTCGAAGAAAAAACCCCAGTTGATGAGGTCTAACATCATATGTACAGTTGTTCTTCATTACATGATTAGTATTTCTCGCAAAAGTCGACAGCCAGCCTATTGAGCTGCCTGAGCTGCTTCAGCTGCCTCTTTTGACTTCACCAGATCCTCGGTAATGGCCTTGTCCAGCTTGGCGCGTTGCCTGGCTTCATAAGCTTCACGGCTTTTTAGGATCCGACCAACAATTTCGCCAGCGTTCACGTGTTGGAAGGCATGCTGCTCGGCTTCCCGGAAGATTCCCATCCGCTTGGGAGCAGTGTACGGATCATATGTTAGCGGAATGAAGGTTGTGGGTCCATGGTAGACAGCGTCGGGAATGCCCCATGGGATTGTCTTCAGGTATGGTTCGCTGGGGGTGAATGGTGCAGAGAATATGACAGCATTGATGTACTTTGGCGAATATTAGCAACTCGAAGAGATGAAAACAAAAAAAAAACTTACGCGGCATTGAAGAACACAGAGACCACGTTCGAAAATGTTCATGATGGGGTAGTTCAAGCCCTTCCAATGGTTGATCACATCGTCATCATGGATACCTGCGACAATATATGACGGTGCATAGTCCTCTCCGTAGTCCTTCAACCTCTTTTCAACTTGGTCTGGCTCATACCAGCCACGTTTCCGGCCCTCGGACTCCTCGAGCTCCGTGACTTTGCGCAGGAACGCAATGTGACCGGAGGAGAAGAGATCGAACCCTCCATCAACATAAACAACTCTCTGCCCAGGTTTGGGTCCCTTTCCATCAACTAACGTCTCGAACAGGCCAGCCTCCTCGACAACATGGTCCATCTTCGCAGTGCCTGAGCCAGTCCATGTCCACACCTGAGGACCAGGCTGAAGACCACTCTCGTCCGTCGCATAATCCTTGATTCTCTGCACAAGATCTGCAGCAGAAGCCTTGCGCTCCTCAGGACTTCCATACCCTTCTAGTCCAGCGAGTGTGGCCTTCACCGATTTGACAAAGTGGTTCCGGGTGCACAACAGCATGCGGCCAACAAGGTCGGTTGTCGATATGCCCGGGGTACGTTTGACAACACGGAAGCGTCCAGCAGCTTTGACGAAGCGGTAACAATCATTTCCATCGCTGTCGGAAGTAATGTCGTCTCCGTGGACAACATATTTGCATCCGTAGTGGGATACCCAGGGTAAATAGGTCACATAGGGGGCATGGGGAACACTCTGAGTTGCCCATCGACACGCGTCAACGGCTGCGACACTAGATAATAATGACGTTAGCACCATAATCCGAAACCTAGACCAGTTTGAGATCAAACCAACCGTTCTTCCAGTGACATCACTGTCGGACCCTTGTTCTCGAGGATAGCTTGATCGGAGTGTATTCCAACGTAAAGGGCCTTTCCTAGCCGGCGGGCTTGAAGCATAGCACCAGCATGACCTGTAGAGCGACTCAAAGATTAGCTCACAGCAATTGACTTGGTAGTAATTGCAAACCTACCGTGATGGCTGAAATCGAAGCATCCATCCACCCAAAGTCGGTCCTCCGAGATGGGTACATCTTCCTGGGGATCAGCAGGCCATTGTCCAGGCAGAGGAACCTGCTCCTCTAGGGGTGTTGAGTCCATTTTCGCAAGATTAAACAATTCAAAATTGTTCCAAATTATAGAACTGAATTGTATAGGAGGGGGAGGGGATGTGATCGACAAAGGTAAATTACATGGGTACGGTTACAGTAATCTTCGGCATCGCCGTTGACGGTCTGGCTTGCGGGGAACTTTCTCCGGGTCTCCTGAGTTTCATAACTTTTGAATACAACATTTGAACATATTGAGGTCTTAACCAACTCGCCTATCAGTCTACCAAGGTGGTCTATTCGTTTTCTTGCTCCCTCATCTTTTCTAACACCTCCGCCTTGTCCTCCTATCGACCCCTGTCCACTTTCGCCGGGTCGCATCATTTTATTTTGCCCCGAAATTGTCTACCAACACCAATGATCCCATCTACATTTGCCCCGAGCATCTCGCGGCGGGACACCGGCAAGTCCAGTGGTGCATATGAAGGAGCATATGGTATTCCACCTCCAGTCGTCAGCGGAGGCCTTCTCGGCCCGCAAAGTGCAGCTGCAATCTATCAACAGATCCATGAAATGGCCGCGAAACGGATATCGACTCTTGACTATTTGAGAAAGGCGTGAGTGAATCGCAGCCCAGCTAGACCGGAGCACTTCTAATGCATGCTGTGCTACATATAGTCACGAAGGACGGGTTTATTGGTTTAATACTGTGCATTTCTCCCGGGCTGATATATCCCGTCTGCCATACTTTGAAGCCCGGAAACTTTCTCGCCGTGCAATCAATTACTTGCTTCTAGGCTTGTCATTGCCCACAATACTCGATGTTAACTCCACGCCGTTCGAGTATGTGCGTGCCCTAAATGCTTTACTACTGGAATTCGAAGCATTCCAGCAAGTGCATCCCCCAGATGGCAGTTCCTCGTCAAGTCTTGCAAGGGCCCGTATACCCCAAATGTTTAAGCGGGCGACACATGCAGGTACCAAAACACGACGTGCCAGCTCTGCGAACGAAATCGGACTTCCAATGCAGTCCAGTGACCCATCAGACTTGAAGAGCACGGCAGGGAATCTCGGGTCTGCTTCGTCTGCGGCGGCTTCAGTCACCTCCTTCCCACTCACAGAGTCTTCGGATCTTCTTCCTGGCGAGGAATACACTTATCTTCTCACACCATCGTTGCCATTCGAGCCAGACTTCTTTGAGACGTTCGCAACCCTGTGCGATGTCTTGATCGACACTTATAGCCGACTCGCTTCTCTGGTATCATCTCCAACTGTCTGTACTGTAGCCCTGGGCGAGACATTTTCCAAAGCAGATGCCAGGTTACGAAAGATCATGGTCGCCGGCGCAGTACGTGAGTTCGAAGACGCGAGCCGAAATAGTGTCAAAAGTGAGATTTCTGGGGTCAGCCGGGTGGTGCTTGGCGGTTTATTGGGATAGCAGCAAGGTTTCGCTGCTCTTTATTTGGGTCTGGTGTTTAAGGTCAAATTTTGACAGGACATATGGTCAGATTTTATGAGATATGAATTTATCAAGGTGAATCACATGTTATCACATGGAAAAGTTGCTTTGCACATTTTACACCTTTTTCATCACCTACATTGTATATTTGCAGCCAATTATTCTTAACTTCCTAGCTTCAACATCCATAAGGTGTGAAATATCTAGGGGGAAATACATCTGGAAAAAGCATCTGAGAAGACATCTAGAAAAATTGCCAAGGCCACATAAGCGGCCGACTATTCTTTCGAGTGTTGTACGATAATAGAATTTCAGATCTAAGTTTGAGAGGTTCTAATGATACATCTGTGCTGCCTTCTTGATCGGGGCGATTCGGTATAAAAAGCAGGATAAAAAGACAACTCGCTCAAAATAACTTAATTGAGAACTTTTCTTGGCCATGCGGCTTCGTGAGACAAAAGGTGGTATTCATGAGCAGATTGAAAGAGTCGAGAATCGAGAATCGAGAATCGAGAAAGGCCAGGAAAAGACAAGGAACTCCACTTTAGCGCCACATGCTCGAATATGTAAAAACAGACGCCGGAATATGCAGTCGCTTGATGTTGAATGATGAGGGATAAAAACAAGAGATATGATGTTGAGATGTTGAGATATCGAGAAGATATCGCGGGACGTATGTCGAGGGTATGGGACACTTATGATTGGAGACTTTGCTTTTCAAGTTCGCGTTGTTCGCCAAAGACGCGGCGGCTCATCTCGAGGACAGTTTCGAATCCTTCGCGGCCCATCTTGGCATTCTCACGGAACCGATCCACGCTTGCCTCTTCAACCTTGTTCTTGATCTTTTGCCATCCACCGCAGAGAGCGGTGATTTTTGCTTCCTGGCTGAATTCGGTCGTAGTGGCCGGGCTAAGGGAGGATTGCTTGTAGATAACAGTCTCGCGGACGCTGAGC